GGATCTTGGCATTCCCATGTATGACACACATACAGGCCAAGACATTCGCGAAAACGAGACCGACAACATTGTTCCTCGCCTTGTTAGCATGATCACTGCCGACTCGGTCGAGTGGGAGAAGGCAACCGTATTCCCCAAGGCCACTCACATCCTTGATTTCGGCCCGGGCGGTATCTCCGGTCTTGGCGTACTCACAAACCGTAACAAGGACGGTACTGGTGTTCGTGTCATCCTCGCGGGTGCTATCGATGGCCAAAACGCCGAAGTTGGCTACAAGCCTGAGATCTTTGATCGTGACTTCGACCATGCCGTCAAGTACGCTGTCGACTGGGTCAAGGAGCACGGTCCTCGTCTCGTCAAAACATCAACTGGCCAGACCTATGTCGACACCAAGATGAGCCGCGTGCTCGGTTTGCCCCCGATTATGGTCGCTGGTATGACACCTTGCACTGTGCCATGGGACTTTGTCGCAGCGACAATGAACGCCGGTTACGAGATTGAACTTGCTGGTGGTGGTTACTACAACGAAAAGACTATGACTGCTGCCATCAACAAGGTCGAGAAGGCTATCCCTGCCGGTCGCGGTATCAGCATCAACTTGATCTACATCAACCCGCGTGCCATGGGCTGGCAGATCCCGCTCTTGGCCAAGCTCAGGGCTGAAGGTGTACCGATCGAGGGTCTTACTATCGGTGCCGGTGTGCCATCCATTGAGGTCGCCACTGAGTACATCGAGACCCTAGGCATCAAGCACATTGCCTTCAAGCCGGGTTCTGTCGAGGCTATCCAGCAGACCATCAACATCGCGAAAGCAAACCCTACCTTCCCCGTCTTGCTTCAATGGACAGGTGGTCGTGGTGGTGGTCATCACTCCTTCGAAGACTTCCACCAGCCTATCCTGCAGATGTACGGCCGCCTGCGCAAATGCGAGAACCTGGTTCTTGTCGCAGGTTCCGGATTCGGTAGTGCGGAAGACACATACCCATACCTTACTGGATCATGGTCGACCAAGTTTGGCTACCCACCCATGCCATTCGACGGTTGCTTGTTCGGTAGCCGCGTTATGACCGCCAAGGAGGCAAAGACGTCCAAGATGGCCAAGCAGGCCATCGTTGATGCTCCAGGTCTCGACGACAGTGACTGGGAGAAGACCTACAAGGGCCCTGCTGGAGGTGTCATCACTGTTCGCTCCGAAATGGGTGAGCCAATCCACAAGCTCGCCACCCGTGGTGTCATCTTCTGGCACGAGATGGACCAGAAGATTTTCAGTCTGGACAAGGCCAAGCGCGTCCCCGAACTGAAGAAGATGCGCGAATACATCATCGAAAAGCTGAACAAGGACTTCCAGAAAGTTTGGTTCGGTAGAAACAAGAAGGGAGAGTCAGTCGACCTGGAAGACATGACCTACGCTGAGGTTGTTCAACGCATGGTAGACCTCATGTATGTCAAGCACCAGTCCCGCTGGATCGACCAGAGCTTGAAGCGCTTGACAGGTGACTTCATCCGTCGACTGGAGGAGCGTTTCAGCAGAGCCAGCAGCGAGTCACTGATCCAGAATTACGATGAGCTCAACGACCCCTTCCCAATGCTTGAGAAGGTCTTCAAGGCTTACCCCGACTCCGACAAGCAGCTCATCAGCGCCCAAGATGTGCAGCACTTCTTGCTTCTCTGCCAACGCCGTGGACAGAAGCCTGTTCCATTCGTTCCTGTCCTCGACGAGACCTTTGAGTTCTTCTTCAAGAAGGATTCACTGTGGCAATCTGAAGACCTTGATGCTGTTGTTGACCAAGACGTCGGCAGGACTTGCATTCTTCAAGGACCCATGGCCGTTAAGTACTCTACCAAGGTCGACGAGCCTGTCAAGGAGATCCTGGATGGTGTTCACGAGGGCCACATCAAGTACCTTTTGCGCGACATCTATGGCGATGACGAGTCCAAGGTTCCTGTTATCGAGTACTTCGGTAGCAACCTGCTTGCGCCACCGCAGGGTCTTGACGTCGATGGTCTTACTGTGTCAGAACTTGAGAACAAGATTATCTACCGCCTTTCTGCTGCTCCCAACGCCACAATGCCAGAGGTACACTCATGGCTACAACTCCTGGCAGGTACCAGCTACTCGTGGAGACACGCTTTCTTCACTGCGGATATCTTCGTACAGGGTCAGCGTTTCCAGACCAACCCTACTTCCAGGGTCTTCGCGCCCACACCCGGTATGGTCATCGAAATCCAATACCCCAACGAGCCTGCCAAGACTTCGATCATCGTCAAGGAGCTACACCACGGCGGCAAGTTGATCAAGACTGTCGATGTCAGCCTGACAAAGGACAACGAAATCCTACTCAACATCTACGAGGAGCGTACTGCCCTTAAGAAGGCTGTCGCGTTGCCTTTCCGCTTCACCTACCGCCCCGACGTAGGCTATGCGCCTATCCACGAGGTTATGGACGCCCGCAACGACCGGATCAAGGACTTCTACTACAAGATCTGGTTTGGAGATGAGGAATGTCCGTTCGATGCGTCTGTCACTTCGCGCTTCGATGGTGGCCGCGCTACCGTTACGAGTGAGGCCATTAACGACTTCGTCCACGCGGTTGGCAACACAGGTGAAGCCTTTGTTGACAGACCTGGTAAGGAAGTCTTTGCCCCCATGGACTTCGCTATCGTTGTTGGCTGGAAGGCTATTACCAAGCCCATCTTCCCTCGCGCAATCGATGGCGACCTTCTCAAGTTGGTCCATCTTTCCAACGGATTCCGCATGATCTCCGGCGCTGAGCCCCTGAAGAAGGGTGATGTCCTCGACACCACCGCACAGATCAATGCTGTCATTAACCAGGATTCTGGTAAGATGGTAGAAGTCTGCGGCACCATCACTCGTGATGGCAAGCCGGTAATGGAGGTTACCAGCCAGTTCCTTTACCGCGGTGCATATGACGACTTCGAGAACACATTCCAGAGGAAGGTTGAGAAACCTATCCAGCTCAACCTTGCCACCAGTAAGGATGTCGCAATCCTGCGGTCAAAGGAGTGGTTCAACTTCGAGGAGCCTGAGATCGACCTGCTGAACAAGACCCTGCTCTTCAAGCTTGAGACTGTCGTCCGATACAAGAACAAGACAGTCTTTTCAGACATCGAGACCCAAGGAGAGGTCTTGCTCGAGCTTCCAACCAAGGAAGTGATCCAAATTGCCTCGGTTGACTACCGCTCTGGTACCGCGTACGGCAACCCTGTCCTCGATTACTTGGAGCGTAACGGTGCCGCCGTTGATCAGCCAGTACTTTTCGACAATGCTATTCCACTACACGGCAGGACGCCACTCAAGCTGAAGGCACCTGCCTCCAACGAGAACTACGCTCGCGTCTCTGGCGACTACAACCCCATTCACGTTTCTCGTGTCTTTGCTAGCTACGCCAACTTGCCTGGTACAATCACCCACGGCATGTACTCTAGTGCAGCTGTTCGAAGTCTAGTCGAAACATGGGCCGCAGAGAACAATGTTGGTCGTGTCAGGAGCTACCACGTCAACCTTGTCGGTATGGTGCTTCCTGACGATATGCTCGACGTCAAGCTCCAACACGTCGGTATGGTTTCTGGTCGCAAGATCATCAAGATCGAGGTCAGCAACCAGGAGACCGAAGACAAGGTCCTTCTCGGTGAGGCTGAGGTCGAGCAACCCACTACTTCATACGTCTTTACTGGACAAGGTTCGCAAGAGCAAGGCATGGGTATGGAGCTTTACAACAGCAGTCCCGTGGCCAAGGAGGTTTGGGACCGTGCCGACAAGCATTTCATGGACAACTATGGTAAGTCAAAGTCACCTTGCTCATATTGTGCAGCAGCTAACTCGCAACAGGCTTTGCTATCACCAACATCGTAAAGAACAACCCGAAGGAACTCACCATTCATTTCGGTGGTCCAGTCGGAAAGGCGATCCGTCAGAATTACATGTCTATGACCTTCGAGACCGTTGCTGCGGATGGATCTATCAAATCCGAGAAGATCTTCAAGGAGATTGACGAAAACACCACATCCTACACTTACCGGTCGCCAACTGGTCTGCTGTCAGCCACTCAATTTACACAGCCGGCCCTGACACTCATGGAGAAGGCGTCTTTCGAAGATATGCGTGCTAAGGGCTTGATCCAGGTCGAGAGTACATTCGCCGGACACTCTCTTGGTGAATACTCTGCTCTTGCAGCCATGGCTGAGGTTATGCCTATCGAGAGTCTGGTCTCGGTTGTGTTCTACCGTGGTCTTACTATGCAGGTCGCCGTCGAGCGCGATGAGACTGGTCGCTCGAACTACTCCATGTGCGCTGTCAACCCTAGCAGGATCTCCAAGACCTTCAATGAGCAGGCACTCCAATACGTGGTCGAGAACATTGCCGAGACGACCGGATGGCTCCTGGAGATTGTCAACTACAACATTGCCAACATGCAGTACGTTGCTGCCGGTGACCTCCGCGCTCTCGACTGTCTTACTGGCGTGACCAACTACCTCAAGCAACAAAAGATCGACATCCAGGCGCTCATGCAGACTCTTTCACTTGAGGAGGTCAAGAACCACTTGGTAGAGATTATCAAGGGCTGCGCTGAGCAAACAGAAGCCAAGCCTAAGCCGCTCGACCTCCAGCGCGGGTTTGCTACCATCCCGCTCAAGGGCATCGACGTTCCCTTCCACTCGACCTTCTTACGCTCTGGTGTGAAGCCGTTCAGGTCTTTCCTTCTTAAGAAGATCCATAAGACGTCCATCGACCCCAGCAAGCTTGTGGGCAAATACATCCCCAACGTCACGGCCAAGCCGTTTGCGTTGACCAAGGAGTACTTTGAGGACGTGTACAAGCTTACCAACTCACCCAAGATTGGCAACATCCTGGCGAACTGGGAGAAGTACGAAGAGAGCGGCAAGGAGGAGACCAAGACCGAGACTGTTGCTTAAACTTGGGCATGTGTATATGTAGGAACGGGGTCCATGATTCTGGCGTTCTGGTGGTTCACAAGTAGATGATTGGCCATTTGATATCCAGGTTGGAGGCTTAGATATGCTTCTCATGATAAAACTTAGTAATTCATTCATTCAAGATAATACTGGTACGAAGATTGGTGATGACGTTGTGAAAGTAGGAAACTTGGTGATGGAGTAAAGAATGCTTGACCATCAACTTGAAGAAGACAGAGTACAAGGGAAAGCAGTAGAAGATACATAAACAATCATAACATTCAAGTGTGTTACACCGGCTTCGCCGACCCATTTTGACCCGACCCAAACCGATGGCTACCCTACGACCATACTAAGAAGTTGAAATCGAAATGAAGAATACGCTTATCCAGACAAAGACCAAGACGTTCAAGTAAAATCGTTATGATAAAGAGCGGTTATCGGAACAGTCCCCGTTTCCGTGGTGTTTTGCCACCATCCAGCACAGGCGCTCCTTCTTGTGCCGAACTAGGTAAAGCAGGCATAGTGTGCGCATGAACCAGTGGCGGCGCCTCAATGTGTCTTTGCGAGTATGGCGTATTGCTCTGGTACGGTGTGTGCTGTTGCTGATATTGAGGTATTTGCTGCCAATTCTGCTGGTAGCTTTGGTAGTTGCCACTCGGTGGAGGGAAGTTCTCGTGATTCTGCATGTACCCACCGCTGGTTACTCTGTGCGGGGTTTGTGGTACGAAATCGTTCGGCTGTGGTTGTTGATGGTGATGGGCTTGTGTTTGCTGCTGTTGCGAGCGAAGGAGGCCGAATGCCCAGTTTGAGAGGTTGAAGCCGCCGAAGATGACGATGGCTGTGAATATCTAGGAGAGATTGGTCAGCTAAACGGCACTTATGTTGGATGTGATGAATTGACAAAAGAAAAGTAGAGGAGGTAACGTACCATTGACTTGTAGCTGAACTCTTCCACGAAAGAGTTGAAGATCATGGCGAACGTCTTCGCTGTCACGGTCGCGCGTGCAACCTTTTTCGGATCGCGATTCATACACGTCTCCCAGACACCGCACGCCTTCTCCATGGCTGGCACGACTTCTTCGGGTCGACAGCGGTTACGATTGTACTCTAGAGCGCAGGCCGCAATTTCGACCATTACTTCGGATGCGTGTTTTGAGGATTCTATGTCGACGTCTGTCATGACGCCAGCCCAGGCGGAGTAGACAATGTAGATGAAGAGGCTGCCGAGGAACATGTTGACGGTGAGTTGGAGGTAGTAAGATAGTACGGATGGAAGGTTGGGATGCGCTTCAACCCACGAGAGGAAGCCGCCCACAGTCATGGCGAAAGTCTGCTGGACAGGCCCCGCCTCCTTTGCTGGAACCGGTGGGCGTGTTCGTTCGTTGTCCGAATCGTCACCGTCGTCGTCGTGTATGGCAGCGCGTTTCTTTGACCGCGATCGCTCTGACCGGCGCTTGACTATACGGTTCTCAGCCTTCTTGGAATAGTACTTTTGCGACATGTCCTTGTCGCGGGGTTCCTTGGTGGGGCTTGGACTTGACATGAAGGTTCGCTTGAACCAGCTTTCTCGCCGAGCGCCTTTGGCATCGCCATTGCCTAGCCGCCCCATCTTGCTCGCCAATTGCGTGTCTGGTGTGCCGGGGTCGCTGTCTACTTGGGGCGTGCCGGGTGTCTCTCCACCGGAGCTGAAGTCGATGTCGTGTGAGGGCGTTCGCATAGACCAGGGGCTCGGTTGTATGTGTGCCGGCACCGAAGACGCTGGTGTTGAGGGTAATGGCTTGCTGGGATCGCGGCTGAAGTATGTCATGCGGTTGTCAGGGTCGCGCAGCCGATTTGGTGTCGCGAAACCGCCTTTCGAGGGGGAGTCTAGTACTGAGTGGGGACCTGGCTGGCCAAACGAGGGCCCTGGAGTCAGCGGGGTTGTCTTGTCTTGCGTGTCTCGTCTGGAAGCAAACGAGGGGCCTGGAGGCTTACGCTTCTTCTGCTGGCTGGCTGCTAGGAACGGCGATTGAGAGTCGATGGGCCCTGTTTGATTCGTCCACTCAAAGTCCATAGGCGTGGTAGAAGGGCGGTGGCTTCGCGACATTGTGTTTGCCGGCGACAGGGTAGGACGGGTTGAAGAATGGGCTCGTTGCGTACGTCGTGACCTGTCTCGCTGTTGTTGATCAACACTTGGGTTTCTAGGTTCCCACGTTGCGGACTTCCGGCGCTAGTCCCGATTAAGCTGAGTACAGTTGCAAATAACTTTGTGACTTTGGCTAGTCTAGCAGAGAAGGATAATGGTTATTTGTATCCCGACAGAGAGATAGTGAAAGTCACATATCAGAGACTTCGTGGCTTGACAGAATCCACCAGCATGTCTTAGCAGCACCACATGGACTCTACCCCGCGAGCTGAAATGTCTTGTCAAAGAACATATGTCAATTCCATAGTCAAAGTTATTCTACAGGTGAAGAATAGGAACTATATACCCAAGAGCCCTCGCAAAAATTCAAAAAGCCTTGAATCCGCTAGTATAGAGACGGCCTCCTCCATTTCCTAACCTTGCTCAAATGCCCCTTCATGTGCTCATGCACAGTGAACCGCATAGATGAGAAATCCTCTTCTGTTTCGGAAAGCAGGCATAATTCGTCGTGCTGTGCCTTTCCGCCATGTTCTCCAGCATGACATCTTTCGAAGCAACTTGATGTTCGTTGTCGCTTACGCTCCTTCTAGGCAGGCGTAAGACCCACCTGGGTACCGTTCATCGAGCACAGAGTTAGCGTCAGACTCTCTCGCCACACTTCGGGGTCTCTGCTCTCCATAGTCTTGAATTCTTGTACCATACGGACCGTCACGTAGCTCGCTTCGGTAAGCGCGTACTGCTGGCCGAGACAGATACGTGGACCGCCGTTGAAAGGCAAGTACTCCCAGCCCGGACGGAGTGTCTCCCATCTCTCAGGCTTGTATTCGTCCGCATCTGGGCCGTAGAGATCGTGGCGGCGGTGCATGGTGTACGGTGAGTATCCGACCGTCGTTCCCTTGGGTACGAACAAGGGCGCTTGACCGTCTGGGCCGCCACCCCGGGGGAGTACAGTGTCACGGATGGCTCGGCGAGAATTACCGGGTACGACTGGGTGGATGCGGAGTGCTGGTCTTGATTAGCATGTCGCCGATTGTTAGCTCAGAAGGCAGACTTACATTCGTTGAGACACCACTTCAGGTACTTTAGGTTCCTCAATTCCTCATACGTTGGTGTGCGACCCTCAAGCGTTGCAACCTCATCCCTCAGCTTCGCATAGATATCGGGCCTCTTGGCAATCTCAAAGAACATGTTACTGAGCAAACTGGCTGTTGTGTCGCGTCCTGCAAGGAGGATGTTGATGAGTTCCTCGCGAATCCGCTTCTGGTCGGTAGTCTGCTTGGCCACCTCTTGAATGAAATAGTACTTGTCGTCCTTGGTTCCAGCACTCTTTTCCGTGTCCAATTCCTGTCTGAAACGCAGAGCATCATCCACAAACTTGTCAATGTAGGCGTGGCAGATGTCGATGGCCTTCTTGCCCTCATCGTTCTTCCGGAATCGATCGAATATACCATAACGGGCGCGGACCGTAATGTCCTCTTGCGCGAAGTTGAACGACTTGCTAAAGATGAGGTCCTCGTTGTTGCCGTCATCTTGGCCAACCATGCGGAGCGAGTTGGTAGAGTGGTTGAAGAGAAACTCGGTTGCAGTATCGATCGTCAGGCGGAAGAAGAGCTCTTGCAGATCGACAGTCGAGCCATCTTTTGGGATATGTTTGAGCATAAGCTTGAAGTGGCGCTCAAAAGCCTCGATGTCGGCGACTTGATCCCTGGCGAAGTTGGGTCGCAGTAGGTGACGGCTATTAGCCCATCGCTCGCCATCCGCATTGAAGATACCATGGCCCAAAAGAGGAGTGAAGGCGGCTGACCTATGTATAAGGCTAAAGTCCTTGAACTTCAAGCTCAATATCGCCTTGACATTTTCTGGCTCACACGTCGCGATAAAAGGCTCAGTAATAATTCTGTTGTGGAAGGTGTTGCCGAGCCTTTGGAAGCGCTTCCGGTTCTCTTGCAGCAGAATATGGTGCTTGCTGTTGTACGCCATGGCCTTGACATTGTCGATTCCGAAGATAGGGTCTTTGTGGAATTGCGCCGTGCATGGTTGGCAGCCGTTCTCTTTCTTGAAGCGTTGTCGCGCAAGATAAAGTGCAACGCGGGTGTATAGGATGTAGGAGATGGCCGCTCCCGCGACAATGAAAAGCAATGGCGATTGTGCCATCTTGTTCGTAGGTAAGATGTAGTTGATGAGAACGTGTTTGAGGAAGGATTCTAGTGATGACGTCGGAGAATAAAAATCGTGGGCAGCCACGCTTCTTTTTTAAGTGCTTCTGAAATGCTTCCGGGGTCTAGTCGTGGCAACTGCGTCCGCCTCGTGGAGTGTTTAAGTGGAGCCTCTCACAAAGGTAATTGAATCGTCAACCTCGTAGGGTGATTGCTGGGGTACACGACACAGCCGCTGTCAGCTTTGACTAGGTTCGTTCTTCACCAAGGTTCCTTCTTCGAGCCAAGTCCAGGTATCAGGCAATCCAAGTCCTTGTTTCTCTCCCCTCAATTCGTTTGCCAATGACAGCCTCTTTGCCTACGTGCCAAGGGTATCAGTCGGTCGATGGGTGTTCGGCCGAGCTCAGCAGTTGGACGTTTCCGTTGTTTTTTCCGCTTGTCGCGGTGGTTGTTCCAAGACGTCCGATGTTGGCAGTACGCGTACGTCGTTCGTCCAGTGCAGCCAGATGTCTCTGTCTCAGCGTAATGTCAAACCTTGGCAGGTTTTCAATCTATATTACCAGGCACCAGGGCAAGCCAGACTTTTATACCACACGCCTCCGATGTCCGAAGATCTAGTGGTTCCACACCCCGTCGATTTAAAACTCCCTACGGCCTATGCATCCACTTTAGCATTCAGCTCCGACACGGTGCAAAGCGGCGGCCGACTGCTGAAGTCGCACCCATTCACGGGCGGACGTGCTCGCGGAGGCTAGAGCGTAGAATTTCGGTGATGCCGTCTCTGCAGCATCCCTGCGCTGCCCCGTTACCGAGGCTGAATCACGGGGGTCGCGATTGGCCAAGTCTAATACAGTAGATCTGCAACTCGCATGTTATGCTTAATGGGGTTACTACCCGATGGTATTCCTGCACGCTCGGAGGACTCGGAAGGTACAGTGTTGGGTAGGATTCACATTGCAGTCAGCAGGAGCAAGTTGCTGATTACAGACAACGGCCGAAATCTGGAAGAAGGATATCATAGGTTCTCGGAGCAAATATTCCCGTGTAACACCGCTGATGGTAAGGTGCACAGTCAGATTACTACTTCATCTTCACGGATATGCTCAATAGAGCAAGTATACTACAACGGCGTGTACTAATGACTTGAAAAGGTTGATTGTAAGTTGATAACCACGTCATCTGTGTGCGCAGCTACTTTGGCTCACTCGTGGGTCCAAACGGCCCGCGCCATAACCTACTCGTCTTCACGTGCTATTCCCGAGGACATGATGTGGATTACTTATCCGACGAGATCCACTTCATGTGATTGATCGTTTTCTTCTCCAAGTACTCGTATATTTGCCCGTAGTCTTTGCACACATGCTTCGCATCCCACCCATCGCTTCCACCTCGATCCTCACCGTGTTCATCGCCTGGGAAACTTGTCGCAGCTCCTTCCAGTGCCACATCTCCCGCGCACATTATTGCCTGTCTGATGTATTCAAAGCAGTGATTGATGTGCCATGGCATCTTGACAGGGTCCGCCGACACTGGCGAGGCGACCATAAGTTTCATGGAATTGTACGCGCCCAATATGGTGTATAGACAGTGAAGCTGATGCGTTACGGATGTGGTGAAGACGGTATGATTAGGGTAGTCGTGTATCGGGGTGGGGAGGTTGGAGTACTCCGAGGGAGTTTCGACATTGACATAGCCCAGGCCTTCTATTCGGCGTGTCAGTTCTATACAATGGTAAAGGTCAGAAGCAAGTCAGAACGTACCTGGTACGATGTTTAACCATGCATGCTGCGTCTCATTGCTCCAAAACTGCATCGCATCTTCCGGAGCGAAAACTGGATCGGGCTTAAAGCTCACAATCTGTTGTGAGAACCTTGGGGCGAAGCCTGTAAGATCCCCTGCGAGCTCGTACTGGTGGCTTTTTGTATGTGTTTGCCATCTCTTCTCTACCAGCAATCCTACGATAACGAGGAAAAGCGCAGTGTCTAGTACCCATCTGTAGCCTTTCAGCTTCCTCCATACTGTCTTCTTCCGCCGTCTTCGCTGGACTGCTTCTTCTACCTCCCAATCGCCGATCTCTGTACTCGAATCGGAGTGGTCGTCGGTGTCGCGTAGGGAGTCGTATCGTTGGTTGCGCTTCGTTGAGTCGTCCGTCGCGAATGCCATGATAGAGACGTCGTGACTGGATTCGTGGGCTGCGAATGATGACATAGCTATACCTGTAGTTTAGTGAATGTATCTGGGCGAGTCCATAGCGACGATGGCGTGAACTCTGCATGATGTTCATTTGCCTTGACGCTCAAACGCATACTGCGACGCCAATCGTTCGATGAGACGTTACGAGCCATGGCAGCCACAGTGATCACCACCATAGCAGGCCCTAGATCATTACTACAGAGCAAAAACCTTAGCAGGAGTATCAGTTCTCTGTAGGCATTGCAATGACGGGCGCATGCAGGTACAGCACGCTGCATTGCATATCCTGATGGAAGAAGGTTGAGACGATTCGTGCTACATGCCAAGAAAAGATATTGCAATGAGTAGAGATCAATCAGATGCTCGCATTGGTGGCTGGAGATGACACAGTCAAACTTAGTTGATGCATATGTCCGGAGTGTTGGAGCGTGGATAGCTGCAATCCAGTCACGCCCGACCTCGGCAGGCCTGTGGAATGGCGATTGCGCCGATCGGCATTACCGTGCGCCGAGCCATCCATCTCAAACATCCTTCGCTCACCATCATCCCCTAAAACCAACTGACAGTGAGATTAAGATCAGCAGCACATTGCAATTGACACTACGGTCTAGCGGTTGCTAATCCTCTGTAAAGACAGTTACAAGAGCCAAATGTAACCTCATATCTAGTCTATGTACTAACCCAGTCCTATCCTTGGCCAACATCAACCGTCCAGCTGTAGACTTGCTTACTCCACTACCCGTATATGGCGTTCGTTGGCAGCCTGTTGTGGTGATTGGAGGATGGACGGTGAATTGCTCTTATTCAGCGCTTGTGCAGCATGCTCTTTCGCGGTAGGCAATGTTACTGGTGAGATGTCCTCATCAGCAAAGAGCCCTAGTGCCTCAACTAACACTTCTTTCTGACGCGAGATTGTTCTTGCTGATGATGCGGCATGGTTTCTCGCATGCATACGCTTCTTCCCCAGCGAAACAGAATCAATACGCGCAAACAGTTCAGGCGACACAGCGCCCGAGCGCACGAGACGAGAGTGTGCAATTGTCACAGAGTCGCGATGATCACGGAACTTTGTGTCTGCTTCTTCGACATTCGAAAGCTTCCGAACCCCTGCCGATGATTTCGTCTTCCGTCCCCTGATCTCAACACTGGGCACCACAAGAGATTGCTCTAGAGGCGGTGACCCCGCCTGTGGCGTGTTTTGTAAGGCGTCCTGGAGTGATATCCCCTCAGATGACACAGTCCTAGTCGAAGGCGCACTCACTGGGCGGGATGGGATGCGAGAAGGCGCACCGCTTGTCATCCGGCTGTTTGGAGGCACTGCTGCCAGGTCTTCCTCTTCGTCCACCGTGCAGTCATAGCGAGTAGCTCGTCCGTCGTCGTCAGGAAAAACCACTGCAGATGCAGAGGTACGGAATTAGCGCATATCTCGTGTGCATATTTTAAACCCATAGTTTACCTATGGTTGGCTTGAAGCTGTCTGATGGACTGTTCCACGTTCCTGACCAGCCCGCAAGCTTCGAGTTGACTCGTTCAAGACCACGTTTGGCGTTTGGGCTAGCAGTCTCTAGAGCATGACTTGCTGACGAGCTTCGTCGCCCTCTTGTCCTAATGGTATGCTCAGGTGGTACATCATCCCAAATCACTTCATAGCTGCCACTCTGTGTCTCAATAATCTGCATAGTAGGTGTTGCCGGATCAGCGCCGTCGTCAGTGGCGAGATCTTCCGCGTTCCAAGATGGAGCAATGGCGATGACATGGACATCCGTCCGCGTAATTGCTGGTTCTGCCGCAGTACTTTTCGCTGTACTTATTGTGTTCGGGCATGATGCATTCCGCTTGACGGTCTCCGTATGGTTGTCGGCAGACCTGGCACTACGCCCGATATCGTATTTCAGGGTCTCGGTTCGACTTCTTGGTGTGATGGTTACCTGGGGTGGCGGGGGAGATGACTTTGCACCAGCCTCTTGAAAGTCGACTGTTCTGACACGACGTAGAAATACCGGCTCAAGATTGACGGCATTCCCCTGATATTCGCCTGGTGGTGTTGTCGTGGTACTCTTTGCCTTTTTCTTGATGCATGGCTTCAGTGTCACATTACAGCTGTGCGCTTTTGGGTTCGCAAATGCTCGTGCTGGATCCGGCTCTGTGTCTGAGCGCATAGCAGTAGATCTGGTAGGTTCTGGCCTGAAATTCCTCATGATTTCGTCTTCAGTTGAACTCGGAAACCGAATTCGTCTGATCGGAGGTTTTGTTTGCTCAACAAGTTGCTTCTGAAGGCTCGCAGATGAGATGGCTGGATCATGATAGCGAGACTTAATTTCATGTCGAGAGTTGCTGATGGAACGCTGAGAAGCAGGGCGAGGAGTTTGTAGCTGGATACGTGTTGGGGATGGGATCTTATGTGCTGTACGGCGCTCGTCTTCCATGAAGCGTACTGTATTCAGCGCTGCAGTTGCCGTTAAGCGATCGTTACGCACTTGACTTGGTACAACCTAATATGATGATGTGCGAAGTCAACACATGCTTCACACACGCAGCACGTACACCAGAGCTTTTACCAATTCGCTGACAGATCTCTTCAACGAGTGTCTAGGAATCGTTTTTGCGAAAGGCCTCGCTGACAGTCCTGTTTCAGCATTATGGTAAACAGTTGCTGCCAGAGTAGGGTGAAATTCGGTTTGTCGGTCAGTTGGAGGAGGAGCTTCGGAGGGTGTGACTTTGTCGGGTGTGAGGTATGAGGTGAGTGTCGTGATTAGGCCATCGCCAGAGGTTCCAAGCATCGTTGTTGCGGGACACGACGGGCGGTAGTGTCAACCAAAGAAGGGGCAAGATATACCAGCGTTGGAATCGGAGGATATAAGTCAATCAGTTTTGTTGTTATAGATGAATCGAAATGTAGGGGATTCGGAAGCAAGTGTTATGAGGGCCCTAGGATGAGAATTCTCTCGCAGAACGACGTGTGTGCGGTTAAGAGGGCAAGCATGTAATGGACGAACACCAGACATGAGAAAAGAGCAACACCTCCAGGAACTAGGGTTCTTGCTCTTTCCAAGATCAGAATTGGTCGACTTTGAGAAGTCGCAGCTGAGTGCGCGTCCGTCCATTGTCTTGGCTAGCAAAAATGCAGCTTCTTGGAGAACCGGAGAAGCAAGAGAACCACACGATATAGTGCTTGCAAGAGCGCACTCACGGGCACACTCTACTGATACCGCTGTTCCACCCGCGTTGTACGATATTGATCTTTCAACGCAGGGATGCGTAAATTTGGTAGATTCCTGCTTTCCGGGGTCCTCGACAGGAAGCGCCTCCAAGCACCGGATGGCATGAGCATTTGGCTCGGTATCGTTTTCTGCTGTCAAGATTCACGTCGAGTGCCATTGCTAAACTCCAAGATATTTGACTCCAAGTGCCCATCCAAGTTGTGCTAGCTCACATGCAGTCCGCCCGATAAAGTATAACGCCGTCTAGGCATTATTACCGGCCAGCGACTCATGCGTAGTCCTCGAACAACGTGCGCGCTCACTCCCGCAAACGTCGCGTCATCATTGGGGGATCTACAGGCAACCTGAAGTCCTATGGCGCTTGTTGGTATGATTTAGTGACATCCCAGGAGATGGAGTTCTTCGTATATCCCGCCTCTTCGACGCCATTTGCCTCTTCACACGACTCTCATGAACGCCATGCCGCAACTAAGGCTATAGCCTTGTCGGTTGCAGCCAAACAGACAGCGCACGTGTAGCTCGCTCGTTGAAGATGCATGCAAGATAGCCTCGTGTGCCTGGCTGTCGGGTCGCGTCATTGCGGTATGGCCCTCCTGCTCGCAGGTATTAATACATGTTGTTGATCTGCTCAGAACTCCCCTATCCAGGCGCACGACAGTCAGTCACTTTTCATGATGCTGTTCACCGTTTCGCTCAGCCTCCTGGCGCTTCCGGTCAGTCAAGTCATTGCTGGCCCGGTCATCACTCGTGCTGATCCCACGACCGCGGCAAACTCCACCACCTGCAATGGCAAGCTATACACCTATGAAGAGCTTGCAGGCTACGGGAAACTAGCCAGCGACGCCCGTGACAAGTTCGGCGACACCATTGGTGGTATTGGAAGTGCCATTGCATTTGAGAGAAAGTCTTGGAAGTACAAGAAAGGCGCTTATCAGGGCGTCGTTTGGGGCCTGCCTGACCGAGGTTGGAACACTCAGGGTACTCAAAACACTCAGACTCGCATCCACAAATTCAGTGTCACCTTCACGCCAGTAGAAGCAACTCTCGAAAATCCAGCCAGTCCGAACTTCCAGTTTTCTTACATTGACACCCTTCTCCTCACTGGACCCGACGGTACGCCCTTAACAGGTCTTGACCCAACCGAGACCATCACTTATCCTGGGTTTCCTACCCTTCCTCTTGCTAGATGTAAGTTTTCTGATCATATTGGAGCACACAGCACTGAACGTTACAGACACTGGTAATGGCTTCGGCCAGAATGGTACTGGCGGCGCTCGTGTCCCGCTAGATACCGAAGGATTGGTGCTCGGAGATGACAAGTCTTTTTGGATCAGCGATGAATATGCCGCCTATGTCTACCAGTTTGACAAAAGTGGCAAGATGATCAAGGCCATTCGCACTCCAGAGGCCTTTGTCCCCCGTCGCAACGGCACCGAAAGCTTCAATGCGGCCTCTCCACCAATTTACGACCCTGAACTTGAGATTACGCCTGAAGACCCAGACAGTGGTCGAGGCAACAACCAAGGCCTAGAAGCTCTGACCGCTAGCCCAGATGGCAAGTACCTTTACACCATGCTCCAGAGTGCCACAATCCAGGACGGCGGCAGCTCTGCGAAAAAGCGTCGCAATACTCGCCTCCTCAAGTACCGCGTCAAAGACGACACAACCACGCTAGAGGCTGAGTATGCTGTTCAACTTCCTGTTCTTCCAACAGGACGCGTTGCTAGCCAGTCCGAAATGCACTACATTTCCGAAACGCAGTTTCTCGTGTTAGCGCGCGATTCCAATGCTGGCCATGGCGCAGAAAGCACTGAGTCCATCTACCGCAACGCGGACGTGATCGACATCTCCGAAGCCACGAACGTCGCAGGTACAGCGGCCGATGCTAATGATGGACAAATCGCAAGCAAAGATGGCGTGCTGAAGAGCAGCATCGTACCTGCTGCCTACTGTCAGTGGCTTTCCTACAACAACAATGCCCAGCTGGGCAGATTTGGTCTCCACAATGGCGGTGTACAAGACGCAAACCTGCTGAATGAGAAGTGGGAGAGCTTCGCAATGTTGCCCGTAGACAAGGACGACGAGATCGGTAGAAGCGAGAGGCAAAACGAAGATGAAGGAAAGCAGTACTACCTGGTTTCTTTTTCGGACAATGACTTCATCACTCAGAACGGCAAGTTGTTTCACTTGATCAATGAGTTTGTACTAATAAGTTGTAGGCTACATCAACTTCGGCCAGAACAAGTACGTAGATGCGTCTGGCTACAATCTAGACAATCAGGTTCTGGTGTTCAAGGTTAAGCTTCCCAAAGGAGCGAACCCATTGTAGACCCACATGATTGATCTGCGCGGCGACTGTTGTACCCACCACCAAAGCGCAAAAAATGCAAAAAATGCAAAAACATACAACAGCGGGGATTCGCTAGTGGTCACCCACCTAACTACTAATCCGCCGGTACACTGCTTGTATATGGCTGAGCGGACGGGAAGCCTAATTTTCAGTGTCCTATGGTCGTATATAGCAGTAAAAGTGGTTCAATCAACATATATCACCATCATTTCACGCCGATTGGTAATGCTGCATGATCCACATTGCGGATCCTCCCTTGCTATCTATAATCATCATAGCGCGACACTATCCCAGCGTTTTCTGCTTTCAAATAGGTCTTCAAGGGAAGTATGAAAGCTCCCAGCGTTCCAAGCAAATGCAAAAGATTTGTGTTTAGCGATTGTACATGTCTGATTTCTAATGCCCACTTGATCATCCGCTTGATTTATTCATGTCGCCACAGCGTACGGGCGCAACCTAAGATTTAGCTGTCGGCTTTCAAATTCACCCACACGCCCAGAGTATGATTCAAGTGAACGTGTTATTCGGTGTAACCCACATGATTGATCTGTGCCGAGAATGGCGCAGCCGTCGCCCAAACGCAGAAAGAATTCAAAGTAGACGAATGATAACATACGACAGCGGGGATCTGTCATTGGTCACCGACCTCATTGCTAATCCGCCGGTACACTGCTTGCCCTGGTTCGAAGAATCTGGTAACATGACTTGACAGTGATTCTGGTGAGGCTAGCGAGCGTATCCGTGCGCCTGAAACATAACCCACTGATAGCTCTTCGCATATTTTTATACTACATGATACCGTCCATATGACTCGGCTTACCCAGCTTCTCTACTATCAAACCGAGTCCTGCAAGCCTTCCAGCATCTATGACGTCTCGCCCATCTACCACGACTCTCTTCTTTCCTTCCATGTTGGCGCTTATACGATTCCAGTCCAAGTCAGTATATTCCTTGGAATCGTTTAATATCGCAATAGTTTCGGCTCCTTGACACGCCTCATAGGGTGTACGGCAGATCTGAACTTCATGCGCGGGTGGAAGGAGACTCCGAATCGCGTCCGCAGAAACAAGGGGATCGTGTAAAGCAACATTCGCGCCTTGGCTGAGCAAAGCTAATATTACGTCTTTAGCGATACTGTTCCTGGGATCATTTGTGTCTTTCTTGAACGCAAAACCGAGGATAGCAACATCTCGTGACGGCGATTCGGATGCGTACTGGCATACTCTCTTGGTAAAGCGCTGGACTTGGAAATCATTAATAACAACCACTTGGCGCCAATAGTCTGCCACTTCTGGCATGGAAATATCTGTGGCAATTCCTGATAGACCTAAGGTGTCTTTGCGGAGGCAACTCCCGCCAAATCCAACACCAGCTTGGAGGAAACGTGGCCCGATATTTGGATTCATGCCAAGACTGTGTGATATGTCTTTGATGTTTGCTCCCAAACGTTCACAAAGAACAGTCAAAGAATTGATACTACTAATCCTCTGGGCTTCAAAAGCGTTGTTCGCGATCTTGACAAGCTCCGATGAAGACGTAGACATTAGGCGAATTCGTTCATCCGGAATCCAGGAGTCATAGAGCCTTACCAAGGAGAGCGTATTTGGATCCGATCGAGGTGTCGAAGATGGACTACCGATCACAACACTGTATGGATCAAGTAGATCAGCTACAGCAGAACCGGCGCTCAGGAACTCAGGATTCGAAAGTATCGTGAATGATTTGTTCGGTTCCGCTTTCGATTGAACCTGCAAAAGCTATAAACACACTACTAATGAAGGAATATGGAGGACTACCATACCATCTGGGAAATTCTTAGTGCGTTGCCACAAGGAACTGTGCTCTTCTCAACAATGATTGTGCTACCCATAGAAGCGTCTATGACCAGCTCCAGCACAGCATCAAAATAGGAGAGATCCCATTCGTGCTCCATTGGGCTCATCTGGAGGTATCGTGTAAGTACTCTGCAACCTGATTATGACTATGATGTGAGAGTGGTGTTCACCTTTGAAGGTGTATTGACGGTGATGAAGAGCATATCCGCTGTACGAATTGCCTCGCGAATATCCGTGCTAAAGCGGAGGTTCGGCTTTGAATGCATACTAACGCATACTTCTTGATTCCGAACATTAGATTGGTTACGCTGGGGATTGAACTTGTCGTGTGTTGGCTGTCCGTCGACACAGTTGTTCGACTCTGGAGAAACAATTTTCGAGCCAACACAGGCCGCGTGCCAATGCGATACACTCTGCACTATCTCAAGAAGGCCTGGTTCCTGCACAGGCAGCTCCATGGAGTTCCATGCAGCGATCCTCCCCCGATCATTGTCCACAACTGTGAATTGGGTTGAAGGATTCTTGAGGGCTAGAACCGCAGCAGTCGTCGCCCCTAAGGTTTTGATCAGCTCACGTATAGTAAAACCTGGTCTCCAGAAGGCAGTGCAGTATATAATGAGACTCTTGGTCGTGGACTTGCGATCGTTGACTTACCGACAAAGCCTGCACCAATAAAACACACGTTGTACGGATTATCTTCTATGTCACTCGTCATCTCAACCTTGACTCGAAATAGTGTAGTGTTCTTGCCTAAGTACTCAGGCGGGATCAAATTCGTATTTCGCAATGTGGCATGAGAAAAACATATGTACCTTTATCCACGCTATCCTTTAAAGGCGCACATAGGAATGAGCGTATGCTTTAGGACTGGACAGAATATCGTGCGAATTACAGCTCGTTTACAAGCGCCGGATGAGCCAGTTTGGAATATCAATACACCATCGCTTAGGTGTCTCCTGCTGTGCATAACCGCAGATCTCCGAATCAGGCTTAGCCACTCCCTTCTGACCGCCAAGGACAAAATCGTCTGGAACAGGAAGACAGGGCTAAATTGTTGTTGTAAATCGAACGACAGGTCTATCCATTGATTTGATCGACGTGCTGGTGATAAGACGCAGGCACAACGCTGTTAAGTTACACTGTATTGTATCGCAGAGAAGTGTGTTCCCAAACACTTGGTTTCACTATAGGCAGCTGTTCTATACTCATTTGGAACATTTAGTGGTTGAAATCGAAGCCATGAGTCTCACGCAGTTCTGGACAGCCACCGTGGAGCTCGACGTTGTACATCCATCCATACGACGAAAAGTACCTAGGTATATGAGAATCGCGTTCTTATGACGAAGCAAACGTCTGAGGCGGCCTCATAGTTGTATGATCTTGGACTGCAGCTTTTGTAGTTCACAATGAACTACATTTAGTCCAAAAGTCTAGTTCAATGAACAAACAAGCTTTATGTATCGTAGTCAGGCACTCCCAACTGCTGTAGAATATGTGCAGGCCCCTTGTCTATCCAGACCTGGAAGGATGACTTATCAGGTATTGTAGGCATTCCCATCATCCCCGCGGCATTGGCACTCACGTTTTCGTAGCTGCCTCGTCGCCTCGGAATCATGACCAACCATTCTTTGACAAGGACTACGTTGTGTGGACACAAGCTCTTATTGTCGTTCTCGTGGAGTCCGTGTACTGTCCTACACTGTCGGAGCAGCTCAGTGTATTTGCTGAATATGGTTTCAGCACCCTCGATACCAACATGGTCGATCTGGTGGAGGAAATACATAAAAGGCGCACGATTTTGGGAGTCTTTGACGTCGGGAAAGAACCGGAACGATCTTGAGTTGTCGATGTTCGCCAGCCCCGGCCTTTTTAAGACCTGCATATGCTTGTGGTATCTGCTGCACCCTGCGTCTTTCGTGCAGTTGTACATGACAAAGTGAGGGTCGGGAGTAGAGTGGAGGAACTTCCATGACGCTGCGAAATCCTGCAAATCCATCGGTTCATCCTGCGATCTGTAAGAATCGAGTCTGAGAAGCAGGTATTGAGGCCTAAACACAGGGTAGGCATTAAGAGCAAGTATGTGAGTGCTGTTGATGGAGTCGATCACTTGGTCGGGATGGTCTTTATGGATATCGCTTCCTGGTCCAAATTTTTCATGCTTTGAATCAGCCTGTGAGGCTACAACTGCCGCGTCCACTGTCATAGGCTTCTGAGACCAGCTCGGGCATATGCGGAATTCGAACTGAGATGCTTGTTAGGGAAATTCCGAACGTCACTCTCTGTCGCATTACCGAAAAGTCCTTGTCAACCAAGCGAATAGCTTCGGAAGATCCATAACGTATCGCTCCGAGCGCCACCAGTCTATTGAAATCCTTGAGTACAGCTTGCTCATCAAGCTTGAATGCCATATTTGTGGTCTCTGAAGGCAGGGAGACCTACGACATGTGAGAGTTGATGGATTAGGTGCCATGTAGAGAAAGCGTGGCGCTCCGATGATAAGAGGTTTCCTCTCAGCAAACAAAAGCTGCTGTGATGGTCCTAGTGCTACCATGAAAATCATGGACATCGTTCACCGGAGAGGGGTAGAGTGCATAAGCGAATATTGTGACGAATGAACGCCAGCACAAACAGACCGATCAATGCAGGTATGCGGCCATTATGCAGTTGAGCACCGTGACATGGCCAGATCATGTAGTTGATTTGAGTTGGCGATCTGTCATCGTCGCAGGAAGAGTAATGTTTTGTACTTCAGTAATCGCTATCCGTGACATCGTTAAGCGACGTGAGGGCCAGTTGTCTGAGTTGGTGGTGGCGAAGCTTGAGGTGTTCGTCCAATGAGCCTTATACAATAGACTCTTCGTATAATGGGAACTTTAGAAATACCAGGCGGTATCGTGCATCCTCCTAAGTTGTTCTATCATCATGCTCATCGCTATATTGTTACCAAATTCGAATCCACTCCACCTGTGCGTCGCAACATGGATATTTATCAAACAGCTCCGATGTCAAATGCGAAAGTTGCTACCCGTTTCATTAATCTTGTATTACAGAAAGAGGACTATAAGCCCGATAGCCCAAACAACAGCACATTGTGTATGACACTCGATACATGTGTGTTGCAAGATGCTCCTAAATATGAGGCCCTCTCATATGTATGGGGAAAGGAAGAGAAGCAAACCAGTCTGAATATCAACGGAAACCCATTTTTGGTGCAATCAAATCTTCATGCAGCCCTGCGACGCCTAAGCTGCAGATCCAATAACGCCCAGGAATCGACGAGACGGCTTTGGATCGACGCAATATGTATCAACCAGAACGACAACGCAGAAAAGTCACTGCAGGTGATGCAAATGAGTAAAATTTACGCCGGGGCCAGCAACGTCCTTATATGGCTGGGGGAAGCCGATGCATCAAGTCATCTCGCATTCGACACACTTTGTCAATTTGCAAACGACAACGCCAGAGATGTGCGCAAAACTTGCGACAATCTCGCAAGTAGCGCATCGAACAGGCGCACTGCTCTCCAAGAATTCTTTCAGAGGCCTTACTTCAAGCGCGCTTGGATAATTCAAGAGGTGGTTGCCGCGAAGCAGGCCACGGTCATCTGCGGTGGGCAATCTATAAGCTTCGACAAGATGTTCAACGCCCTCGAAATGATCACAGGCTCCGGGTTCTTTCCTTATTCACCAGCAACCGCTGCCGTGACCGATCTGGGTTTGTGGAGGGAGGAGTATCTGAGAGAAGATTCTCGCGAACGCGACGAATGGCTTGATCTGCATTTTCTCCTCATGTACACTCGGAACAAGAGTTGCATGAACCCCCGAGACTCTGTTTACTCGATACGAGGACTTGCAAGCGACTCGCTATCTAAGGGGATAGTGGTAGATTATGATCAACCGACAGAACAGGTCTTCATCGAGTGTGCGAAGAACTCGCTGAGGAAGAGACCAAACGATCTGCGCATCCTGTCGACAGTTGAGCTTAGACATCGAGATACATCTTCTCTCAGACTTCCGTCCTGGGTCCCTGACTGGACTCAGCCAAATTGCGATACAGGAGTACTGCAAAGATACAGCCGTTTCTCTCCAGACAAGTATTTTCGTTCTGCCGCGCACACTAAGCCTCGAATAGTTATTTCAGAGGACTCCGACAAGATCTCCTTACAAGGAAGACTTATAGACCATGTGACGATGGTAATCCCTATCAAGTCTCTATTAGAGAGGGGAGAAGGAAATAAACATACTGTAACAAAGGCAACCATAACACAAATAGTAGATACCTTGGATGTACAGGAGACGTATCCCTATACAGGAGAAAGTTACTGCAAAGCCTTCCTGCGAACCATAACTGCAGATCGAACAGTCCTATCGCCTAGAGTTTCGAATGATTACAGGATGAAGTTTTTCAGTAGCTCCTCGGAGTGGAAAATCGCATACGATGAGCAGAGCTGTGATCTGCCTGATCTTGTTTGGGAAGAGATATCGAATACTATATGGTCCATCATTGAGGATAAGATGATGTTTATCACAGCTAAAGGTTATCTGGGGATGGGCCGGGAAGTCATGGAGATTGGCGACTGGCTGTGTGTATTCCTGGGTGCTGAAACGCCGTTTCTCTTGAGAGAGGCATCTTATCAACACGAATTCAATTTTCTTGGGGAATGTTATGTACATGGCATCATGGATGGAGAGGTTATGTCTACTGTAGATGAGCATGCGACTGAAGCCTTTACTCTTGTCTGAACGAGGTTTCGTAGTTAACCTAAATAGCAGTTGTTTGAATGAAGTGCTGCATGGGCGCTGAACTATCGAACTCAAATAAACCAGACAATCACTCTCCCCGTAAATGCTTATATATGAGTCTAGGTACTCTATCAAGGCGGAGGCTACCTATACTCAGCCTAAAATATCAGGCCGATATTCATCTCCGCAACTTACGCATGTCTGAGACTTCTTTTACAGTATATAAGACTACTATAAATTGACTATGTTGTTATATACATTGTTGTAGAATAATTTGTCTTTACACAAGTACCGAATATCTCACTTAATCGCTACATAATCTCGTGGATGTCTTTTAACACAAGACTCACCTGCCTTAGTGCGGACCAGGATTAGACGACTATGACCCAAATCCGTGTAACATATAATCAAGAGCAGAATACTTGTCTGAATCTCCATAGTAAGACCATATCGAGAACATACTCATTACAAAATAGCCAAAGGAATGCTTTTCAACGCCCATGTCTCTCAATACTAGAGCCGCCAACTATGCCCTCACTCACTCTCCGAGGCAGAGCTTTCTTCTTCCGTAGATGAAATCTCGAAGGAATCCCGTGGGTCTTGTTCGCTTGACGTGTCCCCAGTTTCCTGATCGACAGCGACACCATAGGTCTCTTCCTCGCTCAGGTCGTTCGCGCTTCGCTTCTTCGGAACGAGAGCTATGGTACAGCCACCTCGAGAGTTGCGACGACATTTGGCTCTCTTTCTATCGACTTCACTTGTGTTGACAGAATCCTTTCTTGGAGCACTGCTTGAAGTACTCGGCTTTCTCAATGCCTCTGGGCCTTCACACCCATCTTGCTCGTCCTGTTGCTTCATCTTCCTCTCCTGTTTCTTGTCCAGCTCACTGTCGACTCTCTCTACAGCAAGCCGCAAAGCCTCTTCTGCATCGTAGCCGTCGTCAACAAGACTAAAGTATACCCTATTGCACATCTGATTGTGAGTGACCAATCCTCTCTTCGTAGCGGTAGATTTGCTCAGCTTGTACGGCTTACGAGGCTTATATTTCGATAAGCCAGGTGCTTCTTGTCGGACAATGACCCCCGATGGGAGATAAAAATCCATTTTTTTATGCTTGCCAGGGCTTCTCTGACTGGATCCACAGCCTGGGCAAGTCTTCTTGTCACCCGCTAGGTAATAACGCCCAAGACCGTGGTTAACATCACATCGCCAGGCATGCTCTTCGTCTGTCTTTCGCTTCTCCCAGTAGTAACCATCAGGAATGTCTTGCCCATGCTCCATCGTGGTCGAACCGCTTGTATGGGGACCAGGATCGGGCTCTGGGTCTGTGGTCGGTTCGGGTGTGGGTGCTTTTGGAGGCGGCTTCGGTTTGATGTATTCCACTACTGCGTCAATACCTATTTGTTGAGCTTCTTCTTCCAACGCGCCGGAATTTATAGCTTTCCAGTAAGCGTCTTTCGCAACCGCATCATGGCAAGAGAATCCCCATTTACGAGATTGGCTTAATCGTTTGGAAGGTTTCCAGCGCATACCTTGCGCGGGTTGGAAGTAAAAGGTCCTCGGCGGCATGTAAAAGTCCATCAAGACAACACGAACATTATCACTAAGAGCGGTGTTACAGCCCCTACAGGATTTGCGGTCTCCAGCGTTGTAGTAGTGACCCATTGCGTGCTTGACGGCACAACGCCAGACAAATTTCTCATCTCTGGAGATTGGCTCGAAATAAGCGTTGGGGGGAAGATGCTGATGCGATTCCAGAGTTCTCGATTTCTGAAGACTAGGATATGGCGCCTGGCCAGTGGATGAGGTCTCATCGTTCGAGTAAATTGCGGACTCTCTACAAGATTTGAAGGCAGTCTTCCAATTCTCTGTAGAGGACATGGCTGGAACATGCTCTACCGCAGCTATATTCCTCCTCTTCTTTGGTCGTGCTAAGGGCGCCGTTCTCTGTAGCTCAGTGGAGGCTAGTTGGTCTGGCATGGACTCTGATAGAGCCGCTGTTGAGCCTGTAAGACGAGTACGTGACACATGCAACTCTGGTGCGGCTTCCTCACTGTATACTGAACCATCCTTGTTCCGGGACTGATCGGAGCGTCTGGCATACTTCTGGTGTTGTTTCCTTGTTGTGATAGCCTCGATTCTCTTCAGGTGGTCATGTGCGATAGGGTGGATGCCTATAGAGATAGCCGCAGTAACGGCTTGCTTGAAGTTTCGAACTGCACAACCGATAGCCTGTGGTGGGTTGCCCCATTTCCGCGTCAGCCTCCGCTTGTGGTCGTTAACCAGTCTCATCCGCCATGGATTTACATTCTCCGTGTACTCAATACTCTGCATGGCATTATCACTGTTCGAAGTCTCCACATCACAATGGCCGAATGGAATTTCGAGGTGGGTAGGAGATGAGCACGATAGCCTGTCATGCGCATATGCTGGAGAGACGGAAGTTCCAGACTCTTGGCGAGCACCATCTAAGTCTGCTTGGTGGATAATACTGACTGGAGTGTCTGCGATGGGCTGCGATACGCGGGAACCAGACATTGAATCTAACGGCGAAAATGGGAGCCAACTACTACAAGGCGAGTTGGTTCGATCTTCCCGGATCGCTGCTCCAGGCATATTCTTGCCTTTGCGCTTCCCGGATGTCGACAACCTGACGGCGCGTCCAGTGGGCAAGACGCCACTGATGTTTATTCTGCGTAACACTGTATTACTGAAATCGCCAAGCTCGTACTCCTTGGTTGAGTACTGAACCATGAGAGGACTTGGAGTTGTACGATGCCAAGATGCGTCCATTCTTTTTCCCACAGGAAAGAGATTGCTGGGACCGTAATCTGAAAAGGGTTTCGCGTCGAATGAGTCTATATCGAGAAATGGGGCGCCATCCTTGCCGTCTTTTGCGAGCAGATGGACCATACGACAGTGGGCATTCCAGATCATCCTTCTCGTGATGCTATCGACCTCATGAATTACCGATTCCATATATCCCACAACAGTTGGGCTACTACCAGTTGGATCTTCAGAACATTGGGCTATGCGATCGTGATGCAAGGCATGTGATATGAAGGTGTTCAAAAAGGTGGCCTCGTAAGCTTTCTGGCTAGCTTGGTAGAGTGCATATTTCACGTAATCTTCCTTAGAAGGTAGACGCTGGTTGAGATGAACACTTATGCCGGCTCGCTGAACACGCGAAGGGTCCTGGGCCGTGCTGTTTCCATCCGCGGAAACTATAGAGTGTAAATAAGCGGCTTTCGACGGGGCCTGGCTTCTTACCTGATTCGGGTGGAAGACTGCAGGATGTCCGGTGTTGACCATGTACCTCTGATACAAGTAGATAGTCTTGATCGTTCTGTATTTCCGCAGATGGGCTGGATTGAGTCGGACGAGCAAAGGTATCGATACCCTTCTGAGGTGGATCATCGAAAGAACCATCACTCCAATCGATCTCGTCCTCATCAGCGTATGTCATCACGTTAGAGAACCTGCTTGGAGCCAGAAATGATACAGACTAGAGTTATGTCGGGATAGAAGAATGGTGTGTAAAGGAGTGGAAGATCACGTTGGAATGCTCTTTTCACATAGTCCATGCACGCGATTCGTATATATGCAAACGACAGAGGTCGTTCGAGAGTGCGAGCTCGGCCATTCTGGTGCATGATCTTGATTTCCGAGACTCAAAACGAAGCAATGAGACTGCGTGCACAGCGTTTGCTTGAAGCGCAGACATGGGCGGCCGCCCAAAAGCCACATCTATTGCCCGATACATGACCGATATTGGATAGAAGATGGCCTAAATTTGATTGAATGCCATTACTGAGCGTAGCTTCTGTATTGAGACAGGAGCATGAGGCTGTTGTTTGTTTGATGCCCAGAAGTGTCGGTATGTCCAGGGTATGCAACAAACGCTCTCTTGTAAGCGTAGGCGTTCCTTGCTATTTGAATAAAAGAGAAGACGGCGACAAAGATACTATCTGCTTGGAGGGGTGATAGAAGAAGATGTCATTAGTCGCTCAGGATGGCATCACGCGCCGTTGTGGAGAGTTGACATTGCGGAGGCGGAGGTGAGGGCTGGAGATAGCTCAGGCGGTTGCGCACGGGCCACTGGACCCTGAAACTATGTCGATGTGGCATTTCGAGCATGTTGGAGTCTCCAGCTCCAATTGCTCTCTCCATATTCAAAATGGGAAGGAAGCACGTGTCTTCGCTAGCATTTATACTCCCCCTCTTAGCCAGCACCGCAGATGCGGCGTCAGACCCCGCCCGGCCGCGGGGTGTTGGTCCGGAGTGTATGTTGCACCCGTTACAGCTCGTGGAGAGCTTCCAGACGCACGACTGAGCACAGCTGACAGCCAGTGTCTAGTTGCAAAGTACTACAAGGATGCCGAGACATTCACTTGTATCTCGAATCCGGCCATCAAGCTTCCCATTGCACGCTTGAACGACGACTACTGCGACTGCCCCGATGGCTCTGACGAGCCAGGCACATCGGCATGCTCCTACCTCTCGCCCCTCTCCCCACCGCAGCCCTTGGGCTTCCAAGGCAAAGACGTCAATTCCACGCCGGCTCTGCCTGGCTTTTACTGCAAGAACAAAGGCCACCAGCCGAGCTACATTCCCTTTACCAACGTGAACGACGGCGCATGCGACTACGAACTATGCTGTGACGGCAGCGACGAATATGAGCGTGTAGGAGGTGTCAAGTGTGAAGACAAATGTGCGACCATCGGTAAAGAATGGAGGAAGGCGGACGAGGCGAGACAAAAGAGCCTGACTTCTGCAAGACAGAAACGGAAGGAGCTGGTGGCTGAGGCTGGTCGTATGCGCAAGGAGGTCGAGGACCGCATACAGACGCTCAAGACACAGATCGAAGGCGCGACACTCAAGGTAGATGGCCTGACAAAGAGCCTCGCCGAGATTGAGAGGGCGGAGCGAGGCAAGGTCGTCAAAGGCGCAGGAAAGGGCGGCAAAGTCACTGTGCTGGCCAGTTTGGCCAAAGAGAGGATCCAAGAGCTCACTGAGAACGTCAACCGTGTGCGAGACGAGAGGAACGCAGCACAAGCCAGGATCGAGGAGCTCGAGGGCATGTTGAAGCGCTTCAAAGAGGAGTACAACCCCAACTTCAACGACGAGGGTGTAAAGCGTGCCGTGCAGGCCTGGGAGAACTACGCAGCACAAGAGCGTACAGGTCCCAACACCGCTCTGGATCGCGATCTCGATGAGATTCTGAAGCCAGACTCTGAGAGCGCTATCAAGTGGGAAGAGTTCGAGACAGTTGAAGAGTCTGATGTAGAGCTTCGTAAGTACATATTCGCTCACTCACCCTATAAATTCACTGACCATGGACGCAGTCTACAAATTCGAAGAATACCTCCCCGACTCTATCCGTAGCTGGGTGGACAGCAAGCTTCGCGACTTGCGCGTCATGCTCATCGAGAACGGTATCCTTGCAGACTCTACGACTGGCGACGCACCTGAATCCAAGGCCGTTACCGACGCCAAGTCGCAGCTAGACTCTGCGAAGAAGGAACTCGAGGGAGACAAGTCGGAACTTTCAAAGCACGAGGAAGATCTCACCAAAGACTACGGCCCAGACTCTATCTTCCGCGCCCTGAGAGACCGGTGCACATCCACCGACTCCGGCGAATACACATACGAGCACTGCTTCCTTTCAAAGACCACTCAGAAGCCTAAGAAGGGTGGCGGTCACACTGGCATGGGTAACTTTGCACGCATTGAATCCATCACCGTCGATGAAGAGCTTCCTGCCGACGGAAGGGGCCTGGGCAGCGGTGAAAGGATCGCGCTCAAGTACGAGAACGGCCAGCATTGCTGGAACGGACCGAACAGAAGCACCATGGTCATCTTGGCCTGTGCGGAGAAGGATGAGATCTGGAAGATCGTCGAAGAGGAGAAGTGTGTATACCGAATGGAAGTAGGTACGCCTGCCGTTTGTGGTGTCGACGTACAGAAGGCTGCGCCGGCGCACAACGAGCTGTGAAGAGATGAATCGACGTTGAAATGAATTAGGCAGGTGAGCATTTTCATGTTCTGGAACATGCATTGCTGTCTTGCGACCCATACGATTAGCACGTAGAGCGCTTTTGTAGTAGATAAGAACTCAATCACCACCAATCAGCGCCCAGTTACACAGTTCCTAGTTTCCCCGCTTTCGACGTCTCTTCATCCAGCCGGATATACCATCCCTACCAGGCCATTCCCGTGAGGAGCTTACCCAGCGCGATGTCAAATACATGCGGCTTTACATCAGCTCGCATTAGTCTCATGACCCGCAAGCTGATCGACAATAATCCGAGGCACGTATTCAATGATCCCAAACGTGGCCTTGCGAAAGCACAACTGGATATTGAGGTACCCTGAGCGTGACTTGATCAAGACAAAATGTCGCCCGGAGACGGATTGACCAAGACTGCTTTCAGAAACCATGAGACTTTTCCGATAGCAATTGTCGGTGGCGGTCTTGGTGGCCTTGCCCTTGCAATCGGTCTGCTCAGACATGGTGTCAAGGTACACATCTACGAAGCTTCCGCAGCCTTCTCAGAGATAGGCGCTGGTGTCACATTCGGCGCCAACGCCACGACTGCGTTACACTTGATCGACCCTCGATTGCTGGAAGGCTTCATGAAACATGCAACTTTCAATACAGATCCTGAGCGGGATGATACTTTCAACACGATTAGATGGGGTATGGATGAGAGACGAACCCATGGATCTAAGGCTGGAGACCTCGCGTTCCATCAGAACGACTCATATCAGCCACAGGGTGCGCTAGCCGGACTTCGAATGCGAGGCGTAAGTGTCCTTGTACGAACTGCATGTGGAACACGTGCTGACTTTGTACACTCATATATAGCGTATACACCGAGCGCGATTGCTCGACGAGATGGTTGCACTACTTCCTACGGACATAACAAGCTTCAGCAAGAGCTTCGAAACCGTCGAAGAAGTGGGTGATGGAGTCCTCAAGCTAACATTTACCGACGGGACGACTTCACTAGCTAGCGCAGTCATTGGCTGTGACGGCATTAAAAGTAGAGTACGGGGCTTTGTATGTGGTCCAGACATCCAGCCGGAATATGCCCACGAAGTAGCGATGAGAGCGATGATCCCAGGAGAGGAAGCCAAGAGGGCACTTGGAGAAGAGATGGCTATGAACAGCCAGCTGTACTGTGGCTACGGAGGATACATCGTAACATATCCTGTCGAGCATGGTCAATTTGTCAACATGGTCGCCATGCCGCACGACCAATCCTTCACCAGTACTTGGGGTCAGGACGATTGGACAGTATCGACAAATGGGGACGAGGTTCGCGAAAAGTTTAAAGACTATTATCCGCCGCTCATCGATCTCATTGCCAAATACCATCTGCCCTCGAAATGGGCACTCTTCACCCTCCAACACAATGCATCATACTTCAAGAACCGTAAGTGTCTCCTGGGTGATAGTGCACACGCGACGACACCTCACATGGGAGCTGGGGCTGGCATGGCTATGGAAGATGCATATATACTTAGCCACCTGATCGTTACTGCTGGAAGCATCGACAACATCGAGGCTGCATTCAAGGCCTACGACGCTGTAAGACGGCCAAGGACGCAGGAGCTGATTCAACGGAGCATGGACGCTGCTCTAGCATACGATCTCATGATTGAAGGAGTAAAGGATGATATGAGCAAGATTGAAGATAGGATCAACGAGAGCTTTCAATGGCTCTGGCATGCTGATTTGGAAGCGCAGTTGAACAGTGCGACAATGCTCTTGAAGGAGTGACGTCGGGTTTCAAAGTCCACGAGTTGCTAAGATTCGGTTGAGTAATTGACAATGTGCTCTTCTATGGCTTCCAAGGTCTTCTCATCTTGTCCCTCACGTATCTATCTCTTCATCCGACTTTGGTTGATGTTCGGTAGAGCTTCGGCTTTCGCTGTTCCACAGTACTATTCTGACAAATGTAGATTACGTCATAAGCTTCGGCGTTACCGCCACTGCCGACAGCATTTCTCATGCCCTGCCAAGCTCAGGTACCATCTCGCTTTCAGCGGCTACGTATCTTGATTCAGGCGTTCCTTACCGTCTATAGCTAACGGAGCCTTAGGACCATGCACATCAGGGTCTACACCGGTGTAGAATACAGCGGAAAGTTCTATGGGGTTAGTTTACCGCGCAGTTGCCGAGATCGACCGAACGATGATTTCAAACCATCGACAGGATGTTTTTTTTAGTATGAGGCGTATATAGGTATATTGATGCCTCTTCGTCCTCAGTACTCAACAATCTCAACTGGTATTCCTATTGTCCAATTTTTTCTCACATGTCCGCCGAATTGTCAAACCTTCCCAAATCAAACACACACAACACCAAGATGTCCGCTGAACGCCTTTTCCAGCCACTCAAGGTGGGCTCTATGGAGCTCAAGAACCGCATTGCTATGGCGCCTCTAACACGTTTCCGTGTTAACGACAACCACGAAATCCTGCCCATGGCCGCACAGTACTATGGTCAGCGTGCTGTCGTGCCAGGAACTCTTCTCATCACAGAAGCTACACTAGTTTCGAAACAATCTGGTGGATACCCCAATGTACCCGGTATCTACACACAAGCCCAGATCGACGCATGGAAACCGGTCACCAAGGCTGTGCATGACAAGGGCTCGTACATCTACCTCCAGCTTTGGGCCCTAGGTCGTGTAGCGAACAAGGATTTTGCACAAGCAAACGACATCACCATCAAGTCTTCCAGCGCGACATCCCTAGGCGAGGGCTACGCTACTCCCAAGGAGATGACCGTCGAGGAGATCAAGCAGAGTGTCTCTGACTACGCTCAAGCAGCTAAGAACGCCATTGAAGCTGGCTTCGACGGTGTAGAGATTCACGCCGCGAACGGCTACCTCATCGATCAGTTCCTGCAGGATACTTGCAACAAGCGCACAGATTCCTACGGCGGCTCTGTTGAGAACCGCTCCAGGTTCGCCGTCGAGGTTACTCAAGCTGTTTCGGAAGCCGTTGGCGCGGACAAGACCGGTATCCGGTTGAGTCCTTTCTCAGAGTTCCAGGGCATGAAGATGAAGGACCCTCTTCCCCAGTTTACAGACATCATGAAGAGACTGGACGCGTTCAACCTGGCCTACCTTCACCTTGTTGAGGCCCGCGTGGCTGGTAACGCCGATGTTGAGGGATCCGACTCTCTTGACCCCCTGCTGCCCCATTACTCGGGCAAGCTACTCATCGCTGGTGGACTCAAGGCTGAGGACGCGAAGAAGCTGGTCGAGGAGCACAAGGACCGTGACGTTGTAGCGGTATTTGGACGATACTTCATCAGCACCCCCGATCTTGTTTTCCGGATAGAGAAGGGCATTGAACTCAACCCTTACGACCGCGACACCTTCTACATCCCCAAGAGTGAGAAGGGATACGTTGATTACCCTTACAGCAAGGAGTTCAAGGAGGCGCACCCAAACTTGTAGAGGCCATGTTGAGAGATACCCAATAGAATTTACGCCCATGTTAGCATAATAGACGAACATTGAAATATATTATCATAAAAACATGTGCGTTGCTGAGTGTTTGCTTGTATGTCATTGATCGACATGTTTCTGATGTTGACATACGATGCTGGCAGAAACACAGTCAAGTGTTGTTGCACGGTAAACAAGAACGGCAACTCCACAATAAAACAAAACAAGTGACGTGGACGTGAAAGAAGCTACTGCTGCACGCAACTAGCATCGGAGCGAACCTCGGTAGTAGGTTAATTTATTTGGCGGGACTTCATCCGGGGTAAACATCCGAGATCCCTGATCCCCTACAGCAAGTCCACACGAGTTCCCCTGATATCTAACCTCAGTAGGCACGAAAGCCTCGAAAACTCGTCCAGAAACGCAGATGATCCGTTTCACTTGCTTATGATTGGATCGAGAAAGTGTTTGAAACAAGCAACTACCTTTATATATGGACTTGCGCATGGCCGTGCCTCCCAGATTCGGAAAGTTGGTAAATTGACACTATGCCAGCGTTCAAGCACGGCTAGTATCCACGGGGAATAACCTCACAATGTTTCGCGCTAGTGAATATCTCCATACGAGCATAGCAGGTCTATAAGAAGGATGTGACTCGCAGGAGACTCATTCCTTACGAACTCGCACGGCAATCAAGATGCACTTCTCCACCTCTGTACTCGGCAGCATTGTTGCTTTCTGCGCAACTGCCAATGCCGCCCTTACTCGTGTCAATGACTTTGGAGCCAACCCTTCCAACCTCCAAATGAACATCTATGTTCCTGCCAAACTTGCGACCAAGCCCGCTATCATTCTGGCCGTACGTGCTTTTATACCTTTCCAGGATTTACCTAACAAGGCTTGCGCTAACCTATCGATAGCTGCACTACTGCGGCGGTACTGGAGAAGCTTACGCTCAATCCACAAAATACAACAGCCTAGCTGAGCAGAAAGGTTTCATCAACATCTTCCCGTCCACCAAGAAGGACAACAACTGTTGGGAAGTCAACACCGCCAAGGGCCTCTCTCGCGATGCCGGCGGTGACAACCAAGGCCTGAACAACATGATCCAGTACACCATCAAGAAGTACGGTGCCGACCCGGCCAAGGTCTTTGTCACTGGAAGCAGCTCCGGATGTATGATGACCAACGTCATGATGGCGACCTACCCCGATGTCATCGCTGCAGGATCATGCTATTCTGGTGTCGCAGCAGGCTGTGTAGCAGGCAGCCCCGGCGCCAGCCCAAGCACTGCAGACCCGCGATGCGCAAACGGCCAAGTTATCAAGACGCAAGCGGAATGGGTGGCGCAAGTCAAGGCCATGTACCCAGGCTACACTGGCACCTACCCTCGCATGGCGACATGGCACGGTACTGCTGATACCCTGGTCAAGATTCCAAACTTGGGCGAGCAACTTAAGGAGTGGAGCGGACTGTTGGGTGTTTCGTTCACAAAGAACGTGACGAACACCCCGCAGAGCGGATATACACAAATGGTGTATGGAGATGGAACCAAACTTGTAGGATACAGCGCGTTGAACGTGGGACACACTGTGCCAGTACACGAAGCGGAGGACATGAAATGGTTTGGACTCTGAGTGAAGGATGTCGAGAACATGACGGAATATGTTCGCCTGATTCGTTTGTATATACTTTCCAATCCTGTTACGAAGACCGAAGATCGGTAGGGCCTCTCGTTACCAATGAAAACCAAGCACCAACACCTGCGTTAGCAAGGTCAAGTCGGTATCATTTCTGCCGTGCATGTGTTGGTGTAATCATGAGCATCATGTCTCGTGGTCTTATCAGTCGATTTCAAATCCTACTCGAGGTGTCAACCCACAAGTATAAATCGATTATTAATTCTTTGGCAGCGACTACTTTGCCATGTCGTGGAAGATAGGCCCCATGTTCTCCTGCCAAGTATCCACAATCTTATTTGCAGGGCCGGCGGCAATCATCTCGTCTCCCTTCTTCCACTTCCCTAACGTTTCTTCGATGAACTCTTCCACGCTCAAGGCAGCTTTGTTCTTCTCTTTCTTGTTGTCATCTGGATCCTTTCTCTCACGATGTAAGTCTGTTGCCACAGTGGGCGGCGCAATCTCGATGACCTTGATCTTTGTATCCTTGAGCTGGGCTCGTAGGTTCATTGACCAGAAGTGTACCCATGCTTTCGTACCGTTGTACACGGGGTCTAAATCGTGGGTAAATGAGATCAGTATATTCCTCACGAAGAGTTTGTACGGAGACACTTACTGACGAGGGAGAATGGCACGAAGCCAAGAACGGAAGATACATTGGCCACCAGTGCCATTGGCTTAGTTTTGAAATGTGAGAGCAGATTAAGTGCAAGGTGCATGGGTCCACGGATATTGATATCGATTTCCTGGTCAGCCTTGCTGCCAAATTCCTCTGGGTCCATTTCGTTGACGTCGAGTGGCCGCTGCACACCAGCATTGTTGACGAGGCAATCGAGGTCCGGATGCTCGGATATCAGCTTCTTGATGAAAGCCGGGATAGATTTGACATCTCCAGTATCAAGGACGTAGTAAGCCGTTGCTCCGATCTCTTTTGCGGCTTCTTGCAATTTCGACTCTGTGCGACCAGCGATGATGACTTTCTTCCCATCTTTTATCATCTGGTGCGCAAGCGCCTTTCCGATACCACCCCCACCGCCGGTCACAAGAGCAGTCTTGAAGTCGTAATTTGTGGACATGTTGAGCGTAGAATTTTGTGGTGTTCTGGAAGATGAGTGCAAGTATTTAACTTATCATAGCGGTACTTGCGGGTTGGCTAGCTAAAGACTTATTGCCGGTGACGTGCACTTTCGACGGCGGCGCTGATGATGTATGTACCTAGGTACGTCATGACCCATACGAATAGTGGAAATTTGCTATGATGCGCAAGACGCTCCAGGACTGGCAACCGATGCACTTTTTCAACTCACCTTTGCGCTGAATTTAACTCTCGACGACCGAATGCGGTAATCTACTCAACGGAGCTAACCATTATCGGGATGCGGGTTATGGCCGCTGTCAAAAGTCCCGTGTTGTACGAACACAAAGAGGGACCCGTAGTTTGCCCAAAGTCATTGCGGAAAATGGGCGCGCAGTGGAAGGACCAGCATTGCGGCGCTCGGGACGGCAGCATCCACATCCTCATCTTCTCTTCGCCTGACAAAGCTCTGACAAAACTAATGACTGAGGGCCTACAAACCCCAAGCCCCAGCACTCCCGAAGGCAACACCTCTATTCTCGTTGACAAAGCTCTGACAAACTCCAGATTGCTTCTGCGCTTGGTCGCGACCCACACGTGGACATGCGAATCACAATGTCTGGATTTCGTTCCATGCGTCATGCGACCCGAAACCGGCTTGGCGTGATGTGGGGTAGCCACGCACCAGTCGCGTCGATACCAACGCGATGTCCACTCTTGACGCGCCGAATTGCACTGCCGTACTGTATGATTACTGGGATGCCCGGGACGAAGCGGTTTTAAGAGCTTATATTAGATGCAAGCCACATTTGGTGATGTGTGACACCACCCATCTCTTGTACAAGCAACCTTCAAGCGGGGTAGCTGCACACGAACTATCAGCTCTTAGTGACAACGGCGAAAAGATCCCAAGATGACGGTCTCGGAGACAAAGGAATCAAAATGCGATGTGTCAGTCCACCGATGTTCATGTGTCTGAATATGTCACTAACAAGTTTGAAGTCTCATCGTTGGTGCTGGTCCGGCAGGGTAATTATACATATCAAGAGCGACATCTTGATAATACTGACAAGATCCCAGAATGATGCTCTCGGCTTGGATGGCGAGATGTGGCATCAATGCTCGCGTCGTCGACAAACGTGGCACAAAGATCTACTCAGGACAAGCGGATGGTTTACAGCTCCGCAGTCTAGAGATTTTTGACAGCTTTGGCTTCGCCGATAGAGCTTGGAAGGAAGCCAATCATTTGATAGAGGTACGCGCATATATATATCTCTCTCAGGAAAAAGACTGACCCGTATACTTTCTGATCACGTATAATTTGGATGAACTTGACTAACCAGCATCTAGTTCTGCATGTGGGTATGTTGTCGCTTTTGGACTGAATTCCGGCCTTCCTAACACACGCAGAATCCCGGCAAAGACGGTGTAATACGCCGCTCAGATGGGGTGCCCGATACACCACCTGGTCTCTCTCGATTCAAAGAGATCGTACTCCACCAGGGACGGATTGAAAGATTCTTCCTTGACCACATCAAAAAACACTCCAAGGATACCCTACGTGTCGAGCGTGCGGTGTTACCCGAGTCGCTCCACATTGCGGAAGACCGAGTGGACGATCATTCTCCAGACAATTATCCCATCACAGTTCAGCTTCGATATCTTACCGAGGATGAGGCCAAACCAGCTCAAAGCAAGGGCTCTGGAATCAACGACGGTCTTTTCAGAAGTAATCTGGCAGATGATGACACTGAAGACCTCATCGCAAAGAGCCAGCAAAAGGAGGGTAGCACGGAGACGGTGAGAGCGAAATACGTTGTAGGCTGCGATGGCGCTCACAGTTGGACACGAAAGCAACTAGGCTTTGAGCTGGAAGGGGAGCCTACAGATCACATCTGGGGTGTATTGGACATTATTCCCATTACTGACTTTCCAGACGTCCGTAAACGTTGCGCGATACATAGCGAGTCTTCAGGATCGATGATGATCATTCCACGTGAGAACAAGCTTGCCAGGCTCTACATACAGCTCACGGAGATCAAGCCCGACGCCAGTGGTCGAGCGGATAGATCGAAGATCACACCCGATACTATTCTCACCGCTGCGCAAAAGATTATTGCACCATATAAGCTGACATACGAATACTGCGATTGGTGGACGGCGTACCAGATCGGTCAGAGAGTCGGCAAGAACTTCGACCACAAGAGTCGCGTGTTCCTGGCTGGCGATTCCGTACACACGCACTCACCGAAGGCTGGCCAAGGGATGAATGTCTCCATGCAGGACGGCTACAACCTGGGCTGGAAACTGGGTTTGGTGGTGAAAGGTATCGCTCAACCATCCATTTTGAAGACCTACCAGTCGGAGCGGAGGCGTATTGCGCAGGATCTGATTGCATTCGACCACAAATTTTCGAGATTATTTTCCGGGCGGCCGGCGAAGGATGTCATGGATGAGGAAGGAGTCAGTATGGACGAGTTCAAGCAGGCATTCCTCAAGGGTAAGGATAAAGTTTTCCCCCCAAAAAAAGTCACATCTGCTAACAACATCAAGGTCAACTATTCGCTACGGGCCTCTCGGTCGATTATGGAACGAGTATGCTGGTTGGGAAACCAGGCAACGCAGCAGATCAAGGCGACGGGACAGACGTATCTTCAAAGTTCGAGATCATCGGCAAACAAGAGCTCGCCTCAGAGACGAAGTTGGGCATGCGTTTCCCAAGCTACCAAGTCATCAACCAATCTGACGGTCGAGCCTGGGAGTTCCAGCAGAAGCTGAAAAGCGATGGACGATTCCGCATCGTTGTATTTGCCGGCAATGTCGCAAATGCACAACAGAGCGCCCGATTGAAAGGCTTCTGCGAGAGTTTATCGTCCTCATCATTACTGGCTCCCCATCTCATCAAGAACGTGGAAGTGCTCACATTGCACTCTTCGAAGCGCAAGGAAGTAGAGCTTTTGCGCGACTTCCCAGATATCCTGCACCCATTCGACTCGAAGTTTGGATGGGATTACGATTCAGTGTATGCCGATGATGCTAATCCGTTCGAGGGCTTTGGCGATGCATATAAGGGGTATGGTGTCGACAGGGAGACAGGATGTGTGGTCGTTACGAGACCGGATCAATACGTTGGGTACATCGACACGGTCGATGCGGAAGGTTTCAGGGGCGTTGAGACTTATTTCAAGGGGATATTTGCATCGTAGGTACCTCTCTAGAGTACAGCCTTGCACGGGGGGTCCAAGATGCTTCTTCCAATACATCTCTAGGGGGGTGGTCCCAATCTGAATATTTCCGACATCACTGTTCTCTTCCGCCCTATTGCGATCAATAAGCAATACATATATCCCTCGCTATACTGAGTACTTTCTCAATACTCTCATGTGAGGAACATCTGCAACATCAGCAGTTTCCTGTAAGTTGTCGGGGTAGTGTCAACGCCGGTTCTACAAATATGGACGCCTGCTGGGACGACCTCGGGAGTTACAGAGTTAGAGCGCGTGATGCACGAACTATCGACATTCCAACCTTAAGCCTAGATCGTCTTCCAGTGGTGAACACTAGAAGTTGCGCATTTTAGTTGTCAAACTGATGCGAATGAAGTTGCGGACTGGGACGAGTTAGGGCGCGTGACGCATGAAGCATCAGCCAGCTGCACTCAACGCTTAGATCGCCTTTTGGTATCCGGCGATGGAACCTTGGTCGAGTCAGGAGTCATGACGCAAGAAAGATCGACGTTCGACGATCAGATCGTGCGTCGGGAGCGGTGGAGCGCAGTCTGATGCATCTTTTGTTCTCCACTGTCAGTTCTTGTTCTTCTCCAGCCTCGCCTACTTTGAAACTCGTGGTTCACCCCATCTATCAACCTCAATGACTCATCCTGCGCTGTGCATTTTAGATTCTAGATTCATCTCTCTAGGCTCATCATACATCATTGTTATAGATGACTGTTATGAAGTTCTTTCGGTGATTGTAATAGCTTTCATACGTTGGATGGTCAGACCATTGTACTTCATGAATATAGGCTGTCTCTGGATGCCCTTGCTAGTGATGTCGTTCTATCGCCTGTGTGGTAGTTGTGCAAATTACTAGTCGATGTCAACTTTCGGAGCATCCCGAGGTCGTAGAACGCAAACCACCTGAAGAGCATTGTTGGAACACTAAGCTTATGGAGGGTATTTTCGAGGGGAGTTCGTCGTTGCCATGTCGAGATGGATAAACCCTCGTGGTCTCAGTTGCGTAATATGATTTCGTAAGCTCAGAAATAGGTACTAGGAGAGCATATGATGTGGTTGTAGCTGAAAAGGTGCTGGGTGATGCGCGATATGTGCTACCTAGGTATCTTTGATTCACAACGTACGCGCAGTATCACGGTACCCAGGCATGTACTGCGACGACAAGTCGTTCACGAGTTGCGTCTTTTGGATGATACCTCAGCAAAAGATATCACGAAGAGGGAGAGATCATAAGTATAGATGCACGCAACACTTAGGCTCAGCGACACAATGAGCATTTGGTCGAGCAGATGCCCTTTCGCGGGTCGAGGACTGCAACCATTCTTACTGACGTCAGACCATTTTAAGATCGAGACCTATTTCAGGGGGACATTTGTGTCGTAGGCAGAAGCAAATGCATATGCTCAACAGATAAACAAGTCGTAGCTTTGGCGGTAAACTGCGAACACCCTGTTCGGCTGTGGGGTGCTTCTGCCATGCTCTAGACCTAGTGCAAAGACGGCAAGACCCAGCAGATATTTGCCTCGACAACCGATGATCGAGCCCCAATAGTGCAGGCCGTATCCCGAACCAATAGAACACGACAGGTGAAACAGTCGCACGCGAGTACGGACGAATTGCACATGGAGTGGTTGAGAGGGCGCCGTCTAAGCCACATGGGGCCGCATATGGGGTGTGTTCCTGGGTCGACAGGGGACCGGGGTTCGGCGTTTCCATAACAACGTCCGAAGCAACAACAGCGCTGCATACACCGCCATCGCATCACTGCTGCAAAAGTTGCTATTCCACCCTTTTTGAAGACATCCATATCGCATTTTTGCCCATCTCAATCACTCCTCGGGTTTCACGAAGAATTACGACACTTTTCATATACCCATTTCTGTTTTCGCGGCGCACACACATACGATGGACGGGTCCACACCGCACAGTGGTTCACACTATGGACGGCCACCTGCATATGACTATGATGACGGCTCCCCTCAGCAACTACAAGGAGGATCAACAATGCGCTTGTTGACAAACGTGGATGACAGCCAAAGCTATATGCAGTGAGTATTTGTCTTCCTTGTTGTCTCTCTTTCACTTGCGTCCTGCATTCTGGACTCAATCTCATCCGCACCAGAAGACCCTCATTCGAGGACACTTCAAACATGTCAAGTGCCAACAGCAATACTGCCGAGTTGGGCGCGCGCATGACCATGTCTGAGGTGGGCAAGCAGAAGGCTGCCGAATCGGACATTCACGACTTCCTGCGCGAGGCCGGCGACGCGCTGAGTTCAACGTCCAGCACGGCTGCTGCACCTACGCAGATGCCACGAAGGAAGATGATCAATTCGGAGACCGCAAACTACGCGGCGCTCTCCACAACCGTACGATCACAAGACCCAGACTTACAATTACGTGATCTCCGCAGACCTCCATCGCCAGTATCGCGCACATACCACCCCACATCATCCTCAGTATCCGGCTTATCACGGACGCCGTCAGTGATGGATACTGCACCGAACATGCCACCGCCAGATGACGATTATGTTCCCTACCGGCGGCCATTATCACCCGACCGGCCATACTCACCCACTCGCACATCAGACGACTACTCGCGGCCACCAGCTTCAGTCAACTCATACGAGCCACTAGACCTTCATGGCAGCCCACGGCCAGGCAGTCCGCAGCGACCACTACCTCCAGCGCCCTTGTTCACCAATGGTGCCAGACCGGGCTCTCGCGGATCTGAGAACACCATGGACATGACCGACATGACTTCAATACCAATTCACGACGACGACGACCCCTTCACCGACATTGGCGACGACAGACCAGACCTGCGATCGCGGGACTCCTACATGAGCGACGATACATATACGGACATATACACTGAAATCGACGAGAAGGCAGAGCACTACGGGCCAGCTCCAGATGGCGCACAGGAACGACGTGGAGCGCGAGATGCAGTAATGACGAAGAAGGAGGTTCGCTTGATCAACGGTGAACTTATTCTCGAGTGCAAGATCCCGACCATCCTCCACAGTTTCCTTCCGCGACGAGATGACATCGAGTTCACGCACATGCGATATACGGCTGTCACATGCGACCCAGATGACTACATTGATCGTGGCTACAAATTACGCCAAAATATCGGGAATCAGCGGGAGACGGAGTTGTTCATCGCTATTACCATGTACAACGAGAACGAGATTGACTTCACCCGAACAATGCACGGTGTCATGCAGAACATCAGCCATTTCTGCTCGCGCATGAAGTCAAGAACTTGGGGAAAGGACGGATGGCAAAAGATCGTTGTGTGCATCATCGCAGACGGTCGTGGCAAGGTCCATCCCCGAACTCTAGATGCCATCGCTGCAATGGGATGCTTCCAAGAAGGTATCGCGAAGAACCACGTGAACCAGAAGGAGGTCACAGCTCACGTATACGAATACACCACTCAAGTCTCCTTGGATTCAGATCTTAAGTTCAAGGGCGCGGAGAAGGGCATTGTGCCATGTCAAATGATCTTCTGCTTGAAGGAAAAGAACTCGAAGAAGCTGAACTCGCATCGTTGGTTCTTCAACGCTTTCGGACGGGCGCTTAATCCAAACGTCTGCATTCTACTCGACGTGGGAACCAAACCTGGACCCAAAGCCCTGTACCACTTGTGGAAAGCATTCGACACCGACTCTTCTGTCGCTGGAGCTGCTGGAGAAATCAAGGCAGGTAAAGGCAAAGCCTGGCTTGGTCTTCTCAACCCGCTCGTCGCGTCGCAGAACTTCGAATACAAGATGTCCAATATCCTCGACAAGCCATTGGAGTCTGTATTTGGGTACATTACTGTCTTGCCTGGTGCGCTTTCAGCATACCGTTATCACGCGTTGCAGAACGACCACACAGGCCACGGTCCCCTTAGCCAGTACTTTAAGGGAGAAACGCTCCATGGTCAAGATGCAGACGTTTTCACGGCAAACATGTATCTGGCTGAAGATCGTATCCTATGTTGGGAGCTTGTAGCAAAGCGTAGCGAGCAATGGGTTCTAAAATACGTCAAAGCGGCAACTGGTGAGACTGATGTGCCAGGTAAGAATGTTCGCCAGTCCTATCGATTACCGAAGCTAACACATCGCAGATGCTGTACCTGAGTTCATTTCCCAACGTCGACGATGGCTGAACGGTGCTTTCTTCGCCGCTGTCTACTCATTGCTCCATTTCAAGCAAGTATGGGCAACTGACCATACCATCGGGCGCAAGATCCTCCTCCACATCGAATTCGTGTACCAGTTCGTGCAACTTCTGTTCACGTTCTTTTCGCTTGCCAACTTCTACCTGACGTTCTACTTCGTTGCTGGCTCACTGTCAGACCCGGAACTCGATCCCTTCGGCCACAACATCGGAAAATACATCTTCTACATCCTACGTTACACATGCACCTTGCTCATCTGCATGCAATTTATCCTGTCTATGGGTAACCGACCCCAAGGAGCCAAGAAGATGTTCTTTTGGAGTATGGTCATGTACGGTATCATCATGGCGTACACTACCTTCGCCTCCTTCTACATCGTCATCGTCCAACTCAAAGATCCAAAAGCACCAAAGACAATAGGGGCTAATGTCTTCACCAACCTTATCGTCTCTATGGGGACGACGGTTGGTCTCTACTTCCTCATGTCCTTCATGTACCTGGATCCTTGGCACATGTTCACGTCCAGTGCGCAATACTTCGCTCTTCTCCCGTCCTACATCGCCACTCTCCAAGTGTACGCCTTCTGCAATACACACGACATCACCTGGGGAACTAAGGGTGATAACGTAGCGAAGACAGATCTAGGAGACGCAAAGGGAAAGAACAAGGATGTTGTCGAACTCGAAATGCCATCAGAGCAATTGGATATCGACAGTGGTTACGACGAAGCCCTACGGAATCTTCGTGATCGTGTCGAAGTACCTGAGCCTCCGATCTCCGAGTCGCAACAACAGGAAGACTACTACCGTGCTGTCCGAACCTACATGGTTGTCATCTGGCTTATCTCAAACGCTATCTTCGCCATGGCTATCAGTGAAGCATACTCGGATCGCAAAGTGACAAACAATTTCTACTTGACATTCATTCTCTGGGCTGTCGCTGGCCTTGCTTTCTTCCGCGCCATTGGCTCCACGACTTTCCTCATCATCAACTCCATCCAAGCGATCATGGAAACAAAGCTCAAATGGCAAGACAAGATTGACGACAAGAAGAGCAATAGAACTGTTCTTGGTGGCGGCAGGAAGTATGGTGGGAAGAAGTGGTGGAAGTTCGGATTTGGCGGCGGTGTGTCATCGAGTTGGTTCTCTGGCAGTACAGTATCCAGTAAGCTTAGCAGTCTGGCGCCTAGCAATTGGGGTGGAAGCAGTGTTGGGAGATAAAAGTACAGCGAGTAAGGTTTTGACAGTAATGTCGCGTATGCTATGACTTCACGACGAACTGATCTTAGGCGTTCTGGATACATGCTTTGGGATGATACCTGGGCTGGGCAACCAAGCCCGCTCTACTGTAGCAGTATATAGCTTTTTGTACATAACAACGATTCTTTCATGCCAATTTCCTCCATGCACAACATTGCCCTTGTTGGTGAAGATCTGGTTGCGTCTTCGGGGGCAGAAGCGCTGTGTTAGGAAGTGACGCTAGGGTCGTGTGTTTACATGCCACTCCCGCTCCCATGCCGCCGCACACCCAACTCCCCGCCCTTACCAAACTTTCGCGACAGAACAAAATGGCGCCCCGAAGTAAAGCTGCGAATATTTCCTTTACCGTCGAATCCGCTTCGGAAGACGAAATGACTGTCGACGAGCTCAATGCGCATCCTACACCCGAATCCAACAGCGAAAACAAAGCGCCGTCGCGAAGCACGCGTGGAGCTGCACAAACGAAGAAAACGGCCTCCGCGACCAAGGCGACTGCGAAGGGCAGATCATCGACGCGTCCAACGAGCGGCACTAGTGCGGTAGCCATGAAGAAGAGCGCGACAGCAGGCGCGAAAAAGGTAGCGGCAAAGGGTGGTCGCAAGGCGCCAGCGGAGCCTGCTGAAGCCATTCAGAGCGATATGGACGAGACGGAAGAGCTAGAAGAGCAAGAGGCGGTTGCGCAGCCCAAACCAGCCAAGAGAGGTAGACCAGCGAAGAAGGCGCAGGAGGAGGTCGAGGTCGAAGAGGCGGCACCCGCAAAGAGAGGGCGCAAGGCTGTCGCGAAAGAAGAGCCTGCGAAGAAGGAGACCAAGGCGAAGCCTACGACGAAGTCAAGAGGGACGAAACGCGCAGCTGAGCCCGAGACCGAGCCTGAGCAGATGACAATCCCTGAGACACAACAAGAGCCAGACGCAGACGCAATGGATGTGGAAGAATCAGTCGAAGTCGAAGTCGACGAAATACCCGAAAGCATGCCGCCACCACACGTGCGACCCTCCGCGCGTCGAGCCCAACCGAACAGCAGGGCGCGACGAACATCAGCTGGAGTGAGACGAACAGGAAGTGTGTCAGACTCTGAGCGGGACCCTGCCATGCGAAGGAAAGTCGGTGACCTAACAAAGAAACTCGACGCCATGACAGCCAAGTACGAGACGCTCAAGGAGTCTGCTTCGTCAGGAAAGGAGTCGAACTTTGAACAGCTTAAGAAGCGGACAGACCAGATCGCAAAAGGTACGACGCGACGAACGCAACTCAATAGTGTATACTAAAACATCTCTAGACCAAGACGCAGCCATCAAAGCCCTTCAGCAACAAATATCTGATTTCCAATCACGCACCTCGGACCTCGCATCGATAAAGAAAGAGCTGGCAGCAGTCTCCAAGGAGTCAGCGCGTCTCGCTGCCGAAAACAAGAAACTCGCCGACTCGCTCACATCGGCACAGGGCGAGAGCAAGGCATTGTCGAGCAAGCTCGCAGCAGCCCGATCAGCGCAGCCAGAGACCAAGAATGTGCCGGGAAGCGCGGTGAAAGCTAGGACAACCGGCGTCGTTTTGCCAGGCACTGTTGAAGCAGCCAAGGAAGCGACACTCGCAAAGCAGAAGGTCGATTTTTACAGCGATCTTACAGACCTCGTTGTTCTTGGTGTGAAGAGATCCGAAGACGAGGAAGACGTTTACGATTGTCTACAAACAGGGCGTAACGGCAGTAAGTCGCATTCCCCACGTGCCTTTCAACTTAGGATAACCAATATACTGACACCACTTCTTTGCAGCACTGCATTTCCACCTCACAGTAGCCTCCAGCGGTACATCCTACGAAGACGCAGAATTCATCTACCAGCCTTTGCTTCACGAACAAAGAGACAAGGAGCTTTTGGATCTACTGCCCGATTATCTCACAGAAGAGATTTGCTTCCCGAGGGCGCAAGCGCCCAAATTCTATAGTAAGGTTGTGGATAGTATGAGCAAGAAGATCATCCTGGAAGAGGACCAGGACTAGAGGAAGAAGCCGGTTGATAATAAGTTGAGGACTCTTTGAGAAGTCCAGAGTTACGGGAGGCGCACTTGCACATTTCTAGTTATATGACGGTTATGACGGCTGCTTTATACCTTGGTCTTGAGCGCACGCTCATGTCTATATTCTGCTTTGTAGTATCGAATACCCAGTCATGTTCATGTCGTAAAATGGCAAACAGCAACTTGTGTGAGAGTGGATAGATCGGTCCAATGCTTGCTTGTTGGTACAATTGGCGTATCTACAATGTTCCACACCCTTGAAGCACGTTTGCGGCTATCCAAAGAGATCTCGCCGCCGCATCGTGTTCTCGTCCACTATCATCATTGCTCCAGTCCGAACGTCATGTTTATTGCTTTCCTTGGACCTTGTCGGCGGCCTTCTTGACGTACTCCCTAGTATGTTGTTAGCCTCCGTCTTCCGGTACAAGCGCCTGTACTCCACTGCTTTCGCAACCAGCTAGCTGCATGTCACTTCTAGGGTATGTGTACGCACTTTACGAAGCTCTCCTCCTCGCTGCTCTTTGCGTTGATCGGGGGAGTGGTGGGGTCCTCAGCCTTCTTGCCGCCCATGGAGAGCGCAGCACCGGTGAATGTGATACCGAGGGTGGCCATTGCGAGCTAAACACAGTACTTGTCAGCCCATGTCAGGGATTATGGTCCATATCGTCTCTCTGATCCCCAAAGTCCGCCATAGATGGCCTCCAAGGCATGCGCCACGAAGCACTCATCCAATGCTTCCAGTCCTCCCTCCCACCAAAGTTTTCTTCCTCCGGTACACCTCTAAGGGAAAGAACATACGACGTGCGATCCGACCTGGCGGCCCATAATAGTGTACATGGCAACCATCTTTGCGGTATTTAAGGATTATCCGTGCCGTAAGCGGGGTGATGGAGTGTCAATGGATGGAGAGTCGTGCGGTGGAGCGTTGGTGGATGCTGCGCTTGCGCGGAGCTCTCTTCGGAAGAGAAGATGGGGTCTTGGCGCTATGTGGCTGACAGGTTGTGGCTAGTGAGAACTAGCACAGCCACAACGATTGAGTGGGTGTGACGTCGAGCTGCCGAGGTGCGCTCTGGTTAGGGTAGGCAGTAGTGGTACCAAAGAAGCATGGAGGTCTACGCCGGCGCATCTCTCCAGGACTTGCTTTCACTCTCTTTTGTCCGTCATTTGTCCGTCCTTTGTTTATCTTTTGAAAGTCTGAGCATAGGAAGAACCCTTACAACACATTAGCCATGGCGAAAGACGACAACAAGAAGATCGTAGAGGTCGATGGCGTACCGGTGGAGCGTCAAGGCACACGACCGGATTTCTCAATTCCACCAGCTAGGAAACAGCTGCCGAAAGAGCTTCAGGACACGCTCAACGATGACGAGAAAATGTGGGATGTGCTCTACGACGGCGAGTAAGTAACGGTCCCTCAGTTGCCCTCTGTATGCCCATTCGAACGACCGTCCGCGATCCTCCGACGCTCTTCACGATCCATAGATTCAACTGACAAGACTATAGAGCCGAAGACACAACAGATACGAACATCCGATATGCCGCGTACGCCTCCCGAATTCGCACCATCATGCTTTCCGCGCATCGCTATGTAGCCTACACCTCTGACATTGGCGAGTCCTTCCGCCCCATCGCACATCCTTACCTAGTCAAAGGTGCCTATGGTATATCCTGGCTCTACCTCACTGGTGACGTTGCCCACGAAGGCTACAAAGCTTACTGTCGCAACCAACACATACTCCACCCCGAGAACTACATCGACGAAGCAGCAGAGAAGAGTCTAGGAGAAGGCAAGGATAAAGATCTCGCGGCAACAGGAAAGACTGCTAGTACAGGCATTCTCGACAAGGTGCAAGACCTGGCAAGGAATGCTACAAGTACAGAAGGTGTCAAGTATGGTGAAGCCGGGGGCCCATTGACCGGTGGCCAGGTGGTTGCGGGCAAGATACCTGCGATTGAGGATTACAGGGCTGTGATGGCGCAGAGAGCCGTGTTCCAGGCTGTTGCTTCTATGGGTCTACCTGCTTTTACTATCCACAGTATCGTCAGGTACTCTGGGCGCGCACTGAAGGATGCGAAGAACAAGACCTTGAGGACTTGGGGACCCATTGGGGTAAGTAAATTCCAGCTATTCGATCTCGATGTGGTTCTAACTAAGAGCAGCTTGGTCTTGCAGCAGTCCCGTTCCTCCCCTTTGTCTTCGACGAGCCAGTCGAACACGCTACTGAATGGATCTTCTATAATGCGTTCAAGACGTTTGGTGGCGAGGAAGCAGTCGCGGGCAGACCGGCGGTTGGCGTGAAAGAGTTGAGGAAAGAGGAGACACAAACGAATAAGTTGAAGAAGGAGTTGTAGAGAGTTTTTGCTATAGAGGCATACCATGTCTTAATCGACATCTGTAGATACACGACGCATGTAATCCACTCAGTATCAATGTACATATGTGACGCACCCTCGGAACTGATTGAGTTGCACGTATAATTTTTGTCTTAAAAAGACGGATCGTTGTGGTTGCAAGCGTTCTTCGATGAACCGCATGTACATCTTTTGGAAGGACTAGGGACTATCCTAAAATGCTCATCGCATTCGGCCTCACGCCTTCCCCTTCTTGCTGTGCTCCTCGCAAGCCTTTGTGAAAACCTTCAACAACTCGGGGAAGTCACACACATTCATCGACTCAAACGCAGAGGATGAAAAGACCTTCAGTGCAGTCATACGTGGACTCTTGATTCCAAATGCGAGCTTGGCAAGGAACCTAGGGTCATCGCGTACACTAATCTCCTTCAGTACTTGCTGAACCTTCTTGGGATCAGGAGATTGTGGCGGCTCGTCAGGTAGCACAACTCGCCTATGTGTCTCACACCACGTGCAATGTCCACATTCTTCTGATACATCAGTGCTTTCTCCGAAGTAGTCCGCGATAGACCTAGACAAGCAGCGTTTGTTGGTGATCAGATCCAGTAATGCTTTTGTCCGGGCAAGGTTTTGTTGCTCTGTCTTTTCCATGGTTTCATCAAGTTGTTTGACGATGTTGTCAATCTCTTCTGGTGTGGACGGCAAGGGTCGCTCCAAGCGGTATACGTTCTGTACGCCCTCTTTCTTCAGTTCAATCGCACCGCGCTCATTCCATTCGTCCATTTTGCGTACTAAGTCCGCTCGGGCGATGCCACTGGAATCAGCGAGATCATCCAATGCCACGTGAGTCCATTTGCTACTCTTGACTGATGCCCTAACAATCGCTGACGCTGCTGCCGATCCATCGTTCCGCACGATGTTCGGGTTCTTGACAATGTAACTATACTTCGCGTATAGAGCCCCAGCAGAACGGAAAAGTTCGAAATGCAACTCCATCTGTGCATACAGAATGCCAAGAATGATAGCTTTGATGTCAGTTTCTTGGCCCTGCGTGTACAGTGAGAGTTGGAAAGTGTCGCCTGCTTTGAGTTGTCTACGAGCTGGCGAACATATATCCTGCATCAGAAGCTTCAGTGAGCGTAACGAAGGCCGATCACCGTAAGTGAAGATGTTGCGCAGATAGAAGTCCTTTGTCGAGAGGTAGAACATGCACACACTCGGTTTGCCGTCTCGACCAGCTCTGCCAATTTGCTGACTGTACGATTCGACACTGTCAGGTATGTCGAAATGAACGATGCTACGGATATCTGGCTTATCGATGCCCATACCGAACGCAATAGTAGCAACAACGATCATGTCTTTGCTGATGAGGAACTCGTCTTGTGTTTTCGAGCGCAGTGGCGCAGGCATTCCAGCGTGGTAATGCTTAGCTTTGAAGCCACGCTTCTGCAGTTCTCCGGCCAGCACCTCTGCGCCTTTTTGAACTGTCACGTACACGATGGTAGGACCAGGGTATTTCGTAAGATGAGCAGCTAGTTTTGACACGTAATCGGCGTCTTTGCCATTCGCCTCAGCCAGGAGGCGTAGGTTGGGGCGATACATGGTTGTCCGGAACAGGCCTTCTTTGGGTATAGCGAAAGCATCTCTAATGTCTTCGGCGACCTTCGGTGTTGCTGTGGCGGTGAGGCATACAACTCGCTCAACTTGTGCTTCTTTTGCGAATCGAGCAATTTTGAGGTAGTCCGGGCGGAACGAGTGGCCCCACTCAGAGATACAATGCGCTTCGTCGACAGCTAATAGACGGATGCCTCCAGGGATGTCTTTGAGTGACGCGATAAAGCCTTCACTGTTGAGACGCTCTGGCGCGCAGTAGATAAGATCTAAGCGGCCTTTCTTGAGGTCGTCTTGTGTGGCCAGGAATTGGTCGCGGGAGACGGACGAGTTCAACACAGCAGCTTTGACCCCGCGGCGTAATAGAGCATCTACCTGATCCTTCATCAAAGCGATAAGCGGTGAGATGACCAAGGTGACGCCGCTTTGGTCAGCAGTCCGGCGACCAAGCTGTTCGTCTTGATATCTAAACGCTACGGCAGGTACCTTGGATAGTCAGACGGATAAGTCATTGCATAAAGACATGACTCGCCTGGTAGCAAAGGCTCTTGCCACCCCCAGTGGGAAACACAACGACCGCGCTGCCGCCGTCCAGAAGTCGAGTGATGGCTCTTTCCTGTTCGAGCCGAAACTCATTTATCGCGAAGCGTTCCTTGAGGATTCGATTCGCAAGAAGCGTGTTTGGTGAAGAGATGACGGTGTTACTACTCTCATGTCTGTTTCGCTTGGATAAGGACGTCGTGTTACCGCTGTCGACAGTAAGTTTGCGCTTTCCATCTAGCACAACATCTGTGGTAGCCGCGAATGGCTCTTCGTCGCCAGATGACCAGCCGAACTCATCCTCGCTCATATTGGCGAATCGAGCGAATGATGACAAGCAGAAGTGCCCTCAGTTACCGAGAGTAGGTGTACGGGCGTTAGTTGTGGGCGGGGAGTTGCTGTGTTAGCAACAAGCAGAAGTCGCGACTTCATCCTGTGTTACACGCCAAGAGGTTGAAAGCGCGCTAGCACGTGATTTGTAGCGTGAACTGGCCACTCGTACCTGTGCAAAACCGCAAAGAGAGATGAGCGAGGAATTGTGCTATCAAAATCGAAAATAACAAGAAAACCCTGTGGGTAAGAACATGATTCATCTAGGTATCAGCGCTGTCGGCTGTCGATGTTGCGACAGCGAACACCTTCTGGGTAGCAAGCCCCGTTTGCGGAGAGTGAGGTTAACTTGACATGACCTGCTTTGCCCTTTCCGAATGTCTGTCAAGGTGTCTTTTGACTCTTTCATGTTTGACTGGGATTATCGATGCTTGCGTGTGTGTTTTGAAATGGAGATCCCGATATGACACACCGGAAAAGGCTGCAGGGCCACATGGGTTGGGCAAGAGTTGTTGCCTCAACAGCAGTCGATGGGAAATTGGGCCGATATCGACGATCATTTGGACCCTGAACGCGGCACTTCAGCTATTTCAATTCATGGTTGCGGTCGAGATTGAACTAGCGTCAAAATCAGAGCTTTACACTCGCGACGGCGACCAATAGCCGGAGACGTCCCCTTCTCTTCTATGCTGATCCGATATCCGACGCATCTACGTTTAGTCTGTTATTCCGGCCATCGAGGACTAGAACGGTCCGACTCATCCCCACCCAGCCCGCATACAGTAGTTGCCATGCCACACATTGGTGCATTTCGCCGGCCTTGCAGCCCAGGTCGCGCATCTAAGGTACGCCAACATAGTACCACTGACAGCGCACGAACACCTCGACTTGCTCAACTACATCCTGGATCATATACATCATATTCATCGTTTTAGACAACAAGCTCGTGGAACCATCTGGGATCACTGTCGTTTGATTTCCCTAGTGGCGAACTTGAACAGCAATTCCCTTACAACACCCATTCCCGGTGGACACCGCCCCTTCCATCACATTGCTACAACTACATCCTACAGGATGCGCTGAGCGCTGAGCGCCGAGCACACTCCTAAGATCATACACTATCAGACCGTTAAGTCGCCTGTTGTCCCTTTATGTTCCATCGAAAGTCATCGGAACCTGTTCGGAATGCCGTCGGCCGAGTGTGCCAGCGCACGCTTGCTGGACCTGGAGGAGCTGGAGTCTGATCCAGCACCACTTTTCGTCATCAGAACGGGAGAAATAACTCTGGGGTTTGAGTTTCTCTTCTGCAACGAAGCTTTCCGAAAACTCCATCTCCGCAATTCCATATTAGCCCAGGACAGAGCAGCGCTCCTCTTCCGCTCATGGGCGCAGGCTTTGAGTGAATACAAGCCGCGATATGACTTTGGCGGTTTAGTCTGGACTGCCGAAATATCGGGGCGGAATGGCAGTTGGAAAGTGGTAAAGGCGAGAGAGTTGGATACGAATCAGCAGGATTCAGCCTCGTTAGAGAAAGAAGCGGACGACAACGATGACCTCAGTATGGGTCGGATACCAGTTTTCACAAGATCAAAAGCGCAGTTGATGAGTGAACTCAAGCGCGAAAGAGCAGTATCACTCAGGAACATTCCATACACAAGCCTTCATGCCAGATGGGAAAGTATCCAGACCATGATGGAAATGAGCGATGTTGGCGTTTTTGAGTATAACGCAGAGGGAAAGCTATTACATGCAAATGAGGCATGGTATAGACTCAGGTAACTTTGACCGCAACATTACTCATTACTTCATTAACAACGTCAAGTTCCCAACCCAGAGACGCCAAACCTGACGAGTACTCATTCATGGATCTTGTCTATCCAGATGACCAAGCACTAGTAATGTCCATGTGGAACACGCTCACCCAAGGGAAATCCGTTACTTTTGAGATGCGTTGGAAGGCACGCTCAGGTTCAAAAGACGCTGCGCAATGGGTACTCTCAGCTTGTGTCCCAGTATTCGATGACGATAAGCAATTGATCGGTATTGCCGGCAATACAATAGACATCAACGCACAAAAGAAGTCACAAGAAGCTGCACAAGCGCAGGTGTAAGTGTCTTTGCAAGCACATAGTGTGCCCATATGCTAATTTCGTGTTCAGGGAAGCACTGGAACAAGCGCGGCTTGCAGAAAGGAAGTTTGCACGATTCGCTCAGACCTCACCTACAGCTATATACATATATGTCCCTGAAAGTGGTGAGTGCAACCAGCTCATAGCGCGATTTGTCCTAATATTGTTTCAGGTATGAATTTTGTCAACGACCAGTTCTTCGAACTCACAGGCCACGCACATGCACCTGTCAACCAATACGAGTGGTTCGATCTAATCTCCAACGAGGATGTGGAGAGAGTAAAGCAGGATTGGGACGGCATGCTCAAATGCGGTAAATCGAGTGGGGTGCAATTCCGTTTAAAGAAAACATGGATTAACCAAGACGGCATACGGTCAAATATATGGGTACAAAGTTCGAGTTACCCAGAGCTGGACGAAAATGGAAAAGTCATAAGTACGATGACGTTTCATTGAACACTAATTGATACACGTGCTGACCAGTTAAGGCATAATGGGGACTTTGTTCGACATATCACATTTCAAGTGGGCGGAGAGCGTACAGCGGCGTCGCATAGATGAGGCGCTGGAAGCTAAACGACAGCAAGAAAAGTAAGACTCCGCGCGCACCGTTTTACTTTCCTTTACTAACTTAAACAGCTTCATTGATATGACGTCGCACGAACTCAGGAGTTAGTCATCTTCATGTACGAACCACATACGAGATACATGCTAACGTCGTTCACTGTTGTTAGATCCACTGTCAGCGGTAATACAATGCGCTGACTCAGTCATCGCTTCGCTCCAACAACTATCCGGACGCCAATTCGCAAGATCAAAACAACCATCCGACATATCCAAGGCAGAGGCGGAAGTTCAGAGCTGCATTGAATCACTACTCATCATCGTGTCGTGTTCGATGCATCAGAAACGCGTTATCGACGACGTACTTACCTTGTCTAAACTTGATTCTAACTTGATCTTAATCACGCCGATGCGTGTTCAGCCCGCGGTCGTGGTGTCAGACGCAGTCAGAATGTTCGAAGTCGAGTGTAATCAGTCGGGTATCGAGCTCACTTTCCGCGTTGATGAAACGTTCAGTGGAATGGAATGGACAATGCTCGATCCGTCACGTTTATTACAGGTTCTCATAAACCTACTGTGAGTAGCATAATCTTCAGCTTCCGTGCCATCTACTGATACAATCAGCACCAACGCTATCAAATTCACTAAAGATCGCCCGCAAAAGGCGATCACCGTTACTATCGGTGGTTCCTGGAGCCGTCCACCAAAATGTTGGAATGAAGTAACCTTCACCGATGACGAAAAGCCCAAGACCGATATTACCGAGAAGGCGGAATGGGGCGAAGGCAGAATAGCATTTTTGTGGCTCAAGGTCAAGGACACGGGCTGCGGCATGACCATGGATGAGCAAAAGAAACTCTTCTCCCGGTTTTCTCAAGCTACGCCTCGCACACACGTCAAATATGGTGGTTCTGGCCTGGGCCTTTTCATTTCCAAGTCTCTCACCAAATTACAAGGAGGAGCCATCGGAGTTCACTCCGAGAAGGAAGAAGGATCGACATTCGCGTTCTTCATCAGCACCCGCCTCGCGCATCCACCAGCTGACCATGTTGCCGCTCGCGCGGTACAGGCGCGACCTGTTCCTCGTAGAACGATGACAGGTGAGGAGGCTATGCAGACGATCAAACTCAACGTTCTTATTGTAGAGGATAACCTCGTCAACCAAAAAGTGCTTAGAAAGCAACTGCAAAAGTTTGGTTGGAACATCAGCGTAGCTGGGAACGGTCAAGAGGCGCTAGAATGGTTAAAGGACAGTGTCTATTGGCGGAACGAGAAAGACAGCTCTAACACTGAAGACAAACACGAACTCGACATCATTCTCATGGACATTGAAATGCCCATCATGGATGGTCTTACCTGCGCCCGGCTCATCCGCGATTACGAACACCAAGGCCTCCTCGCGGCTCCGTCGGCTCCTCATTCCGCATCATCTACTCAAACTCAGCACAGGAAAACCTTGTCTGCCTCTTCCGCCTCCCACGAACGGGCTGAAAAACAATCCCTACGCCTTCCTATTCTAGCTGTCAGCGCGAATGCGCGCATGGAACAGATTGAACAATCGCTGGCATCAGGCATGGATGATGCCATCTCGAAACCTTTTCGCATACCGGAACTTTGGCCCAAGATTAGAGGATTAGTGAAGAGAGTTGCGGACGCTGATACGAGGACTAAGTCGTAGTTTTCCCTTGCATGGTATTGGGTAGGGTGTTCACACACACATGGCGTTGTATAGAAGCATAAGCATGGATATGGCGTTTGGTAGCACAAGTAATATAACGATTCCGATACCTTGAAAGACTTGGATGCAGGGATATGCTATAAGAATACAGAGATTCCTTCAAGATCATTACAGTATAATGTTCGCTTCTTCAAGGTTGCTGGTATTTGGAGGCGCCTGGAGAGCGATCAATGTATAATGCTATAGTTTCCGATTGAGGAATTATCCAGCAAGTTAACTATTGAGGTAGAACTGGAGTCTGGATATGCAGATTACCAGCCCTTGAAGTGCACACACTCGTAGCTCACGTCGATATTCAAATGTCCTTCTGTCAGAAGCCAGTTAATATACCTAAACACCTGTTCCTCGAGTGGCATATCATCAGGCCGGTCCATCTCATCGTAATACGACATCGCGGAGTTCAAAGTCGTTTCAAAGATGTCTGGGTCTTTCAAGGCGTACAGACTTTCCCGTCGGGGTATTGGTATACCATTCTCGCATAGCCTACGATGCTCGCCCGCCTTCTCGCGCATGCCACGAGTTCGCTCGTTCCATCTGTTCTTGGATGGCTCTGTTCGAGAATTGTCATATATTACATGACATTCTTGCCCAAGACAGCAACAAGTATGCTCACCATCCAGAAAATCGAATAGCAGGTATCGTGTAAGATCGTATACGTACTGCAGTTCCAGGGCTTGGGATGGTCTCACATTTTCGAACCACCTTCTGATTCTTGATTTGCGATGCCCATCCTCGTGAACTTTGTCGAACAGAAACTTGATCGGTGCACAGCCTCCAGGAGAGCATGTACATTGGCAATCGTCGTATGGTATCCTCAATTCCCTTTGTACCACATCCATATAATGTTCATTCGTGGGTACTGCATCAACGTCACGCCCAAAACCGGTGCCCGGAAAATACAGTCTTTTTGCATAGAGGTGAAGGGCTGTCAATGAGGCGGACTCGTGTTTTGATTTCATAGAAACTCCTCTTTGTGCAAACCAGTCTACCATTTTGAAATTGGCGCAATACCAACTTTGTAGGAATGGCGTCACCCCATTTTCATCAGGCATATCGATATCGCAGAATCCAGCATCCCAGAATGCGTTTGCGATTTCTGGCGTCATTTTCGCGTCGCCAAAGAAGTCGGCGAAGTTGTAGAAGCTCTTTCCGTCTAGCTCTAGGGCCTGCGGAACATCTAAACCATGGGCTATAAGCCTTTCGACCATCAATGGCGCTTTTCGTTCGTGCATTTTACCAGGTGCCAACTCAAGTTCGAAGTAAACGGAAGGCGGCAGAAGATTGCTTGCCATATCTTGAAGGCGCCTGTGGCGATCGATCAGAACTGGAACAAGCAAGCGCAGGATCTGTGATTTTTCCGGATCTTGTAACTTCAATGCAAGTTGAAGCAGACTATCGGAGCTTGGCGGAGTAGAAATTCCGCAATTTTCAGTAAGCAAATAACGCACAGAGTCAGTGATGCCTAGGGTGACAGCGATATGTATAGGCTGTCGACCGCTGACGTCTCGAGGGTTCATATGCACACCTCTGTCGAGCAGCATCCTCAGTCCAGTAGGCCATAAGACAGCGAAATGAATCGGAGTGAGTCCATTGATCGAAGAAGTGTGGTTCAGAGTTGATAGTTTGGCTTTTCGTGTAAGGCGCTGAAACTGCTCTACTTGTCGTCGAAGTATTATAGGCACGAGATCGCCATGATCACGAACTGGCAGATATCAGCAATCTTTTCAGATCAAATAGCTTGGTCAATTCACCATCGATCTGATCCTCAAAGGGAAGTAGTTGCTCAACCTCATCACGAAAGAATCTTGCTCCCTGGGGACGCTTTTCTGGGAAAGGTCTTGAGGTATGACCTCCAGCTTCTACAATCTGATCGACAATTTCTAGAAACCGTGATTTTCGAGTTGGAGACAACATGCGGAGATCATACGCGGCCGGGCCTGCAAGTTGGTCACATGTGGTGCCTTGGTAATCATGCACAGATGGAAACTCGTCGTCTTTCCGGTTCCTCAAAACGTTTGGGTCAGCGCCTCTTTTCAACAGAAACCGAATGATGGCGGTACACTCATCTCCTGCATGTTCGAAGGTTGAGGGGTTGGCTATCAATAAAGCCATGATTCTCTGATACATGATTAACGAAGAATTCCATGCGTTGCAAGAACAAAACAGCTTACGTTCAAGACAGTATTTCCATCATTATCCACGTCAAGAGCCGACGCTTCTTCTGCATCGAACAAGTCCTGTAGCGTATTTTGAAGTCGAGGGATGGATATACGATAATGTTCACCCTCCCAAAGCTCCTCGATGGTAACTGCAACCGCACGAAATGCAGGTGAGGTTTTCGGATCGACAAGCCTGCTTGTACCGATTACTATTGGATTGACTGAGAACGGGTTTAACGTCGACCAGTTCCTTACGCAGGTGCCGATATTGATGGTATGGAAAAGAAGCCAAGATGGAGGGACAAGTTGCATGGTGATCTCAAGGCTCTGTTCCGAGATGCGATAGTCCGGGCAGTAAGAGAAGTGTTGCGTGCGGAAGGTTTGCGTGAACTGGAGGATAGATAACGGCTGCCAGCGGCGTGCTGTACTGACGGTTCTACATTTACACCTCTGGGATCTACGAGCACGGTCCAACGAGCTTCGCTGAACATGTTTGTCTGATGAGTCCACATATAGTTTTCTCACAACAAAGTTGTTCCTCGTACCTGGACTAGCTCTGTTAGAGTCGGAACTCAGCTGTTCGATGGCTCGAAGTATTTGCTCAGTGTTTGAGAGAATCATCGCTGTCGTCTGATGGCTTGATTCTTGTGCTGTTGTATTCATATCACGGTCTATCAAGAGACTCCTCGATTGAGACTTCAGATGCTGGAGGTCTTTTATAATTCTCTCGGTCCTTTCGGACGTGGTCGATATGTTTCGGTCGATCTGTTCGACGTGAGGTAGTAGCTGTGCTGTACTGTGTTCGGTTGTGCTCAATGTCTTGTCGACTGTCTTCACTAGAGCCAATGTCTCTCCAATCTCGAGTCTCACTTTATCGGTAGTCGCCGCAGTTTCTGACGAGAGCTTGCTGCATGCTAGTCAGTGCTGTGGTGTCCAATCACCTACAACCGACTTCGGCTTCGTCCAGCTATTCTACTTACAGATTTGCTGCGTTCAACCAAATAGAGAGGATGCTTCTCTTTTGTTCTAGTCGATCGCAGATGTTTGCCACCTCTTCCTTCTTGCGGACGGAGCAAATGCCACTCCAGCCTCGTTGTAGCATTCCATCGTTCTTACGGGCGAGCAGTCCTTCCAACGTCTTGCTTAATTCATCAGCAAGACCGATGTACTCGAGTAGGGGCGCATCAAGTGTCGAGGACGATACTGTTGTCGCAAAACCGGGCACATGATTATTCTGTATGTGCTGCGCGATCTCGATTTGCTGACGCAGGTCGATTTGCAGCTGAAGAAAACGACGCGGCACGTTGCGTACATCTGAGCAGAAACGTTCCAGACAAGATGAAAGGCGAAGAGCTACGTCCACGAGCTGGACGACAGCAGCGACGGCACCTACAACTTCCGCCATTGAAGGTGTTGTGACGAGAGGAACAAGTGCTAGCTGCGGGCAATATGTTATTATGCACTGGCACGGCTGAGGAACATCTATTTTAGCGAATGAGACACGTCCACATAGATGTGGATGGTGTCCGCCAAGCACGAATAGTCATCATGTATTGCTTAACGTTAACCTTCTCAACAGCAAGCGTTGCCGTAATCTGATGAGCCAAAGCCCTACAAGATTTCCGCCAAATGCATGACTTAAGCTGTAAATGCTCATGAGGTGCATCTTGATACTCGGAGCTACCATCGCGTGAAAATAGAAGGGGAGTACTAGCAAGGCTGAGATATAGCCTTGTTACAAGGCTGATAAGGAGAAGTTCGACTTGGGATTTCGTCCTGTGGTGGAGATTGTGGGAGAACCATTCAGTCGGTGCTGAGCCATATCAATCTTCTGCTCTTTTCGAATACACCATACATAACGATGGAAATAAAATCTGATGGTTGTGGTAAAGGTAAAGATAGACGCGTACTGATAGGATGGCAACGCTGGACCCTGGCGCTAGTGAGTTGATGGTTAGCGCCATTCGCCCTTCATCGGAATCGCCTTCCGAAGATGGCGCGGCGACAATCGTAAGCTCTTGGTAGCCTAAGCGGCCTTCTCGAGGCTTCTCATGCTTGCTCAGCTTGTTTATTATACACTGCCTTTGCCTTAGTGACTCTCTAGCAGCTTCCTTACCAGTGCCTTATTTATATTTTGTCCCTGTCTCTACGACAAACATGACGTCCAACGAATCAAGCTACACCGAGATGAAGGGCGACTTGGAGGCTATTGGGGCGCATTGCCAGATGGAGTACTGCAACGTGCTGGACTTCCTACCGTTCCGATGCGAGAGTTGTCATGGGTAGGTACAACGCGTAAAGCATCCGATTGTGTTGTCATACTAACAAACCCAGGAAATTCTGTCTCGACCATCGCACCGAATACGCGCACAAGTGTCCTAAGGAAGGCGAATGGGCAAGACAGAGAGCCAAGAACAACCAGGCCTCATCGCTGTCTACCCCAAAACCGACCGTCTTCAACCACGACCAACAGTGTGCCGACCCGTCGTGCAAGACATTGATCGATACCGCCCGCGCGCAAGGTGTACATTGCGCACGATGTAATCGCAGATACTGTCTGAAGCACCGCTTCGAAGAGGACCACGACTGCAAGAACCTCACGCCCATCGGCGCGCGACCGCAAAACTACGTACAAGCGCGCACGCAAACAGCACTCACAAGACTGAAAGCATGGGCAGAACAGAAGAAGAAGGACGACGAGAAGCGGAGATCTGCCCCGAAGAAGACAGGTTTCTTGGGAATAGGAAAGAGTTCAGCGTCGTCGGCGGCAGCTTCAGCGCAAGCTGAACTCAATGCGCTGAAGCGGACAGCAAAGGGCGAAGCCAGCGTACCCCAAGAGAAGCGGATATACCTACATGTCGAAGCATCAGCCGATACAACCAAGGCGAAATACCCAACGGGAAAGTTCTTTTACAACAAGGAGTGGACCGTGGGGCGGGTGCTTGACATGGCGGCCAAGTCACTGCAGGTACAAAACGTGAACAACCGCGGTGGCGGCGAGGAGGAAAAACTACGCGTTTTCCATGTGGAAGGCGGACGACTGCTGAAGTTCAGCGAGAAGATTGGCGAGCCGTGTACGTCTGGGAATATGATTGTCCTTCTGCGAGGTGTAGGGTCAGGGGAGGCGCCTGACTTGATCGATTTATAGAAGCAGCAAGTGTGGAAGCATTACATAGCATGGCGTTTAGCGGCTGGTTTTTGCACTGGAGATACCCAGGTGCTCATGATGGCACGAATGAATGAATAGACGCGTGGTTACATACCTCTCACAATGCTGCTCGAGATCTCAGATGAACATGCACGGCTGAACTGACATGCCGCCACGGAGAGAGATGCCCTTTGACCCGGTGAATCCTTTATAATGCGACAGTCATAGGTATTCAGGCCATCGATGAACAAGAACGTGTAGGTAATCAATTTATTACATTTAGATTTAGATTTGTTCGGTACTGGTACAGCACTAAAAGTGGGCGTCGAGCACTTCGAACGCCGGTGTTGTCACCTGTCCTATGTGGATGCAGAACCCAACGTAAACGCCAACCCCATCGCTATATCGAATAATGCATGCCTTGGTATACGACTGCCATGCTTCCTGCTTATATGCTTCATCAGCTCGTGCGGTGCTTGGCACACGTATGCACCGTGTGCTTCTGCTCTTCCCCACCACGTTCTCGTCTTCGCGACGGAGGTTTCTCGCTGGCGTGTCGATATCGAAGCCATGTCGTGTGCGAAACTCGCTGTTCTTTCTGGTTAAGCTTATTAGACGCATCGCTGCGCGTGTTCGTCTCTCGTGGTGACTCTTCGCTCGCTCAATCATCGTCATGGTCACGGTTTCGGCACCTCAGGCCATGTATCTTCGTACCCCATGCGATGCTCCCTAGGTTGTTTGCACCGTCGGATATCGCAAGGTACCGGTCCAGATTGTCGTCGCCATCGCAGTCATAGTTGCTGCCACAGAGTCAGCTGCTAGCCCCCCTCAAAGCCCAATCCACCACTTACTCATAGAAGCGGCAATTCCAGTAATCATCCCTGGCCAACACAGTCGCGACATCATGCCCGCCTACTAAAATGCTCTGTACGCGCCCATCGATACTATTCCCGAGTTAGCGCAGCTGCCCGAATGCTGCAATACGAGTGCGACATACAGATTATTATCCAACGATAGACACTGGTTATTATACGCGTCCACACTAACTTCGCTCAAGAACGAAGGCGCAGCAAACAGCTGTACTTTGATCTTCCCGGATGTGATGGTGTCGCCGGCCAGCGCAAAGCCCGCCCAAGCCAGCAGCAGAGTCGAGAAGGGAACGAGGCGGCAGCTACTGGGCGTCATATCGCCGGCATCCAGAACACGCCCGTGGACGTCGTCGTGAGTATGCGCAAGTCGAGGGTGCAGTGGTCGGTGCGGGTGAAGGAACGGCGTGGAGCGTGGAGCGCTGGCGTACGTCCAGCAGGAGAGAACTGGAGTTGGTGGATGATGGCGGGTGGGTGGGTCATCTGAGCGAATCGCTGGTTGGGCGCTGCACCGCCTCCTCGCCGTCATATCCGCACGGACGTCACAACGGATGATAACCTCGCCAACCTCCTGTACCTATGCACATTTCACATCTATAAATCGCGCTGTACCCCGTTTTAGTGCTGGCAGGACCGCGCTCTTGTACACTTTGATGCAGCAGGTGTGCGGATAGGCTCCTTCTCTCATCCTTTGGGTTCGGTCTCCAGCGTCACATGCTTTTCTATGCCTAGCACTTGTCACAGTCACACTAAGATGGACAAGGAGGACTGAAAGCATTCTCGCGATTGGCAGGCGTTCACCGGACACAAGACACTGCATCAGAACGATTGCGACTCGGAAACCTTGCCCTGGGCAACCAATGTGCAGAGTGGCATTAGAGAAACTATGATTCGGTCCAAACACCAGAACCAGCAGCTATGACCCGTTTACTTCGGTTTACAAGAACATCAAAGCAAGCATTCGATCTAGAACGATTTTGCTTGTGGCTTGTGCTCATTCATGATACGCAGATTTATGGTAGCTGCGTTTCGCTCCATCAAGCCACAGGTCCACCTGTACCTTCCACTTCTTTTCTCTGCATTAGCCCCCGTGCCGTCCTGGCTCTGACGCATATACGATACTGTATCGAAATTTCGTCTAATCCAGATGCGATGGAATTTGGCAACATACGCCGAGCATCAGATTCTCATAGAAAGGGACCGGTTCCGATGTCTGAGTATGACGGTGACACAGCAGAGACCAGCGTAGGTGAACAGAAGCCGCATGAAAAGCACGAGTTCATGCTTGTAGTGTTCTAAAAACTACGGCTGTGATTTCGCAATTTTGCTTCCATTGGTGTCTTGATACACTTGTGCCCAGAGTGGGATGGTTCCTATGCCTCAATCTACAGCACATCTCTAGTGACAGTGAAATCCGTCGTCACAATCACGCCATCTTTCCCATCTTGCACCCTAGTCTCATCAGTGGCTCCAGTTGGTGCAGGACTAGCCTTTCGGTCCTGGTGCGAAGTCAGTACGTGTCCTAAGTGCAGTTCGTTCAGGGACATCTCTTACGAGAAAAGTAAGTTCCATCTCGTCATCGTCCAACGTGCCGCCCTGAACACGCGAGCTATGCCCGTTGCCTTTGCTGCCAATAGTCTTGCCATCCCCGGCTTGCAGGTAACCAGAGTTGCTGCGATCGTACGTGTTGTTAGGCGTTGGTCTAATGATGAGCGCCTTCAGAGAGGGGAGTGAGACGACGATAACGGCTGTACACATTTCCGCGGTGCACCATAGATCTGTAGCTGTGTTAACGAAGGTTGTCGAGATAAATCAGGCGAGGTGGTGACTTACTTCCATCTGCATCGGAAACATCATAGTCCATGTTATAGACGATGAACCGGGCAAGACTGATCGCCATCGTGATTGCGCCGAGAGAGAAGATGCCTACCAGACCAATCTTTTGTCGCTTACGAAGCTTCAAGCAGTTGAAGATGAAGAACGGTAGCCCGAATACTAATTGTCAAGATGTCTTAGCTAACGCCCTATGGATCGACTTCAGCATCACTTACGCAAGAGATCAGTGCCGAAATTGAGCGTCCAATTGACCACCAAGTTGGAGTAAGTGTTCCATGTTGAACTGAGCTGGTTCTCGATAGACCTTTTGAGGAGCCAATGTTAGCTGGAGAAAAACACTTGAGTATAATAATCTTGCTTTGGCCTTACCAGTTATCCGATATATTTGGTGCGATAAGAGTATCCATCAATACACTGGCGACAAAAGAACAAGCCACAACCACGGTGGTGACATAAACTGCGATCCGGAGACGTCTGAAGCCTTGAGGAATCAACCACCAGTAGAAAGCGACGAGCGAGGCTTTGGGAAAATACAATCCCGTGTCGAAGAAGTAGACTGACACGAATACGACCTGTCGCCGAGAACTAGTCAGCCTATCTGTTCAGTCGGACATGCCACATGCTGTACTATCGACGTACCTTTAGGTAAACAACGGAATCACTTCTGGTCTCCTCATCCAGAGGATGGTCAATCAGGATGTAGAGCGCTTTCGTAGAGCAAGCGAACCAGCCAAGCGCACAAACCATTCCTCCCCACACGAGATAGTCGGGCAATGTCAGTGAGCGCCGCTCTACAATGAGACGAATCCAACATCGTAGGATCGTGACGCCTAGTGCTAGAGCGAGCAAGATACCCTGGATGACCTGTGGACGATAAGTGAGACTTCGGAGTAATGCGTATGCGAACATCTTACAATGGAAGTGATGATCTCCATTGCGCAGAACAACACACAGTGCGTGTGTGGCTGGCGGAGGCTTGCTTCACCCCAATGGGGTCAGATGGAAGGAGTGTATGTGAAGACGACTGTGGGCTCTACCTGGGGCTGTTTGACATCTTGACACCTGCATATACCGGGTAGCGCGATGACAAGGGTCAGGGTATCTCACGAAGGGGCAGCTTTATCGCGGCTCCGAACTGGTGGTATATGATCAGGCGTGTTATGCTGCATATGAGTATCATGAATCGCATAGTTCCAAGCGGCTGGTAGCGTCTTCCTTCCGTGCTGATCACTAGTCGATCAACCAGCTCCGCGGTTCGCAGCCTATTACCGGCAAGACGAGACATACTCTTTTGCCGTATGGGCGATGACCTTCGGCATCTTCTAGACATCATATTTGCGCTACCGCGCAAACGTCAACCCATATATGATGAAGCTCCTCCAGGTGTCGCATGGCCCAGTCCAGTCAACAGCTTCAGCATGTCGTCTGATATCGCGTGGTGTCTCGGACATGAGCAACAACAAACCCCATTTCGTTCATCACCTATTCAAACCTGGCCGCGTGTTTTTCAGTCTCTGCCGTCTGACAGGCATGATGCCTCATCGTTCCTGGAAGCCGAAGCTGAGCAATGAAACTTCGCTACCAAGCCTAGGCAGCACTAGAAGAAGCCGGAAGCGGCTTGAAGACCTCAAGCTACAAATAGGAGCCTTGAAGTGCGTTGGAAGCGTGGTAAGCTACTGCCGGAAGCCATCAGGTACTACAACATTCTTGGGTGAGCTTGTCGTGAAGCTACTGCACCCGACAGGATTTTCCTGGAACGCCCTCGTGGCGTTTGCCTAGACGCGCCGGTAACTTGATAAGTCGCGTTGGTAGCGATAGGGGACGCAGGCTTGAATCGCAGTAAATGTTGATAGCGTTCCGAGGGCTTGGCGACGTCGCGGGGTTGCTTCCGACCCAACTACAGTTGCTCGCCGCCGCGGTTGACTTTCCCTTGGAGATGTCGGTCCTACTTCTCGTAGATGAGGCGGCTAAGAATCTGTGGCGGACCTCTAACATGTCATAAGCCTACTTGCATTTATCCATGGCATTCTCTTCGATGAAGCCGACGTGTGGCGCTGTGTAGCGTCATGACGGGTTTTCTGTTTCTCGAACAGCCCAGATCCCACAATCATGGCGCTTTGAGCCAGGAAATTTTGCGGAGTGGACCAACAGACTCGCGGACATGAGGTTGGTCTGGGTTCGAGGGTACTGTACCCTGCCGTGGATGGCGTCACACTTTCGCTCAGACTGTCTCAGGGGCTTTACGCTAGAGGAGGCGATGCGACGCCAACAAACCTTATACAATCCTAATTTGGTTTCCACTTCATGTTAATAGGCGTGGAGACTCCCAGGCGATAGAGATTGAGAGCGCGCGTAAGGCCCAATGTCGCAAATGATCCTGGAACAGAAGTGCAAGGTGTTGACGTCTACCTTCTTACTCTGGAGCCTACCTAGGTTTCCACGATGGAGAAGCTTTGACAGTGAGAGAGCATAAAAATCGTAGAGAGCGCTCTCGACTCAGCCATGCGTGCAATCGTACACAGGCTCGGTAATGCCTCCTAGACATTGATCTCGATAAGTGTATTGGTCTGCAGTGGCAGGTTAGATGACAGGGTTGAAGAAGAGTTGATGCTGACGGCGAGCGAGACCAGAAACGACATGGTCAAAGCTTCTTGCTGAGTAACCATTCCTACCCTTACCACCCTTCGCGATTCTGTGTGAACGGAAGACATCGTTTGGTGTCGCTATAACATGTATGACAATAGCTGGTGCGAGAAGAAGATCGCTCAGTACCAGCACAAACTTGGGATAATGCGTCCGAATAAAGACGTGCGTGCCGAGTCCCTTTTATACTGTCCACGCGGTCTGAGGAACGAAAATACCTCAATCGCTCGCATCCCATCCGCCCTACGACGCGTTGAAAGTCCCGCAGGCGGCAAGCAGAATAACACAAATTACGAGCAGCGAAACACAGCGCTGATGCGACATTCCTGCGTGAGCGCCCGTGGTGGCTGAGGTGCAGGTATCTCGAAACTCTCCACCCACGTGCGAAGTGCGAGAAGCTCATTCGTCTGTCAGCATATCCGTTATTGCGATCTTAGGTTACTTACCCAGATTCTCCCGGACCAACACGCGACGAACGCCTCTTTGTGTCCAAGACCCCTACCTACGATGCCCTTTCTATACCTCAGAATGGCAGCATGCTTGCGGCTTGCAAGGAGCCTCCAGGCACATATATATATGTCATCTCAATATCGGAGTCGACCCTAGTGGACGCCTGAAGTGGTCTTCCATGCCCCCAGGCTGCATATACGGCAAGCTGCAAGGCGACTGAACCTTCATTGCGAGTATACACTTCTACCCCGCGCTGTCTAGACATCGCCGCCAGCCTAGCAGCGTGACCTCACAACCAACACACCGTCGGTATTCTCGAATGTAGAGCTTGAACAATCCACAAAGATGCAGGATGATGAGGAACGATATGCGGACGGCTTTGCTGAATACGGCAGCTATTTTGGTGGACCTTCCTTCGACTACCTCTCGCCGGCTCAACCGACTTCCTCAGCGATAGCAGGAGCGTCTAACGAACACGCATTGTGCTCAGATACCGACCCCTACAAGCCTGCTTACACGGCGCCTGGATACAAAGAAAAGGATGGTAATCTTCCTTCGACATCTTACCCAACGCCACAAATAGCGCCTTCGCCGCTGAACTATCGTCAAAGAGCCCAGAGTCGTGATCCTGCAACTAATGAGTTCTCTCAACTGCCGATCAGCCCGGGCGCGCAAGCTTCTAAAGCTCATATATCACAGGACAAGGCTGAGTCTTCGCAACCACAACCTCTACGCTTTCTTAAACGTGCTTCAACAGCTCCCCCGACTCCTCCGATGTCTTGGGGAAGTAGCGCTAGCAACGGAGATGGCCTCTCAGACCGGATACAGTCCATCTATATCGCTTCTGAACGCCCTAGAGCCTCCAATCCGGCACCAGAGCCATTGAGGATAGCTCATGGAACTTTTGGGCATGTTACTACTACCAGCAATACAAGCAGTACTCGCAGCTCTAGTATCATCTCGTCGCCCATGCAAGGCTTGCCCGGTAGTCCTTTCCAGTTATCACAGAAGGGTTTCTCCATTTCCACTATGCAGAGTACAGAGAGCGAGGCAACTGAAATGAACCCCAGCGACGCTCAGGCTGAGATATTGCGCAGGATCAGTAGAAGAAATGACGCGTCAAGTCAGACGGGTTTCTCGTCTTTCAAGAAAAGCTTCTCACTTAAAAGGGCAGCCACTTCGGCAAAATCAGCTAGTGGACCGTCACAGGACACGTTGACTGACGTTCTTGAAGAAGTTGCTGCAGAAGGTAGCCTTTCTCTCGTCAAAGCAGTCATTAGTATGGGAGCTGATCCTATATATCGATCAATCGGTAAATTGAAAAGACTGAAGCACGAAGCTTTAGCAAAGGCTACCTTGAGTGGACGAGCAAAAGTGGTCGACTATCTTTTGAGGGAAGGGGCCACTTACGGAGAGACCGCGAAGAGAAGTGACTATACTCCAATGGATCGCGCGATGCTTGCAGCTGCCTACAAAGGGCACGCGGATCTCATCAACTGCCTCGTAGCGTCGCATGGAGTAAACCCAATGGTTGAGCAATGGCCGAGGGAGATGTATGACGCCCAACACTACTGGGCGGAAAACCAAGTCAGACTTGCGAAAACTAGCCTCCTCGATGGCCTTTCTAAATGGAAGAACGTTGATCAAGGCACAAACACACTAAAACTCATTATGCAGCATGAAAAGTTTGATCCAACGGCTCTAATTTCCGGCGTATTCGATAATAAGAGCGAGCTGCAGAGCGCTGAGTTTGGGCATCGCCCATGGCAGACGACGTATGAGTACTCGGTGCTAGCTTGCTTCGTCCGCGCTGGATGGGCAGACGCGGTGGAAGAGATGTTGAGCATAAAGGGAAAACCGAAACAATATGAAAAAGAAGACGATGTCTTACAATATCAAGGAAAGGTCACCCGCTATGTGTCACCAATCAATGCGTTGACGAAAGAAACATGGAGTAAGCGACCAGAGGACGCACTTCGCATACTAAGACTTTTGATCGACAGAGGCTTTGATCTATGTCTCGCACAACGCACCGCCACCGATCTGGGGGTGCGAACAGCGATCGGGCGAGCGATTTCAGCAGACGCTGCCCAAGGAGTCGAACTTATCTTGCAGGCCCAAGGCGGGCTAGTACGAGAAGACGTCTTCTTCCGTCGAAACAGAAGAGAGATAAATGCTCTACCACTAGCTGCTGCTCTTTCGTTCAACTCTCTCGAAGCGGCGCGTGTGCTACTTCGCGCTGGCGCGCATCCTCGAGATCCAGCGTTTGATGACATGAACGTACTGCAGTTCGCCGCCTATCACAGTAGTGCAACCAATTCTTCGATGCTTACGGAAATGATAGGCCTTGCCCCGGAACTAACGTACGACGCGTTGAGTTTTGCTATCAACGGCATCAACAAAGATGCAGTACGTGTGCTTCTGGACAACATCTCCGCAGCCGCTCGACGCGAACAGATCGCCGCTCTGCCGCCTATTCACGATATGCTTCTCCACTGCACTCCTCCCACCAAACCGGAGCTCAAGACGCAATACCTAGAGCTCATCGACATGGTCGTGCAATGGGACGTTGGATACGCGCTACAATGTCCGCAACTTCCGGCAATCTTGTCGGCAATTCGAAAAGACAACTACATTGGTATGGAGAAGCTGCTTCAACTTGGCGTAGTAGATGGCAGCAGCCTAGTGTTGAACAGTAGAGCGCAGCCGCGTGGGGAGTTGGGTATGTGGACTATGTTGGAATGTTGTGAGTTGACAGACAGGAGTTCGGAGTGGTTGGGCCTATTGAGGAACTTTGGGGCGCCATTGTATCATTGACGCCTTATCGCGTTCCAGACTCAAGAGACTGTTGGGGGTAAACAGATGTTTCTATCATGTTGTTGGTTTCGCTTCGCTGGGTGAGTCTCCTTTGGTGTTTGTAGTCTGGTCTGAGGGTGCTGCTAAAGGCAATTCCGAGGCTGGCTCAACCTTGGGCTTCCGTCCCCATTTACCCTTAAATTTACCCCCTTGCTGCTTGATCCTTTCTTTCTTCGTCTCAGCTACCCATTCTCCACGGAATCTCTGTCTAGGCTTCGTTTCTTTGTCCTGCGCCATCTTCCTCTTCATGCTTTCTTGACGTCCATTGACATGCCCTGAGTTAATCGGATTCGCCACAACCCACTTCTCAAGCTGTGGTTTGAGCTTCGGACCCCATGTGGATTCGCCAGCATCCAGTTCTGGGTATGTGAGGGCGGAAACAGTATCTGGAGATCTGGGTGAGGAATCGACGGTGAAGTTGGCTTGCCGAGTGCGATCCAGAGACGCCATGTATGAAAAAGTGCTGCATGCGATACCCAGATCGTGCGCAAAGCTGCGAACGTAGAAACCAGAGCACACAGTCAACCTGATACGCGCTGCAGGCGCTGAAGCAGGCTCTTCTCCGCCAGGAAGTGCAAAGGAATGCTCTCCCATGTCATACCAATCTAGTAGCGTGCATTCATCGACGTTCATCTCTCTACTCTCCAACTCTCTTGGTAACTCCTTACCCTGTCGCACGTACTCGCAAGCCTTGATACCATTGATTTTCAGCGCAGAGTATACTGGAGGGACTTGCTGGATGGTTCCTCTAAAGTTTTCCAGCTTTTCTTCAACCAACTGACGAGTGATATGCGAGGTATCTGCCGATTCAACAATGGTTCCCGTACAATCATAACTGTCGGTGCTAGCACCAAACACAACGACTGTTTCGTAAGTCTTGTTACATGCTAAAAACTGCGATAGTGATTTTGTACCGCGCCCGATCCCTACGATGAGTACGCCTGAAGCCAAAGGGTCGAGCGTGCCACCATGACCTAAACGAAACACCTGATCGGATGATTTGCTGGTACGTTTAGGTTGATGCTTGAGCAGCGACGCAAATGTAGTCGATGGAGCGAATGTTGATTGAAGTTTGAGGAGGACGTCTGCTGACGAGACATGTGCAGGCTTGGCTACCGCTAGGTGGAGTCAGAGACAAGTTGAGAAATGATGATAAGATGGCATACCAAAGATGCCCTCTAGGACTGGTTCAGCTTGTTGTCCGGCAGCCGTCCTGTCTTGGTCTTCCATTGTCAGTCACGTCACGTTACGTCGCGTTGGTAGGTGATTGACCCTTTGCGCTAGACGGAAGAATTGCTCTAGATCGCGGGACTAGCGCGTTCTGAGCTTACCCCACCACACGCCCTACGCCTTTTGAGATGCGCATGCCTTGCGAGACGCAGGCATCGGTCAGAGAAAGTCCGGGGCAGCTGTGAGTGTATCACAACCATTTGCTAGACCACATCTATACACATCCTTGTGGTAAAGTTAGCGGCGCCGACTTCGGGCTGGTCCATTCATCTGACACCATCGTTCCTCAGTCATTCTCACCAATCTTAATACCAACCCGACAATTGCGACTACCGAGCCTATGGACCATCAGCGAATGAGCGATTGGCAAATGCAGCCCTGGAATGAGGACACTATTGACCCTTCGTGGTTCTCCAACTTCCTAGCCACCGATCCTGGCCAGGATGCGCCTAATGCTGCATCTGGTGCGCCTGCCGCATTCAGCGTTGACGACGACTTGGCAATCGACCCGAACTTCCACGACTTTACGTTCGAAAACATATCACAACCAATGAGCACTGTGACTTCTCCAAGTCATCCGTTTGATGCATTCCAATTGAATGAGACTCACGGACGCCCACTGGTGCAACGACAACACACACTTCCACGTCGTCGAAGCAAGTACTTTAAGCGCAGATCGACTGGAACCGCAAGTCCGATAGCCATACCTGGTGGAAGTCCCCGACACGAAGAAGGACAGTCGCTGGCTATTCAGCGGTGGCGGAATTCGCCGCCTGAAGACGAGGCTGCATCTCTATCGGCTATCTACCATGCTTTGGAAGACAGACCGGTAGGTGCTTCACCACGCATTAGCCGACCCTCTAGTAGCGACGCCTTTCGCAAATATCGGGGCCCCTCGTCAACGACTAGTCTCGACAGCGCTGCCAGCGAATCTTCATTGCGATCCGTGAACTCGAGCCACTCCGCCACGTCACAGTCGAAGCGTCGCAGTCAGGCCACTAAAACCCGGAAGGGCAGAGTAAGAGGCACCAAAATGAACGACCCAGAGCGTATCTTCAAATGTACATTCTGCTGCGATACGTTCAAGCACAAGTACGACTGGACACGCCATGAAAAGTCTTTGCATTTAAACCTCGAAAGTTGGATGTGTACGCCGCACGGGGCTTCTGTGGTACTACCTCTAACCGGCAGAGTACATTGTGCATACTGTAGTGCACTAGACCCGACGCCCCAGCATCTGCAGCAACACAATCATGCGGCATGTACCGATGGTAACAATACTCCGCGTGTCTTTCATCGAAAAGATCACCTTACCCAACACCTTCGCCTAGTACATGGAGTCGAAACGCTACCTCTGATTGACGACTGGAAGCTTGAGACTTTGCCAGTAAAATCTCGATGCGGCATTTGCGATGCGAATCTGAACAGCTGGGACGAGCGATCAGACCATCTGGCAGCTCATTTTCGTGAAGGCAAGACTATGGCCGATTGGAAAGGCGAGCACTGCTTTGAGCCCGATGTGGCGGCTCGTGTCATCAATGCATTTCCACCCTATCTTCTTGCCGAACAAGCCAATACCGTCGTGCCTTTCTCAGCAACTAACCCTGGATCTATCGACCACACAAAGCAATTAATCTCACGCATCCAACTTGAAGAGCCAGCACAAGAGCCTCCGGCAGCAGAAACCACACATACGCCTGATCAACAAGCCTTTGAAGACTCCTTGACGGCTCTTCGAGAATTGTCAACACAACATGATCACGACTTTGCTACTGTTCTTACACGCCATCTTAGTCGCTTCGCAAGACAGCAGATGTTATCAGGAATTATTCCAACGGATGAGATGTTTCAACGCGAATCGCGAAGATTGTTGTATCAGGATCCGGACGATGGGTGGAACCAAACAGTAGCTGACAATGCCAATTGGCTACAGGACTTTCGTCGTCGTAGTGGGCTTGAGGGGAGTCCTAACACATGATGATAGTGCAACTCTGCCGTAGCTTTAAAGTGTCTTTCCAAGTCCTCTCGGCAATCTATCCATACTATCCTCTATCTTTGCAAGAACTTGGCCGTCTATCGTCAAACAATACCACCCTGCAAAGTTACTCGGTCCTTGAGATATGATAGATTGATGCTGCTTATCTGCCCAGCTCTTCCGAAGAACTGCAACGCGCGCTTACCTGTCCAAATTGGATTTTCATCGCCTAGTTCGAGAGTTAGCTGGTCTGTTCTAACTCGAGATGCAAATAGAACCCAGATCGGATCTTGATAGACCATGAAAAGAAGTTTCTCACCAATCCAATGTCCAGCCTTTGGAATCGCCTCAGCAACGAAATCATCACTTATCTGCGACCATATTTCTTCTAATAGCGTCACAGGAGAAAAACTTGCTTCGCCTCCCAATACCAGCAATGGCATCTGCAACCTCTTCCCGCTACCGAACACCGAAGTGAAGTAGGCTTCGTCATCCCAGGCCGCTGCAAAGTACTCCATGCCGCTCCTTAGAAACCCGGGTTTGGATATCTCGTTCGTGTAGCGCTGTAGGTGGTCTTCGCTCAAAGCCGCTGTGCCAGAATAACTCGCATGAAAAAAGTACCAGCTCAGCATCTGCTTTTCGCGCCCTTGAATGAAGAATTCGGCTGCATCAGGCACGGCAAAGAATGCGAGTTGCCAATTCTGGTACAAGCTAGAACTCGTTACCTGGGTAGGATACCCGTAACCTGGGAGAGCGTATTCTGCGAGAATGATAGCTTCAACAACCGATGGGTGTTCTATAGCAAGAGAAGTCGCAAGCCCTACGCCTTTGTCATGCGCAAAGACGTATGTAGACGTGATGTTGAGGTAATCTAGGATGGCTTTGAGATCGGTGCCGGCAGCTGCAGCCGTGTAATTCTTTGAGAAAGGAAGCGCTGAGTCTCCGCAGCCGCGTATATCTGGGGCGATCACAGTATCTGCTGTTACATTAGCCTGGAAGGGTTTCGTAATGAGAATTGACGGATGGACATACAGTTCTGCGCCAAGATGGGTCCGATGGTATGCCACGTCAATGAGTGCTGGGGGAAGCCATGCACTAAAAGGATGGGCGGACCTTCACCATGGTAGCGGAAATGAATCGAAACGTCGTCGAGCTGGATGCGCTCATGCTCCCATTCATCGAAGTTTGATAATTGCGCGAGCGTAAACTGCGCTAGAGCGAACGTGCAAATACTGATAATGTTGAAGAGATTCATGATGCAAGAGGTCAAGATTAGCTATATTTCAGAAACTCAACGTCCGCAAGCACAGCTTTATCTTTTTTCATTTTGTCGACACTTTCAAATGAAGCTTTAGTCTCGTTAGACCTTTTGTCATGTGCTTCACATGCAATGCTCTCATTTTGCTACTCTTTCCTATTGCGATGCATGACTGTCCATGAGGAGTCACAAACAGCTGACTGAGCATGGGGGCTGCATCGGGCTTAAGCACCAGGCTTACTAACCTCGGTCTACCACAATGCCGACGAGAACGAGAAAGTTGTTCGCAAAAGCGCACGTAGGTGGAATATACCATTCGGAAAGTAGATACGCAGGATTGTATGTCAACAATCTGCACTTCGATTGGCCTTCACCAAGGCCACTTCTTATTCCCTATACCAAAGGCATCTTACTAATCATCAGTGTCGTTACAATTCGTCCCTTTCGTTGCCATCTTCTCTCGAGATACTCTTTGCCTCGAATGCATCTCCCTCCTTCTTAACTCTACGTAGACGTAGAACTCGCGCAGCGTGACTCTTCACATCTGCCTTGAGCATTCCACCAGCTTCAACTACGCCAATCTTCTCTCCAAACAGTCGCGCATCCTCTTGAGCGAGACCTTTAGCGTAAGGGATCTCAGTAGCATTGTACCAATTGGCCTTTGAGAGAATGGATTCTCTCTGCACATGAGTATCTGCGCTGAGTAGTTCTTCGGCGGTAGCTTCAGGCATGCGATGAGCCCAAAGGTCGTGTACGGCCCAGTCATACTTTACGTGCGGTGCTGATCCACCGGGTCCGTATGGTATGAAAATCTCAGCCAGGGAGACGCTCATCTCCATGTCCTTGCCACCAGCGTTAAGGAGTATCACGGCTTCGTCTCCATTTTGGAGATGTCCAGCCCAGACGTGTGTCTCACCAACACCCCACTCATCTTTCGCCACACCTTCCGTGTCCCTTCTGACGCGCGTTACACTTCGCCCATGGGGATCCTGACTAAGCGCGATGATGGCAGGGTTGTTGATGATGGTAAGAGCAGAAGCTGGCATGTTGCGCAGATCGTTACCAAGGAAGAGCGGAGATTTGAGCGCGGCCCAAAGCGCAAAGTGCGCTTTGTATTCTTCGTCGGTCATACCGCCTTGACCGACTTCAAGCATGTCCAAATCGCTCCAACCACCAGGAATGCTACGGTCGGCAAAAGGGGCGACTTTGTTGAGAATGAAAAGTACCGAGCAATGTGTACCTGGTGCTACGCAGTTGACATCGCCTGGTGCCAAACTATTGCATCCACAGAGGTCATCAGGACGTGTGAAAGAGTCGTAGATATCACCTGTGATACGCCAGCTGTTAGATATACTCATTCCCCACTACAAGAAGTCAGTTTTTGCATATCACGGTAGGCTGTAATTTCATCTTGCTTACGGTGTGAACAAGATCCTCTCCCCAGTTGCACAAGTTGAGGAGAATGTTCTTTCCTGTCGCTTTCAAAGCATCAGACATGGTTTTGAAGCGATTGAACGACACTGATGGTGTGCCAACGCGACCCATGTGGTAGCAGCTGTCATACTTCAACATGTCGACACCCCAACCTGCAAAGCTTTTTGCATCGTCAACCTCATGGTCTAGTGACCCCTCTAATCGATGTCAGCATGCTGCAGAAAGCAGAAGTGACTGCTAAACCATACCGAACCTCGCACATGTCATCTCACCGGCGCTGCTGTACATGCCGAACTTGAGGTCTTGACTATGCAGATGATCTGAGATGGAGTTCAAGCCGTTGGGGAACTTGTCGAGCGCTGGATGGAGTTTTCCATCCTCATCCCGACCTTTTGGATCTTGCCAACAGTCGTCCAGCACGACATAGTTGTAACCCAGATCTCGCAATCCTAGGCTTAGGATTTGTGAAGAGGTCGTAAGGAGAAGGTCTTCGGAGACGTCGCATCCAAAGGCGTTCCAATTGTTCTTGTCTGATCAGTTATAGATCTGAAATATTGTTGATGGATCTTACCCAGCCCATTGGTGGTGTGATAGCGAGACCATTGTTAATGGCAGTTGCGCTGCCCAGCAGCGTCGTCACCAGCAGAACGCTGCTACGTGAATTGGTCATGATGGAAGTGTAATGTTGTTTCTCGGTGAGAGATGCACCAACGGCGTCTTAAACAGTCTTCTACGTATGTACCATCTCAAGTGGATCTTAGGCGTGGATGAATGGACCCTTGCGCCAAGTCCGCAGACTTGGATGCGGCATGTCGGAGGCTCCGCAAGGGCAGGAAAATTGGCGAGTTTTCCGCCGCTAGAGCCCGACGCTCATGCTACCCCACCATGTTTGAATGGGAGCTACTGACTCGATCCTGCACGATTACAGAGACAATCCTGAATAGCACGATAGTGGGGATTGCCTGCTTAACGCGAGCAGTGCTTCGTACTCAGGATCATTGTCCCTCGGCTCGAGCTCCATATGAGGTGCGAATTGCACCAGAAAGCGCAGCAACCATCGATCAAGAACGAAGCTTGTCTCTTTGCTTCGGAGACAAGTTTGATGAAACGCCCGTAGACGGCTCATCGCGCCGTCAACACTCGGCCAATACGTTTTCAGACGCAAGAGTATCTCAAAGTTGCGTTCCAACCTGGACTTCGATATACGTATCTCGCCCTCATCGCCAGAAAAGAGTAGGGTATGAATCTGGACAGTGGAAGCAACGACGAGAATGTGTGAAACTGCCGAATACAAAACTTCATTACCAGGTGTAGAATGCGAGCGGTAGACGAGGGCGCATAGCCGGGCTGCATGTTGCTTGCAGGCGTCAGCATATTTTGCAGAGTCGGTTGGCGCGTCAATTGACGAAGACAAAAATTGGTAGTTGAGAAGCAGCCCGTAATGATAATAGCCAAGATACACAGCTACAAACATTCGGCCAAGGCCACGCGATGCGAAGGCTTCGAGATTTGCTGGCGTATCACGCATCTGGTGCGGAACTTCCTCTAACCAGACGTCGAGATCGCGAGAAAGTTCTCGTATGCCTCTTTCAAGCGGTGGGCCTTCGAGATGTTCTGATACGCACACTCGATTGAAGTCGATGATTCTCGCCAGGATCCGATTGAGCTTTACCATCTCAGCAAGGAGAGGAGAGTTAAGGTACGGCGTTTGGTCGCTGAAGTCTCCCGTTAGATCGTTGTTCATTACGGAGAACGGTATCTCATCCACTGGCAGTGGCACAGCGCTATCAAATGGCATGATACGTGGTAGTCTCACGGCTGTGGATGACCAGACATCAACCATACATAGAGTCCACCAAGTTCTGATGTTGACTTCGCGTTCCACCAGACTTGTGACGGGACGATTGGGAAGATCGAGGGCTAGAGCAAGCCTTCCGCCCATACTGTAGTATAGGTTCTCGACGTCTGTCTCGCCACTCGCAGCGGCATATGCTCCCAGCAAAACGCATACCTGAACTGTTACAGGGGTGAGCTCGCGGATACTAAAGAGCTTCTCGCTTGATGTGCGGTAGACCTCGCCCCTTTCTCTCGGATCAGTTCCGTCAAAAAACTCATCGGTAGAGAATCTTGCGGCAAGCGCAAAAATAGCATAAAGCACTATATGCGGTACCCGGTCATTGGTCACATCGTCCATGAATGACGCTTTGTGATACATCGAGTGAAATTGGTCGTGAATGTAGTCGAAATACAGCTCCACTAACGCTCGCCTCAAGGCGGCCGGTGGTAGATCCTCGTGGCCTTGGTTTGGCAATGTCTTGGCTTGGAGCGAGAGAGCTTGCTGAGTTGCAATACTCTCATGAAGTCTAGCCTGGCGATTGGCATAATAGCCTCCTTCTGGTGGGCCTCGGAGACATTGTAGACCATGTGACAAGCAATACTCGCACACCGTTGCCAGCCGGTTTGTCGGATAGATGCATTTGCGCCGACGAGCTCTTCAACCAAATTAGCGGGTGCGCGCCTACACAGACTAGGACAGCATATCAGAGGCTTACCGACATGCACTGCATGCAGATGGTTTGCGCATCACTAGGTCTGAAGTTGCGCAATAATCTGGGGATGGAGAGCGGAAAACTGGCGGAGAACCGAATGAATGGGCAAAAGAAGGGAGAAGCGGGCCTGCATGACTCGCACGTCCCCCCGGACGGCTGACCAAAACTGGAAACGGCTACGCTAGGCCAAAGCACCTATTTAGCGGCGGTATACTGGCGGAGAAGTCTCTCACGACCTGGTGGCCGACTGGGCAAACCTCGCTCTAGTTGTGATTGGCTTTCTTCGCGCACTTAGACGCCCCAGCTCTCCCCATGGGCACTCTGTACGAATATTCCGCCATGTGTTTCCCCGCAAGACAACCCGCTCTTGCCCCTTCTCGGCCATTACCGGGGCTTAGACTCCCAAGCACTCGGGCTAGCCCTTCACTTGTGGCATGGCTCCTGTAAATGGTTCATCTCTTGACTATGCATACAAAAGGCTGGGGTCTATATAGACCGCAGATCCGTCCATGTGGTTGACCTGCATCTTTTCGACAGGTCAATACCAAAGACTATCTCTCTTGGCCCCTCGCATACTCTGGAGTCAAGTCCAATATGGCTTCAATGGAGAAGACCACCGGCAACGTGGCCACCGAGAAGGTCACCTCAACACAAGGACAACACAATGCGGTCGACGAGACGAGCGCGGCTATCAACAATGAGCACAACATGTCGGTCCGGCAGTCCTTGAGATTCTGGTGGAAAGCGATCGTATTCTCATTCGTCATATCGCTTTGCGTTGTGATGGAAGGCTACGATACAAGTCTCATGAACAAGTTCTTCGCCTTTCAACCATTTCGAAACAAGTTCGGCGATGAGATTGATGCCGATGGCAACAAGCTTGTCTCTTCGAGATGGCAGACCATCATCCTTAATGGTACTCAGGTACGCATATACACCAGTGAAGGTATCAGCTCAATGGACTTTACTAACAGGCACATAGGTCGGATGCATTCTCGGTCTCATCGTCAACGGTTATATCACTGAATGGATTGGATACAAGAAGACAATGATCGGCAGCATGCTGTTCATGACTGGCGCCATCTTCATTCCGTTCTTCTCTACAGGACTGGAGATGTTCCTTGTGGGAGGCATAATCCAGGGTCTCCCATGGGGTGTCTTCCAAACACTGGCAATTTCATATGCCGCAGATCTCTGCCCCACGCATCTGAGAGGATACATGACTTCGTGGATCAACATGTGTTGGGTCATCGGCGGTCTCTTGTCTACTGGCATTCTCACTGGACTGATGAAGAACACGACTCAATGGGGATACCGCATTCCTTTCGCTCTCCAGTGGATCTGGCCCATCCCTATCATCCTAGCTACCTTCCTCGCACCGGAATCACCTTGGTGGCTAGTCCGACAAGGTCGCATCGATGAGGCCAAAGCAGCGATCCGCCAAATCACTACACCTACAGACGGCGTTGAATTCGACCTCGATGCGCACGTAGAGATGATGGTTGTCACTGACCAGTACGAGAAACAAGTCGGTGCTGGAACCAACTACTGGCATTTGTTCCGAGGAAGCGATCTACACCGCACTGAGGTTTCTGCCATGGCCTTTATCACCCAAGCTCTCTGCGGTGTTCCCTTCATGGGCTTTGGGTAAGTTCTATCATGTGCTACATGGAGGGTATACACTGACATTATCAGAACTCAATTCATGCAAGGCGTAGGCCTCAGTCAAGACGACTCCTTCCATCTAACCATCGGTCAGGACTGCTTGGGTCTAGTTGGATGCTTTATCGCCTGGTGGATCATGACGCGCTTTGGCCGACGACCCATATACCTCGTTGGATTGTCCGCCATCTTCATCATACTTTTGATTGTTGGCTTCATCGGCCTAGCGCCGTCTACGAACGAGAATGCAAGTCTCGCTGGAGGTGTTCTAATCATTCTCATGATCTTCTGCTTCCAGGTAAGTTTCATACATTCCGTCTTGCAGCCAATCGCAAGCTAACCCAATCAGCTATCCCTGGGACCCATCTGCTACTCTCTTGCAGCCGAAATCCCCTCGTCGCGCCTCCGTGTAAAGACTGTCGCACTCTCTCGCGCTTCATACAACTCCATTGTCTTCGTCACAAACACAATCATGCCGAAAATGGTTGGCAAGAACGACTGGAATTGGGGTGCGAAGGGTGGTTTCTTCTGGGCTGGTATTGCACTTCTGTTCATCGCGTGGGGATACTTCCGTCTTCCTGAGCCGAAGGGTTTTACCTACTCTGAACTGGATCTCATGTTCGAGCACAAGGTTTCTGCGCGCAAGTTCACACGTGAGGCTGCGGATGCGTTGAAGCCTGCGTTGACGGACGTCGCCATGCAGTACGAGAAACAGAATGGGGTCGAGCGCGTAGAGTCGCATGCATGAGCTAGCTAGTTACGGTTGGTATATCAGTGGTGGTAATTTCAGTGTATGCTGTCGTCGCAAGAACCATTAACAATAATAAACTTCATTGACATTCTATTCAATCCCAGATCTTTCTCTCCCGTATTCGTATTCTACTATTGCCAGAACCTCGCTACCTCCTCATATTTTAAACCTCCTCCATGTGTATCATTTGGTGTTGTGGTTTGACTAGACTCGGGTTTCGTCATTTCGGTAGCTTCCATGCCCCAGCGCTCGAGCTCCTCTTGACTATCCGTCCATGTATCCTCACTTAGTTGTGGAATTGCGGTAGGCTTCTGGTTCGACTGTAGCTGTACAGGGATACAGCTTTCGCTGCACGAGTAGAGTGTGTGCCGTTGTGCCCGACAATGGCCGATGATGTGGTCGTGTTGGTTCGTTGTCGAGACGACAGCGGCGGTTGTTGTGGTGGATGCAGTCATTGAGGGGTGTATTGGAGTGACGGTTGAATGATTTTCTTCAAGCACCTCGAATGCTGTCAAGGTATTTGTTGTAGTAGTGGATGTGATGATGTTGATGATGTTGATAATGATGTGGGTGTATTTTGCTATGATGGCCTACCTTTTATACTATACTGCAACAATATCGAGAACGTGTTTGTCTCACTATCATGTAGCATCTGAGATAGACCTGAAGATACGAGGTGACTTTGCTCAGCGTGTTGCGCGGGTGGCGTTATCTCGTTGTGCTAATTAGCGAAGGTGGTGAGATCGCAAGTGCCCCATGCCGGTGGCACCACTTCAGTTTCAGTGCGCCGCATGGTCGCGCCAGATTTTAGCCCAACAACTAACAACAGTGCTGTACAAATCGATGTATAGCATATGACACCATAAGACACTTCATCGGACAGACTAAAGTAGAATACAGTTGTATTAATTGTGTAAGAGCTGACCAAAGGTTGGAAAATTAACTTTGCGACAAGCGCCTATGGGGTATCCGAGATCTAAAAAAGATTAACAAGAGGAACAAAAACCAATCCTACGCGTCTGATACTGGCGGTGATGGCGGATGCGTCGGGTCTAGATGCTGCCTCTTTGCATCTGGTAGTTGGTCGGATTCATCGCATATGCGCTTCATCGACCCGTTTGCGGCATTGCCATTCCGCAATTGCGCTTTCTCCTTGTTCCTAGCAATCACCTTCTTCCATTGCGCTCTGACACGCAACACGGATGTCACGCGCTCGAAATGCGATATCGGTGGTGCGGGCTCCATATTCAGACAATCAATCCTTCTTAAGCCAATGCGTTCCTTGTTGTTCAGCGCCTTTGTAAGAAGTCTGGCCATGTAGTCGATCTGTGCTTGGTCTAGCTCCGCGTCGCGAAGACCAAACCGTAGGGTCAGAAAGCCTTTGGCCCTTGGGCGGTACTGATGTAGAGCATCAGTTTTCTCTGGTCCGAAAGGTGTCAAGAATATGTGCTCTTGATTTGGCTGAGGGTTACGACTACGGCCCCAAAGTTGGGAAGGTGTATCGATCCGTCTCGGGTCTTGGTTGATGCGTTGCGTCAGGCTGAAGGTAGATATCGGACGCTTGGGGTCTTTGTCAAGGAGCTCATTGGCAGCGTCGATGAAAGCGCGGGTATACGAGTTTGGTCCGGGTGCGGCAGTAGTTTCGTCGAAGTGGCAAGCGCTCAGTAGCTCGAACTTCTTCTCTTCCTGCCTGCTGGACTTTACGAGATTGCTGGCGTAGCAAGTATCCAGAATAGTCAGTACATCGGCCTCAACATCTTCATGACGCAGCTGCTCCTCAGCCTTGTTCCAAGTGGCTCGGGCTACAGTGCTAAAGCCCGTCTCCTTGGAAGGATCTTGGGTTCCCGTAAGCTCCAGAGTTTTGGTTGCCTTTTGGAAGATACCGTGTCCCGTATAATAGACGATGAGTAGACTCTGTGTCCCGTCATGCTCGCAAATGAACTGGCTGATGTGGTTGTCGAGCTGATGCTGTGGCTTCTTTCGTATGTTCAATTCGACGATCTTGGTCTGGTAGTGAAAGCGGTCGCGGAAGAGGGATTCGAGTTCTTGGGCCTTTAGGTTTGTCAGTCAGTCAATTCTGTCCCGATGTGCTTCACCCAGGTATACCTCGTCAGCAGTTCTTAGCTCGTCCAGATGGTCTGCCCATTTGATCAGAAGCACTGCGACTTTGGTGTAGCCATCTGCAATGTCCATGTTCTTTGCAATGGCCTCGGCCCACCAGTTCTTCTGTGCTTCTGCGTTGGAGCTGGCGTCATCTTCCTTGCCAGGCGTGGTCTCTACAAGAGGTTCGCCATTCTGGGGAACCGGCTCATTGCGCCTAGGCTCGTCTTCAACATATCGTATCTGGAAGTCGGCATTTATGCTCTTGCCTGGGAGTGGGTTTGCGTTGGCAGGAGCTATCTCAGTCGTTGCGCCGTTCGCGACGCGTACCGTGGAGTCTGGGAGAGGAGCCATTGTTTTGTGAGGCTTCCAGGCTGCGAGGCTGGAAGAGTTCGCAGGCACCCGCCATTATGAGGGATGGAGTTCACCGTCGTGGACCAACCTTCAGCCCCCATATTGGGTGGGACATGCAACACGGCTCGAAGGGTGCGGAGATAGCAGGTGCTGCCCGTCCCGGCCAATCAGCGCGTCGCGCAATTACACCACCACCGTTTGGGGGCCAAAAGCAGTGCCTCCACCATGCACTCTCGACGCTCGTCTTACCATATTGACCAAGCGCCCCATGTCATGACCCTATGCGGCAAATGGCAGCAAACTATGACGGCTTGCTCAGCGACAGCATATCCACAGAGGGGTTCGTCGTGCAGAACCGCGGAATGCGCCCAGCAAGCAGTTCTGTAAGCTGCGGCTGTGCACGCAAATGTGCCCCCAACCATTATCGATACCGGTCACGAACCTAGGTTGCCTGGGGCTGCAGCAAGTACACGGTCAAGGAGGCCAGCAATAGCGTTTCTCTATAATAGCAGACAGCCTGCTCATTCCCAAGGGCATCACCTACAAGGCTATCCTGCCTCACTTAACACACTTGCAGCGACAATGGCAACCGACATGCTCGAAGCTGAGCCTTTCCAGGCCATCGAGGTGAGTCGTGCCCCAAACTTCATGCCGCACAGGGCTGATGTTCAGGCACAGGATCAACACTTGGACTCAGCGCCCGAAGTCCAAACTCCTCTGACCAAGTCTGGAGTTGCACCAATCAAAAACCCGGAAGCGGTACGTCCGTTCTTTTTTCAACACACATAGCTGGCTCTGACGAAGACTCAGGCAGAGGCGCGCTTCAGAAAGGGCGACCTGGTGCGCAAGAAGGCATCGGCGTCCAGTGGTGCTCAAACCAAGGCTGCCTACTCGATTTATGCGAGTAGGAACAGCCCGCATGGGTGGGTCGAGTATCAGCTCAAAGACTTCTATACGCACAAAGTGGACGGTACTTGGACACGCGAAAAGGACCTGAAGGCCGGCGCCTGAGCAGTGGTACCATCAATGTGGCTGAGTTCACCGGTGTGCCACAGGCAGCTGAAATCGTCATGCGTGCAGTCAATTATGGGAAGGGGCGTTCAGGGCGTTGGGGGCTGAGTCTTACGGATACGGCGATCGCTTTTCTCAACCTTGCTTTCTCAACACTACTTACACTCCTCTGTAGCCACAACCTGTTAGCCACACCTCACTCTTAATGCCTGCTTGAGTGATTTTTCATTGTGCGCAAAAAACTCGCCCATCTTCTTTTCGTCACTTCTTCGCTTCCGTGCGGGTCGCGCTTGCCTTTCTGCCTTGCAATGACCCCTCCTCGTACTATGACCGGGGATACATTCACCGATGAGAAAACACCTCCATCGCCAGCATCTCCAACGAATACCGACACGACCTTAAGAGGAGATGCTTTCATCGAGATAGCGGACGAGAATAGCGATTGCCACTCTACCATCTCGCCCTCCGTGCGAACGAACGAAGTTGATGTTGAGAGTGCACAGCCTCGTACGTTTCTCCATGCGACCGTTTTGGCCCCCAAAATATATCAGCAACGAGTCTCCGCGCACCAAAGACAGCCAATATAGAGCATCGAACGTTGTGGGATGACCGTTTCTGGTCTGACAGCTCGTATGCATGACATGATTATAGCATATGGCCAGACCACTCCGGGGGCTAGAAGATTAAATCTACATTGAGCAACACTGATACATCTTCAGAAACCGAGAACAAGCGGCCTGGAGTCTTACAACGCGTGACAGGTTCATTTCGCTCAGAGCCAGACCCCATATTCGTGACTGAAACTAACACCCGAACACGTAAGCACACCAATGCCTCCCTATGTCGCTTAGTGCTGATGACGGTCAGTGGAAGGAACACCCAACGGCTTCCCAAGGCTTGCAGCGTTTCAAGCTAGTGACACAAACTTCGCGCTTTATCGATCGTTCAGTTACTTACACTCACGAGTCCTGCTTGACCTACAGGATGAGATTACCTCCTTAGAAGCAGAGCTTGATGAAATCGACCTGGAGGACTCTTTCGAAGACCAGCGTCGTCTGATGTCGAGGGACTACGATGCTAGCCAACCTCATGGTGAAGGAGCGCCTCGGAGCCGTCGAGTCATACTTCGCGAAATTAAAACCAAGCTATTAGAATATGGTATGCATACGCCGATAATCAATCTGGGCACAGATAACTAAGCATGATACAGATGAGGTGCTTATGAAAGCAAGAGACCTTCAGTCTTTTCAAAAGCCGTCAGATCGAAACTATCGTAGCCTACGACGCTACTGCTACAAGAAGAAACCTCTTTTGGATGAAGGGCTTGAATCCATTCGTACTAAAGAGGACATGGTCACCATCCACAACGGCCGCGAATGGGCGACCTTTGATGGCGGTGTTGAGACCGTCATAGGACAAACAGACAAGTTCCTCCAGAAGGTATTTCGAACGAAAACACCTCCGCTACAGGTATGCACATTATGTTCTTGAAAGTGAAAAGACACACCACTTACCTATTTTGCAGAAGTACTTCCGAACTCCGGAAGCACAAGAGAAGACCACCGATCCCGATATCTCATATTACAGCAGCTCGCGTATTGACAAGCTGGTCAACATCCTAATAACCTTCATCATATTCTGTCTGCTCGTGATACCAGTCATCACCATGTACCAGTTGACGAACACGGCTGCACACATTGAGGTTGACCCTTCGGGCAATACGACTACGACGAGCACCATCGATACTAACAAGCGAGACACTTTCAATGCGGTGGGTGTGTTAATGGTCTTTACTCTGCTGTTCAGCGCCGCAATGAGTCTACTGACAAAGGCGGCGAGACACGAACTCTTCGCGGCGTCTGCCGCATATTGTGCAATCCTGGTTGTATTCATTGGGAATTTCACTGGACCTGGCAATTGACCGTTCCTCATGAGAATAATAACGACGAAATGATAACGATCCCAATGACATCTACATACTCCATCTAGCTTGTGCGTTTTGAAATCAAGATGACTACAAGCTCCTCGTGGGTATGATGAAGAACGGGAGTATCTACTCGGGTCTGCTCAGTTGTCCCATCATACAGCCCCATGAGAGTCTCTTCCCAAGACTCATAGATTGCTTTGCCAACTAGACGAATGCACCAGTAAACATACGGGTGGAGATGTAAGCCTTAATGCGGAACTACCTATTCAGCCGATGGACCGCTTAATGTCAGCCCTGTAGCGGGAACGAAAACACAAGCATCCGCGCTGCTGACGAGCGCCTTATCTTGGGAGCAACAAGAGCGAATCAGTTGAACGAGTAACAGAATCCCGTATACAGAGACATCGCAGTGGTTTTCGCGCGGGTCAGGCCACCTCGCTTCTGGTTTGCCATGCCTTTCGGTAGAATCAAGCGCCCCGAAATCACTTCGTGGAGAGTCGGCATCGGGGCTTTCGGGTGCTGCGACTGTGCGAGAACAGGTAGGATTTGACCTGTATCATGTCGCTTACGCTGCTAGGTCTCTCCGTGAGATGTTTTGGCAAACTTATATATCGCATCGCGTATTTCCCCTCTTTTCGTTTGCATAAACCTTGAAAGCCTCCAAATCTTTTACAATGTCGTCCTTGACCAGCGTCTCCACCGCACGTTCAGAAGTGTCCCCTCATGTACCCGCAGACATCGTCGTACCACTCCATAGCCGTGATGACACGAATCAGAACAGGAATATCTCCATCGAGTTCACCATGCGTTTTGATGACGTCCTTGATTCACAGAAGCTAGTCGACTCGCTGTGGAAATTGCTCGAGAAACCTGGCTGGAACAAAGTAGGAGCGCGATTGCGTCTCAACACCACAAATGGGAGACTCGAATACCATAGTGAGTTTTCCCAAACGAACTGCATGTGAGATACGTCCTGAGTTTGCGTACCCATATCTAGTACCATCACGCTACACCAAGGAACGTCCACCAGTCAACTTTACTCAGAAGACGTACGACATGAGGTTTGAGGAGCATCCCATCGGCCGCAAATTTCCTGTGGTAGACGAGCACAACGACAATGTCCAATCCTTTGACGTACTAGACTCCCTTCGTGGGATTACGCAGACAGAAAACAGCACTACGGTCCTCGACGATTGGATCCATACAGATAAAGCACAGCTCGGCTTGCACGTTGTGAGCTTCAAGGATACCACACTTGTCACCCTCACTTGGTTGCATACACTTCTTGACGCGATGGGGCGACAAGCCCTCCTAAAGGCGTGGCAGGCGGTCTTGGAGGGTAGGGATGACGATGTACCAGAGTTCTGGGGGTTTGATTTCGATCCACTGGCACAGCTTGGAGCGCCTCTCGGCGAAGACAAAACAACAGCAGAGGATAAGAACACTCCTGATGTGAAAGTGCAAGAGAAGCAACAAGGATCCCCATCTCCGGCCTCTGAAATAAAAAAAGCACCATCCGGCCGGATGCTCTACGTGCCCGCATCTTACATGGCTCGCCTGCGTACTAAAGCAATGAACGATCTTACCTCTCTCGACGCCTCACAAATCACTTACAACACTTCAAACTCTTCCGAGCCCAAGCCCTTCCTTTCCGACGGTGATATATTTTCCGCGTGGTTGGTCAAACACCTCATATCCGCCGATGCCACTCTTCTTGAGTCCCCGCCCGTTCGACCAGTCATATTCGTCAATGTGTTGGGAATGCGAGACGTGCTGTCGACATCTTCATCCAAGTACAAAGTCTTGATCCCAAGAGGAACAGCGTTCATCGGGAACGCGGCAACCGGCATCGTCTCTCCGTTCAGTCTAAAGCAATTTCTGGACATGCCACTAGGCCATATTGCTGCTCGTATACGCAAAGACCTAGTTGAGCAAGGAAACAGGGAGGCTGTCGAAGCTTCTCAGCGTGCGAGCCGTATCGAACAACAGACTAACATGGCACCACCGGATGCGCAAATGGCGCCAGCAGTGTTCGTAGTCTCTAACTGGGCAAAGGCCAAGTTGTTTGAAATCAGCTTCAGCGCTGCAGTTGTTCCTCGCACCGACAACCAGGGCGGGCCTGTCGGTAAGCCAACTACTGGCAAGCCCACATATATTCATGTGTACGGCACCGACAAACGGGCAAGTGGTTCAGGTGTAGGCCCAGGTGGTATTGGAAATTGTGTAGGTAAGGACGCGAGGGGAGGATATTGGCTTGGAGGAATCTGTTCTGGAGGGTGGGCAGAGAGGTTTGAGAAGGCTGTGTTGAGCGATGCATAGACCAGCAAATTGATCACAACGCGCGAGTAACGAATGCTGATATACGAGCACGTTGAAGACTGTCTACCACACTTGGTATCTATGAATGGAAGTGATTACTTTGTATCGTATTAATTTCATACTGAAGACTCTTGCCCAGTAGGTAGAGATACCCGACCTAATTACGCCATCGCTAAACATGAATTTCGTGGAAAAGCATTATACTAAGGCTGCAACCAATCCACTTTACAAAACCGTGCTTGTTTAGTCGCAGATTGAGGAGAAGAGAGAATTATGCAAGCCATTTTGTCTGCACGTCCGGTAGATGCACGCTCAATAACGAGCGCCGTCAGCTCCCATCTCGTTGTGCTGCTGAGCGGCCTTTTCCTGTTCGAGCCTGTGACTTCGGCGATAGTCCTTAATTTCGTGGAAAGAGGCGGTGATAGCGTGCAGGAGGCTAAGAGCTGGTTAAGACTTGTTACTAGAACTTTGGAATATGGAGAACTTACGTGCTGATGATGGCCAAGATGAAAGTACCCCAAGGCAAGTTGCAAGAGTCATCGCGGCTTGCTGTCTCGCCAGTAATAGTGCTAGGGTTTGTGCCGTTCGCAAGACGCCTAGGGTTGTAGCAGTGCCTGGCGCCAGCGAGGCCGCCATCTGGGCGTGTCAAGACCGTGACGGCGATGAATGCACCGACAAAGAGCAGGTCGAGAAGTACCCAGATCCACCTCAATGTTCTACCTCCGGGGTTGGCGGATTTCTTGATGCAGGACAGCAGCATAGTGATCAGGGTATATAGCACAGCAGCAGCAAGGATGCCTTCCACAGCGCCATAGGCACCGTTCACGCCGCGTCGTGTCTTGACACTGTTGACGAGACGGTAGACTTTGTATAGGCGCTGACTGAAGATGCCGAGAGAGACGGCGGACGAGACAAGCTGAAGAACGCGGGTGAGACGCAACAACCAGCGGTAGAAAGAGGTGTTCTTGAGCTTGTCGGGAACAAAACGCGTGAGAAGGCCGGTTTGCTCTCGCTTGTCGACGGCGTAAGAGTCGACTGGACCGTCAATTGGCTGCTGGGCACGAACCATGACGAAACGCTTTTAGGTATTGACGTTGATGGTGATGCTGGACTGGAGATGTTCGCTGACTGATGTTCGACGCAGTTGGAAAGTGTGTTGGGCAACTGTCTTATAGCGCTGGAGACGAGGTGAGTGCGACGTGACACGAAGGACCCTTCTTGCTCGTTTTACACAATCGTCACTCATCGTCACCGTCATTGTCAGCCACCCTGCACCCGAACCAAACCTGGAACCGCGGATATGTTCTTGCGCTTGTTGCACAAAGACATGTTGCCTTTACAAAACTCTTAGGCGCGTCATGGTATTGCCTAGTTCTCAAACGCTAAGCCACAATGCAGGTATGATTGGTGGCTGGGGAGCGCAGCACGTGACGAAGCTAACGTGAAGTGCGTCACTCAACATCTTTCCCATGCTTTTTCTTGAACGTGCTCCAAAATCGCATGCAACGAGTCCAGTATAGGCCAGACCCTTGCTGATCTCCAATGGGATTTTCAACGTGGCTGCAGCATCGCTCGATCCCAGAGCGGATAATTGCAAGATGACGAGCCCCACCCGCCGCCAACGCTTGCTTTTCGAGTCGATCATGGTGAAGCTTGTTTCAGCAGCCTAAGCGACAGATGAGCTAAGGTTCCGGCAAACGATTTTCTCACGAACACCCGATTGCGCGAGCAGTGAGTGGCTGTCGTAGGAAAGAGCTCTGGATAATCGTCCCGTCGATCTCAATGCCGCTATCCGAATCCGAATCCAATCAATCCAATGCTAGGTGATCTGCCTACGATGTACTGCAAAATAAGCCACGAGACTTATACTATGTAGCATCCGTCATGCATACTCGGCTCCAGCTTCTTGCGATGTTTAGCACCACTCTTCTAGATGACTTCCAAATCACTGTAGCGTGTCTTGCGGCTTGAACGCTATCATCGCATTAATGTCGCTCAGCGACCCAAATAATAGCAACTCACGGTGCGGACACATTCATGCCCGCTATGTCGAGGAACATCTCTTTTGGTAGATCGAAGAGTTCGGGCATCGTTCGCGTTCTAGGGACGCGAAAAGCGGCTGGGAATACCACGTCGTGCTCCCAAAGGTGGTAAGATATTGGCGGGGTGGCTGGGCACGCCTGTGGAATGCAAGCTATGGTTTAGATATCCGTGACACAACTTTCGAAATCAAGCTCCTTCCATATCTCTTCGTTGAGATAAAACTGTATTCTACCAATTCTTTGCCCTAATCTTTCTGTACTCCAATAGCGAACCCACTGCTCGATATAGCTGCTCAGCCCACGCAGGTAGTGTTCTGACTTTGCACGGTCAACTGGATACAGCTGCTCGAAATCAAGGTGAGCTAGACCTTGTATCTTCCGTGAAGGCACTGCCGCTAGGCTTAAAACCTCATTACCGTTCCCATATGCCAATGTACTGACGAATATTGCGACAGTACTAATCCGAGTAACAGGCAGATTCTGGTCATTGTTTGATTGATCATTTGAACGAGCATCTGAAGGTGGGTCGAGCCAAATCTCCAAACCCCGGAATATTTTCGATATCTGCCTGTCAATGCACACATTCGTTTGTGGGTAGAGCAAGAAGTAGGATAGTGGGGCTAGTAGTGCTTCCGGGACGAAGCTGCCCATGGACAGATCAAACATATTTGGCCCCATATAGTCGTCCCAACCCGTTTGCAGAGCCCTTTGTCCTTCTGTACAGCATGGAATGATATTGATGTCTAGCCTTTCGATGGTTTCGTCAAGCTTTCGTACGGGAATAATGCGTCGTGTTGGCCAGAGCCAATGGTCGTCAACAACCGCGATGTCGATTTCGAAGTTTCTTGGCGCTTTTGATAGGTATTCTGTAGTCTCTATTTGTATTTTCCGATTGACAAGTAGTAGGTCTATAGCTTTCGGACGTTTCGAGTGATCCGGGCTGAGTACGCAGTACAGATTGCGGTCAGTGGTGTTCCACCAGCTGGTTCGATAGCGCTTGCCGTTCTCTGACTGCACAATCGGTGACGACAGCACAATGTGGATGATGTCGAAGAGTAGCTCACTCGGTAGATCCAGTAGGCCAACCATGGCCGCTGTCTGCTAGAGATTGCGACAGTGTCGTGTGAACGAAGGTTTACGGGCTGTTCGCGGCGCCTCGTGTACCATAACCTATGATGCGTCGGCCCCACTTGAGCCTCGGGCCGTTCGAGCTGGACAGCTTCCACGCATTGCTCTCATCTCACCTAGGCACAAACAGTTCTCGATGCTGTTGGAGTCACCTCAAATTACGCCGATGATGCTGCTGCGAGCAGTCCTCCAACAAGACCGCGCATTCGTGGATATGTTACTTGGATGCACTCATCACTTGTGGCGCAAGACTTGCTTCTGGTTAGCGCAAATGACTCATTTTTGCTCACCTGGCCTGTGCCTCACATATGAGGCTCAGCAACCTCCAGAGTCATACATTCCACCCGATCGGGAAGTAGACTGATACAACAGGTGGAGTACAGTGTTTGGTCGTATTTACTATACAAGACATAAAGGTCTCTGGAGAATCACAAGAGCACAGGACCATCAATACCGAAGTTGTTTATCACGCGTTCAATATACCCCTTGCAATAGCTTTCCGTGCATCTTTTACATTCAGATTATGGCGTCTACCGAACAATCTTTACTTCCAGCTAGGATGTCGACGACATCATACGACACTGCGTTGTGCATTATTCCACCGATCTCTCAATGCCGTCACATTGACCATTTGCGGGAACTTTACGACAAGGCTTACGGAAGGGCAAGTCCTGCACCAACTCATGATACAAGAAACATACATTGACTTTTCTTTCTCTCATCTGCAGTGGCCACCGCACGTCAACCTTGTTTACCCTTTCGTGGCGCCTGAGCAGCTCCCAAGAGCACAACAACAAATTCGAGAGTATTTGGCAGAGAATCTTGACCAAGAGACTCCGATCGACATAGAACTAGTTCAAGCAGGTGCATTCGTTCAAAAGAACAACATGAACGTTTATCTCACCGACCACGGTGGCGAGGATGTCGACTCGCCTCTCGTTTCACTGCGAACGGTCGTACTACGAGCTTTGGGACAGGGACCTGCTCGATCTACCGCACATCTTACTGTTGGCCAAACACAGGGCAATCCTTTGATATCACAGTCGTACCTCCTACGCAAGGCGCGTTTACTGCCGGATATGCGGTTCCGCGTCGGCACGCTTGCTATCTTGATTCGCGAAAGGACGACTGGAACACTCTCAACGGACCATATGCGTCTGTATGGAACCATCGATATCGGCGCTCCAAGTGACATCTGGAGACCTCATAGCTCGGACTATTGGGTGAAAACACCGAACTCAAATCTGCCTACGCTTCAATCTGATAGCGATGGAGGTCAACAAGAGATTATATCTGACAATCATAAGGTGCTAGCTGAACCCGCTCTCTGCTTTGATCCAACTGGAAAAGAATGGTCAGCATACACAGATGGAGATAAGGGCCAGACTGGAATCAGAGAACTCACTGTTTCGAGCTACAACGTCTTGGTGGACACCGAATATCCGCCAGACCATGATCGCGACCCGTTGATTGTCAGCACAATCTTATCCAATTCAGCGGAAGCCGATGTACTTGTGCTACAAGAAGTTTCCGATGATTTCCTTAGCTACCTACTGCGGAATAGTCCCGATGTCATGCAGATCGCCCAAAGATATCCGTTTGTTTCACATGGACCACCCTGCCAGAACGATCTTGGTCCCCTTCCTAGTCTACGGAACGTCGTTATCCTAAGCCGCTACCCGTTTTCCTGGCACTCAGTCTCTTTCCATCGCAAGCACAAGAGCGCCCTTATCGCACAATTTAATGGCGTTGCGACATCCAGCTCTGTGGAGCCGGAGGGTTTGGTTGTTGCTGGTGTGCACCTGACTGCGGGTCTTACTGACGGCTCAGTTGCTACCAAGAAATCTCAAATGGGAACTCTAACACATTACTTGGAGCGACACTACAAGCGTGAATCATGGGTTGTTGCTGGAGATTTCAACCTCGTCACATCGACCTACACCATCGACTTATCGGTCAAGAACCAGTCCATATCTAGCGAGACTGTATCGACACTATCGGCGATCGAGGACGAGATCCGCGAAGCCGGATTATCTGATGTATGGTCTGTCGCGCGTGTCGAAGGGGTTGACCAAACAAGTGCTACTGAGTCTGGTGACCTGTTCGAGGGTGAAGAAGGAGCGACATTCGACCCCCAGAACAACCGGCTTGCTGCTGGAACTACGACCACTTCCCACGATCGCCCGCAACGCTATGATAGGATATTATTCAAGCCGCAAGAATCGCTCCGCATAGTTCACTTCAACCATTTCGGCGTTCCGGAAATGATCGATGGCGAGCAGGTCGTTGCTAGCGACCATTATGGTGTAAGAGCAAGGATTCAGTCGACGGATGCTGCGGTATCGAATGATGTGAATAAGGATCTATCATCAAAGCAGCTTATCATCGAACACAGGCGAGCAGCGGGGGTCCTGGCAGACACCACGAGTTTACACTCCGTGCTTGAAACACATGGTATGTTTCCGAACGAGAAACAAGCTGGCGAATGGCGCGACGCATTCGCAAGCCTTCAAAATGTCCTACTTGGTACATCGGAGGATTCAAACCAAGCGCAGCCTGACATACCGTTGGTCATAGTACCAGTTGGCTCGTATGCACTGGGTGTATGGACGGCAGACTCAGATATTGACTGCCTTTGCATTGGAACCATTAGTTCCAAGACATTCTTCAAGCTTGCTCGGCAACGGCTTTCCAAAGCCGAGATTCAAGGTATTAGGATCTTGCGTAAGGTCGAAGCTAGTACTGGCACCATGCTTGAGCTATCCGTCAATGAGATACTCATGGATTTACAGTACTGTCCTGCCCCTCAAGTTGTCGAAAGGTAAGTTTCATTTCGTTATTATCCCGCAATAGTTCTGACACATAGCAAATAGGTGGCACGAGTTCCGTAATATTCCAGCATCCGATCCGATCTTCAACCTTTCTGTTCTTTCACTCCGCAAACTCAAGCCGTACCGCGATCTACTGTACATACAACGTACACTGCCATCACTTCCCGCATTCCGCCTAGCGTATCGCTGTATTAAGTTATGGGCTGTTCAGCGTGGAATCTACAGTGCAAAGTTCGGTTTTCTTGGTGGCGTCCACATCACCCTCATGTTGTCCTGGGTATGCAAGAAGCTTGGACATGACTATGGCTCAGTCACGGCTGCAGACATAGTCACAAGCTTCTTTCACCATTACGCTCACTTTGACTGGACAAACGACATCGTCTACGATGCCATTTACCACAAAAAGCGACCGCGTTACTACCGCAGCACAAGAGAACCAATGGTCGTGCTGGGTTATCATGCACCCAACTCCAACATTGCTCATACGGCTACTGTTCCCGGTCTGAAATCATTAGTCAAGGCCTTCAGGAACGCTGAGCAGCAGCTATGCGAGCCAGGCATTACGTGGGAGACGTTCTTCGGTGCCCCCTCAGCTCCGAGACAGGAATTGAACATCCCGCATGGAGTTGCAGACTTTCTCCACGCTTACAACAATTTCATCAAGATTGACATGCAGTTTTGGGGCCGAACGCTAGCAAAGGGCAAGAGTTTAGTCGGTTGGGTTGAGTCTCGGTGCATATCCCTCGTCATAGGTAAGCACTCTAATACATCTACTCCTTATTTAATCGATATACTGATCTTGATAGACATTCACAAAGCCATACCCAACTCCGAAGTACAGATCTGGCCCGCTCGCTTCGCCGATAGCGACTCAAAAGATGTCGACGATGGTAAAGATTACCAAGGATGTTACCTAATCGGACTCTCGAAAGCTGAGAAGACCGCTTCTGCAGCAAGTGCGGAGGAGAAGCAGGTGGCCAAGCAGGCTTTGGACAAGGTGCTGGATCGTTTCCTAACGCAGTTGCGAACCGACGAGAAGAACTTTGACCCAAACATCTCGTGGATTGATGCATCGCTAGTAAGGTCTAGCGAAGTCAGGGATTTGCAGCTGGATGACCGGGAGTGGGGAATCTATGCCACGGAATTGGATTCAGACTCGGATGATGAAGAAGACATTATCGACGAAGACACCGAAGATGCTGATGACACAAAGCCTCAGCGTGCGATACCTCAGCGTCCAAAGCCTACGTCGAAGCCTTTATCGAGTACCAAACTACGTCCTGCATCCGACGTTCTCAATCGGCTACGTTGGGATCCGAGTCTTGATCCGAGTGATTACATTATTGGATATGAGGACCGTTTCCTGGGCGCAAAGGAGACCGGACTCGAGAAATGGAAGACTGAACAAACAGACGAGGAATTCATACCTCAGCACCGGATACTATATTTCAAGAGGAAGGGTGGTGAGGACGGAAGGGGTGATATAGTATGGGAGAGGGCGACGAGGATAGACAAGATCTTTGGAAGCGGACTGGGCAATGGAGATTGAGTTGGATCGGAGATACAATCTATAGATACACCCGCATCATTAGAGACTTTGTTGTACCTGTAAACTGCCTTGTATCCAATGTGTGAAGCTGGCCTAACAGACCCTTACTCTAATGTACCAATGTAAGCAGGTGGGATCTGGTGACATGTCCGTACACCATCACTCACGCAGTCTCACTTGCACTCTCCATTGCCTTGTAGAGAAGTATGGAGTTGCCGGCAACATTTGCATTCATGGATGTGGACAAAATGAGCATAACAGTTCACCTCCATCACCTCGCGCTACCAAAACCTTACCGACTTCTCTCCATGACATACACGCGCTCTCGACGTTGTTCGGTCCGGCCCGCTTCATACGAAAATAGTCCACTCAGATCGCTCGACTACAGCTTCAAGACCTGCCCTGTAGCTGCAGCCTCTCCCATCAGAAGCAAGCCCTCCAACCAGAACATCATTCATAATCCTGTAGTCGTGCGGCCCTTGAATTCAGGCGATATAACCTTCTTCGTTCTCCCCGGGCAGTCAGGCTACTAGAAGCGAAGGCTGCCAATGTCTCGGCGCTTGGCGTTGGTTTCGGATCAGTCGTCAGAGTCTAGGTAGCACGATGCACGGTAATCCAGGATACCATCATCAACGCGAGCTTGCGTTGACGGTTGAGATACACAGGAGAACATACGCTTCTAGGCTTCTAGGGCTTACCAACGGTCGCTCTTTGGATATTGGACCCTGGCATCGATGCACGCGACCAAGATGGGATAGCGAATCGTGGGGAAATCTAATTGCAGCTTACTGTAAGTTTCAGCCAACAAACCTCATCCTTAAGATTGCGATCTCCTTAATATGAGAACCGGCTCTGGACCACCTGTAGCGGATCCGCATAATCGCAGTCTCTACAGGGTCGGCAGCAAAGCATCTGGACAAAACGCCTGGACACTGATGTAGATTGCGAGGCTGTTTGTGTAACGCGGACGGTGTTCGGCGGCCGAAACGCTAGTTGCCCGAGCAAGGCGCAGGATGTGAGGCGTCGGTAGTAGGTTTGAGAGAAGGCTTACCGACCTTGGAAGCCCCACAAGGAGCGGATCGTTGTTTGATCGATGGTTTGCGTCTTCTTCAGTCTTGTTGAATGGTTGCGGAACGGATGCTTGGTCAAGTGCAGCTCCCTGAGATGGATAGAGGGGGCGTAACATTGAACGCTAGATCGTATTCAGTCAAGCCTCAATCTGACATCATGCGGCACATGCCAACTTCCAGTACTCTGGGATTTGGGAAAGTGACGATATCCCAGCTTCACGTACCTCAACGACTGGTGTTGTCACAAATAGGAAAAATATGATTGGGTTGTACCTGAAATTTTCAAAAATGCCACTTCGAGGCCCCAAACGCCGCTGATCTTCAGACCAGATGCTATCTATACATTCCAAAGGACACTTCTCTGATCCTTGGCATTGACCCAAACATACTCCGTACACCTTGGGTTCGCCTTGCTCTTTCCCAAAGTGACGGCAAAGAGATTGATCTCCATCCACACGGGTCGCATGCCCATGCGTTCCAGCCTCTCCCACCAAGTTCTAAACCGCCCAAAGTCTACATTACCGCCGGCGTTCGCATTTTCGGTGTTGATTCCGTCGCCGAGGTGGAGTTCGATCATAACCTGACCAATAGGCAGGACGGACTTTCCAGATGCTGTTTTCATGTTGTCGAAAGCGTTCATCATTGTGTCTAAAGCGTCGTATTCACTGCCTTCGATATCGATTTTCAGAATATCGATGTAGGTGTGGTTATTCTGCTTCATCAAACTGGGTAGAGTCCAGAATGGCGGTTCCGAGTCATGCTTATCCTCCTTGCCTAGTCCGACCTTCTTGAAGAATGTTCGATGGCGATGCTTCTCTGCGATTTGCGGGCCCCAGGCATCGACCGAGAAGTCGTAGCCCCAGATACGGGCGCTAGGAATACGTTCGAGCATTTCGGCTTCGAAAGAGGATTCACCGTTGATACCGAAGCTGTACATGACGAGACCTTCTTGTGCGTTCGATAGGGGCTCCTGTGATCCGATGGTCGCAGACGCGGACTTGGGGGCAGGAAGACTCTCATAGATGTTCATTCCGCAGACCCACTTTCCTCCGTCACCGAGTCGGCCAACACGTTGGATGTCATGAGGGCATGTCCATGTCGCTGGGAAGAAGTCCCAGATTGTGAATGGGTATTTTAAGAAGTCCATTGGGAAGAATGGAATCTTCGGATTGTCCGGATGCTGCTTCGCCATCTGATCGCGGAGTTCAACGCTCTTTTTCCATGACTTTTCTGACAGCGCAGATCGGTCTTTTATCCATGCTTGGAGTATCGAGGAGGATTGCGAAGAGCCTGTTGATGGGAGGACAGGGAGATAAGGAAGTAGAGCCGTGCCAGCGGATTCTTCGTTGTGGAAAATGACGATGAGGAAAACGACCACGAATACTCCTGCGAATATACGGGCTGGGACACTTGTAAGCAAGTTTACAATCAGAACTGATTTGATCGAACGTACCACCGAAAGACCGAAACATCGTGGTGGGTGAAAGAGTGACGTTGTAGATAGTGGGAGAGTTGAGTCGAGTCGAGGAAAGACCGTGATGTATAACCTCCGAGTTGAATCGGTGGAGGTAACGATCGCGTCAAGCGTACAAAAAAAGAGAAAGCAGGGTGAAGGGAGGAGGAAACAAGAATGAATTCAAATTATCGGAAGACAAACGCGACATGTAAACCCTCAAACGACTCCGCCCCTAGTCCGGCTGCGTGATGTCGGTCCTTTAGAACGTGCCAAGGACGTGCGAAACGACAACAGCGGAACGACCAACAGTGTTACGTGTACATCTGCCGAGCGCTTATCACAACCAAACATCAGGTAATGCCCCGTTACAGATTTAGCGTTGAGGGAGCAAGAACGTCCAAGGACCCGTGCTGCCTCGATCATACGAAACCCCGCTCAAGCCGCATGCCGCTATCTTCGCACCATTGAGAGCGAGGGAGCGACTAGTGGATGACGGGGAAGTTCATTAGCCGCACAACGTACGATGAAGCGGCGGGGCACATGTGGGCCGTTGATCATCAAGTCTTGTTTCGGCCGTGTCTTTGTCTCGACGCTCTCCTGAACAAGGCGCGTGTTTCAGGACGTGCCTTCCAAAATCGCGTCGCAATGCATGATGTCATAGGATCTGTCTTCTACGAAAGGAAATGTGGGTATTGTTTGTGTAAATCGCTATTTCGCGATGTGTCTATCTTGGGTGTTGCTCCGCTTTACGGGAGGCTTGTTGATGATGATTATACAACATATTTCCCCGAGGTTATGTTTATCCTTAGCGCCATGCAAATAGACTAAATAGGAAAGTGGATAGTAATGAGATCACGATAGTGTCTTGTGAACGACTATTGCAGCCGCCACCAAAAGCAGACTGCAGGTGGTAAACACCGTATCGCGATGCGCTTCGCCTGGGCTGATAGTTAGTTCTTGGTCCTCGGATCTAGACAAAATACTAGTGCTTACCTTCTTTCGTAGTGCTCAGAGCAAGCACAACAAAAACATTCAACGGAATTCGAAGAATGCCGTAAATGCTGGCTCTTGAGCCATCCTCAACGAGCTTGCTCTTCAGCGAGCCCATTGCAGGATAGTAAACTCCGCAGCACAACTCAAAAATGCAAAAGCACCACAATGTGAGGCGCTCGTCGCGGAAGTGGCCAGGAACAAAGAAGCACGCGGATGAAACTGCGAGGATGCCTGTAAGCATCTTTTGCGCCGACACAGGTGTTGCGGATGTGGAGAGGTGTTTGTAAAGGAGGGAACCAAACATCATAGAACACATCAAGATGGCGAAAATGAGACCAAACGGAAGTTCTGGTAGATGTTAGCTCTGTGAACCCGGCTTCAGTTGGTTGGAGTATTGCTTACCGTCAGTTGAGCCCGCCAGTTTATGGCTGAGCTTCAACGCTGGGAATTTGAAGAAGATGAACAGAAAAAGAGACCCCTCGAAGAAGCCCGATACCAATGCAAGCATCATGATGTTGCGATCGCGCAAAATCGTTCGGAGAGCAGACGTGGCTGGCGGAGCTGGGGTAGCTTCCTCTTGCTGGAGCAGCCCTTCAGTCTCTGAAGCTCTGCGGCTGCTCGTCCCATAATTCTCTCCCCAGTACTTTGAGATAGCAAGGAAAGACAGACTCAAGCAGCCAATAGAAGCCATGAAGGGTGTCTTTGCCGTGCCTGTCATTCTAACCGCCCACTCTGCGAAGATACCCGCACCGATAGCCACACATGTGTTTGAAGTAGTCATCGTGCTGAATATCGCGCTCAGATGGGGTTCGCCGTCCGGAAGCATGAGCTGATTGAACTCAGCCACCATCCAACTTTCGAAGACGCTCCAAAGAACAGTTCCGCACACACCACCGAGGATGCGACCGAAGAAGAGAACGTAGATGTTGTCGGACAAGAGCGTGGCGCATGATAGGGAGTAGAGGGCGCAGTATCCCAAGCATGCTGTCTTACGCCCGTATCGGTCTGCTAGAGTGCCTACGAAAGACGCAGAGATTCCGGCGGAGATGAAGCCTATGAGAAACAGGAACGCGACTGTTTCTTCTGGAAGACCCTTTTCATCTATACTTTTGTTAGCATTCCAACTTCCAATATAAAGATCGGTCGAGTGCACCTTTGTAGATAGGATAGATATATGGTCCTTGCAGCCAGTCTGCAGCGTTGACCAGCAAATAAATAGGAAAGAAGCGCTTCTTCAACTTGCTTAGGCCCTCCAAATCAGGCTCTAAATGCTCGTGTTCATCCTTCTTGTCTGTAGTCGCTGTCTCTACGACAGCCGCCTTGCGTGAGCGGTGCGACTGGTAGAATGCGAGTGCATTGAGCAGCAGCGATCCAGCGAATGTAGCTCGGTAAAGGTCCATGTTGAATGTGGACTAATGTTGTTGAAAATGAGCGAAAGGCGTTGGTCGGTTGTTGTAAAGTGTATGTCCAGCAAACACGGAGGAATGTAGAAGTCCAAGGTCTCAATGTGTGAAGAGGTTGTAAATGGCACTAGTTCCGGAAGGGTCCGGTGAATGGATTGGAATGCTGTTGTCCCGTGCTAACGCCGCCAACATTCCCAGACCAGGAGATACGAACACGGTATGCTAACTTGCAGCGGTTGCAAATAGATCGTCCGCCTCGTGCACCCGGACAAGCTGATCCCAATGAAGGCCTGCGGAGCGGCACAAGACTAGGTACCATACATGGGGTCATCCTCGCGGTACGGGCTGACGATAGGCTTGGACGGATTGCGCGTCCATAAGTGGAGTAACACACCACGGCGTTTCTAAAATGTGGGACGCTGGAGCGCGACAATGATGCAAGCCCGTGCCCAGGTCTTGGATGTGCGGGGTCAATGCACCGTCAGGGGCGGCAGCAGGCAGGAACAACCGACGGCGGAGCTGCCGCGTGAAACTCAGCTATGACGATAACTGCTCACAACCACCATCAGTAAAATCGGCTTTGCATATTTGCGCTGTCACAACGATATTGATGCTGAAGTTGAAGCGTCGGAAGCATACTCAGAGATCATGCATCATATATATATATATAACGTCTTGTGCATTGATTCCCTGCACATCTTGCTATCTCTAATCCTATCTGACATTCCCTTAAAGATTGCCATCACGACCCATCTTGCATACGAGCCCACCTTCCACTTCAACCACCGGACGAGCAGTACTGCGCCTTCGATCTCAATCCTTCAAAAGGGCTCCGTTCCAATGCGCGAACCTTCTCGAGACAAACCTTACATGCCAGCACCTCACAGCCAGGACATCTCCTACCCCCGGTGTGAACGGCCATGCAGAATACGCAATGGTCTCCGCCGCCGGTCTGAAGGCGCCACGCTGTGCTCTTGTAGATGCAGCTCTGTTGGACGCAGGGGTGAGACATCAGAACGACCATGCCATGTGCCATACCTCCAGGCTTGGGAGTAGGTGGGTCACTGCTGAGCGGACTAGGAAAGGCTTTAGTAGATATATCAGGTACGAAGCAAACAGGCCTACATACCTCTCGTACACTTCAGGGTGTCTCACACGGTAAGCGGCCTCCTCCTTCTGCCATGTGGTATAGGCCTTGCCCAAGAAGTACTGCCAACTTGGCTCGTTGGGCTTGCGTTGCGGCTTGACAGGCGGTGGACTTGCGCTACGGGCTTCTTGAGTCTCAGCGCCATGACTTGTATTACGTGTGTCACCAAAGTTTTCTTCGCCTGCACTGCGGTTCTCTTCCTCAGTCGGAATGTCGTCGGTCTGAAACTTCCTGCGCCAGTAGGAGCGATCGTATTGAGCACGATACTCTGGATCTGAAAGCTTCTCAAAAGCTTCGCGGACGCGGCGGAAGACCGTGGCGTCTGCTATACCTGATTTGTCTGGATGGTGTTTCTTAGCAAGATCCTGGAACGCCTTCCTAATGGCTCCAGCCGAAGCCCCAAGTTCGAGCCCGAGATCAGCATAGTAGTCCTTGAAAGAATCAGAGGGCATGGCTGCACAAGTTTGGAAGAGCAGCGAAGGAATCAAGATGTCGATCACAGTGAAGGATGGGCTGTGAGTGATTGCGAGTACTTCCGAATCTAGTCAAAGAGAAGGAGTGTAACCTTGAGTAGACCCAATCTATCTCCTGCAAAGATAACCGTTTCCGTTCGCTTATCTCAGTAAGGATAGATGCCTGTCAGGCACCAACGATACAAATCATCACGCCTCTCTTTCTGACAGGCACGCCAGGTGTACAGGACTGAGAGTACCGGCGAGCGAATTTCGACGATTCCATTGGTTCCGCGGCTGTTATCACGTAAAATGTGGGTCATGCTGGTTGTACAGGCAATGACTGTTCGAAATAATGGCGCGATTCAAAGGCGGGGAAGAGCTCCGTGTGTAGGCATTGCCTTAGGTGAGACAATGGTATTTTGGGCGAACAAATCGGTTCTTTTGTCACGATGTCGCGGAGTCATGTGATGCCGACGCTCCAAGGGTCCACGCCACATAGACCGTTGTGACATACTTAAGATATCTTGCAGAATCTTATTTGCGTCAGCATGGATATTGCGCAGTGTCCATCTTTTGCCGCGTGCTACACTATTGCTGGTAAGCTTGTTCCATCATCGCGCCTCCAGTAGGGAAAAAGGTCGTTTGCCTGAGCCAGATAACGTGATCGGAGTAGTTATCATATGTGGCGCGACCACGCGATACATTTTCCGCTCTTTGTTGGCGTAGCAATGCGGGCTGAAAGAATGCACGAACTGCGGAACACTGACCGAAATATTGCTTTCGTTGTGGACACGATCAGTATCAATGATGGTGCATGAGACGAAAGCCTTTCGGGTTGGATCACATGTCTTAGTTGGTGACGCATGATCTATTGGGTGCTACAGACTTGAACTTGGGGAAGGCGGAGGTGGCAGAGAACAAAACGGGAAACTGTACTAGGTATGAGCATAATGACACCTCATTCGTAGGCCAGCCCGACGACCGAGCGAGCCTCATTCAGATATTCACGTCAAGCTGGGAATGATGAAGGCATGTCATCAACTCCAACAATACTTCTCATAACGCGGGCTCCACCTTGAACCATCGTGCAAACAGGGTTCTCAATCTCACAGCATCAAACGCATCAATTGGGAACCACGTTTACTCTTCATTCCAAGTCCTCGTTGCCGCTGGTCTATCCCATGGTCATCCTCGTCTTGTACCCAGCATAGTTCAACTTATCCCTTGCTTCACCAGTTGTTCATTTGCTACCATCATGTAAAAAGGTACGATCAGCTTGCGTGAAGGAAATACTTCAGCATCAAGTCCTTATAAGGATGAGTGCGGTGTAACGATAAATCTGTATACTCAGCTCTTTAGAACATGGTGGCCGGTGTTTGTAAATGAAGAATACGAATGACGTATCCTGGTAAGAGAACGCTCCGTGTGCCACTGGGACGTCACGAATCTAGGTAATCAACGGTGGACCCTGGTTTTGACCGCCCTCCTTGATAGTTTACAAAACTTCTTGGCCAGATACAAGCAAAGAATGACCCGTCTCGCCATAGCACGAGTGCTAAAAGAGTTTCTGGAATTTTGAGATATGGTGGAGAAGTATTACTCCACTTCCCGAATCATTTTCCCTATCTAACATCGACCCTCTAGTTTAACTGCCGGAAAGATCACTTTACTATTCGCGAACCACATCTTCTTGATACTACGCGCATACAAGTACACAAAGATATTCTGTTCAAGCGATCCCCAAGAATAGCGCTTCACTACAAGCGAATACATAGCGATACGGTGGATTTGACGGCTGAACAGCCAGGCATTATCAAGGACTATGTTACAGTCCTTCAGACTGGCAATGTTCCTGACCTACAGTATTCACCTGATGGCACTTCATCCATGTCAAGTGTCATCAAATCCCGACATCATTGGTTGATTGTCCTCTACATACTCTGCGAACAATCAGAAGATTCGACTTCGTTGAAAACTGTTTTCTGCGTCATCCTGGAACTGTTCCATCACGAGTAACCAGACGGCGTGGGTTACACCTTGAGAGCGACGTGATGAAGAGCATCTATCGCTTTCGTCAGCTTACCAATCCCTTGCGCAGATTTCTCACAGCATACTATATTGACTTTGCCCAACGGTGATTGCATTTCGTAGGAAGAGCAGTACAACACAGAATTCATGAAAGATGTTTTGATTGGTGTTTTAGCCCGCCGTGACCTTCCAAAGTATCTTTCCCGAACATTGAACCCGCGGGAATTTATCGAGTTGAAGGAGCCTGAAACGACCACAATGAAGTCCACGGGGTAAGTGATAGTGAGAGTCAAATGATCAAAACACAGCTGACATTGCTACTAGGCCTGGTGGAAGGAAAGGTCTCAAGCACCGCTGAGCTTCAATGTAGGCGCCACAGAATTGATTCGGTCCGATTGAGAGACCTCCGAGAACAACAGGTAGATAGCAGTGGGGGTTAACATGCCCTGGTTGGCTAGGTAGTACATGTAATGTACTTCTCAGTAGAGGATTGGAGTGTATTGAGGCACGTATCTCAAAGACTCCGCTTCAAGATGCAGCTTGTGTATGTCAACCTATCCAGTCGGCCACGAGTACAAATTCGCCAACTAAATGAGTAAAGATTGCCTCAGCTATCTCCTTCTCAGCCTCATTTTTCTCACCGGTAGTTTCTGCGATACGACGTCTCCTCTTTGTTTGTTGCGGAGGTTAATCCCGCAATCATGGCCTAACTCGGCAAGTGGCTCACGTGTGCGACTACAAAGCAACAGACCTTCAATCTTCACTTGTATTATGGTGCGTCCTTGTGTTGACACTATCAAATCATATGAGTATCATTGTATAAGGACCAAACTGGTTCTATCCAAGCACGTTGTTGTGAGAATTGGCAGCTTCGAGATAGTGTCACAGAGTGACGTCGCAGATGATCATGAAGATCTACACCGAATAGCGTTAGCGTGAAACCTCACTTGCCGACCCTTCAATCGGTGCAGCGGTCCATGCTTCCTTTTTCCCACCTTATCAGCATCCACGAAAAGACATCAGTTGTGACAAGACTACTTATACATTGTCGCTGAGTAGACTTGGTACCTATTTTTTGCGACGCGTGAAGGGCATTGGAGTTCGATAGAATCGTAGCAGCTTTTGCTATCCAAGCTTCTACGGACCTCAGGCTTATCCACTTTCGTCCCGTTCAGCCTTGGAAAAGACCCGCTCAAGCTCAACCCTGTGCAGCTTACTGGACTCCTTCTGTTACTGTTACCTAAGGCTGGCAGCAGCCTCACATGTCAGGCCCGACGTCAAGCCCAGACTGGAACAGAAGTGGCAGTCCCGCCTACGGTACCTTTACTCGACCACCGTTCAACCCAAATCCCACCAAAAGTCACGACAGTAATGATAGTGCTGTCGCACCCTCTAGCAATGGCGGCGAGGATGTCTCACCTACTGCGCGCAGGCCCTCACCACAACGAAAGCCGTCAAGGCACATCGAGTTTAGAAAGTACTTGAAGCGCCCTCATATGATGGAAAACCAGAGAACGCTGAGCGATGCATTGAGATCCGCAAAGAGTAGAGAGGAACAGGAGACATTGCTCCCTGAGGAAGACTACGCTGGCGCCGACGGATGCTTCAACGGTCAAGGCGAGCCAATGCTTGAGAGAACTGCTAGTGCGCCCGATCTGAACAATAACAAGAAGACTTACTTCAATATCCACAGGTATGTGTATTGCGGCAGGTAAGGAGCCTGAGTTTGATATTAATCATATCTTAGGATACGACGCCTTGTCCTGGCAGTAATTGAAGACCCGTACACCGTGGACCAGCTCCGAGAGCCTCGCATGAACGTGCTCATCGTAAAGCCATTAGTGGATCGCCTCTACGACGAAGAAGATATATCCATCGTGTACTGTCTGCTTGTCAATCGCATGCAGTTCCTTCGAGAGCAACAGTTTCAGCAACATCATCAAACCGTTGACCTAACGCGCGCGAATCTTTGCGAGCTGGTTGCTATGAAAGTGCTGCGACGCCACGATGAAGAGTCTACAGGCAAGGCTGGCCTCTTACTTCTGGCGCAAATTATGGTAGCTCCTTTCCAGCCTTTTCAGGGTGCGCCAGATGAACGCTGTCCGCCGCGTCATAGTTCAGAGTACCAGGGCCAGGGGGATTATGAGGGCAAGCTAACAGCGCTGGAGGTGGCTATCGTCTCCGAGAGTAAGGTATTGTTAGCTGGTTCTGCGAGCCAAAAAGTTATCGATGCTATATATCGCGGGCGTATCGTGTATACCCCCACTGTATACATGGATATCATACCAGATCATTACAAGCACAAGCCCATTTCCCTCTACGATCCACGGAAGGCGCCGACACTAAACCAGTACCGTCTTATGGTACCCAGAACACGCAACATCATCGAAGTAGTACAGTTCATCACACTACTCGCACTCTACTGCTGGTGCATGACTATGCGCAAAGACCATTTTCTGACTGGTGCTGAAATTACATTCTTACTGTACGGTAGCGGTTGGGTGCTCGATGAGCTTACATCCTGTCTTGAGCATGGCTGGGAAGTGCATACGCAGGAGCTCTGGGCCTTCTTGGATGTCACATTTGCCGGCATTTTCCTTATATACCTTGGCATGCGATGTCATGGGTGGATGATGGGGCAAGACGAGACGGGCAGACAAGCTCTCGACGTTCTGGCTGTCGCGTCGCCAATCCTATTCCCACGCATTGCATTCAACCTTATGCCGGAGAACATGTTGTTCATCGCCCTAAGAGCAATGGTGAAGGAGTTCACAGCCCTCAGTCTAATCGCTGTATGGTGTTTCGGTGGCTTCTTGTTAGCGCTCAAATGGCTGAGTATCAGCAATCCAGCAGTCGGCTACGAAGACTCACCAAACTCGATCACCATCTCAAAATGGATGCTTTGGATCTGGTTCGGTCTGGACGGCACTGGAATTGATGAAGCTCCTGGTTTCCATGAGATTCTCGGTCCTACCCTAATGGTCATCTACGCCTTCCTGGGTAACACCCTGTTCTTGACAGTCTTAGTATCAATCTTGTCCAACACTTTTAGCAAGATCGCCGCAGATGCGACGGCAGAAATCCAGTTCCGTCGCGCGGTGCTCACTTTCGAAGGTGTAAAATCCGATTCCCTGTTCGCCTATCGACCACCTTTCAATCTACTCGCATTCATAATCTTACTCCCTCTCAAATTCATCCTATCGCCACGATGGTTCCACAAGATCAATGTCTCAGCGATACGAATCTTGAACTTCCCTATCCTTCTTGCCATCTCCCACTACGAGCGTCGTTACCTGTGGAAGCCACGGCGCCAACTCAGCATCAATGGTCCGGGGCCTTCAAAACGAACAACTTGGTTGCAGGACATTGGATTTTGGAGGAGCTGGAAACAGTTGAGTCCACATGCCGATTTGCAGGCTGTATTTGAAGAAGAGCCACCAGCCGATATAGTGCAGAGGATCGAAGAGGAAGATGACCTTGAAGATGCTATACTTGAGAATAGTTTTGCGGCAACGGGCATGGGAACGAGGAGTGTTAGTCCAGGAAGTGCAATGGCTGGGCGAAGGAGGAGATTGAGCAGTGTGTGGCCGGGGCCGGGCTCTTAAGATGCGCTTTGGCGGTCTGCATGCTGCATGTGAAAAACTTTGTGACGGTTTCGGTACACAGACTAGATTGTATCTCGGCACTTCATACTTCTTTATCAATTACACCTATACAATTCCTCATGCGAGCATGCTTGTTGTCACGTATCAGCGCTTCTCATGTCGGACCCACACAAGACGTCGCGATGCAACACCCCACTCTATGCTAACTCCGTAGATCCACCTCCAACGGCAAACTATTACCCCCAGCTTATTGCATATCTTCCACATTGAGGTAGCATCGCGACGATAGCAGAATTTATTACCCCCAGCTTACTACACACCATAGCTATTGAACATCCGCGGCCTTGCGAAGTGATTATCCTGTTCGGCAAAGCTGCGCGGCCGTTCCGCATCGCACATACTTTGTCCGACGGCCAACGCGTATAACGCCTACGGCCGATAAGAGACAACACGACAAACTTTGGAAAGAGAAGAACCTAGATCTAAAGTCCAAGGATTGGAGAGTGACTCACAGCTCGGCACCTGATCTGGAAGTCTTTTGCGACGCAATTTGTAGGATTTGTTTAAAAGCTATTCTTACAGCTTCTTGACAGCCGTGACTACTCCAACAACCAACAACACCAGTACTCACGACTACCGGTACACCAAGATGGCAGATATCAACCCTTTGTCGGCTTACCCACTTCCTACGCGCGCCTCTCTCCTCTCACAATACCTGGGCAAAAGGCTAGAGGATCTACCCACTCCAGCCGTCGTCCTCGACCGCGCTATCATACGACGCAATTGCGATGCCATGCTCAACATCTGCGCGGAACTCAAAGTTGGGTTTCGTGCACACGTCAAAAGCCACAAGACTCTTGAGCTATCAAAGATGCAAGTCGGCGAAAGTGGTCCGGCGAACTTTATCGTTAGCACGATTGCTGAGGCCGAGAACTTGTTGCCGGAGCTGTGCGATGCGCAGGGGAAAGGGAGGGAGGCTAGTGTATGTGTTGAGATGTTTTTTCTCTCGAGTGCATCCCGATGATAACTCGTGTCTTTGTTTTCTTTCATAACAGCTTTCGTAATTCGTTATCTAAAGACTTGCAACTAACGCTCGCCTCCAAGGTCCTCTATGGCGTACCCGTGCCTCAATCTGGGATTCCACGCCTCATTTCCCTGGCCTCGAAGCTGAAACCCAGATCTATCAACGTAATCATCGACAACGAGAATGCTTTTCTTAAATTCCACGAACGACTTAGCACCTCTGAGACCAAAGTGGAGATGGGAGTCTTTATCAAGATCGATACTGGCTATGAACGTGCTGGCATCAAAACTTCCTCCTCAAACTTTTCTTCTCTCGTCAAAAGAGTAGTTGAGAAGAGTCAGGAACCCAAATCCGGGTGTTTCCTGCAAGGTTTCTACTCGCATTTCGGACATTCATATGGTGGATCATCTGAAGATGATGCCGCAAATGGCTTAATTGAGGAGCTACTGGGCTTGGAAACAGCGATCAAGGCTGTTCCAGAGAGCTTCAGCGGAAAATTGGTGCTTAGTGTGGGTGCGACACCCACGGCGACGGCAGCACAGAACATGCTATCAAGTTCGAGTCCCAAGGTCCAGGAGTTTCACGACGTGCTTGGACGACTACAGAAAGACCATGTCGTTGAGCTACATGCTGGGGTATACCCCGTACTAGACTGCCAGCAAGTCGCTACACATGCAAGACCATCATCTACTTCTAGCGCAGCCACGTCATCCTTCCAGCCTCTCGCTAAATCGAACATCGGCATTAGAATGTTGGTCGAAGTGACGAGTGTGTATAACGAGCGGTCAAAGCCCGAGGCCCTCGTGTCAGCTGGCTCTCTAGCGATGGGTCGTGAACCTTGCAAGTCCTACCCAGGTTGGGGCATAGTTACACCTGCTCTGGGCAATGCCTCCGCCAAGCACATATATGATGAGCGGGAAGATAAGACGGGATGGATAGTAGGACGCATTAGTCAAGAGCACGGTATCTTGACATGGGAGGGCGATAGGAGCGAATGCAACGAGTTGACGATTGGTGATAGGGTTATGGTTTGGCCAAACCATGCATGCGTGGCTGGTGCAGGATTCGGATGGTATCTCGTGGTCGACTCAGAATCAGATGGAGATACGGTGGTGGATGTCTGGGTTAGATGGAGGGGCTGGTAAAAAAGGCGACGGACATTCACATAATTCGCATGCTCCATATCGTTCATCATGCCACTTCCGCCAGCCCTGAAAAGTATCCAATTGCTGTAGTGAGAGCATTCCAAACAGCCTCTGAGCCGTCGCCCTCTTGACTCTGTGGTTTTGGTGTAAGGACTATGGGTAACGAGGACTCAAACAACAAAAATTTCGGGATCTCTCACGGCCTGGCTTGCGCATGCATTCGATCGCCGTGACATCGCCCAGAGTTCGATTCTCGCAGTATCTGGCTTCGGAAAACCTCACGCTTCTTGTGCTACCGGTCGCGAAAGGCTGCTGACGACTGTCGTCACATCTGTTCCCGCTTCTCGTATGTGTCTACACTGACCTTTCCGTGATTTTCTACCCACGTAATTTAATGCGGGACAGGCTGCATCTCGCGGTGTGTAGCCTCTGGTGCGGGTCCGTCTTGTTCGTCGGGGCCGAGTTTTGTTGACGGGATGGAGACTACGTGTTAGGTCGTCTGCTGCTACGACATCGCAAGAGGGTAGTTCGCGCCATTGTTTCTCGCAGTTCTGGCCATGTCGTCTAACTTTCTCTTCTTTGGCGGGTGAAAGCCAATCTCTGTCTCAGTGTCAAAAGTATGTTGCACGGGCTGGTAGGCGTAAGTAGCAATGGTAGTTGGTGGAAGCGCAACGGCTGCGACGTGAAGTTTGCGTGTCGTGTGCACTGTGATTGGACACCCGTGGCCTCAGCCGTCAGGCACAAGCACAAGATTGTAAGTTTGCGCTTGCAGCCCGAACTCGAAACATCCCGCTGAGATCGGCCAGGCACCGTGGCGCTCGTTAAACTTACGCTCGAAGCTATCGATGACGTCTCTTATGCGCTGCGCCGTTTCGCTGACTAGAACATCAATGGGGCCACGACTAGCCTCGGCACTTGGTGTGCCCGTGGACGACGACGGCAGCATCGCGGGATCATCACTCAGGGCAGCCATGGAAAAGCTTGGAGGCGTCTCTTAGTCTGGGCCAGGCGAATGCATTGCATCTTCTAGCGCACACAGAGGGCCTGGGTGTTGGGTGATGATCTGGCCAAATTACCTGCTTGACACGCTTGCACCTAGGTAAAGGTGGCAGCGGGGCCAAGGAAACGGATAACTGTAGTGGTGCGCGCCGCTGGGGATAGCCAATGCCAAAGTTTATTCTTGTTTGAGGCTTGTTCGTCTACTTCTAGTTGCGATAGCTGTGTGGTGGAGAGCGGCCACCGCTTCCCCGCCCTGCCTTTGAATACCAACCGTCCCGGGCACTAAGGCGTCCGCCAGACTTGTTGCGGTCAAGCCTCCTGCACCACCTGCAGACCTCCTGGCGACCAGAAACCCCCGTCTCTGTGCCAGATCCCCAGGCTGATCTGTGACCTGTGACCTGATGACTGACGAACCGAAGGGGTCCTTGAACCTTGGGACCGTGTCCAGTCTTCTTTCCGCCATCTCCGGCACGTTGAACATTTCCATCCCCTGCGGCGTCGACCCTCTTCACACAATGCCATCCTTCACCATGCTTCTTTAAGAAGGCCCGACGACGATACACCATTGCCCCGGATCCTCCCACTCTGTGTTTCGTGCTTATGCACAGCCCGGATCCTTGAACAGCGAGTTGCGGCTTGCATTGGCTTTGGCTCTTGTAGCACCATAATCCGAGCTGCTAGTCACATCAACTCGCCGCCTCGCCATGGTTCCTTTTCGACGCTTATCGCAGAGGGGTCGTCGCAGCTTCGAAGACCGCGACTCCTACGAATGGCAAGACGAACGAGATCAACGCATCATGACGGCAACCTTCCCCATACACCCGCTCGCCTCCATGCAGGCGCCCTTCGAGGAGTCCATGCTCGATGCAACCGGCGAGACTGGCCATGTCCCTTTCGTCAATCCCAAGAAGAGCGTCAAGACACGCCAACAGATGTTGTGCAGAGAAGAGAGCGCGTCAGAGCCTTCATGGAACTTTACATACAACTGTCATTGGAGAAACAACCCGAAAGGCAAATTTCATCCCCTGACGAAGACCGTCGCGCAGATCGTCTTCGGCGTCCATCTGCTGCATCAGCATCTGGAAAAGTCGGTCGCGGATGTAGCAGACATCCTGCTGAAGCATGTCAATGAGCTTGACAGCTTCTTGCAGAGGGCAAACGAAGATCTGGAAAGCAGCATGAAAGACATGCTCTTCCGACATAAATGCTTAAAAGTGCCCATGGAACACGTAAACGAATTCGATCGCCTCCTTGAAGACCGTTCATACCGCGCCCAACTTCTCGACGGCAACATCGTAATCGAGCGCACCATCGGGCGCATGTCGCAATTGCTCAACGACTATTTGATCGATATAAACGTATTTCGCGAAGCCAACCAAGAACTCGACTTGTACCTGGGCGACGTAGGCGACGCGTGGACATACCGTAATGAGGACATTGGGCGCATATACTCAGCCATGTGTGGCAATACTGGAGGCTGGTCGCAGTTTTTGCAAAGCCTTGTGGCAAAGGCTGAAAGACTAGGTGTTGTGCTCGTACAAGTGAGCAGCTACTGCAATGAGATTGAGAAGCGGTGTGGTGCTGCAAGTCGCCGAAGTTTGGTATGGCCGCCTATGATTCCCCATCCCATCTTAGCATCGCCAGCCGGATTCTATGTCTGAGCCTTGTTAACGAGTTTAGATTGCAACGCGTTCATCCTCACGAAACTCGTCCAACTCGCGCGAAGCACGTCCGTTCCGAAATTTTGCCAACAACAAACCTCTTCCTACACCTCCGCCCGAGCGCCCGCCATTCATGAATGCTTCGTCCTCTGGTAGGGAGACCCCTGCCAGTTTTGGCACTCCTCAGAGACATTCGACCATAAGAGCAAGACCTCAACAGCAGCCCGAGACCACGAACGTGTCCGACTCCACAGAGACGCCAAAACGAAGCGAAGACTCTTCTTCTGCGTCAGCCATCTCTAATGTTGACATGGATGTGCGACGTCAGACAAACCAGACGGGGTACTACCGTGATGCCTGGCACAATGGAGAGCAGCGTGGAGGAGCGTCACTACAAGCAGAGTCTAGTCGCACAAGTCAGCTCTTGGGACATCAGCATAAAGTGTCTTCGCCATCTAATTTATCTGCAGAGGAGAGCTCACCAGCAACAAAACGTCTATCAGCGAAACCACAGAACGGAGATTATAGCCCACCTTTAACCGGAAAAGATTCGGCATACTCTTCCGTGTCAGGCGCATCGGCCATGTTACCAGGCTTCGCATCACCCCGCTCAGTATCTTCCACGTCCTCTCGACAGACTGCCCAATTCGGTCTCTTCCCTAGCAGAAATCTAAGTACGCCGAAAGGTTCGATATCTAGCCGACTAGGTGCTAGTTCTCCGGCGTTCGATCGTCCGGAACAGCACCCTAAACCCGTGGATATACCGAATCGTCCACCGACCTCCTTGTCCACCTTCTCAGACGCCTCGACCAAGCGGCTATCGAAGCGAAGTAGCTTCACATCTCTCAAACGGTTATTCACCAAGAAGAAATCTGGCGATATAGGCCCCATCGCTGAGTGATACCCTCCTAGTTTGATCTTTGTTGTTCCCTGTGCCGTCTTTGATCTTATTGTCTGGCGTTGCAAGGCTATATACCCCTTTGACACTGCGTTTTTTGTATTGCGCAATCCAAATCTTATAGTCTCTACCGTGGCTTGTGCCCGGTCTTCTGGATGGTTTACTGGGGCTTCTGGATGTATATATTCTTGCTCTCGTAGATGTGATGCGGAAACGAGCAATGCGTAATGGGTTTGGCTTCGTGTATGGAGATGGTTGTGTCAGAAGGCACAGTCGTGCGGATGAATCTGGAGATGCGGTGGCCCGTTATGCTCGTTTGGGGGTAGTTTGTGGTGGTCGTTGCACACTGCGTGTATCGCGTGCAGTGAGCAGGCGAGGCTCGGGAAGGAGGCGCAGGAATGCTAGCTGCCGATTGCTGTGTTGGTGTCTCATTTGATGCTCCCGTCCTGGGGATATGAGAAGCTGTACACACAAGTAAGTAGGGGCCACTCAGTCTCGTATACATCTCTGCCACTGATTCTTTCTGCATCCTTCCTGCATTCTTCTCGTCGTCGACGTCTGTACCTTCTTCCTGAACAATCGTGGTGGGGTAGCTCCTGTCGTAGTGGACGTGAAGTAGGCGCGGATCTCGCCATCAAAACAGCGTCTCCACCGAGCTCCCTCCGTCTCTCCCCCCTCCCCCACCACAGCACTCATATTCTCAACAGCACTCTCCTTTTGGCGGAGATGTTGGCGAGAGTTGTGTAAAGGTCACTCGCTCTCGTCTTTCTTGGATATCTGCCGCCTGGTGCAGTATCGCCTCTTCTTTTTGGTCATACCAATAATTCCTACATCTTTCTGCAATACCGCAGCTAAGAGAGCTTCCACCGCAACAGCGTCATTCTCGCCCTGCATACAGCCCTTGATTGCTTTCCCTTCACAGCAACTCTCGCGTCGACGGCACTATGTTGCTCTCTGAGCAAGATCCGAATGGCGGCGGCCGCATGTCTCGAGCCTCCAACGTGTCCGCCCTGAGCCGAACATCAGGTAAACCCGCATCGCGGGCACCCAGTTCTGAGATTCAATCTGCTCTCGATCGCGGTGTCTCGTCTATGCTCCGAACCGGGACCGAGATGGGCAACGTCGGCATCGGCGCCCAGTTTGACGACTTGTCTGGCATCAACAATATGCAGCGTCCCATGCGTTCGCGCGCGACCAGCAGGATGTCGACAGCTTCTTCCATGTCCAACACCTCTAGCCGAGCCAGCAAGCAGCTCCGTCACTTCCCTTCGTCTTCTTCCGCACCGCGCCAGCCAATGTCACATTATGGGCAGCAGTATGTTACCGATACGCTCTCTCCAACAACGATGAACGCCTCCGGCTCATCGCCTTTTAATGGAAGGGCCAAGAGCGACAGGGACTCGCATCGCTCGCATTCGATGACGCATACCATACAGCCACCCAGGTTCGGCCTCGTAAGCAACAGGTCTCTTACCAGTCTGCGCCCTCAGCCGGCATCTCGATCTTCGAACTCATACAACTACCCGATATCATATGGGAGTGGGCTCAGACCGCCTGGTCCATACCAGAGATCAGTCTCACCTGCCTTGGGCGACGACGCTCGACTACCACCCCAAGGATTACGAGCGTACGACGACCAACGAGTTTCTTATGCTGTCCAACCACAGAGCCATGGCAATCCAGTACGTGCATACTACAACCATCCGCAGCAGCATGCTGGGCAGAGACAAGAATATCGTGGCTACAGCAGCCGGCACAATCCAGGACATATAAGGGCCGCGAACCCGTCTTCCCGATCTACCATGAGTCTTGAAGATCGTGCCGCCGTCGAGGACGAAGAATTCCCTGTTTACGGTGAATCCTATCATCGCGATCAGCCCAGGCAGATGCAGAACCTGAACAGCGGACATCTGATCCCTCGTAAGGCGCTGGGCAACGTCATCCGCGAGGCTCGCTTAGAAGATCGAAGGGATCATAGGCCTAGGGGTGGTGAGCCTCGTTCAGAGGCTCCGCCATTGCCCGTTGATCACAAACACCGTATTGCTGTCGAACAAGCTCGTCTCAAGAGGTCTGCGCCTGCTTCCATGTCCAGTTTTAACACGAACTTGCGTACAGACTCAGACCCACCATCGTCTGACATGGCCCTACCGCCAACTCCGAAAGATGGCATCTCTATAGAAGTGCACCGAAGCCTCGATAGAACCAAGGTCTTCAAAGTCGCAGATACGAACCGCCTGGTCGTTACAGAAGAACATTCTGCGGTGCCACATCATGGGATGGGTGAACAGCTCGAACGTAATGAGGCTGGAGAACCAGGAGCTGAAGCGATCCCTATTAGCTTCACAGACCGGACCAAAATCGTCGTCCAACAGTCTAGTCCTGGTGAAGCGACGTTGAAGAGTGATCCTTTTTTAGGACAAGAGGCACGACCAATGTCGATGGAGGTCGTGTCTCCCCAGTCATCAAGCATCGGCCATATCGTAAACGGCGTTGCGGAACTCCCAGCGTCCCCAGTAGCTCGCCGTATCACGAGGCATTTGATCCTAAGAGGACTGGAGGCTTCAACGACGGACGATATCCAGTCTTCCATAAAGTCAACGAGCTTTTCGGGGGCATCTCCATCGCCCGCGGGGAAGCCCTCGTCGCCGTCAAGAAAGTCATTGGTTCCAAGGTCTCTGTCCCCGAAGTCCCTGACTCCAAATTCTCCGACGACGTCAAAGACGAGTGAGTCCACTCAATTGGATCGCCTACCTGATGGAAAGTACTCTGCATCCGATATGATATCCGGAGCCGCATTGGGTCCGGTAGACAGCCCAGATAACTGCCATAGCATCTTGTCGCAAACTGGATCCAGCCTTCTTGATTCGTCAACACTTGAATTTGCAATTCAACATTCCATACCAACAGCCAAAAGCGGTGGCTTCCGAAATGAATCTGGCGTTCAACCTGATGTTTGCAAGAACACTGTCAGTCCTGGCCACAGTACCGAGGATGGCATGTCGGATGTCCTTGCAGGCTACCAAGGAAACGATTCCAAGAATGGAACTGGCGCTCTTGTGCGAGTCGGGACGATCAAGAAAGACATGAGCGATACGGAAGAGCATACAGATGTTTCGACAGATCACGACTTGAAACCACTGCCACTTGCTCTTCGCTCCAGGAACAGCCACGTCCAAAAGTCGTCCGATGAACTGTCCTTCAAGTCGTGCACAGATCAACCAGAGGCATCTTTAGAGTCGACATCGTTCCAGATGGGAAAGGACCCTGGCAAAGGCTATTCTGCGTCTGCGATCGATGTTGTGTCCCAACAAGATAGATCTTGCAAGGAAGCAGATGCCTGTTCTGTCGAGATTTCTGCAAGTCCTGTCCGGGCTTCCTCCGTATCATCATCTCGACTACCGTCGTCCAACTTAGGGACTCTGGTCATGAGCCAAAACAGGGCGACTACTGAGGTGCCTCGGTCAAAGCCTTCCTCTGCTATGCTTCGCAAGCAGCCGCCAGTGCCTCGCCGAGAATCAAGCTTCTCCATCGTGGCAAACAGACTGCGGACCAATGCAAAGCAGAACATGAAGCAAGGCTCAGTATCGGTGTCTGGTTCGTCATCCACGCTTAGCACCACGCACATGACGCCGGTGGTCCCACCACGTGAGTCTTCTACTTCAAAGGAAGCTCAACGTGTGCATGCTGCAGTCTCTTTCTTAATGCGCCCACTACCATCGCGCTTTGCTAGGTCTCGAAAGTATTCCGAGCAAGGCGATCTGCCGAGGTCAGATGAGACAAGTCCATCTGCTCATGATGTGAATCAAGACGTGAGCGATGCCACGAGCTGTGATGAGGTCGCAAGTTCATCCCTGCCTGTTGTGGAGGTGCACGATACACCAAAAGCTACATCATCGAAGCCAAAAGGGGTACCTGCCGTGAAAACGCGAGCCATTACCTTTGATACACCACAAGCTTGCAACCCGTACAAGGTACTTGGTAACAGCCCGCTTCCTGTTGCGCAATACGGAGATCTCAATAGCCCGACCCCTGCCACCTTGGAGCCCTCATCTGTGTATTCAATGCAAGATAACTCTTCAAACTCACATGCAGACTCAACGGATGGAGTTGCGGCTGTTCCGGTACCTAATTATCGCGACAGCCAGACTACTACACACTTAGAATGGCACCGCTATGCGCCCTCTGCGACAGGTGGTGGAGCTCAGCAATCGCTTCCGTCAAGCGTTATTGCGACTCATTCCAACTCTTCTGCCTTGACCCCCTTAGCCAACATTCAGGAGGACACTACAACGAACCTCAGGCTGTCCGGATATAGGTATCCTGGTCCATCTCGTTATCTGCCTGATCTGAAAGAGGAGTCGCACGAGGACTCGAGCCTCAACACGAGTGCCAGCAACCTAAAGGGCTCGAGTTTCCGCTTTCCGTTTGGGATACCGTCGGGTGTTCGGGCTTCGGGAGAGGATCCGATCAATTTCTCGAGAAGGTCTTCTATGGTGTCGCGTCGTCAGAGTGTTATCGGTAGCAATGTTGGCAGCGCGCTTGGTCAGGCCCACGGCTTGCCTTCGATGCGGTTCAGCCGAATGAATCTGTTTGATGGTCTGACCGACGAGCTCGGCCTCCGCTATTCAAGGTCGATGGAGGAGGTGCCTAACGCGTCGCATAGAATGAGTAGAGGTAGTCCACTGCGACCTGCATCAGCAGGTGATGTCACTGGAATGCGCCTTTCTCTCGCAGAATTGAATGAGGCCGAGCGCTCAAGATTGTCAATGCAGCCTACCGCCATGATGAGCTTGTTCGCCATGCATCGTGCGCGTTCGCCGGAGCTCATGGTGGAGATTGAGCGGCTAACTATACCTTCTGTTGGGGGCCTCACGCAGCGCTTTTCGGAGTTCTTTCCGTCGTTGAGGGAGTACTATCAGTGTGGTGAGCCATCTGAGTTTCCGATTGAGGAAGGGATCGAGAAGCACGCATTGGAGGAGATTCACGAGATTCATCCGACGCAAAAGCGCTCTTCAGCTCGACTTCGGCCTATGCGTGGCGTATCCCACATGGTCGTTATGGAGGACGATCTCTACGATGAGATTACGAGCAAGGAGAAGGGGAGTGGCAGTCCAGGTCGTCCCAACGATGGGGGTGCTGCAAACAGCGCTAGTGAGGCAGACTCAATCGCAGACGAGTCGGCCTACGAGGACGACGTGACTGCCACCCCAACACACAACAAGACAGCTCCGCTTCCAAAGCTTCAAGTTCCGTCACCTGCTGTTTTACGTCCACGTTCCCATACTGTCGGTCCTCAAGAGCTTCGTATCTCAGGGGATTCGGCTCTGTCGTCAAGAAGGTCTCTGAGATCGATCGTTTCGACACCCACAGCAACCGAGACGCGTCCTTGGAACTCGGACAAGAACTATCCCTGGGCAACGTCAACAAACCCCGCGATCGAGATGTCACTCCCTCGTCCTACCGTCTCAAAGCACTCCCCTCGCCCTGGTCCCTCCCATCTCCGCAACAGAGTCTCTGACGCGAGTACTGCGAGCTCTTTCTCGACTGCTCAGACAGCTACAGCATCGCCCTTCGGTTCACCATCTGACAGCACTGCACACGCACGTCATCATCGCTTCAGCGCCTTTGGCCGTAACGGTGATCAGCCGCACGCAGTCGGAGAACGCTATCCTACGTCAGCTTTGTCTCCCCCTACGGCCATCTTCCGCGATCACCTTTCTGCCTCTGACACTTCTGACGACGAGCATTACGACACGACGCACAAAACCAGGCTCTCGCTGCGGAAGCGGTTTTCGTCAACTCGCAAGGCTAAGCTTGATAACCAAACAGCTATCCGAGCTAGCAGAAGCAAGACCAACGCACAAGACCTTGCCTCGCCCGAGTCTACCAAGCCGTCTACGAATTCGATCTTGCAGGGCTGTGTTGGTGAAGCTCAAGCGTTCACGTCATCCACTACTGCAAACCGCCATACCTTCCGTAACGCGGAGGGCATGAGAGCAGTTGACTACCGCAAACATCGTATCATCGACCGCATCAAGACTTGGTGGCACAAAGGCTCATATTTGATTCGGCAACTATCAACCCGCAAGCAATCCTCCACTACGGATACTACAACTACTTAACAGCCATGAATATGTATACCCAATTCACGGTCTTCATCACTCCCGGTGGTCTGATCTGGGTGATCCCCCACTATCAGCAGCTTCCCTTGTATCCTCCTGACACACCTCCTTCGTCTCCGCGTCCGCCGCCCAATACGCCGGAACCCGGTGCGGACGTGGAGGATCTGATCTTGTACGCACCGGCAGTTGGTCCTGATGAACCTTACCGCTACTACTGGCACCATGTTTGAAAGGGTTATGGTGGTTCTCAGTAGTTTACCTTCTCTAATCATCATGTATACTAGGATATGAAAATGGGTGGTCTTCACGAGGATATGACACACGGTCTTGAGAGATTATAGCTAGCTGACTAGCGCTTCATACTAAGAAAGTCTTTGACTGGATAAACACTATCTTCATGGTGACATGTGATGTTTGCGGAGTCTCGGTAGTCGCTTAGGTACACTTATGTCTGGATATACGTACGTGGTGAGCGTGTTGAAGGCGTACAAGCCTCATCATTCGGTTTGAGGCTGTTGGCCGATAGTTCTGTGAAGGTCTACATGCACGGCAATGGCACATGGTAATATACAAATAAATATTACCGCATGATCCTCGATCTACTATGACCTCACTACAGGTCAACATAAGAGGCTTCGGATACTATAAAGCTATAGTTTTAGAATGTATCCAGGCGTTGTGTGATGCGTTGTAGGTATACTGGCGCTACATCGGAGGGTAGAGCAAATACAGGTATGGTAATGTTAACGTGTTCCACTTCAATCTTTTAGTCCTCGTCATACAAGAACGATGCTTCGACCGGGAGTATATATACGTATGCAGCGACTGACTTTGGTATTCATTCGCCCCAGCTAACGTGGCCCTGTCCATTTATTGATCAATTTGATGATTATACATGGTCTGAGGGAGCAGCATCCTTGATATACCAAGTTGAGAGGAGAAAGGAATAATAATACGAAATACTGAACATATGTAGCTGTAACTCAGATTGCGTTGAGGAACGCTCTACGTTTTTTCCCATTCGTAGCAATCCGTGATCATGTTCGTCATCCTGGAATTTACTAAAATTACGTCTCGGGTCGAATGTCAAACATGTGCAGGATGCCTAGTGTGTCGTCTCACGGTCAAGAGCACATATCTCCAAAGGAACGCGTAATCAAGTCTGAATCATTCCATTTCGTGTATATCCAGCTTCTAGAGCTGTTCATAGCCACATGTCTGTTCAGACCCTTGGCACTCTTTCATAACCCTTGTGCGGACCAAGCCCTTATGCGGCGATGGTAACCTCAACCTCGACACCGGCCTCGATGTTGATGATGATCTGCTTGACGACCTCAGTGGGGGCGTGGAGGTCGATGAGGCCTAAGATGGCAATTAGCTGCTGTTCAAACCAACTGCCTGGAGCGGTATGCACTTACGCTTGTGGATGCGCATCTCGTATGTGTCCCAAGTCTTGGAACCCTCACCGCAAGGAGTCTTACGGGTGGTGATCTTCAAGTGCTTGGTGGGCAGGCGGACGGGGCCCTTGACGCGGAGCTCCTTGTTCTTGGCACGGTCGATGAGCTCCTGGCAGACCTTCTCGAGGCTCTTGACGTTGCGGGAGGTGAGGGTGATGCGGATCTGGAACCACAGTCAGTAAACGGCCTTGCGCGCATAGCATTGGGGGAGACTTGCCTTGTGGATCTTGGGACCCTCACCGAAGTCCTTCTCGGGCTTGTTGTAAGACATCTTGTCGGGTTGGAGTGTTGTGTTGTTGTAAGGTACTGAGTTAGATTCCAGTCACGACCTGGATCCTCGATCGCGGTAATGTGATGACTGGGGTGGCGTTAAAATTGGCGACGGCGTTCGGAGTCGATAAGTTCTTTCGCGACATTTTGCATCTGTGGGCGACGAGCGCCAAGATTGCGGACGCTAGAGCCGTATCGGGTATCGCTCCCTTTGGATCGCTCGGCAGGCGGGCCCATGAGCCATCATGACTACATGACTGCAGACAAACACCAGAAATCGAACCGTGAATAAGCTTCTTTTACTCCTCCTGCATCGCCTTGCACCTCACGCCTCAGCCTGCGCTTCGAACTTACTGCATTTCCAATAGTGATGTCGCTACCCCACTTCGCGCCTTTTCCAGATGCAAAAGTCAGAAAGAGCATACTTCCCGACGAATGGCAGTTATACCTGGACTCCTGGACTTCACTAGCTGAGCTTTATCTGAGGTTAGAGGACCAGCAGTTCTCAGCAGCAATCAAAGAGGAGGGTTCGCTTACACAATTCCTGCTGTCTTTCTTCCATGAGCTCGCCCTGGATGATGAGCTAGCATCCAAAGTTGCGTCATTGCGAAAGAAGGCTTTCTTTTTATTACACAGGATCTTGACCAAGGAAGATGCACCTACTGCCTTGCTCAGCTGGTCAAATCTATCAGATATTTGTCATGTATATCCAAAGAGCGAGCAGTTTCGTACGCTCTTGCAGGGGTCCTGGAGGAGAAAGAGCGCGGCCATCGAGAAGTCGTTACAGACTGCAAAAACGTCTCTAATCCGGAATTTGGAATCGAAGCGGCCGGAAGAGGCTGAAAAGACACTTGACCGGATTGCGCCTCTTCTCAGGGCCTCGTCAGATGCCAGCACCTTCATGCTCACAGGGTCAGACTTCCTCGATTCTCTCCTTGCCGCATATCCACAAGTACCTCAATCAATGCAGAAGAAGCTAGTCACGACAGCATATCTTGGTCTCACAGCTGCATTAGAGGGGCCAAAACCTAATTACTCGTTGCTTTCCGATCATTTGTATAGCCTGAAATCCAGCGAAGAGCAAGATCAAAAGAAAGAGCCCGGGAAGAAGACGTTGGTGGCTGATCTTGTCACAAACACGCCGTTGCTGGAGAAAATAAGAGAACAGGCTACTACTCCCGAAGCTGCAAGAGTAAAGAATACTGCAGCATCATTAAGCGCATTTCGGCAATCGGGTCTAGCTCGGCCAAAGAGGCTAATTCGACGAAAGGTAGATAAAGGCAAAGCCAACGCGGACCAAGATAGTTATGGACATGGAGCATTCACTGGTGAGATCCATGTTCATCGCATGAGTATGATCAGTCAAATACAAGATCTCTTCCCAGATCTTGGTGCAGGCTTCATTGTGAAGTGCTTGGATGAGTACAACGACGATATTGAGCAGATTACTGCGCATCTCTTAGAAGACTCGCTGCCGCCGCACCTCTCCGAAGCAGATCGGAGCGAGAAGCTGTAAGTTTGTCGATTATAATCACGCAATTCTGCCTTTAAACAGAATCACTAACGAGTATTAGGCCTACGCCAGCTACGCCTTCACAACCACTGCCCCCACCCAGATCAAGCCAACATATTCCAGAACGGCGCAATGTGTTTGATGGAGATGAGTTCGATCAGCTCGCAATCGACACATCGCGACTCCATATGGGCCGAAGAGGTCAAGACCTGAACGCCGACAAGATATTGTCTGACCGCAGTAAAGCGCCCGCCAAGTCAGCCATAATGGCAGCTCTGGCGGCCTTCGATTCAGACGACGACGAGCGTGATGACACATACGATGCGGAGGATGTTGGCGCATCTGTCGACACTGCCGCACCTGGGCCTGGTGAGGATGCTGACCTGGGCGACAAGAACGAAGAAGCTCTATTCCGCGCCTACACCATGTCACCTGAGCTTTTCGGTCGCGAGTCAGAGATAAGAAGGGGAAAGGCTCGAACAGCACTCAAGAGCGAGACGGGTATGACGGACGAGGCGATTGAAGGTTGGGCTATCATGATGGGACGCAATCCCAGGCAATTCCGGCGACTCGAAGCGAAGTTTTCCAACTTCCATGGTCAACAACGGGAACTTCAATCAACATCATGGCGGGATAGTCCTGCAGGATCTGGCGACGAGGGTAGTGGTGACGGGCAAGGTGGTCGTGGAGGCAGAGGTGGCGGCGGTAGAGGTAGAGGTAGAGGCCGCGGACGTGGTGGTGGAAGAGGTGGCGCTAGCGTCGCAGGTCCCGCTGATGATAAAGGCACGCAGATCTCGCGGCAACGAAAAGAGGCCAACAAGAGTTCGAGTGCCAACCATAATCGTAAGGCTCAACGAGGGAAGAAGATGGCTCGAGCTGGGTTCCCAGCTAGCTGAAGGAATTGTGTCAATTCACAGATCCATGGTTAATAGATATGGTACATGTCTTCCTGCACACCGCGTCTTGAAATACCCAACAATAGTGCGATCATGATCGAGCGCTTGAATTAGAGAAACATGCACACCCTTTCACGGTCGAATATCACACAATTTCTCTTGAAGTTTTGAATCCAAACAGTTATGTAAAGCAAAAAGTGTTGTAGCATTATCAAGGGACCCGATGGCGGCTGGAGCATTGGTCCTATCTAACAACCCCGCACTCTTACCCAAAAAGTTACGGAAGCCACGCCTACCCCTCTTCGAATTCCCACCGACAAAAAAAACATGTCTGACAAACTCTCCGACGGGGAATCGACTGTTGAATAATTAGAACACGTTCATCTGTTTTTGCATAAGTGTACACATACACCCCGGTCTCCCGCGCTTGTAAATCCTGAAGACTTGACAAGCGGAAATCATGACCACTAGACCATCGAAGATATTGCTATTAGCGTCATATGACGTAAGCAGATGGTTGTTTGTACGATGAATAGAGAGGTAAATTTTGCATATATAAACCACCCAGTATTTCTATCATGGGTGATTACTCATTTCCGATCAATTAGAGTGCGGGGTTTGCTGATGAATGGTCTTGTGATGCAATCCGGGCTTTCCGAAAGCCGGCCGGCCACCCAACCAGCCAGCCAGCCAGCCAGCCAGATGGGGGACGCGGGGCCACGATGTGACATTAGTTGGCTGAGACCACAAACCTCGAGAACACATGGTTGCGCAGAAACGCTGGTATCAAACACAACGACAACATGTTGTAATTACAGGAGTAAAAGACTTCTTTGAGCCTCTAAGTTAAATCCATTTTTTTTTCTGTCCTAGAGGCGAACATTCGCCCCTTAACCCGCTTCTCCGCATGTGAAGACGCTGATTCGTCAGGCTTCCAGGCGCAGTTTGGAGGCAAGGGCTGCTTGCGCATATCTACATACTGAAAGTGTCGGGCTTTTTCAACAGCATCATGAACTTCCTACGCTGCTCATCGTATGTACTGTTTGCAAACGCCTAATAGTGGTCGACTCCATCACAACTTACATGGATCCTTAATTGATGCATTCAATCACGATGCCGTAAGATTCGTAAAATTCATTTAGCTACCCTATGTCAAAGCGTATCCTGTTCTACCCCAGGCATCTTCGTGAAATCGGGAATATCATACACATCCTCCATGGAAAGCCAATGCAAGACGTAGCGCCACTGCTCAAAGTGGCCGCAAGTGCCCGTTGTACCTCTCCAACTGTTCCAGACACACCGCAGCAGCGACATACTTCCAGCTCTTCAAGTTCCTGTAATTCTCCCAGCCAACGGTCTCTAGCGCTACCATAAAGCATGCAACTGAGCGCGGCAGCGCTTCCGAATCAGCATCATCGTCCCCATCTGTGTCACCCTTTACGATACTCTTGATTATACTGTTAACGTCACGATTGAAGCGCTCTTGAACCTCCTGGTTGGCTTCGCGGATGTAGCGTGATGGCGCGCGCTCTTTCTTACCCAGGATGTTACCACTGAACACCTCCAGCTCGGTGAGAGGCTGGCCGCGAGTCGGTCGAAGCGTATCCATGATTTCGAGTAGATTTTCCTCGTATGCTTCGCGGAGTTCTTCGGCGAAATCCCAATAGTGTTCCCATTGCACACCCTGAATTTCTCGGACGATATACCGCTCGAGCTTTCGCACCAAAGACTCACCAATCCTGGGACGACGCGTCTCGAAATTGTCCTTCAGACGTGCGAAGAACTTCTTCTCATCGATGGCGCGATACAGAACTCCGAGGATCTTGTCGCTCCGATAGTACCGACTTCGTGCTTTGTCTGGGTCAAGCACACTTACGCTGTCAGGATCGTCAATATCATCGCCCTCGAGCTCTTCAAGTTCGGTTGCACCCAATTCGTTGATAACCAGGTTTGACACGGGCGCCATAAAGTCCGGACGAATATGGTCAGCACCCCGCGGTATCGAAGCCATGTCGGCAGGAATTCCGGACTTGCTAAAGTCAACAGCGTCGGACGCGAGCTTAGCAAGAAGTTGACACTCTGTATCTTGAGTCCCAACAGGCGCTTTGTCAGCGCGAATTTTATGCTTGTTCGAGATCTGACCTAATCGATCCATGTTCATGTATTCTATGAAGAAGTTGACGATGTCATTGACCTCTACCGGACGGCCTAGATCTTTGGCTGGTGTCGATGGGTAATCCGCAGGCGGTACGGTGAAGTCGGGAATGAGTCGTGGATCGAAGATAATGTGAAAAAGATCTCCATCGAGATCACCGCCACTCAGCTGCGAAGGCAGATCTCGTGGACCTTGTTGCGAGAAGACAACGCAGTTGTGGAGCGCATGGAGGGGTGAGCCGTCCGGAACATCAACGGCGGTAACAAGCTGGACATCTCCTGGATGGAGTGCTGCAGAGATGAAGATGCGCAGTCAGTATCTGGATCACGTCCGTTTCGTACAGTCAAAACTTACCGGGTGCCCTGGTAATCACTACGCGATCACCGACAAGACGTTTCGTCTTCAATCCGCCATTCAGATCATAGTCTCGCGTCGCGATATAGACTTCCCCTTCGCGTAACGTGTTCGTCTCATCCATGATTCCGTAGAGAAGATAGCCTCGTTCGACAGGAATACGCGCGCGATATTTCATGCTCCTCAGATTCGCCATAGCTGTGACTTCTACAATGTCGGTAAGGAACTTATCTTCGTGAAAGGTCAGATTAATCTGATGCATCAACTGGAACAACTTGGGGACCTTGGCGAATACGCCAGAGTGCGAATATTCTGGCGAATGTTAGTACATTTCTTCATAGGGTGCCTTGGATTAGCTTCGAAATGACTCCGGTCTATGATGATGTATGTGCGTACTACACCGGATAACTTACCGAGAAAACTTGCAGCATTCAAAGGATGCTCTGTCATTCGCTTCAGGGTACTGACTGCTTCGTCTTGCACAGCCTTAAAATTCCTTGCCGGAACACCAAGATCTTCTAGGATCTTGATGAACTGATGATTTAGAAACACTTGTAAGGGCCTGTAGGCAGCTCCGCACAGCTCGAGAGCTTGCCAAGTTTCATTGGCGATGTATTTTGTCATGCTCTTTCGAACATGCAACTGCTCGCCTGGAAGAGATTGGTCGAGCGACAAGACACCCTTAGCCCCTCGGTAGCGGATCTGCAGTATGGTCGGCCTGAGGCTTCTTCGATCCGGGGGTAAAGCCTTCCACACTTTGCGCATCAGTTCAAGGGATATCGTTCCGCAACCGTCGCTAAATGTCCGACCATTGCGCACAATGTCGTCTTTGGTTTCGGTGGCGAACGCGGTCGATGGAACTTGAACCGAAAATATGGTATCTACATGTTGGTATACGGAGTCAGCATATCTCTAACATGCATTTAGCACTGATGTGTTACTTGCCAGAAAATGCTTGCCCAATTCTAGCCGCACATTTAGCGCTACAATGTATGTGTGTAAAGTCGCCCAAGTCGCGAATGACATCTCTTGCGTGAACAGTGATGCCGTTCTTCTCGAAAGGAGCCATGAACCAAGCTTGGTGAGTTCGAAGCGATGCGTGGGAAAAGCCGAGAAAGTGAAAAGTCCGCCCGGCGACTGGAATACCATCCTGAAGCACGCCTTTAAAGCGTTCGTAGACCGTTTCCTGTGACGCTGGTGGGTCGTGAAATACCGACAACCCGTCCTCGTCGGCGAAGAACACACGCATGAAGTATTCGCTATGGGTGGCATACTTTCGCAAGATGCGATTCGAGGTACCCCAGTCAGGGCCACGCAGCAAGATACCTATATTTAATCTCAGTCATGTATTCGAAGATTTTGGGAACCACAGTGGGTAGAAAAGCCCATACCTGTGGGGGTGACCGTAGCCTTGTAAGTTGACACGAGATGTTGCTTGCTATGTTCAACACGCAAGTCTCGCGAAGTTACTTCGTGGAATTTACTCTTTGCGATGCTTTCACTGAGAACGTCCGTAAGAGTCTTGATCTCGAATTCGGCTGCCTCGACCCCTGGAGCAGGCGTAGGTATCTGATTCCCTAGGCGACGAACTGCGCTTGCAGTGAGATCTTCACCGTGCTGTCTCGCGATATTTTTCATGGCAGGTATGAGTTCGAACATCTTTAGCGGCGTAATTGTGCCCTCTAGCACGAGTGCTAATAGCTGATACCGGACCCTAAATTCGAAGGCCTCGCGAAGTTTGTTCTCGACAAACACATACTCAGCTTCGATGCTGTTCGTCCGATATGCGGGAACCATGGTCTTCCAACAGTGTATTTCCGGTACTGAGAAGTCCTTGACGAAGTTCCAAGCGAACCTTGCGGTTTGGTGGTTAGGAAAAGCAATTTTGTACACCATGCACAAAGCAGAGTTCTTGTCGTTCGCTTTGCTCAACTTGCAGAGCCTTTGCAGACGGAGAACCTTTTTCTGTGGCCTCATGTTCATCTTCGCTAGCAGGGAAGAAATGTCAGTCGGCTCGTGCGATGCTTGCTGGCCAGTATACAGGTGCAGATCATCTGTAGACTGGATCTCGTAGAACTTCGGAGGTGACTTGAGGGTGAATGTGATCGTTTCGTGTCTGCCATTGTCGGCTGACGGAATTGTATGCTCTATGATCGCGTAGGGAATGTCGATTCTGCAGTGCCAATTGAAGGTTTCGGAGACACCTGCTTGGAGATATATCTGATCAGGTCAGCAGCTGTAGCCCTGTCACGGCTGGGCTAGAAGAATAAGCTTACCACTAGAGCGCTCTTGCCAAACGTGATGAAACCATTCCTTTTATCCTTGAACTTCTGATCAAAAACGAGCTTGCCTAGGCGATCATAATCCCAAACACCTGTCATCAACGTACGAAAAGACAGTGTCGATAGTCCTGAAGGGCGCTGCAGCTTCAAGGTAGACGCCTGACTTCCCAGCTTCGATCTCTCAGCTTCTTCTCTTTCTTGCAATGACTTGACCTTGAGGGGATCCGGTTGACCAGGCCTATTACTCAGTTGAAACACAAGTCGCTGACCGTGAAACTCCAATGATTGAAGTGCTACGCGTCGTCCTCGACTGCCATAAAGTTGCAGAAATTTGTTGCCTTTAGCTGTGCTCGGTATGGTGAGAATGGCGAAGTGAGGCTTTCCATTGTGACCCCCATATTTCTGGATGTCGAACGCGAGCACCTCTAGTTTGAGGAGTAGGTCTTTCAAGAAGATCTTCAACTGGACATTATTGGCGTTCTTGGGAACCTATAATTAAAAGATCTGGTTAGCTAGCTGTTTACTACTTGCGCCCGATATTCGCTAGCCTAGTGCCGTGGCTGGGACGCTATTAGCCCTACTCCAGCGTCGTTACTTACCTCTGGAATATAGATATCCATCGCGAAGGCCTGCGGCGCCTCGACAGGCTGATCCGCAGGATACCGAAGGATATGTCTCTGTTTGTACCGAAAGTCGAGTAGAACTTAGGTACCGAAGCAAACAAGAAGATACAGCTCTCAGTGAGTTGGCCAATTAGGAAAGTGGGGATGGCGCTAACGACCCCGAGAACCTGCGGACGCGTCCTCACGTGCGGGGTCACCTTCACCTTGGTTTTGGAGCAAGAAAGACTACCAGATATGATCGTGTAGCTACGATACTACGATAGGTAAAGCTGTGTTGATATCAAGTTAAGGGATGTCCGTCTTGTTGCCTAAGCCAATACGACCGTGGGATGGGTGCTTGCAGGACCTCGAGCTGCATGTGGCGTGGCACGATACGACAGGGCATTCTGCAGAACACATTGCGACATGTCATTCTCAGGACCAAACATAACTGACCGGTTTGTCTACTTTCTTAGCCTAGATGCAGCTTTCGGGTATTGGAAAACAGGCATCTTACGGCCTTCCCGGTCTGATCGCTACTCGTACAATGCAGCCATACGCATTTGCACATACCCCCACGCCGTGACAGGCTCATATTTCTTCGGATTTTCCTCATCCCAGCACCCTGGTAGTGCATCAATGATAGTATCCATGTTCGGCGTCGCAAAGACGGGGATCGAATAACGATCTGGTACCACTACTTCGCCAGCCTTGCCTCCCCCCTGAAGCGTTGGCGGTAGTCCCACCCGATGAACACTGCTCTTCCAACGATCATTACTCCACCTCGCCATCAGATCTCCAATGTTGACTAACACGGTGTCTTCGATCGGTTCCGCCGCGCGGAAAGTACCTGGTTCAACAGGATCTTGTACCTCCAGTCCTCCAACTTTGTCTTGGAAGAGCAGGGTCAAAGTGCCGAAATCCGAGTGGGCGTTGATCCTGCTGCGTTCGTTGTTGCGTAGCTGTTCGGCGTCAATAGAGGGGTAGTGCAGGAGCCGGAGTTGGAAGAGTGACTCTGAATGTGTTGGGGAGAGACCTGGTTCAGGAATATTGAGGGCAATAGAGAGAGCATCCAAGATGCTGTGGATCAGACTGGCGCATTCAGTAAAATACCTTTCCATGAATGCGCGGAAGCCTGGAAGCCTTTCTTCTGGAAGCCAGATGTTTGGTTGTGCTTCGTCTTTCACGTTACCAGATTCGTAAGATTCTTTATAGTCAGGTATCTGAATTCTATCAGCATGCAATTTGTAGCCTGGTGATTGAAAGGGCCTACCTCTCTCAATTTGTTCAGTTCATTGACATCATAAACTCCCTGACTAACCTTCTCTACACCCGGCGCCGAGTAGCCACGATGATGACTTCCACCCGGTGGGTGAGGTGCCAACATCTTCGTTTCGAGCGGTAAATCGAAAAACTTTTTGGACCAGGCGAAGCATTCCTCCACCACCTTCTTCTTCACACCACTAGATGTGGGTATACAGCGTTAGTACATGTCTCACATACAGTTCATACAGGGACGCTTACTGATTCCTCAAATACACAAATCCGACCCCACGGAATGCATCGTCAATTTCTTCGGCAATCCTCTTCTTATCGCTTTCTCCGCCCTGTAAGAAAGCGCCGAAATCTACAACTGGTATCTCGCTCATGATAAAGAGGATGTTTTATTATCCTCGGTGCACAGTGTGTGACCTCTTGGAGGCAATGCAGATAAACGAATAAGCAGTGACAGCTCACAAATAGAGTGCAACGAGGCAGGTGCTGATTCGCACGTTGCTCCTTCTTTTGGTAGACAAGCACGGCAAGTACCAGGTAGGATAGGAGCGGGGGTGGGGCAATCGATAAGACGGATACATTCACTAAAATCTGACACTAGCGACGTATAGAAATAGAGTTGGTTCTTGGTGCAAGCTTCTGATATGACATCTAACAAGCAACAGCACAAAGAAACCTCTTGCCTAACATGCAATGCTAACGCGACGTCTTCAAGAAACCAAATATCCATGCTATGCATACCAGTCATCCTATATCCAGCCTGCCGTTTCGTGTCGTCCCAATAATGCTTTCCCAGTTCATTCACCCCATTACCGTACTGCAGTACCCAATACCCTTTTTTCCAGCCGAGTTGTCTCTCCCCACTAGGAAATCGTACCTAAATACTATCCTCCATCTGAGACAATGGTCACCACCCACATTGTATGTTTACGGCTCTCCAAACATGTCTGCCACTCCTGCCAGACCTGGGGAAGTTCCTCTGACTATAGTTGGTTGCTGATCTACACTCATGTACTGTTCCATCATGGCCGTCCTAGGCTTGGCCTTTGGTCTCTGGATCTTGCCTTGCTCATGAATACTGACACCTTTGATACTACTCAAAAGATCGAGCACGATGCTGCGTTGCATACGTTCGTCAGAACTGTTGGCGTTGCGGAGCTTTGCAAGTCGGCGATCGACACGGTATTGGTCACCCATGCCAGGTAAGGACAGGATGATCGAGCGTGGTATGTCTTCATCCAGGTGAATGATGCCGGCGATGAGGGAAGCAAGCTCTTTTTGACAATCCACAAAGTAGGGCTCGTGGAGGGATGTGATAGCTGACTTGAGTATGTCGTTGCAAAAGTAATCGCGGATGGGGGATTTTTCTTTAAACTGTAGAAGCAGAGTACGCATCACACGGACGATGGTGACCACGGACCTGGTATCTCGAACACGGATAGTTGAGTTGCAGAAGAGGAGGATGGGCTCGAGGACTGCGGGCGTTGCGAGAATAAAGTCGCACATGGGCGGTGCGTTGGCTTCTTTCCGACCGTGCTCATCGTGACGGGCGAATTCTACGATAGGGTTAGCTATTTCTTCTTATACAACTATGATCCAAAGATGCGGTGCTAAAATCGTATTCGACCCGCCCAAAGCACTCGCGTTGAAAGCACCACCTGCGTTCACGAGCAATGAATGACTTACCCTGTCTCGAATCGAGCAGGACAGCGACAAGCGAGACAGACGAATAGGTGAGCTGACGTAGTATGCTCTCCGTCTTCATCTCGTCCGTCAAGTTGTCATTGTCCCCTGACTCCGCCACTTGTCGGGCAACCTCATCCCACTCTCCAGATATCTTTCGATCGAGCTCTCTGAACAGCCCTTGTATCATTGGTGGCAGGAAGTGTGGCCGTAACCGCGCTGGGCAACCTTCGATGAGATGGGTAGATACTGTCAGCAGAACGGATAGATGGTGTGCTGTCAAAGCTCCAGCATGACCGAATAGTGCTTGACTCAGCGGTCCTGGCAGGTCTTGTATGCCATAGAAGAAGTCTCGGAACCGTGTCAGTGAGTACAGAATGTAGTAGGAGCTCTCCCTAATCTGCCGTACAGTGCCCCGTACTGTCGATGCGAAACCCTCATACGTCGACTTGGAGCCACTGACTCTGGCAAAGAAATCATCTCTGCTCTCTGTCGATATACCCGCTTGCCAGAACCGATCTGTCAATACTCTTCGAATAACCTGCTGTAATTCTACCGGTAAGTGTGACCAATTGCTTTCAATATCGTTGAATGCTTGCGCATGGCTCACAAGCTGAAGAAGATTGGGAAGCAGCACCGGTATAGTTTCAGCCCATAGTACCGCAGCGGTCTCATACGCAGCAGTACCATCGCGAAGCTTCTCCGTCGACGCTGCCAGTAGCGTCTTAGTGAGTCGCAGTGGCAGATGTTGGGAACGCTCAAGTATCGAAGCCTGCAATGCTTGGCCATCACTAGGCAGTTGTTGATCAGACCAGTCCTGAACGCCACGGAAGTTGTTCGCAGATAGAAACTCGGGTAATTGACCCATGCCCAACACGCCGCAGAAAGATTGGAATGAAGAGATAGCGTTGGTGAACTCATCGTTGCGCCAAGCATCCTTGACGCTGTTGAGCATCTGCCTCATGCGCTCTTCTTGTGTGGCACGCTCTAAAGTTGTACATCTATGTATGATGATGAAAAGGAAAGCGGAGTACGCCATACGCTGGCGTTCGTCAGTCGTTGGGTCATTAATCATCTCATTGACCTTGGCCTCTAGTTGCTCGTAGACGTTCATAAAATCGTCAGCAAACTTCATCGCTAGTTTTTGCATCTCGAGACTGCATATGCGCTCGAGATCTTTGACAGAATCGGAGTACTGTGGGTAGCTCGTGTCATCGGCTAACCGTATTGTAAGCATGTACTCCAGGAAAGTAAGGGCGAAACCGGGCCGGTCGCCCAGAGCTTTTGTTGAGAGTGTTGCCATCAAGGAAATTATCTTCCTTGCGACTTCAGGGTCTTCAAACTGAGCTCGCAAAATCTGCCTGCCCCACTGTTCGAGTGAATCTTCTAGGGTGTTGCGCGTCCGTTCACTGTCTTGCGCATCTTCGCCCTGCCCTTGCTGCCACTTCATGTATCCTTTGAGTGCGGCTTCGATGACAGTGACCTGCGCATCGACCTGAAGAACTTGTGGAGAATTCTTAGTGAAGGTTTGGCGTTGGAAAGTGGGCTGGCCATTGTACAGGTTCTGGAGCATGTTTGTTGCCTGAGCAAGGATATGCTCCATTGCCTCAACAGGCGTCTTGCGAACCAAGACTTCGATCACATCTGCGCAAAACCTGCGGTAGTTACCCAGAAAGGCATGGCGCTCAGGGATTGTATCAATATCTTCGTTGAGAAACTGCAATGTGACGTCTTCAGTATCTTCCGGCAACGATTCGTATCGGATAAGTCGAGCGCAACATGTCTCAAGTAATCCTCCGACCATGGAGTTGACGACATCAGAGTCTCGCACAATGCTCGATCGTAGCAACTTAGTCCAACAATGAAGGACAGGTATGGAGACGACAAGACTCGGGTTGCGCATAATGTCGTATAGGAAACCGAATATGCCCGCTAGGTCGCTGCCATCGGGTATCGACTGGGGTTTTTGTTCGATGAAGAGTCCAAGACTATTTGCCAACTACCATCATTAGCAAACATTGCGAATGGGAAGAGCAGCTGGAGTCGTACTTCTGAAAGTCTCTTGCAGAGCATATATTTCTGGTCATCTATATCATTCACATCCATGTCCGTGAGTGTCCAATTGTATACTTCTCGCAGGAGTGAAACACTGCCAGGTGTGAACATGGGGCATACAAGCTCTACAAACTCGTCGTCGTGTAGGTGGGTTCGGTTATAGATGGCTTGGAGAGTCTCGACGGCGGCCTGTTTGTGTCAGCAGCTGTGCATGTTGTGGGTAGCTAGAGGCGACTTACGATTTGCATCTCCACGGCTGGGGTAGCCAGCGCCTTACAGACGGCCTCGATGACTTGTGTCGCAGCAATGGCCTTGGGCATAATCCATGGCATAGCCGCCTTAAGCGCATGCATAGTCTTGATCGCGTTCGCTTTAACAGCCTCTTGATTCTGGTAATCCTGTCCCAAGCACCATCCCAAATTATCGCATAGCCTTCTCAGCCACCCTTCGTCCCCACACCGCACTTCAAGACTCTTCTCACGTGTAGGGAGTTGTTCTTGTATTACAGAGAGCGGTGTGAAAATCTCGACACATGCTCGTCCCAAGTCGCTTCCTCGGAGGCCTGCTGTAGCGTCTTCACGGTTGAAAACCTCCTCAGAAAGCGTTTCCAAGATGTATAAGACCACAGCCTGGTGGTGCAGCGAAGTCGACCACAGTGAGACGAGCAGCCGATCCATATCCAGCCACTCTGCACCCCAGCTGCGCTTGGCAACCTCTGTCCACAGCTGCGCGATCTTGTTCCTAATGAAGACGGGCTCGCTTTCGGACACATTCTGTGCAAGGTCGATCGCATAGCCCCTCAACACAGTTCCCTGGTCCATTGTGAGATCTTCCCAGCTGTACTTCATCGAGTATTCCAGCATGGTAAGGCCATAGTAGCGGAGGGGCACGGGCTGCGAGCGGTCGAGAGCGAGCGTGTGGCCATGGGAAGGCGCTTCGGGGTGCCGTTTTGCTTGCTCGAGGTATTCGGTTGCCTGTCGGCGGGTATCATTGGTCGAGTCTTTTGCGTAGATGGCCTGCAGCGCCTCTAGTATTTGGGAGAGGTCCGAGTCTCTGTTGGCGCTGTGGTGTTGGTGTTGTGCTCCATCGCCGCCATTTGTTTGCGGGGCTTGGTCTGCGCCAGCATTCATCTTGAGACGGCTTCTCTAGCCTGGGCCCGGGGGACGTAGGGTCGGGTGAGTCTATTCGTGAGCTGCAGCGGGTATTGTGGAAATGGTGTGTGTTTGTTATTCCGAGTCTCAGATTATTTGGGCGGAGGTTGCTGAAAGCGGAAGACGTAGAGGACAAGGATCGTGGGTCGAGAAGCTTTGGCGCCGATGTCTGGACAAACCAAAGAAGATGGCGGTGTAGCGTGTAAGCCCAGATTCTTTGACTTGCTGGCCCGAGACGTGGTGCACTTTGTCCCAACGGTTCAAAAAGGCGATTGACGCTTATCTTCACGTCGCACGTTCCACGGACGCGTTTTGCAGGCTGCAGTCCCAAAGGCACGTCACGTCAACGCGATGTCAGCTGCTTTGCCGCCAGAACTAGGCTCGTCGCTTCTCAACTAGTCTTCATCGAATATCGCTATATACACGCTCAACACTACCGTGGATGCCCCAAAACGCCGTGACAAGATCAGAAAGTCGTACAACGCTCATGTTTACCCAAACGGATCATATGCACAAAAACTGCGCTGACTGCGTGACCTGAGCATCGGATGACATTGCATCACCGTGCGTTGGTCCGATTCCCCCACCACACCAAAACCCCAAGAAGCTCGAGACATTACATGACAACGCAAGTCTGCTTCTGGCACTGCTGAAGGTACCCTTCATCCTCTTCCGTGCCTAATGCGCTACCTGCCTTTCGCACAACGCCTTTGACCGTGATGAGTTGATCGCCTTCTGCATGCCACCACCGCAGCGTCTGCTGCAACGCACCATTTGTCTCTTCAGATGTGATGGTCCACTTGCCGCCGCTGACTTCGACGCTGGTTTGTCCCGATGGAAAGTGGAACTCAGGGAGGTAACAGATCGTAGGGAATCCTTCTGCTGTCGAGCTTGGCGCAGCAAGCGCAAGTTTGAATGTACAGTTCTTAAGATCAAACCCATATGATGAAATGTCTCCGTGAACTGCGACAGGAGTAGGGCGGATGAAAGCTTCTGCTGCGCGTAAACCACGAGCATCGCCTTCGTCCTTCTTGGAACTCATTCGTTCTGGCGTAATGGTCTTCTGCAGGTTGGAAGGACTGATGCTCAGGGTGTCGGTCGATTGCGCCCTTGAGTAAGTAGGTGAATTGGTGTCTAGTGATGCACGAGAGTCGGCTGGCGAGAAGGCACCGGCTGGTACAGCTTTGTCGTCTACTGAGTAGATGGACAGGTCCTCACCGTTCCAAAGATCGCCCCAGTAATGGCAGTTCTTGTATATGTCAGCCAGGATTCAGCTTTGCACAGAACATAAACTTACATTTGCAACATATGTCCACAATGCGAAACCGTTAGCTTTACTGTCTTCAAGAGCGAAATGGTTCGCATCCAGCGCTGCTATCTGACTGCTGTAGTTGCCAGTCTTGTACGCGTATTTATCGTCCATGTCATATGGAATGCCGATCTCTGTGAAGATGCAAGGATGAACTCCCATGTACTCTGTACCCTCGTCGCGGATTGCCTTGAGCTGGTGCGAGAAGCAGTTCCTGATAGCATTCTCTCCAATCTTGATAGCGAACGCTGGCGTTAAATACTTGCCTCGCAGAACACCAAAAACGTCAACGTTCCATACGCGATTCCTGTACATGGTTAGATGAAATGTATCCGGGTTCGGTGTGATAGAACATACCATTTCTTAGTAATCAAAGTAATTCCATCGTAGAAATGCGGTGAGAAGATCATGTTAGGGTCGTCATCTTCTGTGCCCTTGACAGTTGGTGGTATCTCCAGTACTGGAGGCTGGAAGAACATCAGGGAGTCTGGGAATATCGACTTAACCATCTTACTGTACGCGCGGTAGTGCGGTAGCCAGTAGTGGTTCGTAAAGTACTCGTAATCAATCTTGGCTCCATTCTTAGGGTCAATTCCAAAGTAGTCCTTCTTCAGAACAGTATCAGTCGCTGGGTCCCAGACGCCGTGTTGCGCCCACAAGCACTCGCCCAACTTCCAGCCCGGATCGCGTTTCCAGCCGTATTTGGTGTCGTCGTAATCTTTTGATAGCCACGCTATTGTGCCTTCGGGATCTACCAATACCGAACCGCTCTTGTAGGGTCCCAAACCACCAAACTCCCAAGTCGCGATCTCGCAAGCTCTACCCGATCCGGTAAGTATCGCCTGCCAAGCAGTCGGTGAAGTACCCTTTTGTAGTTTCTGTTCGGTGGGGATCTGGGTGATATCCTGGTAGCTGATGAGGCCTCTGTTGGGCTCATTCATGCTTTCCCATCCGATGACTGGATCATGCCATAAGTCACCGGCTTGTTGTATCCGCTTGGCGAGATGCTCGCATGCTCCGATATAGTGCTCCTGCAGATAGTCCTGGATATTCTTGCCGTCCATGATAGCCTTCGGCGCAAAATCCCTGCCACCAAAAAAGAGTGTCCACATGACTTGATTTACTAATCGTGTGTAGTTGGTAGTCCAGATCATCTTAGGGAATGTGGCAGGATCGGGATATGTGTTGTGTACGAGGGCGGCTTCGGTAACGGCGAAGTGCTCGGGGTCCAGCCCGCAAGCATAGAGAGTCCACATGGGCGCACCAGAGCCTCCAGAGAATCGTGACCACTACGCGGTGTGTTAGAGAAATGGTAATTGAGTGTGCTAGAACGCTACCTACGACATCCTGGTGGGGATCCATGAAGATGTAGAAGCCATATTCTTTTGCCTTGCGCAGTAGACAGATGGTGTGATCTATCCAGTCCTCGTCGTACTTTCCTGGTCCCGCGTGCTCTATGGCTTCCCATGTGAAGACATAGCGAATGGTGTTGTAGCCCCAACTACGTAAACGCGAGAAGTGGGTGGCCGAGTCTTCTAGGGAAAATGGCCGATTGACGAAGGAAACGTTATCGCCGTCGAAGAAGTTGTCTGGTATGTGTGATGGTTGATCTGGCTTTGCAGGGAATTTGGCGTCTGCCGCGCAGTTGATGCCGTGCAGGGTGACTTCGCGGTTCTGAGGATCGCGGAATATGCGACCGTCGATGCGTAGTCGAATAGAAGACATGGCTGGCGAAGATGTTTGCGGGGAGTGAAAGAGAGTAAAAGGGAAAAGGTGCGCCAGGCGAGCGTGAAGGGGAGCTAGATATGAGGTATGCGTCTCTCTAGTCCTGATGGCGTAGCGGCGGCGGCGTTCACGGGCGCGTCATCATCCATGCCCCTGCCCGCATTAGCGTCTGGGGCTCCAATGTTCGGGTGGCCAGTGCGCCACCCCGGCTATCATGCGTCGCTGAGGACAAGTTGCAATTGTTTGAGTGAAAGACCAAATAAAGACACGACTCGCTCCTTCCATGAACTGACCGTCGCACTTGCCGCTGCCTCTCTGCGCGGACCCTTATACGTCCTCACCACCATCCAACCTACCGTCACTCATTCATAGCAACCTCAACGCCAATCCGCCATGATACTCCGACTCTCCTCCATTGCCCTCGGGCTGCTCCCGCTCGCAAGCGCACTCTCTGCCTCGGACATTCCCGCGGATACTCCCGTATCGCAGCTGATCAAGGATGCCGGTGTTCAACTTGCTACTGGCAACACCCAAGACGCTCTCCTCTACTTCGACGCTGCCATCACCCGCGATCCGCGCAACTACCTCACCTACTTTAGGCGCGGCGCCGCTTACCTGCAAATCGGAAGAACAGCACAGGCGCAGCATGACTTCGACAAGGTGCTGGAACTGAAGCCTGGCTTCGAGGGCGCACTGGTGCAGAGAGCCAAGATCAGAGCCAGAAAGGCCGACTGGGCTGCAGCACGGAAAGACTATGAAGCTGCCGGCAAGACGGATGAGATCGCTCAGCTGGAAGAAGCACAGGGCGCTGCTATCGTGGCACAAGAAGCGGCGGATAAGGGTGATTGGGATTCGTGCATTTCAAATGCAGGCACCGCCATTGTAGTCGCAGGTGGCGCATACGACATTCGCAAGACAAGAGCACGCTGTCGCTTCGAGAAGGGCGAGGTCGTTGAAGGCATCAGTGACTTACAACATCTCCTCCAAATCAACACCGGCGACATCGTACCCCATCTCCAGAGCTCCGCCATGGCTTTCTACTCGCTGGGTGAAACCGACAAGGGTCTCAAGCATATCGCACAATGTCTCCAATCGGATCCTGACTCGAAGGCTTGCATGAAACTGCGCAGGAGAGAAAAGAACCTCGACAAGGATATCCAAAAGGTTCGCAAGTTCTTCGAGAAGCGCCAGTTCGCCACTGCCTCGAAACTCCTTATCGACCGCGGCGAAGAAGACCCCGGTCTACTGAAGGAGGTCAAGCAAGACTTCAAGGACTACACCGAACAAGGCTACATCTATGCCAACTCACCCAATGGTCTTTACCAAACCCTTGTAGAGATGACCTGTGAAGCCTACGTCGAGATGAACAACCTGAAGAAGGGCACACCATACTGTACCGAAGCCCTGCAACTCAACCCCAACTCGCTACATGGTCTTATCCACAAGGCCCAAGGCCAACTCGAAGCCGATGAATTCGAAGACTGTGTTCGTACACTAGACCATGCCAAAGAACACCACCAAAGCCAGAAGCTAGATGAGCTGCACAACAAAGCACATACACTGCTCAAGCGGTCGAAGACAAAGGACTACTACAAGGTTCTCGGCGTAACGCGTGATGCAGATGAACGCGAGATCAAGAAGGCATACCGCAAATTGAGCAAGGTCTACCACCCTGACAAGGCTTCAGCCAACAATATGACTCCTGAGGATGCGCAGAAGAAGATGGCTGCCGTCAACGAAGCCTACGAAGTCCTCTCCGATCCTGAACTGAAGGAACGTTTCGACCGCGGTGACGACCCCAACAACAACGAGCAGCAACAAGGCCATCCCTTCCAGGGCTCACCATTCGGAGGCCAGCAGTTCATGTTCAGGCAAGGTGGTGGTTTCCCTGGCGGCGGTGGTAGCTTCAAGTTCCAGCAGGGTGGCGGATTTCCCGGCGGCTTCCCTGGTGGTTTTGGTTTCTAGACGATTATTGCTTGAGTATACGAATTGGAGTTTAGGAGCACGCAAAGCGGTCAATCAGTCACAAGGGTAGAGTGTTCGGCGTTTTCAACTGTATGATATTGTTGCTTTGGTGGTAGTATTGAGTGATGAATTATGGTAGATAGTAAGTGAGAAGATACCTATTTCCTGTCAACCCACTTCCCTTCTTGCTTCTGTGCCATGCCCAACATTATGTCCTCCAATCCCAACTGCTCATGCTGCAAATTGCATCTGAGTAAATTATACTGTAAAGGTAGTCGCCATGTCCTACATGTATCTCGCTTAATGCAAGGTACACCAAGCAACCTTTAGCATCTGCCCGCACAACTCAAAACAAATGAGCTTCTTTACTTGGTCTAGCTATCAACACGGTATGAATCAGGATCCTCGACCCATGGTCTCTGTAAAACGCCGCTGGGTTTGCCTCGCTTCACAATGAGCTCGCGAACGAGATCGTTCACGAAATCAGAGCAGGTCTTCTCGATCAAATCCGAAAGCCCTGTCCATGTTGGTTTGGCACTGAACACCCAGAAGTCTACCATTAGACGTCGCGCTGGCGAACTGCTAGGCGTACCGGCGTAAATGATCTGTACCGCTTTTAGGCTGGGATACATCTTGTGGTCAATTGTTGAACGGATGATGGCAGCGATGATGGCATTCTTGAAGGCAGTATCCATCAGCTTTTCCCCCAGGGCGTATAATTAGCAAGGAGATTGAAGCGATCGACCTCCTTGTGACGTACAATCCTCCCGGTGTACAGCCATCCGCAATATGCCTCGAATATCGTGAGCTCCATGTCGGACATATCGATAGGCTTTGTAGCATCAGTGCGCCACTCTGGTTTCATTACGTTCTTGAGCAGTTCGGAGCTCTTAATCAAGACGGTGGTATGTACGCGCAACAGCGAAGTTTTGTTACAGCCAACCTGAATGGGCACGACATCGTCTCTCAGGCTGTGGTATCGTTAGTATTCGGTATGGAACACTGCCGTATCTGATCTACCTGGGCATCTCAAAGTCCTCGGGTGGCGCCACTAGAACAATTGCAGCAGTGCTGCAAGTGGTGGCTGTTGCTGTCGACATCTCGTTGGATATAGGGACGGTAAAGTCTGTGAACTGAAGAGAGTGGTAGATGGGAAAGCTTAGAGGAGTGCTCCCAGTTTCGCTCGCTAATAGATGCGCCTTCACCTGAATGATGCGAACTGTTTCTCGCCTAAGTGAAGGTGAACTGATAATATGTTAATTTTTTGATTGGCCATCCGGTAGTCTCATCTTAACATTGCATTTGCGTAGGTCTATCAAGCGCGTACACATCCCATTAACGGATGTCCTCAAGTACCCTCATCAGCATGTAGTTATTGAAAGCCTTGTCGCGCAGCTGAGTATGGTATACAGATGTGCCCCTTTCAAGCCTCCGAGATATCCATCTGGTCCCGACCTACAAGTTCAGAATTCATCTCGCCATCCTTCTGCTCCGCCACGTCGCTCTTGAGGACAGCAGCCTCGCGGTGATACGGGTGTGGCTGCAAGATCCATGGTTCGTTTTCGGGCAGAGGTGACGATAATCGTTTTTCTACTACCGCAAGAAACAAGTCGTTGAGAAAGGGCCTATAGGCATCCTCGAGAAGGTCCTTCTTAGCCTTCCAGGAAGAAATTATGTCGTGAGCCCAACTGTCAACAAGAAGACGTCTTGCAGCAGATCCCTCGGTCGTTCCATCGTAGATGATCTTGATAGTTCCCAGGCTTGGTACCTTGTTCTTTCGACCCATATCAGAGATTATGGCTTGTATGACTGCATTCTGGAATTCATGATCCACGATCTTCTCACCCAGGACGTACATGTACGCGAGACACTGGAGGATGCTTTTTTCTGGGAGGTCTGGGGCAATGTGACCAGAGTACAGCCATTGACAGTATCTCTTGAAGATGTGGGGCTGCTCGTCGGATAGATCAATTGGGCGAGACTCGGTCCTCCATTCTGGTTTTGTGGCATTCTTGAAGAACTCGGAACTGCTGCTAATGAGAAATTCGTGTACGTGAACGACTTCATTGCCAACCTGAACAGCGATGGTTTCACCGGAGAGGCTAGAAAATTAGCCATTGGAGCTTGAGGTAGGCATGTGCGCTCACTCACTCTGGTAGCTTGGGGGTAGGCGCGAGCGGCTTGGCTAAAGCTGGAGTCGCCATCCTGCTTCCTACTGCTGATTCGATTTGATATCGCTTGTATTCGGGTGACCTCCTTGAATATACCGACTCGTTGCAAGCGTTCGAGGATCGCAAAACCTGGTAGGCGGACCGCGTGGGCAGGGTAGGGACTCAGAAGTCGTGGATGAGTTACCACCTACGAAATTAAGGCTACGGCGAGATGAAATTGATACACGGACACTGTGTATCCAGTGAACTGACCACTAGGCTGCCACTGCTGCTCTGATGAGAGGTGAAAGTGAGTCTGTTGTTCGACCCAAGCAAGGAAGTCCCCCTCCTGACGGCATAGTCACAGGATTCAAAGCAAAGTGTATCCTCGATGAGATCCAGTTCGCATAACAGGAAATAAAGAGACGATAGCACGCGAAAATCTCACTTTAAAATACTAAATCGTTGAACATTACAGAATTATTCCATCCGGGTATATATGCTTTCGTAACTCATCGTTCTCTAACCACCTAACAGTATGACTCGTTTGTAACCTTGGTGATCACACCCTGGTTGATCAAGTCAATGTAGCTCCAGTACTCGCGCTGAGTACCCTCTCCATCCACCTTGGCGGTTGCGTAAGAGACTCCATTCCAGAAGGCGCCACCGGCCAAGTACTTGTTCCATGCGTAACGCTGAGTGTCGAAGATGGTCTTGCGGGTATCCAGAGTGTTGTTGTACATGGCCTGCAGGGACCATTCGCCGACGAAAACAGGAAACTTTGTCTCCTGAGCAATGTATTGGGCTTGGCCGCACACGGCAGGGTTGACGTAGCCGGCGTATGTGCCAGCGGCGGCGAAGTAGTAGACGTGAGAATCGAAGACAATGTTTTCAGATGCGTCGTAGAAGGGTGCCCAGTAACTGGCGCCCATGAAGCAATCTTGAATCATCATAGGAATGCGCTTATCCACCTTGGCGATCTTCTTGAGTACCCCACTGAAGTAAGTGTTGATCCAGTTCGTTCCATTGATAGTTAGACCAGCAGCAGATCCGAAACCAGCGAAGTTGTCGGAAGCTTCGTTGATTGGTGCGATCGTGAAAGCGTTAACGTGGCCGCTCTGCTTGATGAAGTTAAGAACACCATCGACAGCCTGGAAGGAGTAGTCAAGGTTTGTAGAGTTTTGGAACCAGGCCTGGTGGAAGAGTGCCTCGCCGATGTCGAGGTTGTTTACACCACCGGGAAGCGAGTGGAGACCGACGATAACTGAAAGAGCTTGTTAGCAATGGCACCACAATATGAGCCTAGGGTAAGTCGACTTACTGTGCATGCCGTATTTGTTGATGGCGTAGTCGGTGATGGTCTTGAGGAACTTTAATTGGTTGCCATGGTGAAGCTGAGAACCAGGAACCTCGATGAAGGCAGCATATGTGAGCGGAATACGGAGGGTGTTAACACCAACATTGGCAAGCTGGTCGATAGTGGTGGTGTTGATAAAAGAGGCATAACGCTCCTCGAAGACTGAAGCACACTTGCTACCGAGGTTCTGGCAGAGAGTCCATTCATCAGGAGCGCCATCACCGCCCACCTCAGACCACCAGATAGGGTCGTGAGTTTGTTCCTTCTCCAGCCATCCACCTAGGTTGGCACCATTGGCCTTGAATGTCTTCCAGTTGATGAAGTTGCTGCCGTTGACACCCTTACCCCAGTTGATATCGTGGCTGTGGCGAATGGGACTCAGATCGACAGCTGGGATGCTAAACGGGCACTGGTTGTGGAAAGGAACAGTGGCGCCGTGATTGGCACCATCAGTGTGGAGGTGGATACCCAACGAGGAGAGGAGCTTGTTGATATCGTTGGTGAGCAGGCCCAGGATGCTGCTGATCAGACCTGGGGTAGGAGCAGCAGTAGCACTGCTGGCCAAGACGGCAGCGGTGACGATAGCAGTAGCGCGCATGTTGAATGAATCTAAGCAAAGAACGTGTAAGAATCAAGTCGATGGGATTTCAAGATGCTGATGGTTCTGGCAGAAATGGAACTTGGCAGGTACTTATACAACATCCTACTTTGGACGTAAATATTTCTTACCCGTCGTCTCTCACTAGATTGTACTGGGCCGAGGCGATGTGCTCGGACGTGTCACTGTCATGCAGACACTGCTCGTACTCTTACTGGCCGAAGATGGCCGTGGCTGGAAGCAACGTATAGCTCATATGTAGTATGTTTAAGGCGCATCGCTAAAAGCGGTTCGACTATCGGAACCATGGTGGACTGTAATGACGGAATCGAGAACGGCAGTTGAGAGAGCGATATGCGCCGGGTGTTCCTGCGGCGAATGCAGGGGCGACCGCGTACCTGCGTGCGCGCTAGAATATTACAACCACAGTTAATCCCTGTCGTTCCTTGGGGAAGATCTTGATCCTCTCGGGCGAGACTTCCTAGGCTTCAAGGCTAACCGTAGTTCTCGGTGCGTTCTCCGACGCACTGGGATCTATGGCAAGAGCAGAAGACGGGTGACATGTATTCAAGAAGCGTTCTGTACAAGCAGTTCGGACTGACGAGCTTCAGGACTGCACATGATATGGCTGGCGAAATAATCTGTGAGGCCCTGAGCTCGACGTTGAGAGCGCCGGCTTGGCGCACATGGTCAACTCCAGCGGCGTCTAGGGTACCAACGCAGTTAAGACGCAAGCCTTCCGTCACTGTTCCAGGCCCCTGGAACAGCACAGACACGAACATGCATGCGCACTCAAAGATAAGTGCAAAGATAAGTGCCGGCCTCCTTTCTGGACGTTGAGCTACAGACTTTGACACTAATGCTGCTGGACTGAAAAGAGCCCGATCGTGATCTCTGTCCAGTAAAATTTCGGCACGACGACCAGGCTATCACCGAGGTATTGCTTGGTATAGTCTTAGCAAAGCTTCGATGAAACTCTGCTCTGCAATTCCTATCATGTTTCGAATTATGTGCCTAACAACAAAAGCCAATAGTCACAATGTGCAGCTAAACATTCCGATGTCATGTTAATCAGTCGGGCCCCAAAACCCATGTAGGGATCATCCCAAAATGTTCGTCCGTCTTCACTAAACAGATCACAACGTCTCCATTCGGATTCCCCGAACGACAAGGTGTGAAATCTCTTCTCGTATAGTTCCATCATCAATACTCTACTCGGCCCGCAAATGGGGGAGCCTTAGAAGGCTTGATTTGATCTGTCATAAGATTTCTGGAACGTCCCATACCACCGGAGCTATCCAGAATAGCGGTTGCGCTATCCTTGGAAGTCCCACTGTCATCGCAAAGCTTGTTTCGGGCTCGGTGTAAGACATGGCGAAGGTCCGGGCTTGCGCCCTAGTCTATAGTTGTCTAGAACGGGCTGTAGGAAGATGCCGTTGATAGTGCATATGTACAGCTATTGGAAACATACTAAAGGCTGATTCGGGTGTTAAGTGATGAACCGCAAAGTACCAGATGTGTTTACTTCAGAAAAATTCGCCGCTTGTTATTGAAATATTGAAATATCCGGTAATGTTATTGATGCAAAAATACAGCATGCAGAGGTGAGTTTATCAACAAGAGCTCCATTTCACAAGCCCTTTTCGTGTGCTTGTAGTCGTACAAATAAGATATGTATTACGCTCTAGTCGATTGAGATGCACGAAGTCTGGCCGGGAAGGAAGATATAACGGAAGAGTACTCAATCCGCCTCGCCAAAGTCGCTATGCCCGGTCTCGGTTGCGTGCTGTATCGCACCCCGTTCTCCAGCCCCCTTCCAGCCGCACTTGTTGCACTTGATGTCGAACTTTTGTGTATCAGTAAAATAATGTGCTTTCTGCAACTGCCCACAGAGTTCCCTGGCCGCTTCAAGAATTACGTCGTCCTTTGCGTCAAACAACTTGATATCTTGCGAGGGGTCTTGAGGTGACACACCGCGTGGCACAAGAGCAATGGTATCGTAGTGGATCCCAGAATACACTAGGATACACCGCCGTGATTTGCCCTCATTAAACCGATCTACCCGGTTGTCTTGGACGTTGACGCTGGCGATCTCGATGTCGAACTCCTGAGACAGTATGCTGAGTTCGATGCCACCACCCCACGAGTCAGAGTATGATATCCATTTGCAATACTCATCGGGAGAGCGCTGCAAGATGGCCTCGTTGTACTGCTCTGGATCTCGCTGTATAGCCTGCGCAACCATCGATCTGAGCTCGGTCATGGAATCAAGGGAGTCGGACAAGACAGCGCTACCGACTGCTCGAAACATGCAAGAGTTATCATCGGGCATGACTCGAAGAACCATGGTGCCACCACGGTCGGGTACCGGAACTTCGGGGGTGTCCTTGAGTGCAGAGTTCTGCTTCCGTTGGAGTGACAGCGGCGCGGCCTGAGATGTAGATGCTTGAAGTTCTTGCTCTTGCTTACGCTCACTTGGATCGCCCGTAGCTTGTGCAATGACTATGATGGATGCGCCGTTTAGCTTGAGATCGATGTCTTTCAACAACGTCGACATGCCGTACAGCGAAGGATCGAGCGGTTGTGGCGGATGGTTCCATTTCAACTCGAACAGTGGTAGTTCCGTCTTTTCGCTAATAGAGGACAGAAGGTCTGAGACAGCGGCGTCATCGTTGAGTGATACTGTGTGAGTGCCGTTGGGCGCGCGTAACCGGATACGGATGGGCATGTTGTGATGGGTCGGCTGGGATAACTTGGTACAGTTGGTATGCGTGAGCGGAGTAGTATCGAGCGTGAGTGAGGGAGCTTCGAGGGCGTGGCGCGAGATGCCAGTTGACTGGTGGGGCGGCGATTTAGCGGTGGAGAGCTGTTAGATGGAAGCTGCGATGAGTGAGTGGGTGTATGGAGGGAGGACTTCACGATTGCGCAAACACGAAGGAAGCTTTGTTAGAAAAGAATCGTTTGTCAGCTACGGAAAGACGCTACAAAGGCGACAGTTGGCATGGAACAAGTGGCATGGCGTAAGTGAATGTTCCCGAATCATGGAGGTAGGCCGACCCGGGGATGGCAGGGGTCGGCGAACCGGCGAATCCAAACTTCCGCTCCAGAGTCGCGACTTCTACATCCACGACGCGACGACGACGCTATCTGGCGCAACAAGGATACCGCAACACGACGGCATCGACTGGATTATCGCAAACATGGCATCCGGACGCGCCCCAAGCTCGACTCCGGTGCCTACCACCGAGACGGCCGAGTCCGCTGGCGCAACGTCGACTGTCACGGCGCAGGAATGGGAGGCCATGTCAAACCTCCTCAAGAATGTATACGACTACAGGATCGACGAGTAAGTACTCTCACTACTTGCGCCATGTATTCCCTGGCTGATCAATGTGCAGTGGAACATATGATCCCACAAAGCTCTTCCAGCGCAAAGTGAACAAGCGCGCCGTGCCCGACTATTACGACATCATCAAGGAGCCTATGGCCCTGAGCACCATCAAGGCCAAGATCGCGCAGAGAGAATACAAGAATGTCTCCGAGTTCGTACGCGACTTGGCGCTCATTCCCCACAATGCGCAGGTGTACAATAGACAGGACTCGCAGGCATATGTGGATGCGCTCGAGGTCAAGAAGGTCATTGAGCGGGAGTTGAAGAGGCTGGTGGATGACAAGATTGTTCCCGAAACAGTTGCCACGCTGCCGTTCCTTGGGGAGATTCCAGAACAAGACCCGCTGCTGCCAGAGGAGGAGGAAGAGGAGGAAGAGGATGATGACGAAGAAGAGCTCGAAGTGGATGAAGAAGAAGACGACGACGAGGAAGACGAAGGCAAACGCAAGAGGCGGCGTGGTCCGCGATCCACAGCAGCTATCACCAAGCGAGAAGGCGGCTCGAGAGCAGCAAAGGAGGACGCTAAGAACGACGACCCAGAATCACGAAAGAAGCGTGGGCGCCCGCCGCGGGTCGACACACCTATGGAAGCGCGAATCAAGACGATTATGAAAGCCATAAGGAAGCCTCGAAATCAGCTTAACAAGCTCATGGTCAGCGCATTCGAACGCGTTCCTGATAAGACGGTCATGCCTGAATACCACTCCGAGATCAAGAACCCAATGGCTATGGACATTCTCAAGCGCAAACTCAAGCGAAAGAAGTACAACTCGGTCGATCACTTTATGGTGGATGTGGAGCTCATGTTCGAAAACGCAAAGCAGTACAATGAGGAGGACAGCCAGATCTACAAGGACGCTGTGCATCTCCAAAAGGAGTCGCGCAAGGTTGCAAAGGCCGAGAAGGAAAGGCCTGACACTGACTACGTCATGGAAGAGGGACGTATTCCCATGCCTAGCGGCATTGTTCACAATGGCGAACTGTGGAAGGTTGGTGACTGGGTGCATATACAGAACGCGAACGACCTCACAAAGCCAATTGTGGCCCAGATCTATCGTACCTGGCAAGACGCAAACGGCGGACAGTGGGTAAACGCCTGTTGGTACTACCGTCCAGAGCAGACCGTGCACCGTTTCGACCGGCACTTCTTCGAAAATGAGGTTGTTAAGACTGGCCAGTATCGAGACCATCGCATCGACGAGGTAGTGGACCGGTGTTTCGTCATGTTCATTACACGTTACAACAAAGGCCGTCCCCGCGACTTTCCTTCCGACAAGGAGATTTACGTCTGCGAAGCTCGATACAACGAAGAGAACCACAAGCTCAACAAGATCAAGACATGGGCCAGTTGTCTACCCGACGAGGTCCGCGACAAGGACTATGTTATGGATCTTTTCGATGCGCCTCGGAAGTTGAAAAAGGTACCCAGCCCGATTGCGTACTTGCTCAAGGACGACCAAAAAGAGGACGACGATCTCCCAAAGCCGGAATGGGGTGCTGAAAATGCTCCTCCAAAGATTGGCGCTGTGCATCGTCGTCCGCGTGACCCCAAGGTAAGCGAAAAATGCTCTTTGTTACCATGAAGACCGATACTGATAGATCCTATAGGACTCTCCACCACCTGAACCCACTCCACCGCCACCACCGACACCCCCACCTGCGCCTGTCATGCCCACCCCAAGTTTGCCCACGGCTTCGTCGCACGGTTACGAATCTTCAAGAAATTATCCCATTGCGCAAGCCCCGACCCTTACGCCAATGTCCGCTCCAACACCGCAACAGCACCATGCTGCACCAGCATACACGCCAACCCATGCGACACATTACCACACTCACTCTCAATCACCCGCTCCACATATGCATCAGCAGGCACCTCAGGCGCCTTCATACCAGCCCATCACGCCACATGTACCCTTCACGCCCCAACCAGCTGCCCCCATGCAGGCCTTCCAGACGCCTCGCGCTGCGCCAGGCTACCAACAGCCCTATCCTCAGCAATTGCCGCTCAACTATAAGGCTCCACAGCCTGTAGAGGTCTACGTCATGGCCGACCATGCAAACGCTAGTATACCGCTTGAGATCCGCGAGCAGTTTCAGCGCGACGAAAAGGGTCGTATCCTCTTCTTCACTGCGCCGCCGCTCAACGTGGAGCAACCGCTGACTAAAGATGGACGCGCGTTGGGACACTCGGCTCGCTACCTGGCCGCTAAAGCAAAGAAAGAGGCCCTGAAAGCCTCCAAGCGCAAAGCTGGAGAGGCCAATGTTGATGAGCGTGAGCAGGCAGCCAAAAAGGCGAAGGCTGATGAGGAGGACAAGTTCAAGAAAGCTGTCTCCGAGCTCGGCACGAAAGCACTAAGGGCGTTAGAAGACCAGCTCGCCATGACTACGAAGACTGATCTGGCGGGTCTCTTCAATGGGCAGACCGAGGAAGGCATTTCTAAAGTGCTCGATCAGCTCACTACTGCTCAGAAGATGGCCAGGCAGCAGGAGCTGGAGCGCGAGATGCATACCAAAGAGCGTGAGGAGAGCAGGAGAATAGCAGTCACCGGCATGACAGCACGACTGGAGGAGAAGTACTGAGGTACTGTGTACGATCCATTGTATTTGTGATATCCAGTGTACGGTTACAGAGAGATCATGGCGTTTTGCTGGCCAACAGTGGCTCAAGTACCACATGAATATATTCTAGGTACTGTTTACTGTTTTCAAATGAAGTCCTTTTCTATTCTAAAATGGCGTATCTTTCATTCTTGGTCTGATTCCCACGATCTTACGCGTTCACTAACTCCACAAGACGAGTTTTGGTCAACGACGACGGGTGTATCCCTTACAGGTCTCTCTTCGTACTTTCTCCATGTTTCCGGGCTTAGCGCCACGTCCTGGCCATGGTCTTTTGCCTGTCGTAAGAGATACTGCACGTCGGGCCACAGCCCTTCCACAGCTTGAAGCGGAGATCTCCAGTCCCCTCCAAAATCAGGATCCGCTCCATGTCTGACAAGAAACTTTACTCCAGGCAAGACATCGTCTCCATATCCGCGATAACCCGCTCTAGCTGCGTGCCACAACGCGGTCACAGGTTTTCCCGTGTCGGGTACGCCATCAACATAGGCACCGTGTTGGATAAGTACTCGAGCGAGGTCGTAGCGATGGAAGTTTACCACCAAAGCAAGCGGTGTGACGTCACAAATTGCTTCGTTGGGATCCAGGTAACCGTCTTGTATGACAGCACGTAGAACTGAACAACTGCCTTCCTTCAGCACCTGAACCGCGTCAATTTTCTCTAATCCCCTCCTTTTCCCGACGTTGTACTTGGGTGCTTCTAACACTCTCTTCATGAAGCCCTTGTCAGTATACCTTGCCACTTCCTTGGTCAATTGAGTCCAGCTGGACCTGTTTGGTCGCGTGGAAGGAAAGCATTTATCAAGTAGAATGTTTCCAGATTCCTTCGCACCTTTGCGGATCGCAGCAGTTAGTCCAGATCTCTTCACACGTTTGTGGATCGCATCGTTTCGGTAAGGCCAGAAGTGTTGGGACATCTTATCCGTTTCGAAATTGTGGGTTGAGAAGATATCTAAAATGGTTTTGACTATGTGCACTTGATCACATGCTGCAGCTGCCTCTAGAGGGCTCGAAAGACAAGAGCAGCTTTCTTTCAAACGATCGGGGTTGCCCGAAACGAGATCTAGGAGCTCTTGCAGTTTCCCTGTTGCGGCTAGTGCTGCGGGTAGGTCGTCTGCAATGTCTGGCTCTCGGATTTCAGAGTAGTCGCGCAGGAACAGGCGCCAGCGGAGTTGTTTGTAGTATACACTAGATAGAGCTGTGCAAATTTGTATCGTGTATCGTTTCTGTAGGTCGTCCGCAAACTGACCCTTCTCAAGCTCCAGTAAAGCATTAACGAGTTTGCGCAGGTATTCGACTATTGGCAACGGCGCTTTCTGCCGTCGGAAAACTTCATGACTTATGATCGTGCCGCCATGCTGAGTAAAAAGCTTCTCAAATCTCGCATTATCTGTCGCGATGAAGATGTGGCGGTTCACTGGACTGGATAATCTGAGCTCATCTGTTGAGTACACGATGAGCGGTTGTCGTTTCAAGATCTCTTCTTGGATCTCATGGGCGAATAGTTCTGTGCGCATAAGTTGGAGTTACATTGTGGTGTTATTGAGACGTACTGCAGACAAGTCGGTAGTCGGATACGTACAACGGTCCTGTATCTCTAACAAAGAAGCCAATTATACGTTCGATTAGTTCTGTTGGAAGATCCAACAATTTCATGCTGTGGTGGTGCGCTGCTGCTGGATGGGGGGAGAAGAATAATGCTAGTCAGCAGGACCTTATTAGTTGTAGAATCAGAAGATAATGTTGACTAACCAACATTACTGACGTGATGGTGGGGCGCGTCTTGGGTTGCGCCACCTCAGTCTGTACGACCTCAGGGTTCTTGTTGAAGAACGCTTCATCCCTCATTTACGACACGACGTTGCAAAAGTTATGCTGCAGGATTATATCTTTAAGCATCCAATTCTTATCAGTGATTACTGAAACTATTAGTGAACCCGATAAATTTCAGTGCTCTTTACAGCGCCAAAAACGGGTGACCAACGACCCAGTATTCACCACCATACTCAGACTCTGAGCCGTCTTCATGGCTACTAAAACCCGAAGTCCTCAAACTCGTATACATCCCATAGGTCGGGGCGTTTGAGATACTCCTTTCCGTGATCCCTTACTGCCTCAAGCAAGAAAAGACATTTGCTATATCCTGATGACCTCGCAGCCGAAATCGCAGATATACCGCCCTTCCCACAAGAATTGGGGTCCGCGCCTTGATTGAGCAGAAACTCAACATCCTTTGAGTGCCCTTCATTCGACGCCAGCCACAGGATGGTGTGCCCTTCTGGAGTGATACCGTCGATCGCTGCACCGTTTTCGATGAGGATATGCGCAATGTCGTATCGTCGTCTCTGAAGAGCGTACTGTAGTGGTGTTTTGTTAAAATAGACTTTGTCTGGTCCGACGATACCATCTTTGAGTACTAGATATAGATTCAGGAAGTCAGTATACGTCTCGTATACAATTCATACATGTACACTTACGCATCTCCCACATTTCAGTTCTTCCTCTTCTGCACAGAGTCTTCATAGTTTGACTAGTAAGATCATAGTATCCGTTGGATCCTCCGTCAATATGGGCTACGAATCCGGGATGGTCGACCTCCAGAACACGATACAATAGGTCTATATTGCAGTATCCGATAGCATCGTTGACGAGCCAATTGCCCAGTTCATCGGGAGCAAACCTCGCGAAGAGCTCATTCTTGTCACGGAAGTCGAAAAGTAGGTTTCCAGCAACGTTCTTGTGTAAGCGTATGGCCATGCACAAAGCCTTGCCAATCTTCTGGGCAGTATTCCGCATATTTTTCCATGATCCGGAGTCGCGCTTGCCCTTGACATTTTCCACAAGATATTCTAGAATGCGTTCAAGGATGGTATACTGGTCCGCGACAATGGCAGCTTTAAGTGCACTTGGCAAGAGATCGTGAGTTTGTCTGAGGAGCAATGCTGGTGTAAGCGTCGGCTTTTCGAAGAGCGCAATATCTCCAGATGCGGCAGAAACAGCGAGCATCATGTCCTTGAGAGAGCATGGTCGCTTCTCCTTGTTGACGATCTCGACGCTCTTTATGTAGGCACACAGGTATCTTGGCTCTATAGCCGTCGTACTTATGCACAGGACCATCACTCGCGCAGCGTAAAGTGCAGTGTCTGGTTCAATTGCTTTGGCTAAACCCCGGACAAAGTCAACGACTTGGTTTTTTGTTGTTCGACGGCTCATAGCGAACTTGTGAAGGATCTCGCCACCATACTTTTCGAAAAGACGAGCGGAGGAAGTGTTGTGCAAGAATTTGGCGAGGTCCGTGGGATCGATGGCTGCAAGGATTTGGTTCTTGATTGTATTTGCGAATGTTCCTGCTTCTTGTTTAAATCGCTGAGCTTTACGCCGGTATAGTACTTACTGCTGATGAGTCGATACTGTACGACACTTCGTTGCCTAACCTTATTCGTAAGAGCCGCAATTACTTCCTCGAAAACCTCCAAGGGCAAGTTCAATAGCGGCATCTCGGATTGTTCGCTAGGAAATACCGACTGTGAAGTTTCGTGCAAAGAACCTGTCGACGTTGTCTCGCGAAGGATACCTGTAGGTTATCAGAGACCCAGGACAAGTACAGATTTAGTATGAGGTAAAAGGCCTGCCCTGTGAGGTCTCAATGTATCAATCCGCCTTCACTTTCAGTTCGTGACTCTTACTCGACAGGTCGGTAAGCAATCGCAATGACCTAGTCTCACTAATATGATGAGTGAATGAATAGGTAAAGGCAACTTCTTCCATCAGTGCAAGACGTTGGGCATTATGTTCCATAGACTCAGCGGATCTAAAAAGAACTCTAGACCTGATTTATGCTACGCACAAGACCATACGTCAACGATAGTGTAATCATGCAGACATCTTGTGACGTCGTAACAAAAGACCACGGGACGTCAGCCGCTCAAGAGCTCAGCATATTAGCAACAGCGCATGCTGTACAGTATCGACGTGAGACTCGTATTACTTGTGTTCAGCTTGACCAACGGTCACCTACTCACCTCTGTCAGTTGATTATCATTACAGTGGCCAAAGACGCTTCAACCATCCAGCTTCCGTTCTTTCGGCCACCAAAATAGTGAAGATAGACTAGAGAAAGTTTAATGAGCTCACCATTCAGCGCTTACTCACCGCGTCTGGGTCCATATCTAGCACAATTACTATAGTAGTGTGCAAGTCGTGGTCGGGTGGACCAGACCTAAAGAGACTTTCACTATTCCTGAATGCTTTATCTTCAGTGAAGAGCACTTTGACGAGGATTGTATGGTTGATGACGACAATAGTGTGAAACTCTTCTACAAATCATAATGATCTCTCGTGTCTACGTTACCAGAGTGCAACGAACCGCATTGATGTTTATGGAAATCAAGAGCCTTATCAGGATCAAGTATACTTGGAGAGACATCAACTTCTCCAGCTTACATATGATGTTGTTTTTGACAAGCTGTAACACGACAGTGGTGTCAAGCTTGATATAACGGTACACTCTTGACTCGACCATTGGTCCACCACTATCTTATCAAATAGCGCTAACCATCTTCGTTCAATGATGCGCAAACATAATTACTGGTACAACGAAAGTCTAAAGTCCTCCGGATGCGACTCATAGTCCAGAGAGTTTGGTTCATGCACGCATGATAGTACCACTAAGTTATTGCGCCGCTCGATCGGCCTCCTCCAAAGCCGTTCCCGCGCTCACCTTGGCCACTATCTCAATTTCCGGCATGAGTGATGGGCTCGCATTCTCCACTGCCTCAATATTGCCATCCCACTTCAAACGAGCGAGGGTCATACCCTCGGGGCCGTTAGCGTCATCGTGCTCTGCAACAAGGATGAGAGTTCGATGGACGGAAGGCCTGAAAACACACTGCTGTGGATGCGCTACACGTATCTCATCCCAAGGGTTGTTTGAAGAATAGAAGTTGCCGAGCATCTGGAATCGAGAATCTCCTGATCTCATATCAAGCCATGACGGCTCGAGCATGGAGTTGATCGGTACAGCTTTGCGGAATTAGCTAACATGCAGGGTGTTATATGTGAGCGTAATCATGAAGTACCTCTTTCGACCAAGCTATACCACCCGTACACTTTCTTGCGTGGCTCAGTCAGAGTCGTTGGGCTCTGCACTGTTGTGCCTTGGGAGGTTGTTGCGCCGACACCTGGTTTATCACCGTCATTATCGTCGTCATTCCCGTACGGATCATCCCCGCCCCATTCTACAGCTTCTTTTTCTTTCAAGTCGAGCCAATCTTGATTACCAATATCGATGTTTGCACCCCATGAGTCCGCCTCGACACTGCTGCAGCGCCCAACACCCACAATGTCTTCCTCGTCTTGGCTGGAGTTGAGCAGAACGACCACCACCCCGTTACGGCTAAAATCTTCTTGGTCGGCTACTATGAAGTATAGTGGATGGATGGTGTCGTCTTGATCGCGCAGGTGGATGAAATAGTCATACACGTCTCGTAAAGAGCGACCACTGAAGTCTGGCTGAGGGGCAAGTTTAGAACTCCCTGTACTAGTTTCGTCCGTGTTGATGCTTTCTTCAAGCTGCTGGCGAGCCGATACGTTCAAAGCAGCTGTGTGGAAAATAGCGAACTTGGTGCGAGACAAGCCGTCTAGCGTCGCGCGATGATGTTCCGCGTTGGGAGCCTTCTTGGGAAGTGTTTTCGCAATGTCTTTAGTAAAAGACATGTTGTTGTAGGTAGTATTGCGCGTACTTTGTTTTCCAGAGGGAGTCGTCTCGGAAGAGGTAGATGAGCAGGTGGGAATGACCTACTAGCCGTCTTAGGCGGGCCACATCAGACGACCGCAAGCGAAGAAAGGGAAGGGACTACAGCGGGGCGAGCTAAGAAATCAGAACCGGTTTGTTTATTGTTACTCCAGCCCTAGTGTTGGATGCCTTGGAGTCGTGCATCCGTTGCTAACGCACGGTGTGGCGATGGTAGCAAGTGGGGCAAATGTCAGTGACTGTCGTACAGAGCTCGGAAGGTACTATAGGAAAGCGCGTAGACGCAAACTATGATGTCAGAGGCTGGCTATGATGCGGACTCGCTCAGCTACGGGCTGAGCCTCCCGTCCATGTATAGAATTCGCCGTCTCGTTCCTTCTTACACTCCTACGACGCCACGCACTACTTTCAGGATGTCTTGTTTCCAATCAGCGCATCTGGCAGTGGAATTTCGGTGCTTATCGGTGTACAATGGGGGAAGTCGATCTTCGACTGCGTAGTAGAAAACTGCTTGTCTTTCCAGGGCACCGATTAAGTACGCTCACCAATCTTAGGTAAGATCTCTGTAGACATTTCTATATGTGCCTGCAACCACGGCCAGGAAGTGCAACGTCTGTTCAGAGCTACTATCGGCCTCGTAATCATGCAATCAATCGAGATGCTAAGGTATGGGTCTTTGAATATACAAGTAAGCAGCCTTCCAGCAAGACCCGAGTTCGTGTCTTCAATGTCAGCATGAACCTTTGCTTACCAGTGAGATCAGATGGTACATTTTACATCAATACACTCGGGGAGTACAAATGGGGCAATTACGGCCCTTCATGAATTCCAAGAAGCTTTTCAACTGATGTCTTCCAAATCCTTGACTGAACTCTGTCACCATTTCTCATCTCATGCAAATGGTTGGATCCACCATGCTTCAGTGTACACAAGTAAGAAGAATCGCAACACCCAGTTGATCTACACGGTCAGTTGATCCATGGGGCCAACATGAGTATAAAGGATATGGCTTTGTTCTTGTTCAAACCTCACAGAAGCGTTCTCAAGCTCTTTACTTAGTACGCAGCTATGCTATTCAAGACTCTTGTCATTACCAGCCTCATAGGCTCTGGAATCGCCGCGCCTGGTATGATTTTCAATTGCGCAGACAACATGCAGGGTAACTATTTGCCCCTTGGGTACAAACTTAGCTCATCGTCGCTTAGACATTTGCAACAACATGTGCTGGGGCGCTTACTGCACTAAACCGTCATTTGGAGCAACACTGAAGTATGATCGTTACGGAGGTACTGGAAAACGCGATAGTGATATTGGAAAAGCTCGCCAAAAGTCGGCTGGCTGTCTTCCTAGGCCCAACCGTTGCAGCGTAAGATTCTATCCATTCTGAAGCATGCAGATCAAAAACCATGTCCTGACTGTTCGATAGACTAGCGGTGGCAATCCGAGAGCTGGCGAGAACTGCGACGAGTATCCATTCGCAAGCACTTCTGACGCCGACAAGGGTGGGCAAGTTAGCAAGTGTGTCATCAGCAGGCACAATAGCCGTTAGTTCAATTCTCCCTAGAGCTGGGGTTCAACTATTCAACTAACGGGCTTCTCACATATAGGCCAAGGTCGCATTATCCAACAGTACTACGGAAGCTCTTGCAATAGTCAGCCATGCAAATTCATTGTCGGCTTCGGTAACCCGGCCGCAGCTGGGGTACAATACTGCCAGGCTTACAGTAATCCGCACGGTAAATGCATCAACAACCAAATTGCTAAGATATACAAGAACGGGGCTCCGGATGTGCGTCCCACAACAAAGAAGCGCTCTGAGCTTGAACCTGTGGCCCAGTCTGCGCTGTTCCGGATGTCCAGCGGCATGGAAGTCTTGTTGCGTAAGTTCCCTCTCTTCTTCAGAGACATATGATCGTTCATAAAAGTACTGATCTACATCTAGCAATCGATACCTTGCTCAATACCACATTCGTGCACCCAACTGCTCGCAACAACACTATGAAGACTTGGGTCGAAGACAATGACGAGGATGAAGATCACATCGATTGGAAGTTTGTCGAAGACTTTGTCGCTACTAGACTCGATTGAAGCTGTTTCGACACTTTCGCTCGATCCAGCCGGGGTTCCTGCATTCTTGAAGAATCTCTACTCTCGTTTAAGCGATTGTCTATGTTGGGCTACGTAGGTGTCACTCATTCAACCGTTCGTCTCAACCATCTGTTACTCCTAGCCCTATATAGACCATCCTCATCTTACCGTAGCTGCAACCCTTTATCATACCACTACGAGATGCATTCGTAACTATGATCCTGTCGTCGTCAATCTCGATCTCGTTTTCACCCTCAGACGGCTCAGGGGAGGAAACCTTTTGTTCTAGTTTGCGACATCCGGAACTCATCGGTAATTTTACGAGGTCAAGCGAAGAAAGTTTATCAATTCGGGTCAGACGTCTGCTAATTCGTTCCCTTTAGGCACAAGCACTATCTTGTTGTCCTTCGTTTTGGATACTCTACCACATTTGGTCTCGTTCGAGACATCCTTCATTACTTCCGTGGCGCTGAGTTTCTTTCAATTTTGGGGTCGAGACTTATTCGCGTTCTTAGCCTTGGGCTCGGACTGGACACTGGACCTGAATTTACATGATAGCTTCGTCCCTCTCCACTCTTTTGCCTCGTCCGTAATCCTTTCCCTAGCCGCATCCTCTTGTGCATGTTCACATTAAGACTGTGTGAAGCCGGAGCCGCCTCTCTCAAGAGTCGGGTGCGTGTAGAGGCCGTAACGGAAGCAAACTTCTGTGGCATGATGCTGTTTATTGATAGCTTTAGATTTCTGGGATGATCCAGATGTCGGAACCGGGATCGTATTGGCGGCGCGATATCCGTATCTGTTAACTAATACAACCTGATTGTGTAGCAAGGCTTGATGAATGACTTTGTAGTTCTGGTCCATCAGTAGGTATCCAGCCTATACTAAGTAGCCTTGTCTGGAGTTGACAGCCAGACGTGACCAAAAAGGTCGAAAACAATGCCACGTTAAAGGCTCAGTGATGTTGTACTATGATCACTGTATCACTTCGATAGGATGCTTTGTTTCGAGATGTGGGAAGTCGAAGCCAGTTTCATCGACGTAACAACTGTGGGCGTCATTATCCCTTTGTCCATGGGTTGAAAGTTTTCAGTGTATGCAGAGCATTAGACGCATTGAATGCATAAGCGCAGAGATACACCGGCTGCCATTAAACAAATAAGTATTGAGGGTATACTACAAATGAAGATACGTGTCACAATACTTCGTGTATCCTTGCTTGTCATGGTCGTGATGAAATGCGCCTTAAAACCAACCCAAACGCGCTTAATTACAAGAACGCCAACAATACCGCAAGTCGTACGCTCGTTGTAAAGATATGCTAAGAGTCATGCAACGCTAAGTGAACCTAACCGGCAAATGCAAATCGCTTGAGGTTGAACATCGGTTTTCGGGGCGAGCACTCGCTTTCGGCTTCGCTGTCTGGCACAAGGAGGTCTTCACTCCCCTTCAATGATGATCTCCTTCTCTTGGCAGGCGTCATAGGAGGTGGTGAGCTCGCAGCTATGACTACGTCGGCTTCCGTAGCAGTCCAAGTAGAGTCTGCAAGCCCCACTCCACCATCCTTCTTGGACGGTGTTCCGGGGAGTATGGATTCTGCATCGAGCACGACAGCGAATGTGGGTGTGATTTCTCGAGGTGATGGTGTAGGTTGCCATGCCTCAGCAGGTCGACGATTTGGACGGCTTTTGTTGGCTCGCGGTACACCCAATGATGGCGAGGGACATTTGTAGGTGAACTTCGTCCGCAGTTCACTCATCTGAGATGACATTACAGTGCTGAAAACCGAGTCGGGTTCCGGTGAGGATGCTGGTGTGAGGGTACCGATAGTATCCTGAGATTGCGCAGTACTGCCTCTAGAGAAGACAGTCGACTGTGATTCGCTTCCTCCGCTAGACTGCGTGTCGCTGAAGACGCGTAGCTTCTTCTTGGATTGAGTCGCAGCTTCTTCTAGATCAGCCACCTCGACCATAACTTCCTGGATGGAGTCATCTGAGTAAAGCTCAAAATCTTGGTCAGTTTTTCTCCTACTCTTCTTCGCTCGGTGTAATGTTGGGCTCGGCTCTGGTATGGACGATTTGAAGAATTCACTGCGGACGATACTCTCACCGCCAGCAGTAGGGGTATCGGAAACGGAATCGGAGCACAGTCGTTGTCTCTTAGAAGGATGCGGAACCGATCGTCGACCGGCCGTTGGATCAGTCATCGTACGTCGGGGTGGTTGAGGCGCCGTACTTGGCGTTGGCGGATGCGGCCGCAAGCGTGAGATTGGGGCAGGTACTGCAGCCCATCCACTAGAATCTCGCTGCTGTTCCAATAGTACTTGCTGACTTGGTGATGGTGTGAACAAGTTTGGAGACAACTCCGCTAAAGGAGTACGTTTGGCTTTGAAGAACGAGTCGATAGGCTTCATGCCTTTCGCATCTGGTGTCTGTACAACTGCTGAAGCCCTGCGAGAAGAGGCAAGAGGTATTCCGCTAGTTCTCCTGTTGCCCATGACATTTATCGGAAGCTTCGTACGTGGGTATAGTTCACCCTTGGCAACACCCGTGGCGATATGTGAAGGTACTTCTTCTCCAATATAAGGCATGTCGGCAAGGTTGACGCCCTCTTCGAGTGGCGTAAGATTGACCAGTTGTTTTGCGACTGGACAATAGACCCACTGGTAGAGGAAGGTCTTCTCTGCTTGATCAAATGACTCCATGAATTCAGCTGGCACCTTGAGCTTGCCGTCGAATTGAGCAGCCTTGACAAGGCGATTGACAGTCTTGTGCTTCCGCAGCATGCGGTGGGCAGTCTTGAGGCCCAGTCCACCAATGCCCGGTAGGTAGTCGCAACCACTCAGGATGCACATTCTTCGGAAATCAGCGTCGGACCAACCCACCAAGCTAACCTCCCTGCAGGCGGCAAAGTGATTTCTGTTGACCTCGATGCACTCTCCCCATTTGTCAAGCTTTGTTATCAGACATTTGACGCCGAAGACGAGCAGGTCCGAATCTTCGGATAAGACACCGTCGATGATGCCCTTCCGCTCCAGGTATGCCAGTTGCGAATCAGCCTCGTAAGGAGCGACAACGTACTGGACATTGTTTCGCTTCAGCTCTTCGATGACCATGCGCGCCATCTCCGGTGTCACGTCAACGCTCTTCTGTAATTCCTGTTGCGCTTGTGCTGTCTTCCCAACTTCCAAAAGTTCGAGTCCAAGCCTCTTGCCCTCTTTTCTCCGCTCTCTTCGACCCTTCTCCGTGCCAGCTTTGCTCGGTAGGTTGTCGCCATCGAATACAAGGTAGGGTGTGACGCCGAAGTGGATAAGCATACGGACGCGGTGCATGACGAAGTCGACATATCTAGGACTACGTTAGCATGTGAGCGTCACATGTACGCCGCATTCGGTGCATACTTGGTTGTCGGCTTCTCAAGCGCCAGTTCGACGGCACAGGCTGCGGTACCACGGTGCAGCCAACCATACGTATCTACGCCAATCGTCTTGCCGGCGTACTTTTTGAGGCTACATGGTTGCTGGACCGACTTCAGTAGTGGAAGAAGGCCTGTTCCAGGATTAGTATTGCAAGGTGGGTGATCGAATGTACCAACCGGAGATGCCCATCTTGTACCCTTTGCCGCTCACGCGTCCGGTCTATACAACGGACTGAGACGCAGCAACTACCGCAACATGGTGGTATCGTGAACAGGCAATAGGAGAAGGGAAGCTCTTGAACACTAGTACACAAAGGACAAGAGAAAAGGAAGCGCGTTCGCGATCTAAAGTGTGGAGCAGTCATTGATCGCGGGTACACGAGATGACAGGAACGCGCCCCGCTAACACCTGCTCTAGTCCGCATCCGTCTGCTAGCGTGATTTCCGTCGCCGACTCGCCGATGGATATCCAAAATTTCTTACTCCCAACACCAGCACCAAACAAAGTATCAAACATTCAAAATGGTCAGCAATCGCCTCGACAAGGTGCACAAAAAGATCACCAAGAAGAAGGGCAAGAACCCTAATCTCCATGAAGGCAGCCGGGACACAAAGCGGTTACAGAGCGCCGCGCAGAGAGATGACAAGCTCAATCGCCTTACTAAAGTCCGAGAACACCAAAATCGCCCATACCGTATGCATACTGTTGCCAGTAGGTTGACATGATATAGCTAACGCGTGATAGTGCTGAGAGTCAAATCGTTCCAATCATATACCACAGAGCATGATTCACCACTCAGTGTATCAGAAATCCAGGCTATGATCGAGGACTACTTAGGTCGCGATGACGAAGAGCTGGCAAAACTGAAGGCAGAACGTCGCCCGGGACGGCCACCAAGCACACGTCAAAATCTGTTGGAGATCAACCAGAAAACTGAGCAAGACGAGTATGCCTCTGGCTTCTGGGTACCGGACCTCGAGGATGTCATCAATCTGAGGAAGTTGAAGGAGTGGAACGGCCAGTGGGCGCAGCTTGCCACGCTCAAATTTTCCAGGATCTCGAAAGGAGGTTTCAAGAAGGAGTCTAGCTTCCCACCAAAGGGCATGTCATGAGCGCTGGAAATTGTTCCAAATGCGGCCCCGAAGGCTTATCAAAAGGCCGATATGCTACGCTCTAGTGGTTTCATTGCGCGACAGGCGATTGCTTTTGGTTTTCGGGATCGCTGATGCTGGTGCGGGAGGCGGCGGTTTCTGCGAGACTTCCTGGAGGTTTCCGCGCCTATCAACAGCCCTACGATCTTATTTCTGCGAACCTGGCATGTGCAGTCCGTATCCATGACATATGATCATGGGTGCGGATTCCATAACACACACGATTTCTGCGCATTATCAGATCGTGCAGTGTCCTTCAAAAGCTTGTATCGAGCAAGCACATAGCGACTACTTAATTATCGCCTACGTACCGATGGACTCTCTGGAGACTGGATTAGAGGACTGGTGCGCTCTTGGACTTGCAAAACAATCGATACAATTCCAGTAATGGCGAACGAATGACCCGGGACGAATCGAGAATTACACTCTAAGGAGCGTCGAACATAATTCTTATCAAGCTACAGCTCCGTTCGGAGTTTCGGCAACATATATATACCCAGAGAAAACTACCTTTCTGTATCTTCCGAGAGCTCCACTTTACCCATCCTATGACTGTACCCGATCTATTTATATTGTTGAAACGCGACATGCCAGACTTTCATTCCCTTATGCCCTTCCCTCAACAATGGGATGATCCTCGCAAAATCTTCAGTCTTACGAAATGCCATATGTGCCTCTACGTCCGGCCATCCGATAAATCCTGCAAACAGTTTTCCATTGACACCCTCACCCAGATTCTCATGCTGATGCGGCTCAACACTCCATCCGCCAAAAACGCCTTTAGCTCCCGACTGCGGCATCTCAGCAGCCTGAGCGCGGAATTTGGAGAACTGGGAACTGTATTGGTCCTGGTGGTAGTCGGGCGGAAAGTAGGCGTTTATGCACTCAGTGACGGGCATAGTAAATGGGTTGTCGGATGTAGAGTATTCAGCGGGGAACTTGACGTGGAACATCTCTGGGCCGCTGGCTACAAGCTTCTCCATAATGTTTGACAAGAAGGGTTGGTATCCCGGGGTGCCCTCGAAAGTTTTGTGGTCATCGATAGATTCCCAATCTATAGTCGATCAGCGAGAAGATGATAGCGGTCAGCTGACCAGGGACATAATGGCTATCACATACCTACGAGCATCTGGACTGTATCCGGGCTCTCAACTTGACGACCCCAGTATAATGCCTTACAACCAGGCTGCTTGGCAATGGTACTCAAGGTTGATTGCCATGCTTCTTTCGCTTCGCCTGATGAAAGATCCAGACCAGGCTTCATATGCAAGTAAACAACTTCTGTGACGCTTCCAGACATCTTGTGTTCGGGGATGTAAACGACGACGATTATCTGAGTATAGTGCGGTGGGAGAGAGTTCAGGTTACAAGAAAAATGCCAATCAGAACTCGTGTCTGATGTATGGAGTTCAGGATAGTAACGAAGGAGAAAAATACAAGAGAGATGATGTTTCCCAGTGGTATCTGAGTATCATATGTTACGTGCGTATGATAAGCCTTTTATCCCACATTGACGTAGTGAGAAGATGCGAAGCGGGGTTGGCGAACGAAGTGGGAACTCAGACACCGTCGGCTCATTGCATTCTTCCATGTCCGGGACATATCTAGACTGGTGTCTACAAGCAAACAATTTACGGCCAAAAGATCGGTGTCAAGTAGAGATTCCCACTTCAGATATGGAGAAACGGTCAGATGAAAAAAAGCGCCGCATATTGTCTTCATGGGCAAGAGCTCCATCAATGGCCGATCGGACACCTTGATACCCCCGACGCACAGAACAAGAACTCCAACTCGTACTCCAAGCCCATCGCTGACTCTGCGCATCTCCAAGTACGCTTCAAGCACAAGTGCTAATGAATACCTCAATCCAAGTCATGCGCAAAGGAATGCACTACCAATGTATCAGCCCCTGCGATTCCAACGCCGCGCATGTCCCGTACTCCAATGTCCATCGTTCTTGTATGCAGATGGAACGCCTCCTGTTTTCAAGATGTGTCGGCAGGACGCGCAGGCTATAGTGTTGCAGCTGGGACATTGCTCTGCAAACTTGAATAGTGGTCGGGTGCAATGCGCACAGATGTGATGACCTTCAACTTTGTTCCACCAAAGCTTGTGGTCACAGTTACCGAAGCTTGCGTTACGTTCATTGGATCTTCTGGTTCGCTCTTTGTCTGCTTCTTGCTTTCTAAGTCTTTCCTGTGCTTCTTCTTGACAGGCTTTCAATATTGCCTCCCAAGCCGCACGTTCCTTTCTCGCGCGCTCTGCAGATTCTCTTGCTTGCTCCGCTTGCTGTTGTCGGAATCTCTCTGCCACTTCTTGGGCAGCCTTGTTCCGCTCAGCCTGCTGTCTTGCCTGCTCTTGGCGTAGTGCCTCGTAGGCCCTCTCTCTTGCAAGCCGCTCTATATTTGCTTTGTGAGCCTTCTCAGCCGCTATACGTTTCTCTTCTTGAACGCGTCGCTGTGCGAGTTGGTCACAGAGCTGATTCAGTTGTGCTGTGGCTTTATTTAGGGGTATCTGCTTGATCCGAATAGCGTTGTCCGCGTTGATGGAGGCCAATCTGATCTCACTCTTCTCTTGGTCACTTAGTCTTTTGCTCAAGAATGCAAAAACATTCCAGGCGTATGGAACATCGTTCGCTAATCTTGTTCGATTCTCATCAATTGTGGCATTCAGGCGGTCGATTTCGGCCACGAGGGGCTTGACGATATTCCGAGACCGTCGGATTTGCTCCATTTGGTATCTCTCAAATTCTAGCCACTCTCGTCGCTTTCTGTCGCTTTCTGCTTGCGCACGTGCTTCGTCTTGAGCTGTTGTGTCGTGACAAGGGGATGCTTGATACCTCGGTTGTTGGGTGGACGTAGGTTGAGGACCAGATCGACTGCCAGATGATGGCGCCTTTGGCTGTGGTCGGCTTCGATCATATTCGACTCTCTTGTCTACATCTCCTAGGATCTCCCATGCTGCATTAATCTGCACCTAGTGTTAACATTGCACACGTACTAATGCACTCCCTCCCTGTACCGATACTTACAAGCTGGGTCTTCGCAGTCGCGTGTTGACATCCGATGTTTTTGTCCGGATGATGCAATCGTGCGAGACGGCGATACGATGCCTTGATCTCGTCATGAAGTGCAGTAGGTAGCACCTCTAAGGTAACGTAGTAATCGTGTGTGGGTACGGTGTGAGCCATCTTTCGCGCAGACTAGCTGTTATAGTGAAAGCCCTTGGAAGTCATAACATCCTAAAATGTTTGGTGCAGACAGATTAGGATTGAATGGAGACGTAATGCTAGAAACATTCAGCATTATGAGGAAATTGAGGCTGCAGCCTGGACGAGGCTGTGGTTTCTAAGCGCCGTGCCACTGCAGCCCATTTGCAGACCGCCAGAGAAAGCGAGAGCGAGAGTGAGAACGATTCGATGTCAGTCAATATCAACTAAACCGCAGCGAGAACCCATGATTTGCACTGCTCACTCCATCTATGCAAGATGTATTACATTTTCCTTTTCAGTCCCATATGCATGTAATCGCTATCCAAACGTCCCAAATAACAATTACGCTTAATCATACACAATCATAATCCAACACCTGTATCGACAAACACACCTTTCAATTAACCTTAGTAACCTTGATTCCACGATCGAGAAGCGCATCTTTGAGACCCTTGGCAACCTGTTTCCTCGTCCTGGCAGTCTGTCGCAAGCTGTCGATGTTGTCGTCAACCAGGTCGCTTAGACGTGCAATTTCTTTGCCTGTTGTCGGGCTGCCTTCGGGCGTGTAGAACAAGCCATAGCCCTTGCTGGGTGTAGGGGTAGCCTCAACGTCTGGGGTCAGAGCACGACGATTCAGCTCGCTCAAGCTCATCTTGTTACGGTTGGTAGGTGGCGTAGCATATGGTGTGTCGGCAATGCTGCGGCGCAGATCTGTGCCGCGTGATCGTCGGGGTGTGCCGGCGTTGCGTGAGGAGGATGAGGAAGGACGGCTGGAGTCTGCGAGGCCGATCTTGCGCATCTGTGCCTCAAGGACGAGGATATCGTTGTTCTTCTGCTCAGCTAGGCTGGCCAGTCGAAGGACTGTCTTCTTCACAGCTTCCATAGATGGCACCGCCTTTGTGCTGCCGTTCTGGGCGTTGTGCGAAGCTAGACGTGAGCGCAAAACTGCGACGGCGTCTTCAGCCTTACGTAGCGATGTCAACAACTGGGCATAATCGTTACGCAGGGCTTTCTGCCCGTCCGCAAGCTCCTTCGGCAACGGCGCCTTACGGAGTGCTTCTGCCTTCTCGGGGTCTTTGCGATTGATGATCTGGCGGCGGATATCGTTAAGACGAGTCATCAGCTTGGCTTTGTCGTGAAGTAAGCGGGCGAGTTGTGTAAGCTTGAAGAGCACGTCTTGTACTCGTCCAGCATCAAGCTCTCGCTCAAGCTCATCTTCGAGAGAACGTAAGGCTTGGATCTCACACAGGGTGAACTCCTCGAACCAAGAGCCATGAGCTCCTTCGTCTTGGACATCATCCAGCATACGTCGACCGATTGTGTGGTCGGACCGAGGCTGTAGGTGATATTGTGTGAATGACTTGATAGATCGCGCGTTCCAGCCAAGCGCGTCCACCATGCCGTTGATGTCCTTGTAGATCAACTCGATCTGAGCGGCGTGGCCGGTCTTGCTAGGTGATTTGCCACCACTGTAATTCTGGTATGCGACAAACTCCTCCAGGTTCCGGCTGGGTTCGATCGGCTGCGAAAGCTGTGCCCGCATCCGCTCATCTTCTTCATCTTCAAGATCGGAGAACTGTGGTTGTGGCGTCGGTGGTTTAGACCCAAGCATAGATGAGCTTAATGAAGCACCCGGTGCGACCAGAGGTTCTCTTCGAGGACGAGACGCTGAGCTTGAACGAGCTGGACTAGGCGAGCGAAGGTCTTGGGCGCGGTTCGCTGGGGGTGGGAAATTCGGTTTGGCAGGCACTGCGGGCTTGGGACCCTTGGCTGGTTGTTGCCCAAACAGCGATGAGCCTCCAAACGATGGCTGGCTAACAGCGGGTCTAGAAGGCTGTGAAAACAAGGAGGGCTGGGCAAGTGAAGCGCTGCTACCAGACTGGGATGTGGCGCCGGATTTCATGGTAGGAGGAGTCGGTGCAGGAGGGAAGAAGCTCTTTGACTGATCCATCCTTTCCTGCAAGCTAAAGCCAGACGGCTTCGTAGGCTGCGACTTTGACGCGTTGTTTGGTGGATATGTTTCATCGACTTCTTCAACGTCATCCTCATCCTCATCCTCATCCTCGTCAAAAGAGTCTTGCTCGTCCCCATCTTCATCCTCGTCGCTCTCCTCATTGTCGTCATCATCGTGGTCATCCTCATCTTCGTTGTCAATAGGGGATACATCGACGGAAGAACTGGGTGCTTCTACTTCAACACCAGGACTGCCAGCAAGAGGAGGCAGATCGTCGCTAGTCGACTTCGGTAGCTTCGTGTTGATGAAGTCCGGAGGTAGAGGCGCGTCGTCAACCTTGGATGGTTTAGCCTTGGTAAAATCTGGCGGTAAAGGTGCGTCATCCGCAGGGGTGGCGGCCTCTTGTGCAGGCGGTGCTGCTTTGGGGGTCGCGCTCTCTCTTGCAGGAGTATCGCTGGGGAATAGTGGCTTCGACTTTGGTGGCGATGCCGGAGTGGTTGAGACGTAATTTGGAGGAGCTTCACTCGCGGGGGTAGCTGGCGGCTTCATATCTGTCTTTCCTAGCATGTTGGAAAAGTCACTACCGAAGAATGAACCGTTGGCAGGAGCCGCAGGCTTCGCTGGATCGTCCTTAGCCGTGCCGTCACTAGCAAAGGTGGTGCCGAGCTTGAAGCCACCTGCAAGGCCAAAGAGGCCTTGTGATGCTGGAGCTTGTGGGGTGGGTGTAGCCTCATCCCTCTTTCGGTCGGTATTCGCGTCGCTGTTATCAGATGCCTTAGACTCGAATGAGGCTGTGTTGAACGAAGACTTTTCTGGTTGTCCAAAGATTGAGCTGCTCTGCTGTGCAGGTGTGTTTGCCCAGGAGGGTAGTGAAGATCCAGTATTAGAGCCAACAGTCACAGTAGAGCCAAAGCTTGGCTCCGTCTTCAGACCCCCAAAGCCTGACTTTTGTTGCCCTTGTCCAAGCGATGCAAAACCTGAGCCTGTTTGCGCGGAATTGTTGCTTCCAAAGCTCGAGAAGGAACTCGATCCTCCAGCACCTCCAAACTTGGCAAAGCCAGATGAGCCACCAGCAGCAGCCGAAAAGGGGTTGGACTTGGATTCTGAAGATTGTGCAGGTGCTCCCCATGGTGATGCTTTGTTTCCCATTCCGCCCGCTGCTCCAAAACCGGAGCCACTACCAGCACCCACAGCGGACGGTGTTCCAAAAGCCGACTGAGAAGGCTTACCAAATGACGAGGCAGCACCGAAGGCAGGTTGAGAAGATGCACCAAAAGTTGGCTGAGAAGGCTTACCGATTGAAGACGGGGCGCCGAATGCAGGTTGTGCAGGCTTACCGAACGTTGGGGCAGGTAGACTCGTAGCAGCAGTGCCGAATCCAGGCGTTCCGAAGCCAGGTGGTGTGGGCTTCATCAGAGCGGGAGTTGGTGTACTGAAGCCATTTCCGGTGTTGCCACCAAATGCGGGAATGCCCGACGTTCCTGGAGTTGCGGGTGTTCCCACGGACTTGCTGAAGGGGGTAGAGGTAGCGATGGGAAGTTTTGACGCAGGAGTAGAAGCCCTTGGAGTTGACGATGATGAATGTTTGGTAGCTTCGCTGTTGAAAATGAGACCAGGGTAGCGTTCGCCAGCCTCGATAGACTTGTTCCAGACAACCCACCAGGCTGAAAGAAGACCTTCGTGAGTAAGAGCCATGTATGCAGGCAATGGCCACGGCGCCTCGTTGATCTCTTCCAAGGCAGGGATAGGACGCAGTATTTTCTCCTTGCTAGACAGATCCAGTGCCTCACCAATGAAGACGCTATCGAGTTCGTCCTCTCCATAAGCCGTTCGCGGTACCTGAGCCTTTTTGGTGTCGTCGACACTGACAAGCATGAGCTCGTTGCAATTCTCCTGATGTGGAGAGATCTTGCTGCTGGTCGAGGCCAAGATCGCAATGGAATCTGCATGGGAGGAGGTGATGATGAGCATGTCGTCGAGATCGGGCTTCCAGTTTTGTAGGCGCGTGGACGAGATGCGTGCAGGGAGTTGGCGGCGTGGAGGTTCGAATGCTTCGGGAAGAGGATCCCAGGCCAGAGAATGATATGTGAAAGACCTCCAGTCTTTGGTAGATTGTATGACGCTGTACTTCTTGGGCTCGGGGCTGTCCTGGTCTTGGTTCTTGACGGAGTACACAACCAGGAACTCTGCAGTTTTCAACCATGACACGCCCGTCGCCTCGTGGCTTTCATCCACGTCCGGAGGCCGAGGAATGACGCCCTTGAGCTCTCCATTGGCCATGTGTATAGCGCAGGTGCCGTCAGTGGAGCCAGAGACGACAGCCTTTCCGCGCGCGCTCCAAGCGGCGCAGTTGACATCGTGCTCTAGGATCGTCCTTTTGGCGCCGCTTCCCACGTCGCATATCTCGAGCTTGCCGGAATCGAGGACAATAGCGAAGTACTGTTCAAAATCAGGAGAGGGATTCGGTAGGAGTGCTCGAATAGTCGTGTCGGTTGCCAATTTGTTGTCTGCATCTCTCTTGCCTCGGCTGACAACATCCGCAACACCGTAGATAACCACGCCGCCCTCAGCTTCATCGGACGTAACCAAAAAGTCTCCATCGGCGGAGAATGCGACATGGCGTAGGTTGGAAGTGGAGATGTTGATGTCAGGTGTGTAATCTGCCACTACATCAATGTCGCGGTTTTCGAGGCGCGGATCATCAGGTTGCTCGATGGCATCGGCGATGGTCTTGTTCTGGAAAGCTTTGCGCAAGGTGTCTGTGGATGTGATGACGAGGGCGTTGGGGCCGGCGGCAGCGAGAAGACCGGGTTTGGAGGCGACAGAGAGCAGGTTGGCGGAAGCGGGAGGCAGATTGTCGGTGGGCCATGGCTGGGGCAGGATCTTGACCTTCTTGGGGCCTTGTTTGCCTTGGTTGAGGACTTTGAAGCCAAGATGCTGTGTAGTTGTCAGTCAGTACTGTCGCATGTCGGTGTGGTGCAAGCTATAGCTACCTCAGTTTCGACCTCTGGCACCTCAGGCCCAGCCTCGACAGCCGGCGCGGGAATCTTAGACATTCTGCAAGACTTGCAGGCCGAACAGGTTCTGGCGCGTAGGAGGCTCGGCTTGGTGTCGCGCGTAGGAGTTCTCAGCTTATTCATATATGCATCGGAGAACGTGCGCGATCGCGCGTGAACAGGGTTGATGTGTTTTGGGAAAGAGCAAACAGGCCGCTATAGGCTAGGCGGAAGGCGTTCCAAAGACTAGAAGACTATTGAAACGGCGGTGATGTAAGGAGGATGTGCCTGGCGCTCTGGACAGTGAGCGACAAGCATGCGACCATTAGCTCGACACTTTGAAGCGACGCGCTTTGTTGTTCTGAGAAAGTTCCCGAGCTAGTGGAGCTGCATGGCCGCGCCAAGCCTACCTCCAAGCTCCAGGCACGACAGCTACGCAACCTCACCGTCGCCGCCGCCGCCTACACAACCCCCGGACCAGACTCGCGCCATCAACACACACACCAAGCTACACGCCGTCTCTGCAACAAACCACCCCCACGACTCTACCGGCAGCTTCGCAACAACACCATGGGCGGCTTCGACTTCTCCAACCACAACCGCAATGCGGCTCTCCACGCTCAGGGCATCCCGCTGCCCAAGGCGACGAGCACAGGAACAACCATTGTCGGATGTCTCTTTGACGGCGGCGTGGTCATCGCAGCAGACACACGAGCCACCAGCGGCCCCATCGTAGCAGACAAGGTAGGCTCGTCCCTGCCAGAGACGCAGCAATCACCGTGGACATAGGTCTGACATGTGCTGCAGAACTGCGAGAAACTCCACTACATCTCCCCTCACATTTGGTGTGCCGGTGCCGGTACCGCCGCAGACACCGAGTTCACCACCGCCATCATCTCCTCCAACCTCGAACTGCACGCCCTCTCCACCGGCCGCAAGCCCCGCGTCGTTACCTGCATGACCATGTTGAAGCAGCACCTGTTCCGTCACCAAGGTCACATTGGCGCCTACCTCGTTATTGCGGGTGTCGACCCCACCGGCGCACATCTCTTCACCGTCCACGCCCATGGCTCCACCGACAAGCTGCCGTACGTCACCATGGGTTCGGGTTCATTGGCCGCCATGTCCGTCTTCGAGACACAGTGGAAGCAAAACCTGACAAGGGAGGAGGCCGTCACACTCTGCGCAAACGCCATCGAGGCAGGTATCTGGAACGATCTGGGTTCAGGTAGCAACGTGGACGTGGCGGTCATCACAGAGGAGAAGACCACATTGATGAGGAACTACAAGACACCAAACACCAGACAGCCCAAGCAGAGGAACTACAGGTTCCAGCGGGGAACTACGGCGGTGCTGAACGAGAAGATCATCACAAAGGAGGAGATCAGCAAATACGTTACCGTACATGAGCTCAAGGATGGCGACGTAGCCGGAACAGCCGAGACGATGGACATAGATTCGTAGGGAGGGGTGTAGGTGACATGGCGTTACGAACATGAATGTGTACTATTACACCTAAACGGGGTTCAAGACGGACCACCTCAGCCGAATAGCTACAAGGCAATATGATGACGATCAATGAACATTTCAGACATGCAGAGCGAGTATCAAATGAGGACAATGTTCAGTCATGGCATCTTTTAAGTATTACGCTACCTAACAAAACAGAATGGATCCGAGGCCTTCATTGCAGGCAACATGTCGAGCATCTACGTCCTTTCCCATCGTGTACTCGTCGTCTATAAATTTTATTGTTCAACGACACCTCTTCTCGACAATGCCAGCACCATGCTCCTCGTACTCCTTCCTTGAAATCCACAGCTGGTGGAAGCTTCCCAGACTAGCCAGTATACTGCCGCCAATCCAGGCTGCGTACTTCCTCTCCACCACACTACCCGGTGCAATGAGCTTGTTCCTGGTGCTGGGGTAGATGGCATTGATTTCGTAGTTGAGGCGTTCGTTGAACTTGTAAAGGAGTGTTGAGCCACCCGTCACGACAATGTTGGACAGGAGAAGAGGGCGCTGGTCTGCGTCCACTTGTTGGACTGCGGCTTGGACAAGTCTTGGGATCGTCTGCTCGGGCTTCGGCGCGGGCATGGTTTCGCTAGCGAGCGCGGCGCTGTGGTCAAAGAGGCCTTCAGCGGCACGGAACCTCTCGATTCCAAAGACTTGGTTCCAGCCGTCGGGCATCTCAAAGGGTCGACCAGGCATGCTCTTTGCGAGTTCTTCGTTCGTGCTGAAGCGACCGGGGCCAGGCCAGACTTCTACAACCGACTCCTTGAAGGACGTGAGAATGCGCTCTTCTTCGTTCAGACGGAACGAGTCGGTGGGTGGCGTCTCGAAGGTCTTGTAAGTTGCTTGAGCGGGTTGGCCGGCGTCGACGGGCGTTTTGCTCTTGACCATGTAGTGTGGTGTCAGTGGTACTTCGGGCTGGGCTTGCTTGAATGACGTTCGTATCTGGTCGGAAACGAAGTTTCCTGCTAAAGGCGATTTCTGTACGCCCTTTCGCAGCACCATGCCATCGAGTACAGGAGTGACCGATGTATGCGACGCGCCAACGTCAATGATAATACCTGACGCTTTTCCCGATGCAAAAGCAGCCAATACACCTGTCTTTTGTAGGAAGAAAGCTGGCGTGCCCCAGTCCTCCATGGCAATCTCAATGTACTTTTCCCGTGCTTTTGCGCTGTTCCAGCCTGGTTCTGTGACGAGCAGCGGGCTGTCTTCCAGAGGCTTCTCGTTGTTCTCTAACGCGTCCATATCCACGTCCATACCCTCCCCGTTCTCGTTCTCGCCGTTTCCATCGTTCAGGCCGTTTTTCGTAGGGTCGGTCGCTTTTGCGCCGGTGAGTCGACTCGTAATCGCATACTCCCACAGCTTGGTCGCGGTATCCCAGTCCTCTACTATGCCATCCGAGCCCCAGTAATTCTTGATATCTAGGCCGCCGACCGGTGCATGTATCGCGTTCTCGCCAAAGAGGTGTTCGCCGGAGGAAGTCTGGCCGTAGAAGGAAGGGCAGACGGATTTGGGCACATCCTCGCCAGCGAATCCAGCGCGTACGGTCGAGTATCCGGGGTCCAGAACGATCGCGGAGACCTCATCTACACATATCAATCAGTATGCGCTGTGCGTGAAGCTTCGTGGAGCTTCACGTACCTCCAGCATATTCTCCCGCAGCTGGTGCGGTCGATGCGTTGGGGATGTTCATCGCGCGCGATTATCGGAATGCGCAAATCGTGGTAAAAGTTTGGTGGTATAGTCAGAGATTAATTGACGCGTGATTGTCTGTCTCTGGGACTGTTCGGGCGTTGTGGTTGGGGGGCCGGGTGCTGGTGTTGGAGCGTAGCTGTCGCCAGACGCGAACTCCAAAAGTTGAAGTCGAGGTTGCGGACCTGCCTGGCCTCTGTCACCGCACCTGTCCCCCGCGCCTCCACTCCGCATAAGTCAGCGACGTACATGCAGAGCCATTCAAACATCAGAAGATGAAAAGATAGTCTAGGTAACACAATGGTGCTCAATTTCATTCGCCAGCTCTACTCGCTGGACACCCTTGATACACGCTTCGTTGTTCCAGCCACCGCACCCCCGAAAGAGGCGCTCGAGGAGGCCAAACTTGATCCCGTGGGGCCAGTACCAGTCAAAGATGGTCGAGACGGGAGCAAGAACCCAGAAAACAGAAGCCATCCCCCACTATGGAACACACCGGAATTCTACTTCTACTACGTGGTCATTCTGACTAGCGTGTTCTTTATGTTCAAGTTGGTGCTAGATGTGTCTCAAGGTTCGTACAGCATAGCAGAAAGAGGGTAGATCATTCTGACTGTTTGTAGAATCTCACCCAAACTATCCAAAGTTCGACCATCTATTGTCTGATGGTTGGATTCCTGGACGCAAAGTGGTATGTCACATCACTAGCTATCACATGCCATAGGCTGACTTTCCAGGACAACACTGACGCTCAATATGGCGGTTTCCGTCAGAACATTCCCTATCTTTTCATCGTTGTTGTGCTTCATCCTATCTTGCGCAAGGCCTATGATTCGTTCTGGAGGGCCGACACATATACTCAAGTCCGCTCTTCATCAGCCATTGGAGGTCTTACCATGGGCTTGACTCCCAGTGCTGCAGCAGATGCCCGCATGAACCAACGCGTTTCCTTCGACCTTCTCTTTGCTGCCGTTTTCCTTGCTGCTCTGCATGGTTTTTCTGCGTTCAAGATCCTTGCCATTCTATATGCCAACTACTGTATCGGAACAAAGCTTCCGCGGCAGTATGTACCAGCTGCCACATGGATCTTCAATGTAGGCACTTTGTTTGCGAACGAGTTCTCGGACGGATACTCATACGCCAATATCCTCGGGGTTTTCCTCCCATCAACTGTGTCCGAGAAAGGCGAGCCAACATCCAACTTTGGTCACACTCTGGACAGCTACGGCGGTCTGATACCCCGTTGGGAAGTCCTTTTCAACTTCACCATTCTTCGCTTGATAAGCTTCAATCTTGACTATTACTGGAGTCTAAACACCCGCACTAGTAGTCCCCTTGAAGTACTTTACCCACCCTACCTTAGTTCGATATGGCTAATAACATCAAGAAGAAACAACTCGACCCTTCCAATCTCTCCGAGCGGGACCGAGTCACTATACCCGCTAAACCTACTGATTATACGTTCCGCAACTACTTCGCCTATGCCATGTACTCGCCTCTCTACCTCGCTGGGCCCATCATTACTTTCAATGACTACATCGCTCAATGCCGATACAAACCTCACAGCATCACTACCAAGCGAACCACCCTCTACCTTGTTCGTTTCATTGTTGTCTTGCTCACCATGGAAATCATGATTCATTACATGTACATGGTCGCCATCTTCCATGCCAGACCCGATTGGTCCCAGTACACACCAGCCCAGCTTAGTATGCTGGGTTTCTTCAACCTGAAGCACATTTGGCTCAAGCTTCTCATCCCATGGCGCTTTTTCCGTCTCTGGTCGCTGATGGATGGCATTGACCCTCCCGAGAACATGGTCAGATGCATGTCTGACAACTACTCCGTCATGTATTTTTGGCGTGGGTGGCACCGCAGCTTCAATAAGTGGAGTTTGAGATATCTCTATATCCCGCTGGGTGGTAACAGAGGCGAAGGCATGTGGGGCAAGGCAAGGTCAATTGGAAACTATCTCGCCGTGTTTACCTTCATAGCAATTTGGCACGACATTCAGCTTCGATTACTCATGTGGGGTTGGCTTGTCACGCTCTTCGTCCTCCCAGAGATTATCGCTTCATACATTTTCCCCGCGAGGAAGTGGAAAAATAGCCCGGATGCGTACCGCTGGCTATGCGGTGTTGGTGCTGTATTTGAGATCTTGATGCTCATGACAGCCAATCTCGTTGGCTTTGCGCTAGGAGTTGACGGCCTGAAGGACTTGGTTCGTGGCATTGTGGGGACATGGTCTGGCTGGATGTTCCTTGCTACGGCTTGTGGCGCGTTGTTCACCGGTGTGCAGTTTATGTTCGAATGGAGGGAGAGAGAGAAGAGGAGGGGAATCAAGATGAAGTGTTAGACTTCGGCGGTCTATTCGATTGGTTGTACAGATAGATGTTACTCGGGTTGCCCTTCTAGTACTACTCTCGGCTGGTGATCACCGCAGCTGATGCTTCACGTCTTTCGTGACATCTAGAGATATGCATAAGGCTCATGTTCTTCTCGACATCTTCCCAGCTTACATAGTGATACAGTACTTCGCGTCTTCTCCCTCTCCTAACTCTTAGCATATGTTTGCTTCCCGTCAAAGCACTCAGTATGTCTCACAAAGCAAGCAGCCTAGCTCCCGCTTGCTCACGTAGGACGGAATACAGGAAGCACCTTCGTTGTAAGCCATGTTATAACTTTTCTGTTGCTTGGTCCCGCTTCGGTGTTTGACAAGCACTGTTGCTCAGAGTTTGTGGTCGGTCACGGAGATATCATCAATCTCAATGTCGCATACAGTTGGTCAGCAACCGGACGCTTGTGTCTTCTCAACAGCTGTGCCAAAGACACCCATGAACGGGTCGAGGTAGTCACGAGTACAAAATGAGTAAGTAGTTCCAGTGACACGGCAAGCATAAAGACAGCCTCAGATCATTTAGCTGGATTTTATTTTTCGATACTCGAGAAACACTCAAATACTGTAAGTGAATCAGAGGGTAGCCAGTCTACTGAACTAGAGTGGTCGTGACTCTTGCGTGTGCGAACGAAAAAGACCGAGCAAAAAAAAAAAGGGCAAAAACAGAGTTTCGAACCCACGAAGGGTGAATGTTTTCCAAAGATTGAGTAAGTGCAGTGTTGTGCGGGACTCGCGGTCACTTCTGGTAAAAGGCAAGAAATGAGTTCGTACAAATCCTCGCACTGCACATTAACACTTCGCAAATGTTGGGTATATATAGTGAGCGAAGGTTATTGTTGATGCGTGCGAGGCTGGAGCCAGACAACGCTAATGGAAGCGAGGGCCAGTGCAGGCGGCGAAACCCACGGTCTGCAACGAACATCGAAGAGCTGGGCCTGCGGTGTTGCCTGTGCGGTCATCGCTCGAGTCGTGCGACTTGCTCCATTCGCGCAACTCTCGTGGTTCAACCTGTGGTCTTGTCGCGTCTCGAGCTGGCAGGTAGTCAACGCGCATTGAGGCACGGAAAGGGGTGGAGGAGGGGAGATGGTGTATGCCCCGCGCTTGATTTCTAGGAGGGTTGACAGCTTTGTGGCGGCACACGTGCCCCGTTATCAGGGTCGTTCTAGGCTGCAGGCCTACTTGTCCACATTTCAGTGCCCACCGACGACGTTTATAGATCATCTAACAAGAGAACGACACAGTCATTTGTTCGCAACGTATGCGTGGTTCATCGATGCGCATCCAGAAATCCTCACTTTACCTGTGAGTGATGCAGTCATGCCAGGCGTCGTCTCCAACTGGTTTCAAGTGCGTAACATCATCTGGTCTAGCTCTTTGATCTTTTGTTCTTTTTCCTTGGGACTGCATCTTCCACCTGCAAGCTCAAAAATCTTCAGAATGCTGTTGTCCAGTCACGACTTGTGAGCGCGCGTACAAACGACAGACATCTCGATTCAGTCTGAGTATCTGACAGCATCACTCTTAGATTCTCGCCTTCAGTAGTCTTCATTCAAGTCGCGATGCATTCCACAACACATCATTCCCTCTGTACTGTATCCCCTATTATCTCTTCGGACCGATTTCATTCTGTTTTCACTTTTCAGCAACAACCCACACAATCAATGGACTTACTGTCTTCTTGTTCTTCACGGACGAGAGACTAGTACCACACGCCAACGTCTCACTTGACAAAAGATTGATTGGAGCATTCACCGCAAATGGCAATACCAACAGACATTTTGCTTACAGCAAACATTTTACGTCCGCCACAGCACGATGGCATGCTCTCGAAGCTGTATGTGTGTACAAACAGACATGCAAACGTACAACCAGGTGGCCTGGCTTGGCGAATCTCGATCGTTTTCTGTCTTCATGTCTCTGTCCTTTATTTTTAATCCATTCACATTTCCATTAATATTCATGTATGGGCGTGTTGGCTTCGCTTCTTCATGACTTAATTCGATACGCAACTACATTTTTTCAGCATCCTAGTCCTGAGAAGCTACGTGCTCGCCAGACAAGCTCTGAATTATGCTGCCTGTTCTGACCTAAATTGTTTCCTTCTCCACTTGGTCCTACTCGTTGAGATGTTTGTAGTTCTGCGCCTGAGGCAGTTTGATGTTTCATCCCATGTTCCTTACTCCAAGTCCAGTCCGCGTTTCACCCCGCATCTCCTCATTAAAGGCAGTCGCGACCATAATATCTGGTCCCTGCAGAAAGATCTTCTTCGCTGTTTGTCGTCATTGCCCAAATGGCGCTGGTGCAGCCCGAAAGACGCTAGCGTAGGCAGGTACGAGTACCGATACAGCGCATAGTCGTCAACATCACCTGCTGCGCTTCCTCTTTCACGCCGGATACAGTCTCTACCGTTGCCTTTGGCTCGTGGCTTCTCACAATCGACCCTCTTCATTCCTTCAACTGCAGGCAGTCAGTCGCTCATTTCTCATAGCTATACCTGCGCTGCGCTTCACTCACCAAATCTCACCCAAACACTCCACAACATTCCCACAAACAGCACTTTTACGTTGTATATACAGCTCAGACATTCTATAACACTCGCTTGATCATCGCCATGAAGTCCATCGTTTTAGCGAGCGCTCTGGCAGCTGCCAGTCTTCTTGTGAGCTCTGCGAGCGGACGTCCTCTCAGTAAGTTGCAAGAGCGATTAGAAGCGTATCCTTTTCGTAACAAGCTATAGACCACAAACGTAAGCTCGTCACCGAGATGGTATATGTCACCGAGACGATCGCTGAAGCTATTGTCTACGTCGACGAGGCGGGCGCGCCTTATTGGACCACAACTTCGACGGTACTCACCAGTTCTCCCTCCGTAACTGTAGCCACATCTACAGCCGAGGCAGTGCTTTCGAGTTCAGGTCCAGCTCCCTCACTTACCTCGTTCGAATGGCCATCGTCTACACTCGTTTTACCTTCAGTGGAACCTACTGCTGTCGGTGCCCAGGATGCGACTACGACACAGGCGCCCCCTTCTACCACTTCCGAAGTATCATCTGCAGTGCCTGCCTCCACAAAAGAGCCTGAGCCCGTACCTCAGCCATCAGCTCCAGCTGATAATGTTCCTGTCGACAAGGCCGCTGCCGGTACCCTGCCTCTAGGCATAACTTGGGATGCCTACACTGGGTCCGCCAATTGCAAGAGTGCGGATCAACTCGCTAGTGAATTCAGTAAGATGAAGGACTACAAAGTGATCCGGATATACGGTATGGACTGCAACCAGATTCCGCTTGCAATTCAGAACGCCATCAAAAACGGTCAAAAGCTCATGGGCGGCGCATTTCTGGATACCAGCGGTGGCGGCGAAGACCTCGACCAGGTCATTCAGACCTACAAGAGCGCTATCGATCAGTATGCTGGCGGAAATTGGGATGTTCTCCAACTCTTCGCAGTCGAGAACGAGCGCGTCAATGAGCACAGAATGACATCCTCGCAAGTCGTTGACGCCATTGGTCGTGCTCGCACTCAGCTACAAAGCTTCGGTTACAACGGACTTGTGGGCGCAGTCGAGACTGCACCTGCTATGATGGACAATCCTGCTATCTGTGGAGCTGCAGATGTGGTCATGGTCAACATTCACGCCTTCTTCGACAGGAATACAAAGGCTCAGGATGCCGGTACGTTTGTCAAGAGCCAAGTTGAGCGTGTGAAATCCGCCTGCGATAACAAGCGTGTTGTCGTTACTGAGTCTGGTTGGCCTCGCGAAGGTAATGCCAATGGTGCGGCCATCCCCTCACCCGACAACCAGCGTATCGCTCTTGAATCGATCCGCTCCAATTTCAACAGCGACATGTTCCTTTTCAGCGCCTTCGACTCGGGCTGGAAGGCAGACTCTGCATCAACCTTCAACTCTGAGCGTTATTGGGGTGTGATCGATTAGCCGTGCTGAATGGAGCTACCACACATTGTTGGAAGGATATCGCGGATTGCATCTTGCGACATGCATCTTCCAACAAGCAAGTTTGCGCGCTCATCACTTTTGCCATCTTTCTTGCCGATGTACCTGCAGCCTAGTGCTACACAAGTGTGCGTGGAAGATCATTTCTGATGTTAACATCCTACAGGTATGGATACGAAAAACATGCGTCATGTAACATAGATAACATGATATCAAATGAATGAATGCTTCCAGATCAAGTATTTTACCAGACTTGTGTGTGTGCTACCTGTACAATGCTGCCATTTATGACTTTCGACGACGTGATACGTAATGCTTCACGCGTGGAGCATATAGACTCCAGATGTGGTATCTTTGTTCTTCTGCCTTCTGCTGGCTTCCATAATTTCCATTGTCATATCAACCTATCTAATACCCCAAATCTGTCGCCGTCTCTTCAAGTGCCTTGACGAGCCCATCTAGCGTCCCCTTGATCAACCCCCCATTAACCACGACTCTGAAGAACTTGCCCTTCTCCCCGGGGGCAAAGTCAATCATGAACCCTCTACTGATAAGTCTGTTGGCAATCTCAGTCGTTGCCTTACTATTGGCGTCCGCCTCATCCCCCAGGTTTCCTCCTTTGGCATAGTAAAAGCACACCTGCTGACACGGTAGCGGCTCCGGACTGATCGTCTTGAAGTTGCCGCTCTCCTTCAGTTTGCTCAAAAGATACTCTCCGTTCTGGTACCCACGGGCTACCAAGTCGCTGAAGTGCTGCGCACCGTAGTATTGAAGGGCCAGGAACATCTTGAGCGAGTCGGCGCGACGACCGCATTGAGGTGTTAGATCAGCAAGATCGTAGATGTCCGCTGCGTCGGTACCAGGTGCGTTGTGGAAGAGATAGCCAGCGGGTAGCGTAAGTGCGCGGTAGAAGGTGTTCATGTCGCGACCGAGAAGGAATGAACATGTCATGGGCACGCCGAGCATTTTGTGCGGGTTGATGGTTATACTGTCGGCGAGTTCAGCGCCCTTGAGGCGTGATTCGCGGTATTGGGCGTTGAAAACCACGCTTCCTCCCCAGCTGCCATCTATATGGAACCAGAGGTTTTGCTCTTTGCATATCTTGTTGAGAGCGGTGAAGGGGTCGAAGGAGCCAAGGACGGTGGTTCCGGCTGTTGCGTTTAGGAAAAAGGGTGTTTCGCCTCGGTCTTTGCTTTCTTTCACACAGCGTTCGAACTCGGAGGGAATGATACAGCCTCGATCGTCAACAGGGACAGAAATCACGTTCTTGGAACCGAGACCGAAGAGGTTGGCTGCTTTCTCGACCGAGTAGTGACCGTGGGCTGATGTGAAGATGGTGAATTTGTGGGATCCATTGCCGTCAGTTTTGGTCTCGGGGTAAAGGTTGTTGCGGGCAATCACTATGGCAGCGCTGTTTGATGCACTGCCGCCTGGTTGGGAGATGCCTCCTGAAGTAGAGGAGGGAAGGCCAAATAGTGAGGCTAGATACTTTGTAGTGCGTTTTTCAACAAGTGTTAGAACAGGTGAGACTTGGTATACGTGTGACTGATGAGTGTTAGTCGTGCCGCCTTCATGGAATCTAGAGCGCAAAACGTACGTTGGTGTTCAATACCGCCAATAACAGCTCGCTGACTACTCCCACAGCATTTGTACTTGCGTAAAGCTTATCCAGGAATCCTTGATCCCATGTGTTTACGGAGTACTTCAAAACACTTCCCACGAGCTTCACCAGCCCATCTTTACCAGCTCTTTCATCCTTGATTTCCAGCTCTTCCTTGAGGATGGATTCGAGCTTCTTAGGTGGGTGATGCTCCACTAACGCGGTTCTAGGCCCACCACCTTCGATCTTCAGTCCATGGCCTGTGTGTTTTGTCGCTGCGTCTTCATCTGCGGAGCGAATAAAGGGTATTATCAGCTCTTGCACGGCGTCGAGAAGCTGTTCGTGTCATTAGCAGGTATCTCTATAGCTGACCTTGAACTTTGATTGGTATGTGATGATGTGATGATGAGCCATGTGACTTCAGGTGATTTCGGAATATTGTCGGAATGCACTTCCGAGGTACGTACGTCTTTGACTTCATCAGCGCGATTGAGTGGTTTTTCTTGCTGTGTGTGAGACATGTCGAGGTAAGTTTGCACGGGTTACGGGAAGGTGCACGAGTTTTGTCAAGGACGTGGGTTGTGTCAAAGTAGTGAGTTGTGTCGGTATTTAGATGTAAGACGACTGTAGAAGAAGTCACAGTCTACGAGGAGGATTGCTAAAGAGATCGGCGTTATCGCCGACTTGGAATAATGACGAACATGGAGTCATCGATTGTGTCTACTCGGGGTATAAGCCCACATTCCTAACGCGAAAAGGTTCTCATGCAAATAAGCCACTAAAAGGTATCTAGAGTCGTCGAATCAGAAAAATGCGTACTCAGGACCCACCCTGCTTGAAAAACGCCGTTTTTACATGCCCATATGTTCAGGAACCGTGCTAAACATAGAAAATCCTTGTACGGAAACTTGATGAGACTGTTATTGCGCCGCAAGACTCTTTGCCTTGCTGCTTCCGCTGCTGCTTGTTGTTTGGCTCCCCTTCTTCGGCTTCTTGCCATCCTTCGCTTGCGCGGCCTTGGCAGCTGCGTGCTTTTGCCGTGCCAATTCGATGGCGGTCAAGTGTCTTCCCTGTCGATGGTTTTGTGGTGGTGTCGCATCGCCATTTGATTCTGGGAAGCTTTGGAAACCATCGTTACCGGCTGTGTAACGCGATTGTGTGACCCAGTCCCCGCGTTTGCGTTTGTATAGATCCATGCGCCAGTTTCGCCAGACTGCGCGACCTACGAAGGATTCGCGTAGCGAGTTCTCATTCTCGGCTAGCTCTTCAGCAATGCGCTCGCGGATAAAGGCAAGGCCAGCTGTACCGTGCCATATGGCGTCGATGACGTGAGACGCGGCAGGGTCGAGTGCAAGCTCACCAATCTTTCCATAGAACTGTTGTATCATCTTTCGTCGGAAGATGACGGACGCATTCTTGGACATCAAAGCTGCTTGCAGCGTCCGCGATGCTGTAGAGTCCCGGGCAAGCTGAACGGCGAGTTCAGGAGAAAGATTGGCGAGAGAATCAAAAACAAGCTGGCCAAGAGGTCCATCCACCGTCATCATGGTTTGTGCCAACAGCGAACCGTGTACCTTTTCCGGCGAATGCTCGTGTTTAGCACGGGGCTTGCCATCCTCCTCACTGAGCTTGAGAATACGTGTGACTTCAAAGCCATTGGAGCCAGCATATGCAGTCTCGAGCTGGGCTTTGATAGGCGAGCAGTCAATCTCTCGAGCCACGCATCGCTCGATGAGGGTCTTGATGACTCCTGTCCGACCGCGTTCTACCAGACTGGGAATTTGATCCACGATCTGGCGCATAGCCTCTTCTAGGTCGTCCTTTCCAAGTCGTTCCAAGATCTTCCCAACCACGTAGGCCGCAATCTCATTGCGTGCTAGCGTACCCATTCGCTCCTTGAAGAATTCTCCGTAGATGGCCTTGAAGACCTTTCCGGGCGCATTCTCGATGATGACTTCCAGTAGTCGGGAACCGATAGTGTCGTACACGAGCCCATTGATCAAGATGGCACTTTCCGTTCCCTCGGCGATAGGATTGTCGGGCAGGAGTCGGTGGATGATGGACTTTTCATCCTTGGCCCGCGACTTGCCAAAGTGGGAAAGTTCCAGCTTGAGCAACAGTTGTAGGGTGGGACTACCGAGTGGGTGTGTGGTAAGAGTGCGGAGGTAATGCGACTCGATACCGGAGACACTCTCGGTAATGACCTTCTCCAGAGCTTCCGAGAAGCTTTCAGGGACGGCTCTCTCTTCCAACAAACGTTCCTGCTCTTTCTCTGCGCCTGAGACGGTGACCTTTTCCTTCTTCTTGCTCTGCATGGCCGATTTGTTCTGTTTTTCTAGCGGAGCGCCCGACAAGATGACTAACAGCACGCGCAGTACATGCGACGCATATTTGTCCGTCATCAGGAAGCCCATGTAACCTTCCAGCTCGCCCAGCGTGTATAGGAACAGATTCTCCATGGAAACGAGGACTTGATCGGGGTCAGAAGACGGCGGCGTTTGAGGTTTCTCGGGTTTGGTGGCAGTCTCCTGGGTGACGACAGGCGCAGCTTGTATAAAGAGGGCTTCGCAGCAGTGGGAGGCAAATCGGTTCTGGACGAGGTTGAGGAAGCTGCGATGTGTTAGCATGTTGAATGCGGAAAGAGCGACGGCGCACATACTGGCCACTGAACTTCTGGAACAGGCCCTTGAGCTGGTCTGGCGAGGAGAGAAGAATGAGGCGCTCGAGCAGGCGCGACGTCTGGCTGTTCGCCATCTTCAGTTCCTTTCCGTCGGCCTCCCTCCAGACGCTGGCGAGGAAAATGTCGCGGTCTTCCGAGGTCTCGAATTGGTTCAGCTCGAGCATCTCGTCAGCCTTCTTGAAATATTCCTGCTCCTGCTCGTCGAGCATTCCATAGAAGGGCGTCGCATCCGGGCGGGCGACGTCTTGTTCGGCGACATGTTGCGCAGGGTTTTCAGCTTCGAGCTGGTCGATGTCTTCTTTTTTGAACCGCTTTGCGCTCGCATCGTCGTCGACGTCCCTCTTGCGCTTCTTCTGCTCCTCGCGGCGGCCGCGTTTCTTGTGTTCCTTGGGCATGGCGGCTGGCGATGACGGCAGCGGCGCAACACAAAAAAAGTTCGCAGCTGTCGGCTATTCGGCGGGGAGCAAGGTCTGCGGTGCTCTCGCTGCGGTGCAGGGCAGGACGGGCAGTAAATAGACTTGCGCGGAACAGGACCGCCGGAGCGTTTTGAGACAGCGGTACAGAGGTCTACGGGGGCGTAGGACACGGCAGTACTGGCATTAAGGATGTTCTCCAATAGTGGCCTGACGCACGGTTGGATCTCTTGGGATCTGGGAATCGCTGGGATGATCGATCGGGGACGCCACAAAATCGTGGGAGAGGCCGCACGAACCACCCAAACCCTCCTACCGACGTCGCCACAGCTGCGTAGCGACGTGCCTAGGCGCAGGCCAGCGCCCACGCATTTCACACATCGTACGAGATGGACGACAACCAGCAGACTCGCGTCGCCGACTTCCTCGATGACAAGCTCCAGAACGCAGGGGATCTCGGCGAGCTCGACGCCCTATTGGCCAACATCACCACCCAGCATGGCCTGCTCCGCCAGCAGCTCGACGACGCTCAGCGCGACCTACACACGGCCAAGGAGGCGTCGCACTCGCACCATGGCGACCTCACCCGGCGCGCCGACCACTTCAGGCAGGAGCAAGCCGACATTGACCGCCGCCTGATGGTCATCACCGCCTCGGAGACGAGTGACGATGCCGTGCCCCGCTTCCAACACGTCCTCGACACGCTGCACCGCCTGGATGTCGCCCACGGCTACGTCCAACTGCTGACCCAGGTCGACGACCTCAGGTAGGACATCCCCCCGTGTCTGCGACAGCCTCGTCCGCTCATCACTCGCAGCAAACAAGCCCAAGCGCAGCTCCAGACGTCCAACGAAGCCGCCCTCGCGCCCTACAAGCAGCTGCGCGCACTGCACACCCGCCTCGTCAACCTGCAAGACGACGCAGAGGGCGCTGCTCCCCAGCTGCTGCACCACGTCAACACCATCACCCACGCCCTGCGCACCAAGATCCTCGACGCCTTCTCCGCCGACCTCGACCGCACGCTCAAGAAGATACACTGGCCCACGCCCAAGGCGACTATCCCCAGCCAGCTGCAGGAGGAATGGGAGACCGCCATCGTGAAGCTGCTCGACCTGCAGCTTCCCGAGCTGCAAGGCATGAGCTATGCCAGCGGGCCGGGCGACAAGGTCAAACTCCCGCCCGTCCTCTTCCCAATTGAGGTGCTCGTGCAACCGCTCGAGATGCGCTTCCGCTATCACTTCGACGGTGACAAGCCCACCAATCGCATCGATAGGCCAGAGTACTTTCTCTCTCACATTACCACGCTTTTGAACGACTACAGCGCATTCGTTAGTGACCATGTGCAACCTGTCCTACTTCGTCACTTCCGGGGCACAAATCTCGCGCTTAACCCCGTCTACATCGACGCCATGTCCGCCTTCATAACCGCTCTACTGCCCATGTTGCGCTCCAAGATTGGCTCGCTACTGCCCAAGGTCGCAGGCCAGCCCCAGCTGCTGAGCCACCTCATGCACGAGATAATGAGCTTTGACACGACTATCAGAGACACTTGGGGATATGACGGCGGCTATGGCGTTGACGGGTGGAAGGGCCTGTCATGGGAATTCCTTGTTCAGGGCGACTGGTTTGGCCGGTGGCTGCAGGTGGAAAAGGACTGTACGTTGACCTGCCGCCCGAGCTACATATCTCGGATCGCTAACATCCGGCAGTCGCACTGTCTCGCTATCAGAACATTGTCGAGGCTCCAGACTTTGGTGATCTCGACTACGAGAGCGTCGATCCCAAAGCCACCAAGCCCACCAAGGGAGCGATCCGCGTCAACGACCTGCTTGAAACCATAACGGGCATGTCCTCGCCTACCCCTCCTTTCCAGATCTATCGCTAATCCAAAATGCATTGCAGATCGATACAGACCCTTGACATCCTTCAGCCAGAAGCTCACTTTCCTGATAGACATTCAGATTGCCATTTTCGACAAACTCCATGAAAGGCTGCAGAGCAATCTGGAAGCCTACCTATCCATGACCACGTCACTGGGTCGCGCTATGGGCGGTGTGACCAAGGAGGAGCAGGAGAAGCTGCTTGGCGTCGAGGGACTGGAGCGCCTCTGCAAGACGTATGGTAGTGCTGACTACCTCGAACGGGCAATGCGTGACTGGAGTGACGATGTGGTAGGCTCTCACTCGCATGATCCTCGTACGACACGAACACTAGCTAACTCCTTGTTCCGCAGTTCTTCCTCGATATCTGGGAAGGTCTACAAGATCGTGCTCGTGGCCAGACTAGCAATATTGGTACCATGAGCGTTGCCGATGTGGCAGAACGCACGTCTAAAAACGTTGAAAGCGACGATGTCGATGGCGGCTCACTCTTTGACGAAACGGCATCGTGGTACGCGCGCCTCCGTGAACGTAGTGAGAAGATTATCATCGACACACTAAACAGTAACGTCCGTGAGGCGCTGCGTCCGTATCGGCACATGTACGTTTCCCTTTTTGGACCCTTGCACCGTTGGTCCAGAACTCCACATGCCTAAACCTACGTACTGACTTTGCTTTTTTCTCTTAAACAGCAACCCTTGGGCAACTCTTAGCGGCGCTTCCGCTTCAGCCTCGAACGCCACGGAACTCTCCCCGACTGCAGAAATCGACCCATTACTTAGTTACCTACGTAGCACGCTAGCGTTCCTCTCGCGCGCCCTAGCATCTGCGCCGCTGCGTCGCATTACTCGGGCCGTATTGACTACCATTTCGACCACGCTCTGGGAGAATGTGCTTAGTCGATATCGATTCTCCACGCAAGGTGCTGCCCAGCTCCATGCTGATCTGGCCGCTGTGTGCCGCGTCGTAGACAAGCACGTAGGTACAGGAGTTGCAGAAGCGGGTCTAGCAAAATGCCTTGAAGGCGTCAAAATCGTTGGGTTACCTGTAAAAGGTAATTCAGCCTCGCAGGTTGATACTGCAAAAGGTCGGGATGACGATGGTGGCGAGGAAGACGAGGACTGGGATACTGGGGCTTGGGACGCAGAAGACGGTGACGAGGTGCATGATGCTCCGCAAAAAGCAAATACCGCCCGCGGCACCGCGTCTGGGGTTGATGTAGGGGAACTGGGGCTGTGGGAGGTGGAGAGGCGTCTTTTTGCGGATAACCAATCTGCGAGGGATGTGCTCGAGGACTTGGGATTGGAGCTTCTGAGTGAGACGGAGGCGCGGGCATTGCTGAGAAGGAGGGTTGAGCTGGCTGGTTAGAGTTGTGGGTTTCCAGTTGATGCTTTTGAGGCGGTGGGATTCCCGGAAGGGTTCCGCGGATCAGTCATCATCCAATAGTTGAATTCCAGTCTGTCACAAAGGCATCTGTGGTGTTGAGTATGAACGGTGATGGATGCGTCCGATGTTAGAGCGCAACATACATGTGCCTGGCCAATAGCATAGCCTTGTCTCACTTGGTAACGCATACTAGTATGTGAAATAAACCTTTAGTTCCATTCCTGGGGTATCATGTCCATCTTCTCTGTTGGCTGCCCTTCCCACATCCGACTGCACACTACCCTCGCATGCTGCATTATTACTCAGCGCCGTGCTGACCCGACCAGACAACCAAGTCTCTTATCGCCTCCTCGTTCCCCGCACTTCAGAGGACCCGAGCAAATAGCAGTCCACCTTAGTTGGAGTACTTGGGATTAACCTTCTTGCCAGTGACCTTCTCATAGGCCTTGCGCATGCCGTCGGTCTGTTTATTTCATTAGCTCCCTCTCAACACAACTGGCGCAGTCGAAATGGCCAAATGGGGGAGTGTAAGGGTACATACAATCTTCTCGCTCATGCCACGGTTCGCAGCAATCTTCTGACCTTGTGCGCCGCCGAACTTCTTGGCGCCTGCGTTGAAGGCCTTGTCGAGGTAGTCATCACCTCCCGCGGCACCGCCTTGGTTTGGGTTGTTCATATTGGCTTTGTTTTGGGAAATTTATGAAGTGTGTGTAGTGGTGATAGTGGATGTTGATTGTCGCGCGGATGAGTACTTTGTGTGGATGAAGACGGTATGTAAACAATGAAGTGAGTCAACTTGCAAGCTTGCGAAAAGGGCCGTGAGTTAGAGGCAAGCTCTTTATGCGCTTGCCAACGCTTCCCTCATCTGGACCCTTGTTCTGTGAAACCTTAAGTAGCCATCACTTATTCTTTTTCCTTATCGATTTGGAATCTGGGCCAATTGAACGCTCAGGCTAGTCACGAACATCGCACAGCCACTTTTCATGGTAGATGATAGAGCGTCTAGACCGCGGAGATTTGAGCGCGTGGTAGGACTGCGCCTCTCATGACGTCTCGTTCGCTGTCTGTCAGCTCACCTTGACAATTGTCTCACGTACGCTCACTTGCGCTGTTGCCATGATAAGCCGGATGCATACCAGAAATGGTTGCAGGACTACGTATAGTGCATCGTCTGCGTCTTAGCTCAATCGTGCAGAGGACTTGGCTTTTCGGGCCGCTGAAGCTTGGTTTATTGGGAATATGCAGCTTACGAAAAATCAAACGCGCGAACGTGACACTGTAGTATGGGTGAATAGAGCAAAGGATGTGATGCCGCGCAGAAAGAGCGAACGGCTGCGTGTAGGCGGTGTGACATGACGTCATGGGTGTCATCACACTCTGATGCATGTGAAAGATCAAACGTCAAGTGAGAAATCGTCAAGCTTCATTACGGGTCGTAAATACATATTCAAATGTTCATCAATGGGCCGTCCCAACCGGTTGTCGTTGCACTCCCTGTTGCTGGAATTCTCGATGGCCGGCGTCCTGCTCATCGAAACTCTGCCTTAGCGGAACAGCCACCCCATTGATCCTCTCAAGGTAAGGTCGACACTTGTTCCACTTTTCATCCAACTTGTGCATCCTTTCTTTGAACGTCAAATGCTCCTTAGTTGGAGAACTTGTCGGGGACGTCCTTGCCGGTTGCTTTTTCGAACATGTTACGAGCGCCATCGGTCTGCAGAAATGTTAGTGCTTGAACCTTATACAGCTTGGAAGTTGCCAAGATTGAAGCATACAATCTTCTCGTTAACGCCCCGATTCTTCTCAGTATCTTGACCCGCGGCGCCCCCGAACTTCTTTTCAGCGGCGTCGAGACCCTTGTCGAGGTAGTCTTCCCGCTGTGCTTGGTTCTGCTGAACACCCGTCGTCGATGTATCGTTGCTGGTTGGTTCTTGCGAGGCATTTCCTGGAATGGAGTTCATCTTGTCTTATGCGTGTGAAGTGTGTGGAAAGCTAAAAGGTCTGAATGACGAGTATAAGCAGGAGATTCGTACGATCCAGGGTCTGAGTCTTACAAGACGGATTATCCGGATCGCAACGTAAGTCTAATGTGGCTAAGTGGTGTAGTGATTACTGTAGCGTGAGTTGAAGCGTGTAATGATGGCGCCACGGGGTCATCAAGTTCTTTAAGTAGGACCTCTGACTTCACATAGGAAGCAGCGGGATACGATTCTGGAACTCGTCATGGTGAATCACCAGCCACATCAGACGAGCGCAACTGCCCTATCAGCAGCCTTGCATATCCCTAATCATGCGATCCTCTATCTTGGATCGTTTGCCAACCTTCAAAAACTTGGCTTTCGGGCACTTAAACTTGGCTTTGGCCCTGACGCCGCGTGGGCTACGGGTATAACAACCTTTATCTATTGAGTTTGAGAAATCGCTCCTATCAAATAACACGGAGACATAACTTCTCGTAATATTCTATCACTGGTTCCGGAAGCGCTCTGTACAAGCGCTGTTCGACGATCTCGGATGCCTATGACATCACATCGCCCAATTCAAGGAGACTTTACCCGGTATGACGCAGCGTAAAGTAGCTTGATCTGCAAAATCTCGATGCTTCTCGATGGTTGTCTATTCAAGACTGGGACCGAAAAGCGGAACGAGAGATGTGGGTCAGCTTTGCGTGTCGTGCATGATGCGGAGACGGTGGTGGAGCGAGCAGGCATTAGCGATTTTGTTGAAAGGATTCTTTCACGGCAGGTGAGCCGTGGAACTCGGTGTATCTGTATCGTGAGGTCGTGTGTCTGTTTGACCGAGCTGTAGTACACCTGCATTTGAGAATGCTCTTACTCGAAGCTTCCGCCTGGGCTGCCTCAGCCTCGCACATGCCTGCGCTTAACCAAAAAGAGCACGCACCACGTTTGCTCGTCTGCCTCGTCTGCTTTGGGGCGCGTCTGCCTGGAGAGAGGTGTCTGTGATGGGTTGATATCTCTCACTCTCAAATGTCACCCGCTTGGATTAAAGATCCAGAGAACATGTCTACCTTTACCTTCACTCGCTAGTGCCACGATATTGTCATACAAATTCGCATACTGAATGCGTGAAATGGAACAGTACCTCAAGCAAACACGCAATACACGTCAAACTAACATGTGAATGGCATTGTACACATTCGTTCTACAAACAAGCTAGACCACCATCACCTAATTCATCACGGCCATCACGCCATCGATTTCATGATCATGTCTTAACGCGATCATCACATGGTATCCTCACCATCATCCCCAGTTCTTCGCCCCAAAACGCCGTTGTGAAGTTGAGTCCACGTCTCTAATGTGTAAGAGAAGCCTGGGTATCTCGAAAAGGGTATAAAGCTACTTCGGCTTCGACGACTCTACGCGGCGAAGCTAGACAAGAACGTCTTTGAAGTAATCGCACCTGACCCAACGCCTGTGCTCAAACGCACAATGTAACGGACAACGAAGACGCTATAACGCACGACAAAAAGTGACAAATAAGACATGCAAAGAAGAGGAAAGAAAACGTATCAGCGGAGCAAAGCAACGGAAGAGAAGCGATCATCCGAACTGCTTAATGAGGGAGTGCAGAAGATGGCAGAAGAGGCCATGAAGGTCCACGAAGAAATTCTCCTGGCCAACGATCTCGACGAGACTCTTTGCCTTCATCACATCGCGAGAGACACGAGGAAAGCCATCCGGGTCGACCTTCTTCGCAGACAGGAAGGAGGAGACGGGTGTGATGTTGCGGAAGTTGGGTGTGCTTGCCGTGGAAAAGGTTCGTTCCTTGTGGCCCGAGGAAAAGTTTGGAGGCATTGAAGAGGCGGAAGTTCCAAGGGGAGGCGTGCTGCCGGAGATTGCTGTGGTCGGACGTGAAAGACTGTGCGATGCTGCGCTTTCGCGCTCAAGGACTCTGTCGGCCAGGGAGATGATGCGGTTGGCGATACCTTCGAATGCCTCGATGATCTTGACCATGGCCTTGGTGGCTCTCCGGTAGTCGCGACCAGCCATGGCAATAAAGGCGTAGGTGCGCTTAGCTCCTCGCGAACGCGGGTCCTGCAGACGGAAGACGTAGGCAATGGTGTAGCCGGCAACCGAATCTCCAAACATGATGGGGCCCGAAGGCTTACTGAGAGGAAGGACTTCGGTAGACAAGGTACGAATGCAGGTGCGGCGCAGGAGCGAGTAGGTGCTGGGCGACTGCGGCTGACTGGTGGAGATGTAGTTCAGTGTGTGGGTGTGTATGCCCCTCGACACGAGCATTGGCGAGGGAGGTATGGAGTCTGGGAAGGAGCTTGATGCGCCGCTCTGGAAAGAAGTCGACTGCTCTGTATCGGAGACATCGGAGGAATCAGTGCTACTGACATCGTCACGGGAGATGGGTCGTCGCACTGGGTAGTTCTGGGAGCTACGCAGTACAGGACTACCGTTCCTTCCTCGTCCGTCCTTGGTGGGACTGCCAGGGGCGCCGTTGGGGATCTTGTCGCTGTACTTCTGGGGCACTACCATCTGGCAGTTCTCACACGCGTCCGAGTCGGAGTCGATGGTGCTGCTAGGTCTCCTTCCGCCGAAACTACCGGCAGAGGAAGAGGGCAAGCTTGGGAAGTAGGGGTTGTGCGTGGGGGAGCGCGGGCTGTTGGGCGGGGAGTCGAAGGGCGAGGTGAGCTGTGGCAGGCGCGGGTTAAGCTTGAGGGTTGTGGGCTGATCGTACAGGCCGTTGTAGGAGTAGGCCGCGTGCGGCTCTTCGGAGGGCGGCGTGACGCATGGGTTGCAGGAGCCGCAGGGCGAGGTCGAGGCCTGGGTGCAGATGATGGATGTCGGACCGTGGGTCTCGCAAAAGTGTGCGAGGGAGATCTGGAGGGCTGCGTTAGACGGGCTCGTGTGCCGAGTCTGGGGGTGCGCCGACGAGTATAAGCGCGCGGGTACTTACCGTAAAGTCCATGGTTCCTGCTCTCTGTCTTATCTCTCTATCGTCTCATGGTGTTCGCTGTGTGTCGTGGTGGGTCGGAGATGGTGGCTCAGCTGACAGTGGGTGGCCCAGAGGGGAGTAGTTGCCGCGCTGCTCGGGTCTGGGGTGCTCTGGTGTGGTGCTCGTTGGGCTGTGAGTGGTGAAAGCAAGACGTCTCAAGACACAGATGGGGTGGCAAGGTCGCGTGGTGCCGTGGCTGGAGGTGTTGAGTGGCACTCGGATGGGGAATTCGTGGTCTTGGTCGCAAACGTTGGGCCGGGGCTGTTGGCAAAGGGTTATATGGAACGGGCTGACAGGGCAGCGCTAGGACTCGACTGGCTTTCTGCACGGCATGGAACTGCCATGGAGACGATGGAGGCACGCTGCACGCATGGCGCCGAGGACCTGGCGACTCTAGCTCCCATACTGGCGACGATTCCTGGGAGCAATTACGGGGGGCGCGGACCAGCATCTTTGCAAGAGCCGACGCTACTGCGACCAGGGTGAATGCGGGCTGTTGTTGCGGTCAGTATCAGCAGCGCGCTATTGGCCGCCCAGCCACAACACGTCTTTACCAGACAACACACACTTGCCGTGTAGAGGCATGCAGAGACGCAGACATGGCAGATGGTGTGACGCGGGCTCTGTGCAGCCTGCGTGCCTTGGACGGTGCGACGTGTGATGGCGGATCGCATATGGCATCTGTCTGTCTGTCCCCGACGCACAGCCAATGACGCAGCTGCAGCCCTGGCCCCATCCATCGCCCTCCGGTTGCGCCTGCACGCTCACCATGCGCCACTTCCCGATCCAGATGGGATGCGACTGCCTCTTCCACCACCGATCAGCGCGCCCTCAACGTTGCGCTTTGCTTTTCTAGACGTCCGTTGCGCGTCATTCCCAATCTGCCACGGAACAATTCCATTCCACCTCGACTCTCTTCCGCCTTCCACTTTCACCCGCCTGAAACCACTACTGTACCTCTGTCATGCTGCCCTCAGACTCTTCATCCTACAGCTGCAAGCTGCGCAAGCGTCAACTCCGCCATGTTCATTCGAGGCATGGCGGTGGAGCGACTCCATCGTCAGTAATTGCCCGCGCTCTCATTGACGCTGCGGCAAAGTCCGTCGACTACCTTATTGGCTATGCCCTCGCGTCACATCGGCTCAATTCTTCCAAGCCTTGCAACGTGCTCCACCACACACTACTATCGACGCTTTCCAGAAGACACGCACGGGCGCCTATGGAAGCTACCAAGTGGGTCCTCTCCAACGACGACCTGCCTGCTCGGCCTCTGCGCGGCAACCACTCAAGGGTCTGGTCACTCTCTGAGCCCGCCTCGTCTGCATCTGGTTCTCTTACCCGCCACTTACCCGGCCGCTGGAAAATTGCAAAAGAAAAAGTCCGGGGAATGCAATATACACATCTACGAATGAGAGCCCCCGCCTAATCCAATTAAATTTTGTCTATATGGTAGAATGCACAGCGACCGAGGTTTGGGTTGGCAAGTCCAGAGCAAAGTGGGTAGGCCCAACGCCCTCCCGTCAAAGTCAAGCACGATAGATTGCTAGGCCAAGCTTTCTGCTAGACACGAACAGAAACTGCTCGCATGCAACACGTTCTTCTAGTTGACATATGCAGGGTCCATAGTTGCCGTCGGCCTTCATGATCACCTAACATTCATAGCGCGCTACCCGACCGGACCAGTACGTAATAGCTGTGGGCTGGCATTGACTGGTGGCATCGTGAAGCAGAAACTAAGCCAAGCCAGCAGGTACAAGCCTCAACAACCGACAAAATGCGGAAATTGCACGGCAACCGACATGTGTCAAATCCCGCAGAGGAAGGTGCAGAGTTTGGCCGCTACAAAGTGTCTTGTCTTGCGATGTACGATACTAACTCGTTTCTCATGGCTCATGTTCATCGTCCGATTCGCCCCCGTCAGCTGCGCGGCCTCGCAGGATATCATAGCCCATCACTTCGTTAATGAACTTCTTCGACATCTTCAGTTCATCGTAGCGTATCCTTTCCTGTTCAGTAAAATTCCTTGCCCCCGGCTCCATCATATGAGCTATCAGTGGCACCCAGATTTGATCGAGCTGTGTTATACCGATCTGCGTACAGGGAATATCATCCAGTAACGCAGGTGATACCACGCCAGCATCTTTCCAGTGTCTTCTCCAGCATTTGCTTGTGTGAGGCGACATGTGCGTTCTGTACGCAAGGAGATATCTTCGCCGATCGCTGTACATTGGGCAAGCGAGGAGTTTGGCTATCTGACCAGTACCACCCAATATCAGCAAGAAGGCTATGTCCTCTGAACAAGCCGGCTGGTTGGACCACCCTCGTAGGAACTTTTCCACCGCTCCAGTACGACTTGATGGTCGTAGTTTCCGAAGCAGCACCTGCACAATGAAGCAGTACATGTAGAAGTATTGTAGCCGCAGGGGTGCATCCAGATTCTTCAATATCTTTCTTTCCTGGTTCGTGATACCGCCTGTCGTACGGACATGGTAGCCAATACGGGAGCGTGGCCGGATATGGCCAAGATCTCTTTCCAAGAGTAGTCGTCGATGTTCATCTAAGAAATATCCGACCCCAAAGACTAGTGGGAGCATTCTCTCATACACCGACGTCCACAGCTGCTTATGTTCCTGCGGCTCACCCACAAGGTGATTTGCAAGCTGCCGTGTCAACCTGATAGACGCTATGTGCCGCCGTCTCATGGTGAGTAAAAATGGAAAGTCGATGGCGTCTGGTCTTGGAGCCGGGTAAAGTTGCAAATGAAGATTGCCGAGCCGATGCTTCACCCAATAGCGCACGAGTGCAGGTGCGTTCTCTGTAACGAGAATATTGAGCACACGCGACGCTCTTCTCAAAGCGAGCAGATCCGCGACACATAACTCGCGCAGCATGTAGATGTGGAGCTCCTCCGGTAATCGAAATAGTGCATCCAGAAATGGGCTGTGTTGCGATGATCAGTGGCATCCCAAGGGTCAAGGGGATACAGTACGTACCTCGAGGGGTTCGGCGCTAACTCTTCATCTGCATCGTTCTTCTTCTTACTCCTCAGCGACGCAAGGAATCTACTCTGAAAGCCACCCGCCGCCTTCCCCAAGCTCGATCTCTTCTTCGCAATGGCTTTGTCCCCGGTCATAGTCCCAGATCGGTTTCTCGTCCGCTCGGGCGCTGGGTGCCCTCGCTGAAACTTCTCCATGGCCATCGCAATCGGCCAATCCAGGCTAAACACAGCCTTGTGGAAGCGGCAGCGCTCAGCGCGCGATTTCGTTGCTTCACGTCCACGTCAAAAACTTCATTATCGCAATAAAGACTGCAGCATCCTTTGGTCGCACAGAAAAGCGTAGGGAAAGACGTCGAGTAGGTAGGTGGAGTTGTCAGGAGTCAGATTGGACGCACATGCGCATGATGAGATGCAGAACAGATTGGCCTTAGCTTATCCCAGCGTTCGGCCATCGGTAAACACGACAGGGCATGGTACGAGGCCCGGTCCAAGCCACATGGCCACGAGGGACGCACTCTGAAACTCAGTGGATTCGCCGGACCGCCTAAGAATAGGCCAGTTAGGCGGTATTGCTTCTGGACGACGCGACTCGCCGCGCTAGACGTGCTGACAATCGCTTGACTCGTCGGTACGATCACAGAATGTCATTGTGTATTCGCGATCCGATCGTGCAACCTCCGCGCGACTGATAGAGTCGAGATGCTGCTGTGCATGGCACTAAAGGCGGATGGTCTACGGAGTAGTACGTCATGCCGTCAGTGTGCATCTGCGACAGACCGCATGTACAGTATCAGTAGTAATCGTGCACAGCATACATCAACCACAAGGCCAACCCTGCCATGTTGACGTTTTGACACAGAGGCGTCTCATGCGAACCATGTAGCAGTGCCTAATTCTGATGGCTGACTCTGTCATAGACTACTAGCTGCGTCTTCGTCGCCATTACCACGTGGCAGCCCAACCTACGTAAACGTTACTTTAAGCTGCCCCTGTCAGGTACGAGTAAGCTCCGAATGGCTTACATCATTACCCGGACTACCCGCTGTGGCTAATGTCCAGATGTTCGGTACAGCATCACTCACATTGAATCACTGTTACCTTGCCGGACATAACAGATGGTGGAGTTGGATTCATTAACAACCAATCGACAAGACGAGCCATTTCATTGCAACCTGTTGAGTAAACAAGATAAATTCAGCATGTCTTCTTGTGTGCTCTGTATGCATATGCGGGAAGTTAAAGTTAAATTGTGATCGCTACGACAACTGCCATGTGGCCTGACAGCAGCAGATGCGGTAGCACAACACCAAGCCACCGGGTCGTCGCAGTGCTTTCACGACAGTCCGAGGCGAGCAGGAAGAAACCCAACTCCCAACACGCTACTGACGCTTCCACGGGAATAGAGATGTGCCTTTGGTCTCTCGGAGGCCTGGACTTTGTAGGGCGACGACCATTGGTTTTGGCTCGAGAATGGTAGTATTGAATTGCTTTGGAATTGACCACTGACGCTTCGAACTAGTCAGAACTCGGAGCTTCAATCCCGAGTGTGCCCCTCCAGACCCCACATACATATGTCAACAAGACGTAGTAATCGAGATACTCATAATATCACAAGACTTGAAAGAATAGCTAGGCACCTAGGCATATGTATATCCCTACACCCGCTCCTCCGCGATGTCGTATCCCCATCTCATCTACCCTTATCAAAACGTCCCTTTCATGCACATGCACATGTACCCTCCCGCTCTCCGCAGATAAACCCTTCCCAAGAAAAACCCACTTCAAAAGTCACACAACATAAACAACAATGCATTCCACCACCTCGAAGCGACCCGTCAAACCCTTAGTCCTGCATCCCGCACGGATAGCCAGCATGCCACCCGAAGGCTTCCCCGATCCTAGTACGGGAGGCAACGTGACGTGGAAAACTCTCATGTCGAGTGAGAAATCTGCGACGGATACTTTCACAGTGGGTATTGCTACTTGCCCGCCAGGAAGGGTGATGGCTTGTACGGCTTCCTCTTCTTCCGAGTCAAGGCCTTCGGTACCATCTCTGTGCAATCCAGAATCACTGGGTGATGCAGGATTTCTGCAGCTACATCGACATTCACACGCGGAGATCTATCATGTAATATCCGGGAGCGGAACTGTCTGTATCGATCAGCAAGAGTACGAAGTCAATAAGGGTTCGGTCGTTTTTATACCGGGTGATGCGGAACATGGGATTTTCAACAAAGGAAACGAGGATTTGGTATGGCTGTACGTGTTTGCTGCCGATGGATTCGAAGATATTGTCTATCGCTTCAGTGCGGGAGATGTAAAGGCGAAATTATGAGTGCAGAAAGAAGGCTATTAATGGTCATGGTATGTGCAGGTGACAGAAGAGCAGTAATTCAATTTGGGAAATGAAGAGACATAATTGATTGCTTCATGAACCTCTCTAGTTCTTGAGAATACACAGGATGGCGGCGGTCGTGTCATCTAAGTCCCTATAGGCTCTCATCCTACCCAGATCATCGTCGCTGTCAAAGCAAACGTATCCGCCATATCTTTCCTAGATGTTTCTTTGCCCCCAGCCCAGAATCAACGTGCCACTTAAGGCTACTTCTTAGTTTGAGGAGGCTTCAACCTTATCGAGGAAAAGGCGGCGGGCTAGGCAGGGCCTTCTCCTGTGACTGGGTAGTTGGGTCTATCTTCTTTTCGCCAACAAAGTACGTTCTTTGTCATCGATTTTATACTCTTCATGCGATCTACATCATCCTCGGCGGCCGACTTGCGCTTCGGATCAAGCATGATAGTAGCAGCTTCAGCTTTGGTCCGGTCAGCGAGGGTGGTTGGCTGCTTCGGAACGATCTTGCCCCTGTTCTTGTCGGCTTTTCCAGTACCGTCACAATCACCAGTAGCTCTGTTTGGCGACTGAAATCGTCTTTTGTGGCTTGCGCGTCATCTCCCTTCTCCTTCTTCGTTAACGCTCCAGTTAAAGGCTTTTGTTCACTTGCCTCTTCTGGCGCCCATGTATTTCCTTCATCCATCTTATCTACTATAGTGCTCATAACCTTGAGCCGATACTTAGCTTCAAACACAACGTCTTCCGCTGTAGGACAAGACTTGCTCTTATACAGCATCTTCAAATCGTGCAACTTAGGATCATAATAAACTACGAGTGCGCCTAGACACTCCACGCCATCTAAACGGCCGGTTGATGTAGTAGAGGTGATGAGGTCGAAGTGTTCGGCTTTTGAGGAGAATTTTACATTGTAGGCGTAAGCATCAAAGAGGACGCGCTGCTTCAGGTTGTAGAAGTAATAGGCTAAGGGAGGAAAGTGGTCCTTCAGTAGGTGCGAGACGTCACCCATTCTCTTCTGTAGCTGATTTTCTATTACTAGATCAATTTGCGTCAATTTCAGAAACTTGCTTGCCTCGTAAGTTAGACAAGTTCTAGGAAATAGCTCCGGATTTATGTTTGTAGAGGTTTGTAGCTAGCTCCAGGAGTGTCCGTACAGTAATAGACCATGCGTGCACCTAAAACATATTCAAAGGCTGCGTACAAGGAAATTTATGCACAAATTCTAGCATCAACAAAGCGTAGGAGCATTGGGGACCGTGAAAGGATTACCGATGTTCAAGTGGAGAGCGTATGGCCATGCGCGTGGGCTGTTATAGTAATCATCTCCAAAGAAAAAGTTTGCGCTCTCTTATCCTGCATACTAGAATACTCTCCTTGCTAGAATGAGATGATATAACGAGTGAATTGCCATGACATATCGCATATGTTATGGCGTGGAGGTCACCAGGTTATTCTAGTGTTCTTAAGAACGCACGATTTCGCCCCCATTCCGTTGACGCTCCTGATATCCGTCTCTTCTCTTCCGATCCGAGCGTATCTGTTGTTGCACCTCAATCTTCTAAATGTCTACTCGCAGTGAACGCTAGCTAACATTTCCGAAGCGTAAGATGTTCTCCGAATTCGAGTAAACTGCAGATCTCCCGAGTAAGTGAGCAATCACAGTGAGCGGGTGAGCAGCCTTGAGCATGGCTGGAGCGGATCGAGTAAAGACAACGGTGGAGACATGGCTTATTTGCTTACCACAGGCACTCGGTCGGATATAATGACAACATACGTACGTCCGTGTCGTGGGCTTCTTTTCTTGCCTCAAACTTTCCGACTGTTCGCAGCTTCCTGCGGTGGTGGAAATAATTTGAAGGAATTGACCTCATTCTGTTGTTTACTCTGTTTCGATGAACAGGATCGAGCGGTAATGTTTCGATGAATGCGACGCGCAGTAAGTTTATGCCACGGCAAGCTATCAACAGATGACTACTGATATGCTTGAAATGCCGCGTAGCTGGGGATGAGCTGCTAGTCTCATAGCGATTGTTATTAAGATGGTTAAAGAGAGAAACGTCATCATCAGAACCCTTCTCAATTGAATCCCAACTCACAATTCGATAGCTCACGATGTGTGGCCAGCGTAAGGTAGGCCAACCGACGTAGAAAAGCGCATACGATCTGCCAAGTATGTATATACGCTGCAAACCGCGCCTGGGTCTACGCGCAGATTACATGCGACATTTGTATTTAGCGTATGCGTACATCTGCGTCTAGACGATCGACCCGTGCGAAATGCGACGGCCGAAAGTTCGCCCGGGCTACACAGTCCAGCTTGTATTATGCGGTCAATGGTTGACAGGGCGATAGTATACCAGGCCATTGTAGGGAAACAGTTGCGCGGCCAAGCGAGATGCCTCGGTAGAATGCCCTGACAGCATTGGATCCTTTATGCGGGGAACATCCTCGTCAGATCGTCTCGCATCATAGAACCGAGATGACACCCCGTCCCATCTCACCGGAACGCCGAACGACAACTTGAAAGTCTAATTCCACCTGTCAAACGTCAAAGTACATCTACAGCTGAGCACATACAAAATCCGAAAGATATTCTCAGACTTCAGGTTCCTGAACGGCCATGCATAGCTGGCCACGTATTGATCGTATTCGCGCTGGTTGTCAGCGAGCGAATCAGTTCCAGCGCTAGTCGCCGAAGCTTCCGCCGCGATGACGCACGTTTGTATTGCTTTGGAAAGCCATCGGCACGGGAGTCAGGTTTGATTCCGGTGACGGTTACTGTGGTGGAGGTATTTGCGTTAGGGCAAGGCGGGACATGTCTGCGGCTTTTGCGTGACCGCGGAGGCATAACATGTTGCTCATTGGGCTAAGCTAAATGACAGGAGTATATATGGATGCTCGACCCGTACCTGGTTGACGGGCTGCCCTTGCACAAAAGTAGACTTATCATCGTTGCAAGTCCCGGGCATTTGGAGATATAGACGTTGGCAACCTCGTCGTAACTGCCCTATTTACATCTCATCCAACTCTCCAATATGCTGCAACTCGCCGCAGCTGCAGCTTTGATAGGTGCTGCCTATGCACAGAACTCGTCGCTGCCTACTGTCGATCTTGGCTACGAGATTTACCAGGCTTCAGGTTTCAACGTTCGTCAATCTTCTTTAGGTTTTGAGGTCGGCTTGCTAACTAATCCAGGATACCGGCAACTTCTACAACTTCTCCAACATACGATATGCTGCTCCGCCCGTTGGCAACCTGAGGTTTGCACCGCCTCAGGCTCCAGCAGAAAACAGATCAACCATCAACACTGGCAGTGTATCGAGGTAGGTGCTGTGAGGTTATAGTCTTTAGACGACCAAACTGACGTATACAGAATATGTCCCCAGGCTTCCCCAGGCTGGAATGCACTTGCGGCCCAGTCTTTGACCAGATATGTGCTCGGTCTTCCTACTTCTAACTCATCGTACTCGACACCGGGGGCGAACGCTAGCAGCCCAGTTCCAGTCCCGGATCCCCGCGAGTCTGAAGATTGTTTATTTCTGGATGTCTTCGTTCCCGAGGACGTGCTAAGCAAAGCTGGGCAAGGCTATGGGGCTCCCGTTCTGGTGTGGGTCTACGGAGGCGGCTATACAGGAGGCGAGAAAAACAATAACCCAGCAGGGCTACTTGCTGCGTCCGGCAACTCAACCAATGGCGACGTCATTTATGTTGCAATGAACTACCGTCTTGGCGCTATGGGCTGGATGGGTGGTCCTTCGTATCAAGCGGAAGGAGGTGTTTCAAACCTAGGTTTATACGATCAGCGATTTGCGCTTGAGTGGGTTCAGGAGAACATCCACCTCTTTGGAGGTGACAAGAACCGAGTAAGTCGAGCTGGAATCTGGATCTGCAGCTGCAACTGACTTTTTTTTTTAGGTCACTGTCTTTGGAGAAAGTGCTGGAGGTGGATCGATTATGCATCAAATTACTGCATATGGCGGTGCTAATGGATCGGCTCCTTTCCAACAGGCCGTTCCGCAGAGCCCGGGATGGCAGCCTACAACTTCTGTTGTTACGCAGGAGGACGTCTACCAGAGGTTCCTTAAGCTTACCAACACTACGTCTCTCGCAGAGCTGCGTGCTCTTCCATCTGAAGAGATTATACGTGCGAGTGCTCAGCAGATCATCTATGATTCTCCGTATGGCACTTTCACCTACGGACCAGTAGTGGACGGTCTCTTCGCTCCTCTACAGCCCGCTCAACTGTTAGCTCAAGGCCGGTTCGACAAGGACGTACGCGTAATGGTCGGCCATAATGCTAACGAAGGAGCACTTTTTACTCCTTTCTATCTTCCAAACGAGGATGCACTGGAAGACCAGATCTCAAGCGCATTCGCAAATGCCCCAAAGTCGTCCGTGGACTACATTGTTAATACCCTCTACCCTCCGGTGTTCGATGGCTCACTGGGCTACACCAACAACTTTGAGCGCGGCAGCCTCATCGTTAGTGAGGGTGTCTTCACATGCAACACCAACTACCTCTCCAGAGCCTATGGAAACAAGACATACTCGTATCTCTTTGCGATCCCTCCGGCTATACATGGCCAAGATGTTGCGTACACGTACTTCCAGGGAGGCGCTGCTTCTACTTCGCCGACTGGCGTTACTAACACGACCATTGCCATCGCTCTGCAAGAGTTCATCACTAGCTTCGCTGAGAATGGCGTACCAGACGCCATGGGCGTAAAGCAATTCAACATGTACGGTCCCGACGCTACGGTTCTGGAGCTCAATGTCACGGGCATTGAGGATGTACGCGACAGCAACGCGAACGCGCGGTGTGCATGGTGGCAGAAGGCGCTGTACTAAGTGCAGGAAGACGCAAAATCGCCAGATAAAAGGGCACGAATAATCATAATGAATTAATCACATTCATAACAGTACACATGCACATGCAAAATTTTGTGAGGCCTAGGCATGCTAAATCCGCAATCGCGATGTTCCTCCGCCATGCACGGCAGCACTAGGACCCACATCCGTGATTGGTTGATCATAGCTACGTCATTGCACAGCAGCTCAGTCCACGTCCACATGCTTTAAAGCTGTCGTCTCCCGCACACTCACAAGAACCTCATCTAACAAACCATCCAATAACTCAATTACCACCTTCCTCCCCTCTCCTCTACCGACCTCCACATTTTCCAAAACAACTACACTACACAACACACCGTCAATATGTTCCGTCAACAGATTGCCCGCCAGGCCCGCCTCTTCAGCACCACACCCGTCGCACGCAAGAGCCCCGTAGATGCTATCAAGGATGCTGCCAAGGCCGTCGACAGGACAATCTCTGGTGCCGCTGTAAAGGGCATTGAGAAGGGCGGTACGTACACTTTCCATCCATCACGCCTCTCATCTATATTGCACCGCCTGATGCTCTCTTGTCTCACATAGCCGAGAACATGACGACATCGTACAGTGCGCAAGCTTCAAACACCCTGGTAGCATAAAAATACAGAAACTAACGATACACCAACAGAGGAAGTCGCTGGCGCCGTCAAGGAGTCCGTCCCCGAGACCACTGGCCAGGCTAAGGGCCAGGCAAACGAGATGGCTGGCGAGGCCAAGGGAAAGGCCAACGAGCTCGCTGGTGAGGCCAAGGGCAAGGCGCAGGAGCTCAAGGGCGAGGCCAAGAGCAAGATGTAAAAAAGTTGATATCCATTGGGAATGATACGTAATGACATGAGCGAGACATGCTTCGATGGCATAGCTGCCTCAGGAAGGTGAAGCTAAATTGTCACGGCCGAATGAATGAAATAATGTTTCAATGCCGATAGTGTGGTCTTTGTGGAAAGGTGATACTTGATGGGTGTTTGGTTGACGCTATGCTGCTGACCTATCATACGCGCGTCTAGGTTGTAGGCGAACAATCACAGCTTTGGCGTCTCCGTCTACTGGTTTGGTCACACGCACCCCGATATTTCTACCACATCGCATTTCTGCACCGTCTTCCCGCTTTTCCGCCCTTACGCCGGAACACTATCCGGTCCAAGGTGCCCATACACCAACTACTGTAGTGTAGCACCAAGCTATAACCTACGTGGTCTCTACGCAACTCTGGGAAATTGCATTCTCTGGATAACACTCTCCTCACCTCAACAAGGCGACATTGTTAAACCAAAGCATTGAGGCTTGTGACTAGAGAATTTGTGAATATTGCTTTTCAGACTGGCGAAGGACGAGGAATGCCCAAGGTGCTTACTTGTACTGAGCCGAAAAGTAGATTTCTGGCAACTGAGGCTGCTCGGTGATGGAACATGTTATGGCAGAGGCAAACATCAATGTCATTGTGAAGCGTTGCAAATTCTCCTTCAGTTTCATAAAGGCGTTGTCCTCCATGGTGTCACATGGTCATTATATCAAAGTAGAAATTTGAATCTCTAAAGAAACAAGTTTTTCAAATCGAACTATGACCCAACATCTTGCAGTCATTATGTATTAAATACACCATCCCAGAAACCATTGACAGAGCGGGTGGGTGAGAAGGGAGTGAAGCGAAAAGAACTTGAGAAGGAGATGGAATGAATGTCTACACTAATCGAGGCAAGTAGAGAAAGTAATGTGGGGTTGTTTTGGTGAGATGCAACAACATGTCGTAATGCTTCATCTGATCGTTTTTCCTGAAGGGGTCCATGATTACCCAATCCGATGCTTCGCTCTCACATGAACCACATACCCATCTGCCAGAATAGTTAGATTTTGTTCCTTTGTGTTTCAATCAATACCATAGAATCTTACCATGCCCCTCTTCACCTTGTCGCCCTGCCCTTCGTACGTCTCTACAGGCGGCAGTGCGTAGCCGCTCTTGGTCGAACTTACGCTCGTCTCAAAGGTCGTCTGAGTGAGACTACCAGTCAAGCTCGTGAAGTCGGTACTGGAGTCCACCGGGAAAGAAGTAGCGGTAGCATCCGTGTTGGTTGCTGAGCTAATGGGCGGAGTCCAGTAGGAATAGCCTGAGGTAGAAGACCCGACTGGGAAAGAGGTAGCGGTGGCGTCGGTACTGGTAGAGCTGACTACGATAGAAGTTGAGCTGGAAAAGCTCTCGGATGCTGAAATTGAGGAGGTGAAGGACGTGTACTCCGTTTCGGTAGACGTATACGTGCTCGACTCCTTAAGTGTCTCTGAGCTGGTCGAGCTGCTAGATGTGACTAGTGACTCGGACGTGAAAGAGCTGCTAGAAGGTGAGGGCGTGGCAGAAGGAGTCTCGATGGTACCAGATTCACTGCTCAACGCTTCTGATGATGTCTCAGAAGGAAGCACCAAAGTAGTGCTTGATCTGATCGGCCATGTGTACGAAGGGGTCTCAGATTCACTGGCCGAATCTCTTGATGACGACAAGGTCGTCCAGTACGAGAAGCTTTCCGTTGTCGGCGTTGGCTCCGGATAAGTTGTGGCATCCGATGGGGTGGGCGAGAATGTGTCTGTAACGATCGAGCTAAACGAATAGCTATACGATTGCGACAACGTAGATGAAGCAGAGTAGGTCTTGGACGCACTAGATACACTGCTGATATCATCTGTAGAAGATGCTGTGTACGATGGTGTATAGGACTCCGCACTAGACGGACTAGGCGTCTCTTCAGAAGAACTCGGAGTGTATGATGCCGTTGACGACTCTTCGGAAGAAGTAGGCGTGTATGAGGCAGAATCAGTTGTGGAATGCCTGGACATAGTATGAGTCCGAGACCAATCACGTGTGCTGGTGCGACTCCGGGTGGTTCTTGACCTTCTGGATGAATCTGAAGTCGACGATGATACTGAAACGTCGGTGGTTGACGTAGGTGTCTCAGTCGTAGTGTATGACTCCACTGAGGTAAAGGTGATCCAGGAGATGGTCGAGATATTGATGGTCGACGAGTACACAGTGTCTGTTTCAGTCGGACTGCTGGCGCTGCTGGTAGCGTTACCAGGTGGAATATAGTAGCCAGAGGACGTAGTAGTCCCAGAAGTAGTCCCATCACCACTGGATGTCGCTGTAGGCTCAGTGTTTGTTTCGGTCACCGTTCCATTAGAAGGATATGGAGGGGAAATAGTGATGACAGTAGTGGAAGCGATGACTGAGGTAATGACAGTAACATTGGTGCTTGACGTCGAAGATCTCGGGATATAGGAGCTTTGCGAACCTGTCGAGTTGGTACTAGCTGTGGAAGTCAACGAAGGTATCGAAGACGCTGTTGCAGTACCTGTGCCCCAAGTAGAAGAAGCTGTACCGGTGCTGTTACTGTAAGGCGCGGAAGTCGGGTACGGTGGTAAAGATGGGTGGTATCCGGATCCGGAAGAATGAGGTCCAGTTGAGAGAGAGATGCTCACAGACGAAGAGCTACTACCCCAACTACTTGCTGTAGCCTCTGTGGATGTAGAGTTTCCAGATGAAGTTCGGCTGTGTCAACATATTAGTTCAACAGGAACTGAACACGAGAACTTATCATAACTCACGATGTCGTTGGGACAACCACCGATGTAATGACCACGACGCTAGTGTAGACAATTGTGGAGGGCCCTGGTGCCGTGAAGTTTGCTGACGAAGAGGGTGTTGAAACCGGAGGAATACCAGTAGACAGCGAGATGCTAGTAGCACTGCTGATCAAAGTAGGATAAGTAGGGGAGTAAGGCGGTGGCGGCGCATACTGCCGTGGCCGTATGTGCTGTGGAAAGTTCACTAGATAAAGCTGTCAGTCCATATTGAAAGACGAAAAGAAACTAGATTCTCGATGTGGTGGTTGACGAGGTAAATGCTTCCAGCAGCAGTGTTAAAACTGAAACTTACATAGCGCCCGCTCGGCAGCAACGAGCGTCAGAAAGGCCGCAAACGGTATACAAGTACTGAGCTTCATGACTCTTTGTAGGTCACAGAAAGCACTTGTTCTAGGAGTCAAAGCAATGAACGAGTGGTAATAGAGAAAGGAACGAGAGGCTATGTTTGGCTGACAACTAGAGCTGAAGGGCTTGTGCCTCAAGTGAGTGAGAACAACGATCTTATATATGAAGAGGTGCGTTTCACCGCGATGGTAGAATGGTGTGATCCTATCGCGGCTGTGCTGCAGCAACAGAACAACCGGTTAGCCCTAACACGAGCATGCAACACGGCATCATGCTTCCTCTCATGGTATCCACCTTCCAAGTCATCGAAGTACCAAACTTGACGGCAGTCGGCGTACAACCTATGATGCTTAGGTTATTCCTATCGACATATTGGCCTCCAGATTTTGACTTTGTGAGTTCTTGGAGTAGCGGCCTTGTCTGAAGCAGAATTGCACCACCTCGATAGACCATGATGGCCAAGACTGCTTTGCAGCGATCCGTAGGCAAGGTAGTTGGTGTGTTCGTATAGATTGGTAGTGTGACAAGATGCTGGTCATCTTGAATCTGACTAGAAACAGCAATTACGGGATGGTAGATAACGGACGCAGGCCAACGTCACACTGCAGCGCAGCAGCCGCCACCGGTAGTGCAGAAGGAGGCGAAGATGGGAAAGGCTTCAAGGAAGGAGTTCACAGATGACGAAGTGATCCAACCTACCGTTGTTGAGGTTGAAGAGATTGATACAGCCACTTCTCTGGGCATGGTGTTGTTGCGAGCCAATGGATCGGCGTAACTTGACGTTGAAGAATGTACCCAATGCCGTTACGCTCGACCATGCTCGTGTTTTGGAGGCATTACACGAGTGACACAAGAAGATGAAGTCGACTGGAATACCGCCTGACAGACGCCTTGCGGTGCTTCTTTCCCAATAGCAAGAAATTCTGTACAGGAAGAGGTATTATAACCGAACTGCAATGCATTCCACTGATCAGTACTTGAGTCACATGAATATGGTTCGTTGCAGGATCAGTAGGTATTCTGTAATTGCTTTCGGCAGATTGATCGCGATGTCGGCATTGCCGCCTCCTGCTAAATATTGTTTATTACCACAGGTTGTGCAATGTTCAGGCTCTCTAGAGCAAGTAACATCGATACGATATAAGAGCTTGTCAGAGGCGTGCAGCAAAAGGACCAAGGACGACTCTCGAGTTTAGGGACCGCACTGAACAGCTTGTATATTTTCGTGTGGAATTTGCCATCACTAGCTCGATGCACAGATGCAGGAACCAAGTTCCGGCTCAGGGTTGTGCGTCTTACAGAAAACCCCGCGGTAAGACAAGGCCTCAGGATGGTTGGTGCAGCTATCCGCAAGAGCTTCCGATGGATTCAGGCGTAGTAACGTAGATTGACGGCGATGTAAAGCCAAACCTGCTGATGTAAAACTTGTTGCGCATCGCACAGGGTGTATTCGTTGTTGCAATGGAACAGATCTGCTGAAACCATCATCCACGGTACGAAAGTGCTGTTCACGACGCTAACTCACCATTAGCGTCATCACGTGAGCCAAACTATCTGTTCCAGCGTTACTTCGACGAGATCATCGTACGCATAGGCACACTCACGCAGAAGGCATGAGTGACAAGTATGTGATTCGCCACGTAACAGAACATTGTGCGTAACTAGGTTCCAGAACTGGTATGTGTTGCACATCCCTCGACAGGCCGCTTCGAGGGTGTTACCCGTCACGGAACCACTGACTGAACAGCCAGTTCTCATTCATGTTTTGGGCCTCTGCGCAATCCTTCTCTTTGTGTAGTAGATCTTCAGACCCCTATTGAAAGCCATTTTGCGTATGACTATGATGTTCGCAAAACCGAAATGCAACATGCAGCTGTATACCGAGGTTTTTGACGATACATCACGTGCAAGTCACACACAGTAGGAATGCACGATGAATCGCATACGACTAATAGCCGTTACAATTATGTATTACAAGTAAGCACTTCGGGTTGAAGTGTTACCGAGAGAGGAGATCGCTATACAGGCGACAGCAACCTCGAAGCGCCTGCAGAAGGATACGCTTGTATGCTGAACATATGGAGCTTTTTCTGAGCCCATGTGAAAAACTCCACGCAACGCCTCCAGTCGTAACCTCGTGAACGACACTGTACAAAAGGTATCATGTGCGTGTGAAACCAGAACCGTTACCCAAAAGCGTAGCAAAGTATCAAGGCAGTCAACACACAAGACCCAAAGAGGATCATACAAAAGGGCCTTTGGCCTAAGAAAAAGGAATAAACAGAAGAAGGGAAAGAAGCCTAGTCCCAGTTGACAAGGCTATTGCCGTTGTCTTGGTCGTTCGCGGACTGGTCATCGAAGGACTGTGTAAAATCACCGCCTTGGAAGTCGAAGAAGGCACTGTAGTCACCATTGCCAGGTGTCAAGAACGAATCGTTGGAGTAAAAACCATCGGATATAGCGCTCGGCATTGATAATGATGTGGTATCAGAGACGGGCTCAGTCTTCAGATTAAGGCCTGAGGATAGAGTCTGAGCGGAACCAGTAGCGTTCTCTGACATGCTTGCGCTGCTCGGTGTCCGTGTAACCTTGTTGGGGTTGTAGGTGTAGGTTGGAGCAAATGGCTGAGGAAGATTGTCGCTACCAGCCATGAAGATAGCAGTGCGAGGATCGTTCTGATCGAGGACGGAACCCAAGAACTGCTGTGACTCAGGTGGCATGGACAAGGTCAAAGGGTTTGAGTTAAGTGCTTGCGAACTGTATGGGTAGTTCGTTGGGCTGTAAGAATAGGAAGTAGGCGTGTTAGGGTCGCTTTGAGCAGTTGCAGCGTCATGGACTGAAGCCGCATTTGGCGAAGCAGTCTGTGGTGAAGATGACTGGCGATGTTGAAGCGAATGCGCAGTAGGCGAACGCGATAGCGAAGGGCGCGTTGGTCGCTCTACTGTTTGGTTTGATTGCTGGAAAGCTTGCGGTGGTAGAGACAGTCTTCGGTTGAGCTCGGTCTGTGGCGTCGTGGTACCTGCACTTGCCGGCTGAGCTGATGGATCAAAGTGCGATGCGCCGTGAGGCAGTTGAATCGAAAGAGCGCGCTGGTGAGACTGGGTCCGCTGAGGAATGTGGTACGGTGACTGACGGTAGCCCTGTTGTGGTTGAGTAGAAGTCGGGCTGAACGGCTGCGCTTGCTGGAAACTCTGAGGAGAAGCCGGTGTGAATTGTTGTGGTGGTAGCATGGAAGGGTTAAGCCAGTTGTTTGCCTGTGGAAGTGAAGCACCATTGGCTGGATACTGCTGACCAAACTGTGGGAACGCCGGGCCTTGATTTTGGTACTGCGACATGAACATGTTTCGGACACCGTGCTGTGTCGCAATGTAATCATGGAGCTTCTTGTTAAACATGACAGAGGTAGTGTGCAGATGCGCATTCAAGCGCTGGTACTGGGTGGGCAGATCATCGTCCTCCTCTTCGTACATCTCTTCATTGATGACATCCTGTTCAGTCACACGCAAAGCACGGCCAGTACGCTTCTTGTGAATCTCAGAAGCCCTGCGTGCCGACTCAATGCGAGCCTCTAGACTACGGTCGCTGCGGCGCGAGGCAGCAATGTAGGCACTAACGAACATTAGAATTGGTTACATGTAAACTGAATTGAGATAACAAACCGCTCCTGGTTCTCTTCATGAGTGCGCTCGGTCTTGACCGGTCTGGTCGAAGTAAAGGTTCGACGTTCAGCAGGCATGGTGAGGGTTCAGACGACAGATGGCAGATGAAGCGTGGTGGTGTGGCAAAGGTGTGTGGGTGGCGGCGGGGTAGCTGACAGATGGCGGAGTCAGCACAACAACAGATGCTGGATTGATACAGTTCGAGGGGTACGTCTAGCAACGACTTCGACTGTGAGGAATAATGGAAGAAAGAGAAAGTGCGAGGAGTGGGCGGGCAAAGTATGTAAACGGAGAGGGGAAAAGTGGCGACTGTCCACGCGGGTGCGGATGTGCTGGGCTGGGCGGAGCAGGCCTAAAGATGGGCCGAAAAACAACGGAGCTAGAAAGGCGCTCACGTACCGGCACGACAGGGTTTGGACAGGACGCAGCTCGATACAGATACGCGACGAGTGACGTGAGGCACAGTAGCAACGGCCAAAGTTGGCCGCGGAACCCAAAGAGGCAGAAGATTGGTGCGAAAGTGGGAACTGGCGCTGGGACGTCAGCGATCGAGGTGTGAGGGGCGTATGAGTGGTTCCGATGCGCACAAATCTCTGTTTGCGGGCCGGGGGAGGGTGAGCCAGGATAATCAGGTGGCGGAGCCTAGCGGGCGAAGACTTGGTATTTCGATGGCAGTAAACAGTTTGCGCATGGACGCTTGCAAAGCAGATCGATACTCGTCTGAGGGATTGACGAGGCTGCTAGGGGTGGTTGGTTGGTGGGTGGTGAAGCAGCAAGCAAGCGGATTAGGAGCAGTACGAGTGTGTTACGTCGAGGGCTTGCCTAGCATATGTTATAGCAGCAGTGGGAAGAAGCAATTGCAGTCTTCTGGAATTTGACCACACAATTCCTCCCAGACAGCGGCAGGGCAGCGTGCCAGAAGCTTGCAGTTCCCAGTCAGTCCCCGCAGCGCCTGGGGGACGGCTAGCAGCTGATGTAGCCAGTCAAGGGCAGCGGCAGAAAGCCCGGCGTGTTCTGGAGGCCAGTCGGCGATGTGTGTGGAGTAGGGGAAGAAGGTTCGCGGCTAGCTCTGTGCCAGGCTCAATGGCTGCAGATTACCCTCGGCACCCGCACGCCAGCGACAGGACAACACCACGCCCGTGGCTTGGCCCAGCGCTGGCGATCGAGCACGCTAGCATCTCTGTGGCACTTCCCGCCGATAAACGAGACGCGTCAACATCATATCACAGCTGGTTCCTGGGGGGTGTTGGCATGTCTGCCATCGCGATCGCATCTGGCATGTTGCTGGCGTTGTGGGCGGGGTCAAGCAGCCTCCGTTCCGGGTGGGCTGACTAACAGGCCCGCTCTGGCTCCGGCACCTTCTCCCACCTGCGCTGCAACGCGACGACGTTTACAGCGTGCCTGACTACCACCAACTACCATAGTAATAATCAATTTCTACTTTTGCTCCACTCCACCCACGCTCACCCAAACAAACGTGCGCCGGCTATTGTGACCAGCGCAATCGCGATCGCGCCCGCGCAGAGGCTTCCGCAAACTGCTCAACCAAACGCGAACGCACATGCTCACCTAAAGTGGCCCGCGCTATGGAGACGCAGCCGTCGGGTTGCCGTTGGCTCGTTCCCGTCTCCGTGGGCTTCCAGTCAGCGCCCACGGCTGATGCTGTAGCGAGTCTAATCCTGCGCCATCACGTCGTGCCTCATCATGCACCCCCAAACAATACCGAGTTTTGGCGACCCTCATCTGCAACTATGTGCAATGTCCAAAACGGCTGGTTTCACCGTGCTGCACAAATCTCATGACAGCCCATCGCCTGGGTCCAGGAACAAGGGGCTCCCTGATCCAAACAACAAAACCTGAGATACGCGACCGTCATATCGGGCATAGCTCCGATCTGATCGAACTTCCCACCCATTTTCGGAGCCCTGATGCGCCCTGAGAACTTTGCTGCCCACTGTCTAGGACGTGCGTGCCGATCGCTCGATAAAAACATGTCGCCGACTCCCTGGTCTACGACAATAATCACTGCTGGTCTACGACAATAATCACTGCTGGTCTCTCTGCCTACTACGCTTTCTGTACCAGCTACAGACCATGTGTCAGAAGAAGCGACGGCGCTCTGTCACTACCACGACCAGTGCAACGCTGTCGTTCCCCAGACTATTGGAAGTATGGGAAATTGAGTCCGATCGTCTGAATTGGACTATTTGTCACCATGGTATTTAACCTAGACCCGGCCGGCCGCCGACGTCACACGGCATGCCTCCTTCCTTCCATCGCTTCTGCCCCGCTGCGAGTGCCCACAGCCAGATCGCCGGGGTGCTAGTTTCGGCCTGTCATTGTATCAGCCAGTCAATTCCCGACAACCCCTGTTTTTTCACTTAGCTTCAGATCTCAAGATCTCATCTTAGATGAAATATCTCCGCCCGTCGTGCATTTAATCGGCTCTTTGTGCACCGAATGAGCAGGAATCATGCTGGAGAGTGTCCAACAAAGGCATCTAGACGCTCAACGTTGCCTTTCTCTCAGCTTGGCTCACTTCATTTAGCACGTCCAGCCGTCCTTGGGCTTGCTCGCCATCAAACACACTGAATTGCTTTCGTTCACTGCAGGGCTCTGAGTGACCATGGTTCTGGGAGCCCTTTGACTGCGGACATGTATGATCAACCAACTCCTTTTTCAACCAAACTTGCCACGTCCCATTTCCCTTGGGCTAATCTCATGCTTTGAGATCGTCGTCAAATGGCGCAGGTTCCACGTTGCTACGATAACTGGTACACAACGCTCCGCATCAACCTTAGGCAGAAGTGACGTCGCGTAGGATTGGCTTTGCGCCATCTTGTTCCCACATGTGAAGGAATCTGGAGCCGGCGCACAAGATTCTAGCCCAACGTACGTTTAGCTGCATGATCTTGCATCCGAGGCGGTTACGATAACCTTTGCGGCATCCTGAACACAATTCGTTCCATGGCGGCTTTTGCTCCCGCACCTCAAGCAGCCACTCAACTGCTAGGGTTCCTGAAACCCCTTCAATTTTTTCAGACTATCTGTGATTAACACTATTGGAATGAAGCAAGGCTGCAACACAATCTGACTGTCTAGTTCCATGCCGAGACGATGAACAACTTATACCAATGCGGCAAGTGGAGCGCCTACGCCACTCCGCAGCAGCCGTACCGGTTACCCTTTAATCTGCCTACTACTCCGCCGTTACGTTTTCCATGCCATCCACCACAATTGCGTGACGGTGGAACGGTCTTAGAATACAGCCTTGGAACATGGCTTTTCCAAAATCCCCAATAGATGAGCCTTCCGTCGTCTCAAATATACGGCCAACGGCTGGGCGTTGTGACGGGCAATTCAGTTTATTGCGGTCTGCAACGCCGCCAAATTTTTGTGGGCAGTACAATCTTTCTTCCTCAATTCGGAAGGTATGAATGTCCCATACCATTACCTCCAAATTACACAACGCCAGAATACCGAGATTCGTTGCCATGCCGCTCCGCGGGCCCTAACGCACGGCTGCCGGTTAGAACTCGCTTGCATGCACCTCTCAGCGGCGATCTGTCCCCTCTCCAATCAAACCTGCCCCTCAGAAACCCCTCTTCGAAGTTATCGTTCCTTCTTTTTCGTACCGTACGCGGTCTCGGGTTTCCGTAAAAGCTCAAGTCGACGTGGATGCGCTTAATCTGCCGCATTAGCTTGCCTTATGTGCGATGGGCCAGGGCTAGCTTGCAGCAAGCCCCTTGGAGATGACTGGCTGATAGCACATCGGAGAGAACTCCCACGAGCAGTCCGTACATTGGTTCCCTCAACCGTTTTGCTATACGGAGTGCTTGAACCGCCATTCATGACTGGGTTCGCAATCCTGCGAGATGCGTTCTGTGGAGTTCGCCACTGTTCATCCTGTGATCGGCAGCACAGCCCTGTTATCGGTTTTAGGAATCCTGTGCCTCCCGCAGAGGAACAATTATGTCCGAAAGTTCCAAGAGCGATCAACCTCGTATAGGCGGTCTGCACCACACGTCGTGTGTAAGCACCTGGGCATTCTTTAGCGAAACAAATGATGCGGTGAGGAGATCTCGATGCTGTACACTCATTCTAACTCAGACCCAGCTCTGCGTCGTCCTCAATCACTGTCTGATTGCGAAAGTCTTTTCCATGCGTTCAATTTGTAGTTTTCTGTCAAAAGTATCTCTTCCCGCACATCATTGCAAGCTGTTACCAGCGTCTCTATAGCAATGCATGATTACTCATGCAAGTAAGCAGACCGCTCCATGTGTGCGAGTGGTTAATCTTGGAGGGCCCAAAAGGGTCCAGCGGAACGTTGCTTCTTCCCTCCTTTGTACAACACCGCTTATACAGGCGCCTGTAACCCTAGGCCTTACAGTTTACAACAGCCACCAGCTCCGCTATGACACCGCCGCATCCAGGCCACCGGCTTGGCCTTTTACGTGGCCAATGGTCTTCACGAGCATATTCGCAGTACGGCATAAGCAAGCAGGCAGCGCATACAGCTCGTATCGGGCCGTGCAGCAAGCCCAGATTCCGACGTCCGGTTAGTAGGGACAACGCAGCAGCAGCTTACTTTTTGGCTTTTCGCGTCCGCAGAATCAAGAAATTGTAAAGTGTTTGGAATACCCGAGACGATGAGTAAATGACCAAGCAGAGCCACGCGATTTGCAGCCATGTTAGCGTTATCGCATCATATTGAGGCGGAGGAAATCTCCTGTGTAGCTAGCACCGACCGTGAAACTCGAGGCTAATCTACAGCATGGCGATAAACTTGCAGCGGCCCTCGAAGAAAACACAGGCTATTTTGGAGCGGTAGATGTTACTCCTGCGCGACAAGTGGCGATTAAGAACGGGTCCCCACACGTCCTGTCTCCAAGGCTGTCCTACACGGTCAGGTGGCTGCTTACTCGCACCTAACGCCACGGGCTCCTACTCCCTGGACTTGTTTTCAGATGGGTTGATCTAGCATATACATATACAAATAGCAAAAGAGCAGGATGTGAATCAGGTAGAGGTGAAGATTCCAATTGACCCTTAGCAGTATTGTACAGCTGTCTGAGGAAAGCCGAATCAGAATGTAGCCTTCACTACCATGTCCACGAAGTCTTGTAGTCAAGATGAGATGCAGTCCGCAGAGAGCCAGACTGGCTTGCTGTTCCATGACACTGGGCATTTAGGCGCGCTGTCTTCGAGATCTTTGCCTTGTGCCAACCAAGTGTAAAAAGCGGCGCGATGTAATTGTGGTAATATGTCAAATTTGCAAAGAAGCAGCTTCTCGAAGTGCTTTTGTAACCATCTGCGCATCTCGTCTTCCTGTGTTTTCTCTGGTTTCGTCTTCTATAGAGCAGTATATTGATACCTACAGATGCGATGGAGTGCCAGGTACCAGTAGTTTTCTGATCTCACTCTACCTATGCTTCTCAACTATCAATGCACGTAAACTCAATCTTCCTGTTCGTAGATTCTATGTAGTCAACCAGACTACCATAGGTTTTATTTAAGAGGTGGACAATGTTACTCGAAAACGGAAAGAGCAAACGCATCCTATGAAGAAGCTCGTATCTGACAATCGAGGTATACCTGGTTTGAACAAGCTCTTTCGTTCCTGCAACCTCAATGCCACCTGCCTACGTATCTACGTATGTCATCAACAGGCACCTTCCAACAGTCACGTTTCTAGCATATCTCCTGTCGTGCATGGTGCAATCTGGTGAGAAGGCTAGTCGCATTTGCATCACGGCACTAAGATTGTTAGTAAAAGTTCACAAAAGCTTGGAGCCCAAAGGAGACTGCGAAGGTATACCTGGGCAATCTCAGCGTCAGGCAGAGGTACAGGATACCATGTCGCCGGCCGGCTAGGTGCTGTATGGGCAGGTGGTGACACCAATGTCCCTTTCCTGGGTAACTGCAGAGCACAGCAAGGCACGCTCTCGCCCCACTCACAAGTGCGCCTTCACCTTCACTTTCGCTCCTGCCTGCCACGGAGCTAATTTCCTCCGTGACTGCAAACGCTGCCAGCACGTCATATAAACAACTTTTCTGAATTTCCGTGTCTTCTCTTCTTCACGATACTCATCAAACGCTCCATCATCTCTGCAGCTGCATCACTTCAAGTCAAATATACTTCAATTCAGCTCTACTCAGCTCCATCTCCACCCGAAATCGAATTACTGCTATCAACATGTTCGGCTACAAGCTCCTCGCTATTGCTGCACTGGTCTTGGCTGTCGTCGCTGCGGACTGTGAGTATTTGTTCCACACGTTTTACACCACACAAGTTGACAAACTTTCCAGCCGTCTGCGCGCCCGCTGCCACCATGACTGCTACCGTCACCATCACCGAGTGCATTCCGCAGCCTGGCAAGCCGTCGTATGCGCCACCTCCCGCTGAGTCGGTCGTCTCCTCCGCCCTGAGCAGTGGACTGTTTACTACCAGCGTTATCCTGCCTCCCCCCGGACATCCGATTCCCACTTCAGTTACTCCTCCTGCGTCTTCCACGCTCATTGCTCCCTCTGGTGAGACCTCTGGTGCTTCTGCCTCTTCGACTGCGTCGGTTACTACAACGGTGGTGGCTACATCATCCTCAGGTCGTCCTGGTGAGCCCGAGGCAAGCAGCACTTCTTCTCCCCCTGAGACTGCTGGCGCCGCTCTTGCAACACCTGCGGTCGGTATGGGCTCGCTCGTCGCCATGGGCGCCGCAGCGTTGGCAGTCATGGCCTGAGCCATTTGACATGTATTGGCCGTCTTTACGGGAATGGGGTATCATCCTTCGGCAAACTAGCTAGTTACCGCGTGATATAGCATCTTTATAGCTTTTCACAAGTCTAATACAAAAAGTGGCATGGTCTACAATGTTAGGGACTAGAGCACCTCACAACATTCATGAAGCTGTTCACGGCCCACAAACTCTGTGAATAACCACCAAGCTAATTATTCCCAATTCGTCTGAATCACCATCTCTAGCACTCCGCATGATACATTCAAAGGCTCGAAGCTCCCGTTTTGGTAAGTGCTGATATGAATATTGAGAGGGGTGTGTCGTGAAGGAGACGAGTTTCGCGACTAAGTTACAGCCTAGAACAGAGCATGTGTCCCATGACGAGCTGTTTGCTCATGTAAGAAGACAACCTTGATTTTGAATAGTCAGACAACAAGGATGCATGCGTATCAATTGAAATGTCTTTGTAAGATGCTCAAAGTCTCTCGCGCGAGGAAACTGTTCATGCCAATATCTATTCTCCGTGTTTCCCATTTAGTGACTGCTCAAGCAAGGCACTATCCCGCTTGTTTGTATCTCGTCCTCAGCTCATCAATCTCGCGCTGAAACTTCTCCATGTCGTCAAGGATATTACTCGAATCACTCCTCCCTTCGCCTTCCTTTCCACCGCTTATGTTCTCATCAAGACCTAGCCTTCTCTCGCTCTCCTCAATTGGCGAGTACAAAGCGTGTTCATTCTCGGTCTTCTCATCCACAGGTTCATACGTTCTTCTCAGCGAACTCTCGCTAGCTACACTCGATCGCCTCTGTTCTGTACTTGTGCGACGATACTCTGTGCTCGTTCTTCGACTTTCCGTAGGAGAGGAATAGGACACATGAGGCCTTTGCTGGTCAAGGCTTGAGCGATTTGACTGTCGACGTCTTGGTGGTGGCGGAGGTGGCGGCATATTGCTTCCTGTACTTTCTCCGGAGACATTGCGATGGGTGTTGCGATTAGATGATATAGATGAGGTGCGGTGCACACTAGGTGCAGGCGAAGAAGGTTGTGACTCTAGAGTGCTCCGACGAGACGACGGAGGCTCAGGAACAGATCTCGGCATTCGACCCGAGCTCGACCGCTGTGGTAACTCGGTACTGGAAGAGTTTGCGCTTGAGTTGCCTAGGTTCGCAAGCCGTGCGCCGTGCCGTGAGGGTGGAGGAGGGGGTGGTGATTTTGCTCCGAACAATGGGTCGAGGGTATTTGGACCCGGGCTCTGTGGGGCATCGACTGAATGTTGGGAGGATATAGTAAGGTTTGAACTGCTTCGAGATCTATTGCCTGTAGTTGTAGTCTTGAGCTGACTTTGTCTCCGAGATAACGGCACGGGCGGAGGTGTCTTCTTTTGTCGAGTTGAACTCTCTGACGGTGTTGAAGGCTGACTCGTTGTCGGTAGTATTGGTGGGGACTGTAGTGGTGTCGTATCCTGTGTGCTGATATGGAGGGACTGCGGCGCAGCAACCGGGGTTGGTGGGAGTGGCTTCTGCATATCTGAACTGTCGGTTCGTCTAATAGCTGGAGGAGAAGGTGCTTGTGCTGGTTCGGTAGCGGCAAAGCTTTCGAAAGACACTGTCTGTGGCTGTCTCGGCGCGACCAGCTTCCCGTGTCGATGCTTGGGTGCAGGTGGGGGCTTCTTTTTGCCCTTCTTCACTTCGGATACCAGCCCCATACTCTCGTCCTCGTCAGATCCAGCCATATCGACAGATGTACGCGGAGAATCTGCATGTGTCTCTTGCGGGGGCTCGAATAGCGACTGCCGCGAGATTGACGAGGTATCTGTGCTACTGCTAGTCTCGAACTGTGCGCCAGCAAGTGGTTGTGACACGCTTGTGGGCTGCGGAGGCGGACCGGATGGTCGCGGAGTTGGCTTTCCGGTCATGAGTAGGTTCTTGAAGCTCTCTACGTCTAAAGATGCCCTGCTGCTGCCCAACATTGGTCTTCCCGTATTCGTCCGCTCCTCGTCGTTCTCCCTTTCTTGCGGTTCTAGTGACGCCAGCGTTCTCGAAAACGGATTCGCCGGTACGTTGCTCGGCGGCGGGGTCGCTTGAGGGTGGTTCACGTATGGACTTGGACTTGGGGGCACGTCTGCTACTGCCATGGCGTCTTTCCCAATAACTTGAGCATTGGCTTCGCCTGCTGTGACTGAACTGTTGGCATAGCCAGCGGGTGTTACGGGGGGCGGGGGGCTCGCAGGAGGACCTTGGCTCGATCGCCTGTCTCTGAGCTCGCTCAGAGTCGCATGCTTGTCGTCAAACGAGTAGGGTGGGATTGTCGTAGTGGGAGAAAGTATGCGGACAGACTTCTTTGTCTTTGTCGGCGGAGGGGCGGCATCTTCGAGCACTGTAAGACAATTACTCCTTGAATGCCAGCAGACGCAGAAAGGCAAGGCGAGGGAATACCATGGTCGTTGTCCTCCCTACGCGCCTCAGACACACTGCTATCCGTGTTGATGAAGGAGGTCTGCGGGACGGCCGCGGGCTGACGAGGAGCTTGAGAAAGGCGGAAAGGGTTCCCGGACGACATGGCGGGCGTTAAAAACAATGCATTATTCTATTTACATGGAAGAAGCTTGGGTGAGGCGGTGAGATGGTGCAGCGCAAGAAATGCTGCTGCTGATGGTCGGCTCTGCGACTTGATCATCGCCGATATGCAGGTGCTGGCGATCCGGCGCGGGACAACGAACAGACCCCACCATCGTACCTCGTACGCATTGTTGCCTACCAATGGAGAACTCGGATATGCATGTGTCACAATCCTGCAGACGATATCTGTGTTTTACAGATGGGCCTTGTGCGATAACTGACTCGTATTGAAGAATGGGCTTGTTGTAAGAATTGACATCAGTCCAGTTCTCTGAAACCGCGGATCACCGCTAATGTGCAGTCATCTTCGCAGCGACCAAAGCTATCTACGTCTATCTCTATCTCTGCCTCCATAGTACGCTAGTCGACATACACATGCCATCCAGCCTGGCAGCCAAACCACTTTCGCGCCAAGTTACCTCCACTCTCTGTCGGTTGACTAAAAGCGACTTTGGCCTTGTCAACGTTTAGCCCATAGAGAAAGTCGGATCTTACGGAATCTAACAGTCTGGTAGCAATACCATTCTTTCTGTGCTGATTCGAAGTCCATATACGCGATATGCCCAGGGTCACTGGATCCGAGTCGGTGCTGATAGAAATAGAAGAGCTCTGCGACACGGCAGCATCTCCATCTTCCTGTTCGAGTGAAGTGGTGGAGTTCAAGACCCTGTAGGCTTCCCAAATACGCTCCGCCAGGCATGCTCCTACGCACTTGTTGCCTCGAATGTATAGATATATCTTGAATCGATCGACAAGGGGCACGTTTGCTTCACTCTTCACTGAGGACTGCTGTTTCGAACTCGCAGTTCTTCTTTCAGTCGCGTCTGCACAGGCTGTCCGGTTGGTCTGTCCCCAAAGCTCATCGTCTGATATTGGAACAGCTGCAAGCTCCGTATTCACGACCTTCAGCACGTCGCTGGCCCGGTTGCGCAGCGCCAGTGTATCCTTCCTTCCGACCACAGCAATAAAGCCCCCCTCACCACTCCATATCTGATTCTTCCTGAAGCGCTCAACGACTGGCTTGGTGAAGTCCACTCCACCAAGGTTCATCGCATGAAACTTCTTGTGTAGCGCCGCGTCCTCAGCATGCGACGGTATATATTGCATCCCACATGTCTTACACGTTTTCCGCGTCTCTGATGCCAAGTCTAACTGCATCTGCACCATCTGCTTCTTCTTAGGCGCAGGCTTCGGCGAGCTTTGCACATTGTGGCTCTGTTCTACAAGGGCTTCTTTGACGGGCGCTCTAGGCTTGAGTTGCTTCTTGAATATCGAGAAGACCGGCCGCCGTTTCTGAACAGGCGGCGGCGAGCTGCGTGGGACTGGGGATGACGGTGGACTAGACTGAGGCGGTTCGTCTGAGAAGACTGCGGGCGAATCTTTCGGGCTGGATGGAGGAGGGGTAGAGCTTCCACGTTCAAGAGACGACACGATGACCGTGGGAGCAGCATCGAGTGACGTTAAGGCTGTGGATTTGGTGTATTCGATAGTGGTCTCGACGCGTCTTCGTTTGGTACGCGGTTCCTCATCGTAGAGTTGGCGCTTTGTTTGTCGCGAGTAGGTTCTCACAACCTTCCTATAGCCTTGTTAGACGTGTAAAATATTCTCAATATTATGACTCACTTTGCTCCGAAAGACGACATGGAAGCACCGTTGCGATGTGAGGTAGGAATTCCGAGCGCTGGATAGCCCACGCGACAGACGCGTTTTAGCGCGCTGCGCTAATATCACCTCCACACGACGTCACCCCTCTTCTAGTCACATGTCCCCAACCCAACCTTGTAGGATTATGATCCAGCGTGCAGGTCATAACCATCAAGTCTTTCATTACCTGATGGTGATGACCACATCTTGGTCGTATTTGATGGTAATCAATGAGTGCAGCTATCTCAGGCCACCAGTTACCCCTCCTAACTGGGAAGGTGCGTCTGCCTCGCGTCGTTTAGCCTGATCCTGCGTCTTCGTATCCCAGCCATGAGTCAACGGCTGTGAAGAAGATAAACTGTTTAAGACTGCATACAAATTAAGCTCTCCTTGGCACCCTGGCTTCATTGCATCCTTCCTCTTTGACAGCATCCGTTTGTGTACTGCATTTCAGCCAACATGGCCGGACAATCGACACCAACACAGACGAGCGCATCAGTTCCATCACCCATAGTAACAACTACGCGTCTGATAATCCGTCCTATGCATCTTGAAGATGCCCCAAACACAAGTCTCCATGCAAATGACCCGCTGATCGCTCAATACATGAGGAACACCTTTCCCAACCCATATACACGTTCCAGTGCCGAGCAATGGATCAACATGAACCTCGTACTTCCATATCAACATCATTTCGTTATCTGTGAGCGGTCATCTCCAGATGTCGCTATTGGGGGTATCGGTTTGAAACTAGGCATGGATGTGTACGCGCATACTGCGGAAGTTGGTTTCTGGATTGGAAAGTCATTTTGGGGAAAGGGGTATATGACAGAAGCGCTGGAAGCCTTCACAACATGGTCGTTTGAGAGCTACGAGAACAATGGACAGCGATTGACGAAGCTTTACGCCGGCGTATTTTCTGGTAACGTGGGGAGCATGCGATGCTTTGAAAAGAATGGATATGCGCTCGAAGGTGTACTGAAGGGTCATATTGTGAAAAATGGTGAGGTCAAGGATGAGCACATGTTTGGGATGACAAAGTCCAATTGGGAGAGAAGGATGAATGAGAGCACTAAGACTTGAGAAGTTGTGATCTGCGGCACAAGGAGCGAACCAGAAAAATCTATTAGACTGTTTGTTTGGACGTTCAAGGCCCCGGCTGAGCGATATACGCCTGAAGCTGCATAAGTAGTATCTCAACTGGTACGTTGTGTCTTGCTGCCTTGATTACGACAGATCTCTCGCCAGCGTAATGACTGCCTTCTATCAATTCTTGCGCCTTGTTTTCTCCAAGCAAATCCGTCAAGCTGTAGACTGCAACCTTCTTCCCTCGCCAGACGGTGGTATGAAATTCAAGCTCTGGATACCGCACACGAGGTTTTAGATGAGAGACAACAGGGCCACTATACCAGTTCGGGGCTTTGTGGGTGACCTCTAGAGCAGCGTGAGGGTCGAGCTTCGCCTCGAAGCTCTTGGTAAAGTAGTTTGACCATTTTTCCAGTTCGGTCGTGATCCGATCTGCCTGGTCTTGCAAATCGTCCGCGCGAGTACGAAGCGATCGGAATATGATCACACAGGAAACGTCTTCTACGCCCTCAATGTCCTCAGTGCGAGGGCTTGCGACTGGAATCAAGCGGCCTCTGAAACCAAAATTCCAGCTGAGTTTGCTGACTGCTCTCTTGCGCATGACATCCAGTACGAAATCTGGCATGTCCTCTCTCCAGACCATCTTCCTCAAATTATGACCACCATACTTTTCGTTCATGCGTGCATAAAGAGCTCTCTCCCATGCCCTCCTTTTGCCCATGTATGCGGCGATCAGATGCCTCCCGAGAAAACGAAACGGAGGACCAAGATGCTTCTTATCTGTGGTAAGAGAGACAGGCAGGAGCCACGGGTCTTTCGTTGTGGGGTGGGGGCGGGCGTTGAGAGAGACCAAGAAAGCGGTGGGGAGTACGATTTGTACCGCGCGACAATGGCGAATAGGTGACGCCAACGCGTGGGCTGAACCGTCAGATACGTGTGTTGACTGAGTACAGGAATGTGCATACCGAATGGATTCATCCATAGCTTCTTCTGAAAAGGTGTAAATTCTGCAAATTTTGGGCGCTCTTTTGTTTGCTCGAAACGAGATCTTTCATCTACGACTAACGGATCGAGCAATGGCGACAACGGAAGTTCTTTGGCTGTTTCGTCCCTACGAAGGCGGAACGTCTGGTGGGCATCTTCTCGTGTAGGGCCGAGGTCGCGGCCCCTCAGGATGCGACCTGGGACGTGAGCGGAAGACTGGCGGCATTGAGCCCGCAAGGATAGTCTAATGGGGCTCAAGCATAGTTTCGGGCGACAAGTCCATCTGCCTGGCATCAGGCAAGAAAGATGGGCGACTGTGTGATTCGTATGAGGTAATGAGGCGGCATCGTGAAAGATTCCAAACCACTGCGTCGGACCCCCGGCTTGGCGCGCCATAGCTTCGTTCGTGTGGGGAGGAGGGAGCTACCCCAACATCACACATTATGGCTTCTCTTCTACGGCGGGCCACAAGGCCATCGACACTACAAAGCTTCTATAGAAATGGCACGCGATCCATGTCAAGCCAATTCGGCTTCCAACCGCAATGGACCCCACAGCAACAAGACCAACAGACACCACGAGCAATCTCGCTGCCCATACCCTACGTGACAGAGACCACTGTAAGCCCAACGACGCTGTTACTCGCTTCCTATCTGACTTCGTAGGGTGGAGGCTGGAAAACTTCTGATATCTTCTCGCGTCTGCTCCAAGAGCGAATCATCTGCCTGAATGGCGAGGTGGACGACTACATGTCCGCCAACGCCGTCGCACAACTCCTCTTCCTCGAAGCCGATAACCCCGAGAAGCCTATATCCATGTACATCAACTCGCCTGGTGGCAGCGTGAGTGCCGGTCTTGCCATCTACGATACCATGAACTACATCCGCTGCCCAGTCAGCACGATATGCATGGGCATTGCAGCCTCCATGGGGTCCTTGTTGCTCGCAGGCGGCGCAGAAGGCCAGCGATACATACTGCCACACGCAAGAGTCATGATACACCAGCCGAGTGGCGGATACCGCGGTAAGGCGAGCGACATTGCCGACCATGCCAAAGAGATCTTGAGAATTCGAGATAAATTGAACAAGATATACCAGTCGCATGTCACAAAGAAGAGGACATTGGAAGAGATCGAGAAGTACATGGAGCGTGATTATTTCATGGACGCGCAGGAGGCGGTAGATTTCGGTATTGTAGACAAGATACTGGAGAAGAGAGAGGCTCCATCCAAGGACGATGAGAAGAAGTAGGACTCTCGACTATTCAGCAGCACACACAAGATTATGACCTGAAATAACGGAAATCAGAATGTGCCTATGACCGATTTAATGCTCATTGTTTTTGCAGTAGCCTATTATCACCACATGCATCGAACCATGGAGATGCATACTTTCCGGCTCTGGAGAACCATCGACTATCCACTCCTAGGCAAACGATAGTATACAAAGAGGGCCTTTTCCTTCAGTTGTTCTCACACTAGACCGTACCCCCAAAGGAATTCGCTGTGATCCAAACGGAGATGCTAACAAAACACATGATAGTGTACATTCTCAGGATGAGCTTTGGCGTCACATAAATTTAAAAGGATGAATTTGCTCGTGGCAACGCTAGCTTGGCTTACTCGGTTGGCATGGCGTAAACAGAGTAATCACATATCACATATGAGCGCGAGCTGGGTCATCTAGTCTATTCAGTGCTTTTGCTTTTCCTAAGTATATGCATTACAAAACTCGGCGTATGACACGCAGTTTCTGTTCATGATTCGCCCACAACTATGTCAGAACAACAGATGCTAACATAAAACAAGATCCTACAATCGCTTCTGGTTAGGGTGGTCCTGAGTGCTGCGCCTCACCCCTGCATAACGGCTGGAGGACGCACTTCGGCCAGGGTCAGGAACTCTGAGGTCGCACAATCGTTTCGTGAACTTCTAACCAAGCCCCAAGTTCGATTTATTGTTTGCTGTGGTTACACACTCACGCGTACTCGATACACGGCTGAGACAATTGTGGTCCTGACGAAGTCGTAACTTTCGTACTGGGCTAAACCACTCAGGGGTTCGCATTATAAGATATAGCGAAAGAACAGTGACATTCATAGTCACGCAAGTATACTTCAAAGTTTTCACTAGCTTATCATGCCAGAGTTCGAATTCATGCCCGGCGATCCCAAGTATCCGACCGTCACCAGCATCTCGAATAAGCAAATTGATTTGATCAGTAATGCAAATCCTCAAGCCAAAGACAAACGAGTTTTTGATTGGGACATGCTGGTGTAAGTGTATCAACCTGAGGATCCTATCAATACTCATGGTCCGTAGCTTCGACAATTCTATAATATCTGTGCTCGTCGGGACAGGCAGTGGCAAAGCAGACTTTCGTGTGCATAAGACGCTCTTTACATCCAGATCCAAATTCTTCGAGCGCGCTACTAGCAACGACTCACAAGGGAAAGATGAATTGTTAGTAACGCTACTAGATGAAGATTCACAAACTTTTCGTCTATACCTCAACCTCGTATACGCAAATCAGCTGGTCACCAGAGGTCCAGAACAGTGGCCGAAGCTGTGTCAGCTATACGTGTTGGCGGAAAAACTACAAGATACCAAATCCAAGAACCAGATCGTTGAGGGAATGTACAGTTTCTTGAACGAGCTTCTCCTCAAACCCTGGTCACCTTCTACCAGATCGAAACATTATCTCCCTGCTGAAGCAACGGCAATGCTGTTCGAGGGTATGACCGAAAAAAGTCGGGTCAGGGCGCTCCTTGTGGATTTCTACGCAGACTTTGGTGACAAAATCTTGCTTCGGGAGGCGCAGGCAATATTGCCGGCCGATTTCATCTACGATGTTGCCGGCCGATTGTTGGAAAAGCGCGGTCATGTTATCTTTGGCTCACAAATCGTGCACCCTCCGTCTTACTACTACGAATTCAAGATTTCTTTGCCAGAGAATACTGGCACCGTCACCAAAGAAACAAAGGAAGCCTCGATAGACGAACGGAGCGACACGGTCAATGTTGCTAAAGCAGTGGAGAAGGACACTACAAAAACTGACGGAAATTTCAAAGCTACCAAGCCTGACCCGAAGCTTGGAAGTCTACTCGGGGCAGCTTCTCATGTGGGGACACCGGCTGCGGACAATGCACTACCGCTCCTCAAAGGGCTCGCAACGACAGTGAAATGACCACTGGACAGTGGTACGAAGACATCATTAGTAGTCGGACGTCGAAGTTATTAGATGACACAGATACAGTATTAATGACATGTTTTATGTAATTTCTTTGATGCAAATGAATTATTCGAAACCGTGAGAGCTGTGTGGCGCTTCGTAGCGTATGCCTGCGAGATAGCCATTTTCCTGTTCAAGCACTTTGAACACACTCGGCCAAGGCACTCCAGCCATCACTGCACCAAGGTGCTAACATAATTGCCCTTTGAGCATCTCCTACGTTGCCAGTACTGCCCATGGCACCTGCCAAACCAACAGCACTCAGCGTACCATTCGGTGGCGCGTTTCGCATCGCAGTTTCCTTCGCAAGTGTACTGGCAAAAATATCGCCTCCAGCAGCGTCAGCGAGCTCAGTCCAACCGGTGTGTTTCCAAGGCGCAAGCATGACACTGCGTCGGGCCTCATCCAGTTCTTGTTCCTCGCCACCCAAACTAACCGAGATGGCTTCAGCAACCTTCTCCACCCGGGCAAGCTGCTCGTCACTGAGCTCCTTGTTCGTGCGCAGTCGGTCCAGATCGTCTTTGATGGCTTCCATGGTTTCTAAATCATCATCAAGCACCGTCATGGCGCCGATGAGTGTCAACAAGCCCACATGACCTTCATGCTTCTCTATGGCGGTAAAGAGTTGGTCACGAGCCACTTGCTTCTCGGTCTCTCCACCCTTTGCCCAGAGTACTTCAGCGAGGATGCAAATAATGTCTGGGTTGGCTCCGGTTGCCTCAAGCGACGTTCTGAAATATGGTATGGCGGCATCGAAGGAGCCGCTGAAGTAGTGTGCTAGACCAGTTGTAAGACGAGCTGATAGCTTAGTCTTTGTGATCTGCTCCTTGGACAATGCAGACTGTTCCGCGTCGCTTTCTAGCTCCGAGAGCAGGTCTAGTACTGTCTCAGCTTCTTCCACGGCTGGACCATAAGACCTAACGGCGAGGAGGTTGCGAGACAGGTCCGTCTTGGCTTGTGCAACACGAGCCAGTGATTTCAGCGATTCTGACTTCTCATACTCTTGCTCGACAGTCTCGTTTACAGCTTGCAGAGCAGCCACTGCTGCATCGTAATTGCCGACACGCTCTAGGAACAGTGCAGCTAGGTGCTTATGTGGGATATCGTAAGGCACTTGTATGTTGAGCTGTTGGAGCGCAAATAGAGGTTGTATAAGGTTCGTGATGTTGCTGGATGACGAAGGCGAAGACACTAGGAAGTCGAAAGCTGAGACGGCATACTGCCGTTTCGTTAAGAGCAATGATGATTCCGAGAGCTCGAATGCGTGGGTAAAATGGGAGAGCGCCTCGTTGGAGTCCCCGGTAAGCAATGCAATGATTCCTTCGCCTACCCAAGCCAACGAGTAGTCAGGATCTTGTGATTGCGCTCGTGAGAAGGCGGTGTGTGCAAGCTCGTGATCATTCTGTAAAAGGTAAAGCGCTCCAAGATTCGTCCAGGTGTGCACACTACGCTCGTTGAGATGCAAGGAGCGAACAAAAGCATGTTGAGCGACCTTGGGGCTCAGTGTTGTTGTAATGACACCAAGCGAGTTCCAGAACTCCGAATTCCCAGCTTCAAGTTCGATAGCGCGTTTGAAACACTTCATGGCTGCTCGGAGGTAGGTTGTTAATTTGAAACCTTCAGTGCCTTCCTGCTCTAAGCAGACATGCGCTCTGTACTCAGTCCAACCTAGGTTATACCACGCCACAGCTTGTGCGTGTATGTCGTGCGCACAGCTGGATATTGCTCGCTTTTGTGCAAGTATCGAGGCTTTGAGCACTTTTGCGAGAGTAGTGTGTTCGTCTGTAGAAAGTGCAGTCAAAGCATCCTGTCCGAGCCCATCAATATCCTTGTGCTCGTCGAAATCGATCTTCATATCCGACTTGCTGCGCAGAACCTTCTCGATCAACTCTACAGGGAACTGCTTGAGCTTTTCCTGGACCCAAGTGAACAGACTGCATGCATCGCCAACAGCTTTCCAAAGGTTAAAAGCATCCGGTTTGTACTCGGTTATCGTCAGCGCAACCTCGATACCCCGGGTAGCGCTGTCGGCAGCCTCTCCGAAAAAGCCTGTCTCAACGCAATGCCAGCCCTTCTCTACAAGCGTCTGTAGGAGTGCTATTGAGACGCCGAACTCTTTCGGGCGAGATGCTAGTACTGCTTCGTACCCTGCAAGAGCTTCGTCAAACTCACTCAGCTCTCGGTTGACGTTGGCAAGCATGTACTTGGTAAACCATCCCTCTTCATCGGATCTCTTCAACACAACGCCATCTGTGGGATTTTCTGCATAATTGAACGCGCGTGATGCTGAGTTGTATCGTCCAGAATTATGATAACTCTCGCCGAGGCCGACATAGGAGTAGTAGTCATCCGGGCTAATGCGCAGTGCTGATAAGAACGATACGACGCTCTTTTGGTATTCCTGTTTGTTCATCTGCACGACACCCAATGCGGAAAAGGGCCAGCTGACACCTTTTCGTTTTGAGCCTGGGGTTTGGCGTGCTTTACCAGAGTCTACAACTCGCTGAGAAACAACCTCAACAATGTCCCACTCGCCTTGGTTGGCAAAAAGGCGTGCTAAGCGCTCGGCTGCGACAACTTCAGAGGGCGATAGCTCGAAGGCCTTTTGAAAGCACTGTCGCGCTCTTTTGCGGTCTTTGTTATAATCCTGGTAGAAGATGCCGAGCAGAGTGTATGCTGGAGCATAATTTGGGTTTGCCTTGATCGCCGCAAGTAGCTTCGCATACGTTCTTTGGCGGTCCTTCCTCGCAGCCTTTGACGGGTCGAGCTCCCATAAACAGACACCTATCCTATAAAGCGTCTGTGCGCGGAGCTCACGGCCTCGTTGCTTGGAGGCATCGAGCTGTGGGTATTCGAGATATCCTTGGAGTCGTTCTAATCCAGTCTTGTAGTCGCCTGCAAGTGCTTGACACCAGGCTGACTCTGCACCTATGCGGCCGTTTGAGGGATCTTGCTGTAACGCCTTTTCAAGGAACTGGAAAGCTTGCTCGTATTCCTCCTCTTCTTCCAAGACCAGTCCGATGCCGATGAGTGCAGAGGTGAATTGTGGTTTGCGCTTCAAGATGGACTCGAAGATACCTTTGGCCTCCAGATGGTTCCTTGGGGCCTGATAATAGACCAACGCAGTAGCAAGTGTACTACTCAAAGCGTCGCGCGTCCTTTGAAATGACAAATCGGTTCTTTTTGCCTCAGCAGCCGCGTACTTCAAGCCTTTTCTTGTCGTTTCGACCGCGCTTTCGTACTCCTCTAAGGACAGGTAGTAGTCTCCGAGCAAGCAGTGCGCCAATGGTGACCTCGCAGCCTCACCAATCCCTTCCGTCATCAACACCAAGCAGTCCTCTTGTGATACGGGCACATCTTGAGTAAGAGCTACCCCTCCCTCACTCAGGTCAGGTCCTTCTCTTGAGTCGCCCTCTTCCGTTAGCGGATATTTCGATATGCCGCTGCTCAGCCAGCCAGTGATGACTTTAGATAGGCCCTCATCGGGGAAGAGCTCGACGAATTGCCGCAATGTCGATATGTCGAGATCTAGGAGGTCGTGCGCACTGTCCGCGTGTGACGCCATGACAGCAACCCGAATATTTTACCCAGCCAATGAAAGGTAGAACGCTGACAGATGCTTCAACGAAAGGAAGTGGAATTATCAAAAGCGCCTGGAAGAGCAGGCGGCGAAAAGTCGTGGCTGATGAATTGCAGAAGGGTCGAGGTTGGTGTTTGTCGTTTGGTAAGGCTGAAGACCAGGATCGACGCTAGCATGCCGTGCGTCATTGCTTGCTCTTTCGACGCTGCAAGCCCCACCAAAGCTTCCACAGTTCAATTCACTCCTTATGGGTCTTTCATAACACGAATAACGCCGTACGGACGGCCATATTCCTACCCTCATTACCTGAAATAACACTATGTCTACAAAAACCGCTCTCAAGGCCGCAAAGGCTGCTATTGGCGCAAAGGATTGGGAGGAAGCAAAGAACCAAGCGGAGGCAGTGTTGGAGCAGGATGCCCAGAACTACTTTGCCTATTTGTTCCTTGGGCGCGCGAACGACGGCTTGAGCAGGTTTGAGGAAGCAGCGAAGGCCTATTATGACGCGACCAAGATCAAGCCCGACGATGCGCAGGCATGGCTAGGACTGAGGGGCATGTACGAGGGCCTCAAGGGCGCAAAGGTTGATGAGAACACTGATGTTGGCCTGGAGTTGGCACAAATCTACATGAACCTGTATGCGGTGCAGATGCTGGAGATGAGGACGAATTGCTGACCAGAGTAGCGACGACGCGTACAAGTCCCAATCAGCCATCGATAAGCTCGTCGATCATGCCCGCGCACATGGCACCAAGACTCAATATGCACGTGCGCTTAGCACACAACTACCATCCTCGCCCGTCTATTCGTACCTTGAAGGTCGCCTGCCCGACCCCTCCAAAACCTATACGCGTATCGCCGAGATCCACGAGACACAGGAGGCTTCCACAATCAAGCGCCTCATAGAAGAGAGGCGACTCCGCATCGGCGCGACGCTAGAAAATACTACCTCTTCTGTGAAGAATGAGATATATGCTGCTAGTCCACTAGAAGGCATATACGAGGAGATCATCAACTGGACGAGAGACGACGAGCTCAGGCGCGAATACGAAGAGAAGCTACTAGCTAGAGCGTACGATACCTTGATGGTGCTGCCATCGGGAGAGAAAGCAGACAAGAGAGAGAAAGTCATGAAGCTGGCACACGACATGGTCGTTATCAAGCATCCGAATCTACTGGCTTGGACAATCGAATTGGAATGGCGGAGCGGCATGGAAGTTGAGGCGTATTAGATGTCTTCACAAGATTCGGCATAGCAAGGCGTTTGGTGCATGGACAGGACCGGACTTAGGCGCCTCTACATGATTACACATATTTCCATTAAGATAATCTTCTTACGAATCAATCCCAAAAGTCAAACACCAAACGCCGCCTATGCTTGCCTCTTTCTCTACGCGTTTGCAGCCCCAGCGACCCTTCTTCGCTCTTCTACACTGAACAGACTTTCGCCTTGCTTGAGCGCATGAATGAGCATCGGCACGCTACTCGCCTTGAAGTCTTGCGCTTCACGCACTTTGTCAAGATCATCGGCGAACTCGGCTGCGACTTTGCGTAGATAGATAGCGCTGAAGTCCTCTTGCGCCTGTTTGCTGACCTTTGACGCTGCTTTTGTTTGCGGTGCAGGAGCTGGCGCATCCATCATGACAACATCTCCATCTGGCTGAGCATCCGGTGCACTGGCAGTTTGAGACTTCTTCTTCTTCTCTTTCTTCTCTTTCTTCTCTTTCTTGGCGGGTGTTGGTGCCGGTGAAGGCTCCTTTTTCAAGTTAGCTCAGACAAATTCTATTCGACGCGACTGTGGTACCTTGGCCTCTTCTTCTACCATAGCCACTTTTTGGCTCCTTGGGCTTGAGACATCGCTGTCACTTTCGCTCGATGATGAGACTGCTCAGTTGTTAGCACATGCCTCGCCGTCTGTTGCATACGCTTGTCGCACCTTCGGTCCTCGTCCTTCTCTTCTTTGATCTCTTCTTCTTCTCGACAACGTTTGCTCCTCTTTGCGCCGCCATTTCTGTTGTGCTGAATGGAGTTGGAAAAAGTTCGAGACGTGAATGATTGTTATCGATAAGGCACGTGCGCCGCTAAATTCAGGGTCTGCCCTTTTCTCAGTGCTGGGGTCTCTCTTGGCTCATGGATGCCTTTACGATATCAACGCAAACGTTATCGCGGATAAGCCCTCATCTAACACGTGTTCAAAGCTCTCAGAGATAAGAATGTGTACGCCGAAATGTGCTTGCTGCGCGTAGAACATGGAAGGATCGCTCTTGCGCGAGATACAATTATCTTTATCTGAACTAACTTGGAAAGACCATACATAGACCTGATCTAACAAATGGTCTCTATCACAGCTAGCTCTGACATGGCACTCTTTACACTAGTCTTAAGCGCCTCACTAACAGGCATGTATGGCCGCCTTGGGTTAAGCCTCTCCTCTGCACCCTCGATACCTGCTGCTTTCGCACTGTACTGGCTGACGGCGTGCTTCGTGGGCGCAATACCAGCCTTGATTGGGCTCTCTGCAAGTGCCGCCTTCCGATGTAGCTCTAGTGCTGCTTGTGTCTCGCCACTGGTATACAACTCATAGATCTTCGAGCAGACCCTTGGGAAGACATTACTGAATGCTGATACGCAACCAGCGCTTCCAACTGCCAGGCCGGCTACCATCCAATCCGCCTGTCCAGCATACGTAGAAAAGGTATCGCCCGGCAACTCAGCACAAAGCCTTGTGATTTTCGCTACGCTACCACATGTCAACTTCACACCGACGATCTTCCCTGGGTTTTGTTTGGCAAGCGCAGCGATTGTGACAGAATCAAGATCCACTCCATTGCAGATACCCGGAAAGTTATAGATGACGATAGGCAACTCAGACTTCTGTGCGACCTCGTTGTAAAAGGCCATGACAACCTCTTTGGATGTCGCAGGCCCATAGTATGCGGCTGGCAGCAACAGCCCGTAGTTCGCTCCGGCTTCGATGGCGTCGCTGATATTCTCCATTACCTGTGGTACGGAGAAGCTCGAAATTCCCACCATGAGGGGGTAGTTGGGGCCGACAGCCTCGCGGGCGCATTTTACCAATGCCTTTTTCTCGTCGCGAGTGAGCTGGAACGCCTCAGCATTCGAGCCAAGAATGACTAAACCAGTAAGACCTGATTTGGAGAGGTATGTGAAGTACTGCTTCTGTGCCGCGAGATCCAAGGTTGCCGTGTCGCTTTCGGGAGTGTAGAAGGTTACCGCGGGGCACCAGACGCCTGGAGCTGGGGGAGGAGCCATTATGTTACTAATCGTGGGAACTGGCCCTTGAAGATTATATGCTTTCTGTACAGGTTCCGGTGACCTAGGCGGGGTGGTGGGGTATGGATGGAGCCGTAGATTTAATGTTGATGTCCAGCCAGCGTCGTTGTGAGCAACTCAATTTGTAAGACGCAGCAGATTTTGAGCGACAGTATATATAATACGGATGAGTTGAGAAGACGCAGGTGTTCATGCAGTATCGGGAGGTATGCCGTGAGCCTTGAATAGCCGCCTGGACGGAACGGTCCGACAGTCCGATAACGCAACTTCATGTCTTGCGTTGAGCCTATCTAGGTACAATCTTAGCATCTTTCACCATTCTGACGATCAGCGATCTTGAGAGCATGCTCTCTTATGGAGGTTTCATCATTTCAATTTAGGCTTGTACTGCAAGGGTGATTTGAGAATGGCCGGCCTAGCTCTCACCTACCCCTAACCCCGCCGCTATTCGCAATACCTAGGTAGATTGGACAGCGTCCGCCATCCTTAAGTTATCAACGTCGTGAAGAAGTAAGATATTTATAAGCTCGAACAATGGCATGGAAACAGCTACGTCTGATATTGGTAAAAGATATTTCATCGGCACATTTAATCTCTCCGCAATATTTCTCACTATCCGTCTCCAAAACTACTCCCACTGCAGATACTGCGGCCATTGGAAGATTATAGATGGAGCTGGTGGTAGATTAGGTTTTTGACATAGAATACGCAAGGTCGTATGTTCAATACCCACATGTACAAGAGAGAGGATGTTGATGACAATAAGAAAAAACAGTCGTGGGATGTGTCATAATGGGAAGAAAGGAGTGGGATGACTTGTTCATAAGACCCGCAGAAACAGTACTAGCTAAGATAGTAGTCAAGTTCTAGAACCTGGAGTGTATACACTAGGTACTAGAGTCCAGGTTCCTCCGTCAAAACGCCGCTACGGAAGATCTCGAAATGTCCAATCATCTTCCAGGACTGTTGGCCTAGTAGCATTCATCTACCTTACAAGCGGAGATCGAACCAGAAGATAGAGACGGTCCTGAAGAGCAGAGTAAAATGTTTCAGGCCTTCCAGAAAATCTTGGAATGCATCAGGACTGTAGTTGGGGTCCTACTGACTTTAATGGCGAAATCTCTGAGTAAAAACAAACGTAGTTTGTTCGAGAGCTCGAAGACCTGGAGAAGCAGGAACGCCAAACGCATTAGAGTTTGACAGTAACTAGGATATCTAGTCAGCGTTCGTCTACCTGAGTAGTCAGGAATGCACATCGGTGCGAAACGCTGGTCTGGAAGCTGCAAATTCGGATATATATCATATCTCGATGCAGTGGGACGAGTAACTATGCATATCCCAAAACATGTAATCATTCAATGCATTAAATTCGCTCTTATTCAAATTTCATTAGCAAAGTCAACACTTAGATCTTAATGCCCTCCAAGATTGGCTTCGCCTCCTCACTCTGCCACCACCCGTCCTTGCCTCCAGGGAAGCTAAACTTGTCCATGCTTTCGGGCTTCATCTCAACCGAGTAACCTGGGTCCATAGGTGTAACGTAGTATCCGTTCTCGATTCTTGAGGGGTGGAAAAAGTGCTCGTGCAAGTGGTCAACGTACTCCAGCACCGACTTCTTCCCTGAGACAACAACGTAGTCAATGGTAGAAAGATGTTGAGTGTACTCTGGCAGACCGACACCACCGGAGTGCGGCACAATGGGGATGTTGAATTTGGCAGCCATAAGGAGGACGGCAATGACTTCGTTGACACCACCGAGACGGCAGGCGTCGATTTGGCAAATGTCGATGGCTCCTGAGGCGAGGAACTGCTTGAACATGACGCGGTTTTGGCACATCTCTCCTGTTGCGACACCGATGTTGTAGGGCTTGAGGGCTTCTCTTATGGCTTTGTGGCCAAGAACTAGAGGAATTAGTCAATATTCGATGTAACACAAGTGAGATAAGGGAGAATGCATACCATCGTCAGGGCTGGTAGGCTCCTCGATGAACCACGGCTTGAACTCCTTCAACGCCTTCATGTACTCGATTGCCTCTGGTACGCTCCATACTTGGTTCGCATCGACCATGAGCACATTGCCCTTGTCGAAACCGATAATCTCTCGTGCGATGCTAAGGCGCTGCTTATCTTGCGCAATGTCGCTTCCAACCTTGAGCTTGAAGTGCTTGTATCCCTTCTCCAGTGTCTCCTTGAGAAGGCCACGCATCTTGTCCTCTCCATAGCCTAACCAACCTGCAGAGGTTGTGTATGCGGGAACGGCTTGGCTGTTAAGAGCTTCTTCGAGTCGCTCTTTCTTACCAGCTTCAGATTTGGTGAGGATCTCCAGCGCCTCCTCAGGAGTGATAGCGTCGGTTATATAACGGAAGTCGATCAAATCAACAATCTGCTGTGGTGTCATGTCTGCTACGATACGCCATACAGGCTTGCCGAGCGACTTTGCCCACAGATCCCAGATGGCGTTTACAACAGCACCAAGAGCGAGATGGATAACACCCTTCTCTGGTCCGATCCAGCGGAGTTGAGAGTCGTTCACTAGGTGACGCCATGTCTTTCCCCAGTTGGCGACAAGGGAGTCAAGTGTGTGGCCCTTGATGCGGTCCGCGAGATAGGCGATGGCAGTGCATACGATCTCGTTACCACGACCAATTGTGAAGGTCTAGAAAATGTAAGCGGATTGGAACCGGATTGTCATCGAATCGGAATAGAACTTGAGGTAATCTGCTGTGAACAGAATGCTTCGCCCAAAGCGTCAAGATAGAGGTATGACAGGAAAGCGATGTTACAAGGTATTCATCACCTTGTGAACTCATGTCTTTCCTTTTTTGTATGAAATCAGACAGAATTTGAACTTACCATGCCATGACCCTTGAACTCAGAGTCTGTATGTAAGATACAGTATGCCGAAGAGTAGTCTCCCGCTGCGTTCATAGCATCGGAACCAGTCTTGTCAAGGGATGTCTAGTCCAGAGAAGTCAGCTCTGTCTTCAAATTTTGATCCATGATAAAACGTACCGGAAACCGCACATCCCTCGTCTCAGCACCTGTGATTGTAATGACCATTGTGATGTTCTTGTTGCGTTGCTATCAACGTTCGGAATTATCGGAATGTAGCGTGAAATACCCCGCAAAGCTTCCAGAAGTTTGAAGCAAAGTCTTGAGGATGAGGAGTTAGAGGATGAACAAGTCAAGACTGAAGTTGATTGAGCGAAATACTTATTGGAACTCAGGATCTAGACGGTCTATTTAACTGGCAAGGCATCCGGCGCAAACCTCCACGTACCTCCACACCAAATAGTGCCAACCGCCCGCAGTCCGCGCCATCGTGAGTTTAACCCCACTTGCCCCTCATCATTCGTGGAAGAACTCGTCGCGCCACTTGTCTGGGGCTGGGAAAACCGGGGCATCTGGCAACGTTGCCCACGGTTGCCGGCATATTATTTACCTCACACGTGAGCTTTTACAGTGCTACACCCCACGAACTATAGGGGACCCTTGCTTTGCCAGGAGACTCCAGGTGCTTCGCACCTAGGCGAGAAGCTTGGACTCGACCGCGCATGACAATGCGTGAGGTGCGAAGGAGAAATTAAGAGAATAGCGGCCGTGACGACCAGGCCGGGTATGTCAATATAAGGCCCGTCCTTTACTTACTCTTGCACTTCGTGTACTATCGTGGAGCGTGATCAAATACCGCGGCAAACATGAACTTACCGGCCGCGGGAAGGCATGAGTGGATTCAAAGGAGTAGTCCAGCCCGAGGAGCATGAGTATCAATGTTGACACTCCAAGTCGATCATCATTGAGCACACGCCATACTAAAGCCGCACGCAACCACGGACTCAACTACCATCCAGCTTGGGACAATGGTAAGAAGACAACAAGCCTGTGCATTAGTGGTGTGACAATTGAAAGTAAAAGGACGGACCTGGTATGACTCCTCATCGTATCCATACACCCATTTATCTACACTTCGTTCGTGATGCAAGATCCGAGGACCCTACAACGCGTCAATAGCTACCCAGCACGAAAACCCCAGATACTCACTCGCCCGATTCCTGAGAATTGCAAAAACCACGATAGTGGTAACCTGGCAGACAATATCGGAGATGGACTCTTCTTCTGCATGAGCGGGAGGCGACACGCTCACTTAATACCCCTCTTCTCTGTCTCACTGTAGTAGATGACCATACGCCAAAGCTTCTTCACAAGAGACTCTGCTTCGTCATCGAGAGCGACTTCCAAGTTCTCCACAAGTGGTTGAGGTGCGCCCTTACTCTTCAAATGGTCCACGATAGCGTCGACAAGCATCTCTTCTTGAACACCTGTGAGCTCAAGAACCTTGTTTGCAGCCCACTGCTTGATGTCTTTGTCGATGTTCTTCTGAGGCAGATGCTCCCAAGCAACGGGCCATTTCCACAGGCCTTCCTTGTCGTTGGGAATGTCGCGTGCCAGCTGCCGTTGTGCTTCTTCGATTTCTTCTTGTGTAAGATTGGCACGTACAGCAGCGTCGAAGTTGATGGGCACAAGAGTTCGCTTCTTAGAGCCGCTTTGGTCCGTGAGATCTTCGTCCTCGAGCAAGTTTTCGACATCCGCTGCGGTTCGACGAGGAGCGGCAGTCTTTTCAAGCTTCTTGGCTGCAGCGCCAAGGGAGATCTTGAAGTGTGCTGGCTCGCGCTGCTCCTCCCTGCGCATAAGCTCTTCTCCATGTTCTTCCAAAAAGGCATCGGCCTGTCCACGGGCATGATCCTTCTGCTTCCTCTGTGCCGCCTGCTCGCGTCGCTCCTGCTCTCGATCGATAGCATCTTCCTTGGCCTCTTGGCCGCGAACCTGCTCGCGGTCGCGGATCCAATCGCTGTGATCGCGGTAGTAGAGATCGCGCCTTGAAGCTGCTTCCTGATCATCGTCAAATTCTCGGAGTTGCTTCGCCTGTGCAGTACGAGCCTTCTCGCGTTCCGCGTCCATGTTCTTGAAGTAGTCGTTTGTACGTTCGACGGAGGCAAAGGTGCGACGCTCTGTTTGGAGCCAGCGTTGGAGTTGCTTCTTGTATGCCTCGTCAGCATCTTCTGCTCGCTTCTTCTTGCGACGGCGCTCTAGTTCCGAATCGCTGGCCGAGTCGTCATCATCCTCTCGGTTAATGTATACGCCATTGTTTATAGCACCACCATTGACGAAGTTGACTCCGCCTTGGTAGTCACGCGGGAATTGGGAGCCCTTGGGCCCACTGGGGGCACCTTGAACACCCCTCTCTGCTCTTGGGCCAAGTGGTACGCCATTAGCACCTCCGGGACCAGTAGGCGCAGAAGGTGGTGGCGATGCACGCCTACCACTCCGCTTACGCTCCTCTGCCTCCAGTTCCTCTTCCTTCAAAAGTCGTTCTCTATCGCGTTGATTGGAACGATCGCGGAAAGCAGCAATCTCTGCGGCGACAATGTCACGCATTTCTGCCGGAATGTCTGCAAGCTCATCCTCACCGTTGGCAAGGTTCACAAACGCGACTTCCACGTCTTCACCATCTTGTGCCTGCGCATCTTGCATGGTTGTGTCTCCTGCGTAGTCGACGTTGGGTGCGCTTGGTGGATGGAAGAAGCTGGCGAGAACCGATGAGAGGGCTTCCTTTGCGCTATCCAGCCTGAACTGAACTGTAGCTTCGTCTTCGTTTCGGGTTTTGCTCCATTCCTCTGCGTACTTGATCGAGGCGTCGTCAACCATGACATGCAGTTGTGTCGTCTCCACCTCGTCCTGCTCATCGCCTTCGGGTTCGGCTTTCGGCTTGCCGGGCTTTTGTCGCTTTGTAGGCACACGCACGTCTTTGAATATCTCAGCGGCTGTTTCCAAACTTTGGGCGTCTCCAAATTCGGCAAAGCCAAACGTCTGAGGCTTGTTGTTGGCATCGGTAGCCCTCGTCCAGCGCACGAGCTTTCCTGCCGTCTCCAGAATGCGCTCCATGCCCTCGTCGCCTCCAACGCCATCGGGAATGTTACCAACGAAGATGGTCCGTGCAATGTCTTCGCGTGATGGAGGATTGACGGGCTGAACTCCGTCTCTGCGATCGCCGTCTCTGTCCATGCCAAGGCCACGACGACCGGGTGGTGCTGCATTGTCCCTTCGGCCGCCTATAGGGCTGTCGACAGCACCACTTCGTCCTCCCTGCGTTCCCAGACGGATGACGGGCGCATTAAGATTGAAGTTGGGCATGTTCTGGGGCGCTTGCCATCCGGATGGTAGAGCGCGTGGTGCGTTCATGGCTGGTGGACCTTGGGCATTCGCGACACCGGGGGGAGCGGCTACACCTGGAGGAAGTGCGGCGCCTGGCGGACCTGCGCTGTTGTTAGATCCTCCATTATCAGTTGACGCGACTGCTTACCCATTCCAGGCGGTGGCATGCCAGCCATGCCAGGTGGAGTGCCTGCGAAGCCCGGAGGGCGGTTGTAGCCCGGAGCACCTGCGCATGTTAGCAGAGTTCGCGTCGCAAGGAATCGCCCGACGTACCAGGATAGCCGTACATCTTGGATAGATATACAGTCGCGGAACTCGATAGGGTTGTTTGGGGGAGCTACTAAATCGGATTGTCGAGGTGCTCGTCGCGTGTTGTAGTGAGAGGCAGAAGTCGCAGTTGAGATTTGGAGCTTCGAGAGACGCTCGGACCACCAACTACCTACAGCGCCGACAAATTTGGGAACCGCGGCGTGCATGACTTCCATCATTCACCGCAGCCAACCCGCAATTGCCCGCCGCGAGCACCTCCAATCACTTCTGCCGATGCCAGGATTGTAGCCACAACATTTGAAGATGGCATCACGATCGCTGGGCGAGCGACTGCTCCGTCCCTCGACCTTTACACGCATACCGCAGTCCTCGAGACAGACAACACCGTCCTGGACATGTCAACGAACCATATCGAGATCGCCAAGACAACCTGCGCAGCCACAGAGGAAGCAAGCAGACCAAAACTACGTTCCCGAGCGAGCGGCCGCAAGTCCACAGCCCACTCAGAGTGAGACGTCACAGACAATCGACTCCATGCTCGGCGGTACGACCACGAACAGGGCACCATATATGCCACGGGGCGCAGCACCTACCTCACCAGCCAACCGCGTCTTTGGAGAAGCCTTCGCGGGCACCCAGAGCAGACGGCCTGCCCACAAGCCAGGCCTGAATTTCGACGACATGGCATTGTCCGACGACATAGCCAACCCAAGTCTTGCCAACAAGCCTTCCGGTGCGGCATCGCTCGCTGTACAACAGGAAGAGACGTTTTCTCAGTTCCCACGCTTGAACCCCGTATACGGACGTACTGTAGAGTTGGATCCTAGCCGCGGACGGGATATGGTGAGGGGTATTGGCATGCTGGGGAGTTTGATGGCAAGGAACCAAGTCAAGCGCGACTTCAACAAACAGAGGTTCCACGAGAGAGGCGGATTGAAGAGGAAGCGATTGGCGTCTGAGAGATGGAGGGCGAGGTTCAAGAAGGGTTTCCGCGACGTGACTAACCGGGTGACAGAACTAACGAGGAAGGGATGGTAAACATATATGACGCTGATTTGATGCTTCGGAATGGCGGGGATATCAACCATGTATGAATCCAACGTGTACATAATGTACTATAACTGCATTGCATTTGCATAATAAGCACTGGGTGCTTACCGAACTGATAGCTATCGAGATATTATGACCATCTCCGAAGCATACGTCAACCTTGACACGGAAGCATATGATTTGCATCTACTTTGGCCGTGAGGGTGAAGACTAGATTGCGGAGCTGGACCGGGAGTCTCTTGCCGCGGACGGGCACAGGCCAGGGACCTCGATTCGCGTACCCAACATTGTCCAAGTTGACACATGCACCTCGACCGTCGCAGCTGCCTCACGCGCAGTACCCGGCTTACATGCGCTGAATGAACGATTGGCTTCTCCTCTCAAGATTCTCGCCATGATCTCGAAACGACAGCCATCGGCATGGCTCCCTACCGTCGCATTACTTTCCTTCTTGACATCCCTTGCAACAGCATTAACCGGCCAGGAGCCCATGAAGAGCGTGGAAGAAGCACGAGGGTATAATCCTGGCGAGATCATTCCAGTCAGCTGTTTAAACCGAACCATGTACGTCACAATATATACACAAGGAGCTGCGAGTACAATTGCTAACCTCGACGTCAGAGAAACCGGTGAACATGTACGTCTGCCACCCACACCACGCCCTGGAATACTCAACGAGCATGACCCCCAAATTTCTATCCTGTAGCCACTAACCCTTGTGTTTCCAGATCACAGATGCAGCCGGCCACCTCCAGTACATACCTTTCCCAACCTGCAACGAAACGGGCCAACCCCTCCACCTAAACTTCGGCGTCGAAAAAGACGTGAACTGCACCATAGACTTTGTGACCGACGAGTTCTTCCACCTTCTCGAGTTCTACATCCACAACGATGCGCCCCTGTCGTGCCGCATTCCCTCGAAACCCTTGCCACCTTCCGTCATGGAAACAGAGTATCGTGTAAGCGACGACAGCACACAGGAAGGCGCATTAGGAACTCAGAGCACAATGTACACACCTCTGATCATAGCCTTGGCGGGGACACTGCAGTTAAGCCACTTGCACGTGGGAAACTATTTGAACTTGCTGGTCCATGCAGGGCCCAAGAGCGTGGCGCCTGGAACGGTGGATGCTGCGACTGCATATTCCGTGTCAAGCCATACAAGGAATACCAAGATTACCATTGGGGATCCGTTGAGTTTGGCGTTTAGTGTGAGGTGGTATCCAAGCACTACGCTGCCTCCTGGCTGGAGTGGATATGGTGGACATATCTATACTAGTACTCTGGTGTACTGTTTCTTGAGTGCTGTGGCGAGTGCAGCCGTGTGCGTTGTTTACTTCCGTGGTGTTGAACTGCCCAGACGGTTGAAGAGGTATGCTACAGATAGGATGAATGGCGGTGGAAGAGGATTTGGCAACGGAGGTAGTGGCTATGGCTTGCCTGTAGCCAACGGTCGAGGAAGTGGCATGGGCAGTGGCTACGGATTAGGCGGGTATGGATATGGAGGTGGAGGCAAGAGAGTCGACTGAAACAAACGCAATTCACATGCTAGAGTGTAGGATAGTCAGACGCGAAATTATACTTCAACGTGTCCATTGGTATTTCGTGATATCAGTACTATATATGCATCCTTCAGGTGGTTGCTGCGTATCCAGCCTCCAATCATCAAATCATTCAGCCATTAAAGCCCCGCACAACACTTCACCAGCCGCTTACAAACTGGCCTTCTTCTTGAAAGCGTTGATGAGACCGCTTGTGCTAGCATCGTGAGAAGTAGACTCCTTGTCGTCGTCAAGCTCAGACTGGATCTTCTTGGCCAGCGACTTGCCGAGCTCGACACCCCACTGGTCGAAGCTGTTGATGTTCCAGATGGCACCCTCGGTGAAAGTGAGGTGCTCGTAGTAGACGATCAAGGCACCAAGAGTGGCAGGTGTGATCTTGTCGGCCAAGATGGAGGTAGTGGGTCGGTTACCCAGGAAGGTCTTGTGAGCGACAAGGTTCTCAGGCGCACCCTCAGCCTTGACCTCATCAGGCGTCTTTCCGACCATGAGCGCCTCGGCTTGGGCGAAGAAGTTGGATGCAAGCATCTTCTGGTGCTTGTTGCCCTCGACGGGGTTGTGGCTCTGGGCGGCGAGGATGAAGTCGGTGGGGATGAGCTTGGTGCCCTGGTGGAGAAGCTGGTAGAAGGAGTGCTGAGCGTTGGTGGCTGGCTCACCGAACAGGATGGGACCGGTTGTGTACTTGACGTAGTCGCCGCTGCGGGTGATGGCCTTTCCGTTCGACTCCATGGACAATTGCTGGAGGTAGGCGGGGAACCTGTGCATGTACTGGTCGAAGCTGGGCAATGTTAGAGGAAGCGTATCTGCTGAACTGACAAACTTACGGAGAGACAAGGTGAGTCTGGGCGCCAAAGAAGTCGGAGTACCATACACTCAGAAGACCACCGATGACAGGAATGTTCTGCTCAAGAGGAGTCTCCTTGAAGTGCTTGTCCATGGCGTGAGCACCAGCCAGGAGCTGATGGAAGTTGTCGAAGCCAATGTAGAGAGCCACGCTCAGGCCGATAGCGCTCCAGACACTGTAACGTCCACCGACCCAGTCGGAGAAGCCGAACATGTTCTTCTTGTCGATACCGAACTTGGTGACCTCTTCCTCGTTAGTGGAGAGGGCAACGAAGTGCTTGGCAATGTCCTCCTGCTTTGCGCTCTTCAAGAACCATGACTTTGCGGTGTTGGCGTTTGTGACGGTCTCGGCTGTGGTGAAGGTCTTGGAGGCGATGAGGAAGAGAGAGGTCTCGGGGTTGGAGTCCTTGAGAGCTTCTGCGATGTGAGTTCCGTCAATGTTGGAAACGAAGTGGATCTTGAGATCGCGCTGGGAGTAGGCCTTGAGGGCTTCTGAGACCATGACGGGGCCACTATTTGAAGTCAGTACACGTTCGAACAGTATCAAACAGAGTTGCATACAGGTCAGAACCACCGATACCAATGTTGATGATGGTGTCGATCTTCTTGCCAGTGTATCCCTTCCACTCGCCACTTCGGACCTGCTCGCTAAACTCCTTCATGTGGTCAAGAACTGAGTTGACATCCTCGACGACGCTCTTGCCATCAACCTCCATCTTCTGGTTGGAGGTGTTGCGGAGTGCGACATGGTAGACGGCACGGTTCTCAGTGAAGTTGATCTTCTCACCAGCGAACATGTCATCGCGAAGCTTCTCGAGGCCAGCCTCTTTTGCGAGCTCGACAAGAAGCTTCAGTGTCTCCTCAGTGACGAAGTTCTTGGAAAAGTCGAACAGGATCTCGGAGTTCTCGGCATCGTTCTTGAAAGTACGGCTGAACTTCTCGAATCGCTACAGTTTGTTAGCAACGTACTAGATTTAGTCCTCCAGACCTACTTGAGGGTCCTTCTTAAAGTACTCCTTCAAGACAATGTCCTTGCCAAGCTTCTGGTGGTGGTCCTGAAGCGCGGACCAAGCATTGAGGTCTGAGGCCTGTGCGAAGCCGGGCATGTTGTGTTATAGGATTAGTGGGCGGGTATGAGGTTTCAAACTTGGACAATTGGAGATAGAGGAGGTCAATTGCAAGCGCGAGAGATGATGGAAAAGGTGTGAGTAAAGTGAAGATGATTGTTTTCGCGGATGTGATGGGAGAATTGTAAGTCGCGCGGCCGAGACTCAGCCCCGCTTGCGTCAGAGCTCCGTTGAGGGAAGGAGGGGCACCACTTTTACCACGCGCTTGCTGTCAGAACATCCCGTTGGTTCCACCTGGACAGCCTTACCAAAGCACCACAAAGCTGATCACTAAGACATGTGCATCTCTAACTCAATGGGGATATCGTCTTGATTTGCTTGCCTGAATTTAGGCTTTCTCTCACACAAATGCTGCCTCAAGCGCCGTGCCATTGCTCCAGAACCCAAAAAAGCATCAAAGAGCGCTGAGATCCCACCAATGACCATGTCTTATATCTGTGGATCCAAAGCCGGCGGGTGTTGTGCTTGCAATCGGCTCCATTGCCGTGACAAGCCACGCGCCTATTCAACGGCCATTCTCCGAAGCCGAAGTGTTGAGGCGATGAAAGCACTATCTTTCCGTTACACCCTCGAATGATGGATCCTTCACCGAACCACCAGCATCGCCAAGACCCGCAACAGGGCGGTTGTAAGACCATCCTGCGAATTGCTGTTGCATAGTCTGGGAAAGCATAGGACCATCGACATAAGAATCTGTTGGAGCTTCCGAGGTGAATTCGCGGTCGAAGTTGGCAGTGTCTTTTGCGTCAACCTAGGTGTATGTTAGCCATGGCCTTTGAATTAACAAAAGTTTTACGTACCACATTGGGCTTGAAGCTGGGCTCGTACTTCCTCTCAAGCAGCTTTCGCCAGTCGATGCTGTGGAAGAAGTAATGCGCCTTGATCTCTGCAGCGCCCTTGGCACCCAATCGCTTCTCTGCATTGCGGTCTAGGAGGCGAGTCAAGAGATCGCGTGCGGCCGGTGGGACAATCTCAGGACCGGGGAAGTGTAGAGGTTCGGTAAGAATCTTGCGGTACATGTCGTTGGTGTTCTCATCATAGAAGGGAGGTAATCCAGTCAACATCTCATAAAGGAGAACACCAAGCGTCCACCAGTCGACGGACTTGGTGTAGCCAGCGCCAGTAAGGAGTTCCGGAGCGAGGTATTCTGGTGTTCCGCAGAATGCTAAGACAGTGTTAGTTCTCCGATTCAAGCCATGCTCAGATATGACTTACTGTTCGTCCGGTCCTCATCCTTCATGTCGAGCTTGCAGAGACCGAAGTCGCACAAGGCAATATGACCAGTGTAATCGAGAAGAATGTTCTCGGGCTTCAGATCACGGTAAATGACATTGAAACCGTGTAAGCACTCAAGGGCGCATAACAGTTCGGCAGCATAGAATCGAGCTCGGTTGATGTCGAATCGTTGCTCCTTCTGCAGATGGTGGAAGAGCTCTCCACCGTTGACAAAGGCCAAGACAAGGTACAGCTTCTCTGGCGACTGGAACGAGAACTTCAACGGTACGATGAAAGGATTGTTGATCTGAGCTAGGACAGAGCGCTCGGCGAGAGTATGTGCGACTTCGGATCGGGAAATGATATGTGCTTTGCGAATGGTCTTCAGGGCGTAAATTCGGTGCGTATCCTTCTTCCTGTACGTTGTGAGTATTTGATAATGCAGAAGAGCGCATGAGCACATACTGCACCTGCATGACCTTTCCAAAACTACCTTTGCCGACGACTTTGAGAAGTTCGAAATCGTCAATCGCAAGACGATCTTGGCGATTCTCGACAAAGTTGACTCCGACCTTCATCTGACCGCTGCCAAACTGCACTGGTATCCAATCAGCACCGGCCTGGCCAGCTGTGCCGTCGCCATTTCCAGATTTGCTGTCCGTCCTTTGCTCCTCGAATTTGGGGTGGACCTTGAGTGTTCCGATGAAGATGTCTTCGTTGCGACCGGCGTTGGGCGATGCGGAGGGGTTTCGGATGTAAAGCGAGACGGTGAGGTCGGTGACGCGGGACACGTCGAACTTGTATTGCGTGTTGCTGCCAGCCCAGAGCGGGTTCTCTGGTGTACCGGAGACTGCGTTAATGAAGACCTGTTGCTTGTCGAAATCGACCAGAGCGTAGGGCAGGTGTTTTGACGAGTAGCGACCGTGGATGGTAGGCGCAGCATTGATGCTGCCAGCAGCAGACTGCGGCCGGTTCGCGTAGGAACCGGCGACTGCATTGCGCGAAGACGAGCCGGGTCGCATTGAGCCTGCCACGGAGAGACCGCCGCCCTGGGACATGGAGCCCTGGTGGTGGCTCCCGCCGCTGAATTGCTGCTCAGCGCCCGGGGGCAGCGAAAACTTCTGGCCTTCATGGAGGGTGACGATCAGGATACCGGGGCGAAGGGGCTGCGCCGGGGCGGATGCGTTGGCTTCTGAGGCGGCTGGACTGGGTCAGCAGGAGGTGAGTGGGGATAGGAGGACCAAAGTACCGATGCCATTGTCCTTGGAGTCTCCGAGGGTCGTCGCGCTGGCGGCGGAACTCGAGGCTTTGGGCGTCGGCTGGTCACCGACTATTGTCGACGTCGACGACGAGCGACTGAATGTGTTGGCGAGGGGAGCAAGATGCGTCTCTTTGAGCTCTGCAGCACGGGTTAGGGGGCGCCACTCAGCAGGCGGGCTCTGGGGATATACGCACTCTTAGTGAGCTTCCAAGACATGGTTGCGGCAGCTCAGCAGTGGGCAGATGCAGGAAGAACAGACGGATACCCAGGGTGCTGCTGCTAGGGAGCGAGAGGGTGGAGACTACGGGACGCGGGAAGGCGACGAGGGGCACACCAAGGAGCGAAGGTGGTGCTGGCAGACGGTGAATAGTGTAGAGGCTCAGGGAGAGGGCTCTGGAAAGGGAGAGCAGACAGGACCTAGGTATAGGGAGCGGCTGGTGGCAATGTGTCTAACGTCCGAGTGCCCCAGGTCTCCGTCAATGCTGCGATGCTCCAGATAGGGTCCTCGTTTGAAGTTGGGTCATTGGGTCTCTGAAACTAGCCTTCATTTCGGACTGACCACGCACTGACGCGCCAATCCTTTTGCCATTCCTTTGCAGTGTTTCGCGCGTCGCAGCACGAGTGAGAGTCTGCTTGTCTATTTTAATTCGGGCCATGCTACGCCATTGCGAGTGAAGTCGTGATTCGTGCCTGCTCATCCCATCCCAGCCTCGGCTGCAGCTTCCGCCGCCGCCAACAACGTCCGGCGTGGGTACGTCAACACCGCGCGACCTTGGAGCCCAACACCGCGTCCGCTCGCCATCTGAACGCACCCAGCCGCCCGTCTCAGTCGAGCATTGCGAGCTGCGGCATTATCCTACATTGCATTAGTCATCGCCCCCTCCGACCCCGACTCGCGCCCTTGCAGCAACGGCGTGCACAGCCACAGCTCTCTGTCTCATCCCCATCTCTCCTTCACTTGCGCGCACATCAATAGCGGGGCACCATGGGGGTCATCAAGAAGAAGACGGGTACGCGGGGCACCGAAGGTGGCACCAAGTACGTCTGTGATGTGTGCTCGTCCGACATCACGTCGACGGTTCGCATACGCTGCGCCGAAGACGTGTGCAGCGAATACGACCTCTGCGTGCCATGCTTCTCCGACGGCAAGGCTACACGCGACCACCAGCCTGCCAAGCACAAGTTCAAGGTCATCGAGCAGCACTCCATCCCCATATACACCGAAGACTGGGGCGCCGACGAGGAGCTGGCCCTCTTGGAAGGCGCCGAAACATATGGTCTGGGCTCATGGGCAGACATTGCGGATCACATAGGCGGCTACCGCGAGAAGGATGAGGTCCGCGATCACTACATCGACACCTACCTGGACAGCCCGAGCTTTCCCCTGCCGGAGCACTGCAGCAAGGATGACACCGAGCTCAGTACCCGCATACCGCGTCACGAGTTCCAGGCGAGGAAGAAGAGGAGGATAGAGAAGAAGAAGGAGGAAGCTGCAGGCCGCGAACCTGATGCTCCCAAGCAGAAGCCCACGGCTAGTGTCCCGGCCTGCCACGAGGTCCAAGGATACATGCCCGGTCGTTTGGAATTCGAGACTGAGTACTTCAACGAAGCCGAAGAGGCTGTGCAGCACATGCAGTTTGACCCTGGCGATGGCTTGAACCCAAGGACGGGCGAGCTGGAGCCGGAGATGGAGCTCAAGATGACCATTATGGAAATCTACAACCACCGTCTAGACGCCCGAGTTGAGCGCAAGAAGATCATCTTCGAGCATCAGTTGCTAGAGTATCGCAAGAATCAGCTGGCCGACAAGAAGCGAACCAAAGAAGAAAAAGACCTGATGAACAAGGCGAAGCCCTTTGCCAGGATGATGCAGCATGCCGACTTTGAGCAGTTCTGCAAGGATCTAGAATACGAGCACAACCTTAGGCAGGCCATCTCACAGCTCCAGGAGTGGAGGAACATGCAGATCACGAGTCTCAAAGCTGGGGAGAAGTACGAACAGGAGAAGCAGCAACGGCAAACCCGGCCGCCTCCCATCGGGCAGTTCGATCGTCTGGCATCCAGTAGGATGACAAAACCCCAACCACCTTTCGAACAACCATCTGCAGCCACGGCATTGCTCGCGCAGGAGCTGCCTTTGCATGTCAAACAAAACAGTGGTCTCACAACGCCACCTCCGGATCGCGCTCAGAACGGCGTCAACGGTGCAAATGGTGTGCTAACACCACAGCATTCCAAGACAAAGTTTGTGCCCAAGTCACTCCCCAATACCGTGCCTCTCAAGTTTGGCAAAGAGTCAAAAGCGGATCTTCAGTTGCTCAATGCAGAGGAGGTGGAGATATGCAGTACGCTGCGTATCATGCCCAAGCCATATCTAGCGCTCAAGGAAACTATCATTCGGGCAGCACTCAACAATGGCGGCGCGCTTAAGAAGAAGACGGCTAAAGAGATTTGCAAGATCGATACGAACAAATCATCGCAACTGTTTGAATACTTTGTGCATAGCGGCTGGATAGCAAGGGCGTAAAGGGAATGCGCTAATGGCGCTGGCGTTTGGTAGAGAACCATGATCATTTTGGCGGCGTTTGGGCAAGGTATACCCCAGTCTTGGGAAGGGAGGCGTTGTTGTGTTGATAGATGGGTCCGCTGCTCTTTGCAAAATCATATGCACCAGTCCCTCATTTTGCGATTACTCGTTGCTCCTGTGAAGATGATGATTATGATGATGATGATGATGGTCCGTCCATAGCGCTACCACAGCGACGGTTGAATACAAACAATGGCTCTCACTCCGCAGTTCCCCACTCACATCCCGAACACGCGACAGGCCGCACCCAACATGGCTCTTTAGTTACTTTTTTTGCCATTTGGAGCAGCGGGTCAAGGAAGCTCCCGACGGATACCAGTAATTCGTGCAGCAAGCCTGACATCATTCGCTCGCTAGCAGTACCGGATCAGCCCTACGCAAAGGCAGCCTCCGTATCCACCTCCCTGCATGGCTACCAACTCGCGCTACTTCCACGATATGCCCGGGCTGTATAGTCCCTCGCCCTTGGATGCACGCGCAAAGTCTCAGAAGGGCTTTTTCGATGCGGCATATGAAACCTCCGGCCACCAGGTGATTGATTCACATGTCCACGAGACCCGCAAGCGCTCCCGATATGGCTCCACGGCGCACGAAGCCGCGATAGGAGGTCCCTGGGGAGAACATGTCCTGCACAACACTCGCTCCAGCGATACCAGAAGTCCACCTCCGCTTGCGAACGACCGCTACCAACTTGCTGGGGGTATGGATGGGACACACAACGATGCAAGACGAGAAGGCGACTACGACGACTACTTCAACCTCCAAAAGCAGCGCGGTACCTGGTCGGTACCTCCTACACCCCAGGTTGGCCTGGCAAGACAGGTCGCAGTTGGCGAAGTGCAAACGACACCCAGCGAAAGCAAATCATGGTCTATAATGGGTCTTGTCGGAGGAGTGGCTGGAAAGCTGTTCCAGTTCTGTACAGTGCCCTTCCGAGGTTTCCAGGCGGGAGGAGGAGCGCGATACAGCATCGATGCGCAAGAGGAGGTCGCGGCGAAACTTGGGCTGCAGGACGACCCCTATCAGGCAGGTCCAGTGCAGCAACTGCCTCCTGCTCCAAGCGATGACTATGGAGTCCAGTCAATCGACTCCATTACGCCAGATCGACCTAGGATGGCCAAGCGACTGCGCACAGCAGACAACTGGGTGGTTGTTGGAACTAATCTAGAGACAGAATCAAGACCCTCAACACCGCGACTATCAGAGCGAAGACTGCCCGATCGATCGCCCTCGTTAATCCCACGCCCTGTATCACGACCAAACGCAGGAACCCCATCCTACAAGCGGCCCTCACTAATCCCAGTATCCCGACGCTCGACAGTTGAGAGACGATCCTTCGGCGGCAGCCCGGCAGTCACTCCTAGCTCACACGAACGAGCGCACTCCTACAGCCGACGAAGCTACGGCTCACCAGCCATGTTCGACGACAAGTCAAGCAACACCGCGAGCCCTCTGCCAAAGGAAAGTCAACGTCTGATCAACAAAGTGCGGAGGGAAGAGATCGAGGAAGACGAGCGCATGCGCAGGATGAGCCTGCAGATGACTGCCATGCTGAGAGAAGCGAACGAGGCTCTAGGCTCCAAGTTTGAGGTGGAAGAATACAACGACGATGATATTGGTGACAACGAAGGGTACAGCCAGCAACCGAGCTGGTACTCATAAATTTGTACATTCATTGCACTTAAAGGATGCGACTTGGCGATTTATTGACTCTAATAACGGCCTTTGGGAATACTCGGCGTTCACACGGTTAGGCGTATACCCTGATCACCATTCTTTGGTATCTGCGGCGGCTCGACATGGGTCTTGTACTTCGATATTCAACCTGTCAACACAGGACGACGATTTTTAGAATAATATTTTGGTTCTTTATTGCATGCCGAAATTCGGCAACTATTTCGTTCTTGACTTGTATGTGCAGTTGATGTATGACGCTAATGCGGCAGCGGGAGGCCTTGCTCAAACGCATGTATAGTAGTTGGTGTTGGAGTCGCGCCTGCTGCACCTTGCGGGTACCTTGGGGCGGAAAGAGGTTAACGCCCAGGGTCTGTGTGGCTTGCTTCGGATACTAAATCTCCTAAATTTGAGCCGCCCCGCACATGCAGTTGTCCCTACGACTTCATCACATATTGTGCACTAGCGCGCCCGCATGTCCAATGACAGGTGCGGTGAAGAGCCGAACAGGCAGCGGGTGCTTCGGACTTTATCCTGTGGGAGGCACGTATTTGGGGGCCTTTCTGGATCGCATGGTCATGTTGGAACGGGCACATGGATACGGGAAGACAATATAGAGGTACACTGTCTGTAACAACGTGGTATAGTACAGGTAAAAAATAGAACGTAAGGAATGTGGCCAGCTGCCTGCAACAGCGGCGTATTCTGCGACGCAGAATCCTACAGCCTGACCCTTGTCACCATGGGTACAACTCATTACCTAGACAGACTCTAGTACGCGCTACAGAGCCGTTACAGTGCATGGCGCCGCATTTACGCCCTGCTGAGCCGCCTTGTACTTCATCCATGCTGATGAAACCTTATAGTATGGTGGCATTCCGGACGTTGACAGCACACCTTATCACTCTTCCCTCCAACAATGGATCGCACAGGCCCACCACAATCTAGTCCGCTACTGCAACAAAAATGTAAAGAACCCACAAGTACCACAGTGGAGAAGGACTCCAACCAGGGTCAAATGAAGAAGAACCTTACAGCACACCCCCGAGGATGCCTTTCAGTATTCCCTAATGCTCTAGCTGCAATCTTACGCGGTGTCGCTCGAGGCTGGAAGGCATTTGCTAATGGTTCACTGCGGTTATGGAGAAAGGGCTGGACGGCGGAGACATGTAGTTGCATTTTTGCGCTGCTGTCGTTGATCGGCCTTGTTCTTACACTCATGGCTCATCAAGATCGCCCCTTGCCAGATTGGCCTCAGATTGTTAGCATCAACTCTATCGTCTCTCTGTTCTCCATGATGATTAGGGCTGGAGTAAGCATGGTACTCGCCGAGGGGATCAGTCAATCGAAGTGGCAATGGTTCCGCAAAGCACGCAAGCTTGATGACATGGCAAAATTTGACTCCGCCAGTCGTGGTGCATGGGGCTCTGTCTTATTCATCTTCGGTCTCAGGATTAAGAAGCCTTAGTATGTATATGCGAACTATGTCTAGGCATGAACTTACACATACAAGCTTTATCGCTGCGATGGGCGCTCTTGTCACCGTCATGTCGGCCTTTACTGGATTCGCTGCTCAGCAACTTGTTGTCTTCAATGATTGCCTCCGTACTGATGAAAGTGCCGCAGTCGGAATACGCAGGTCTAATTTTTACAACGCTAGTGGAGAAAGGATAGCTGCACAAAGGTTCGACGAATTCCTTCCCATGAGTGTAGCTATGGATGTTGGGATACTTCAACCGCTCGAGGACACGACTACCCTTCTTTCTTACGGATGTAAAACTGGTAATTGCACCTTTCCGGCTGCAAATGGATCGACCTTTTCAACTCTGGCTACCGACCACTGGTGCGAAGATGCTACATCGGAAGTAGTGGAAGTACCACTCAACTACGACGATGCTGAATACTACGGCTATTTACCGACCGAGTTTTTGATTCAAATGGACTGTGGTGGCAGTCCCGAGGCGTGTGCTGAGGAGATGAGTAGCAGTTCACTGAATGGTACCAACGGGACGGCTGCCCTCACAACTGATTATGAATTCACTATGAGAAACGGCACAAAAGCAAGAAACATTGGTCTTTCTCTGCCGCTTTCCGACAACCTCCTTGCTTACCCCCCAGTCAAGTTTTTGCTTGCCGGTTGGCCTGGATCCATCGTTACTGGCGTATCACAAGGACAACTTGGTTACAATGGCACCATATCGACGATAGGCATGATATACATATCGAACTCCACACGCGAGAACTACGAGTACAAAGCAATAAGATGCGGGATATATCCTACAGTTAACACAATGGAGGCGACATACCACAATGGTATCTTGAAGGAAAAGCTGATCAAGAGCGTTCGTATTGGTGAAGACGTAGCAGCCTCTGGCTTCGATACTGTCTTCCGCCTAGCCACGAAGCAAACCCTCCGCAACGGCACAGAAATTACCTGTGATGAGCGAACCACTGACACACCCGGCTATCTGCCCGTCGCGAAAGTTAACATCGACGCCGCACCCATCAATACAACCTACCTGGACGTGGAAGGCCCAGGTGCGGAAACTGTGTGGTACCCCGAAGACTGCGTTTGGGCCATGACGCTCACGGCTACGTCTAGTATTCGGCAACATCTCGGAGCCATTTACGACGCGCAGTTCCTCGTGTTTGTACCAAATGGCCGCTCTGGATCTGCCGCCATGCGTGTCTTGTGGAATGATGGCGAAATGCGAAATGCGCCTTTAGACCACGTCAGCAGTCTGATGACAAACCTCACCACCGCCATGAACACTGTCCTCCGTACCCACGGCATGCCGGGTTTTAACAAGCCTGCTGAAGGGACAATGTGGTACACAACAACTTGTATCAACATAAATTGGACGTGGGTCGCCTTTCCTGCTACGATGATAGCACTTTCAGCTATTTTCCTCTTACTAGTGCACCTTGAGAGTAGGGGCGTGGAGAGCGAGAGGCTGTGGAAGAGTTCGATAATGGCAATGTTGTTTTGCGAGATGGATGATATCATTACGGGTGAGGCTAGGCCGGTGGGCAGACAGCGGTTGGAAGAGGTCGCTGCAAGTACTAGCGTGAGTCTAGAGAAAGATCAGGGGAGTCTGAGGCTGGTTGCTAGACAGGCTTAACCATGTCTAAACGCCTTCTCTTAATTCTATTTCCTATACACCCCTACTACCGCTGCCTTCGCCTTGATGCAATTTGAGATCTTCTATCAGTACGCTCATGAGTTTGAACATCTCGCCGGCGAGCTTCTTCCCAGTTTCTCTCCATTCTTCATCGCATAGCCGTCCGAAGCGGTCTGGATGCCATCGCAAGCGCTCCTGACGTAGCCACTCGTAGCTATACAAACCGCTTGCTCGAAGTAGTTTTTCTACGTCGTGTTGGCAGGCGTGTATGCTATCTGGTTCAGATTTGAGAATCGTACATGCTGTGAGATTGCAGGTCGTAATCGTGTTAGGCAGGTATGGGAACATGGACAGTAATTTTGGCGATGCAGATGGCGTGCGGTGCAGTGGCGGTCTAGAGGCATCTGAGCTACTGGACTGGGAACGAACTTGGAGTTTCCGTGGGGCTTTAGGTTTCGAGCCTCCGGCTGCTGCTGATGCGGCTGCGAACATGACTGCCGCTTCTGTAGACCATTTTTCGTAGAGGGCTTGGGTCGCGGCGTCGGGTTTCGCCTCTGTAGACTTGTCGGTACCGTTTGGCATCTGCCCGCTCGACTGGGATGTGCTAGGTTTGGACTTCTTCTTCGCTCGAGCAAAGAAGTTGAGTGCAAAAGTCTCCAGTGCTTCCTCGTTGACATCATCGATGGAGCCAGCCCATGTCCCATCGTTCCGAATTGCGATGAATTGATCAGAGCTGGTAGGATCCAGCGTGATGAAAGTCAGGTCGCTCCAGAGAAACCCCTTCTCCGCCTTCCACTCTTCTACCGTCTCTTTGTAAATTTCCCAGGCATCTACATCGCCTAAACGGTATACAACGTCACCGTACTCACTCATAGCGAAGAATGCACCTTCAGGACCCCATGTTACAATGCGTGGCGGCCCTACGCGCCATCCAGAAGGTGTCAACCAAGACTGTACGGCATCCTCTAGGCTCGGTGGCAGATTGGCCCAACGTATGAGCTCAGGGTGCCAGATGATGAAGGAGTCGTCGGGCCCCAAGAAGGCACGCAGGTGTGGAGAGTGCCATGTCTTGGTCAGGATACTCTGGAGTCGTGAAGGTATAGATGAGCCCCACTGCAGGCTGTTTCTGCCCGATGAGTCTTTGGAACTCAGGATCCAGGATTCGGTTATCGGCCCTAGAGCTGCCCAATGTACTTCGGAAACAGACCTACCTAGAAGGAGATCTTGGAGGCTGGAAGGGAGGTTACGACTGTTGATCGTTAGTTGTCGCGTACAAAGAAATAGGCTGGCAGCGTACTAATTGAGCCCCGCAAAGCTTTTGGATATGTAGCTGTCATTGGGGCCGAACGAAAAGAACGAGGCATTGCTCGCGGTACCACTCATTCCCGGCTGGGCGCGATTGGGTTGGAAGCTATTATGACGTCACGCACTCTTAACGTGGTGAAACCTCTAAAGATGTCAACAATGCACTTAAATGAGTGAAACAATATGCATTCAACGTACAAGCGCGTATGTATTGAGCCGTTGATAGGTTTCCGTTGCCCTGACGTCTTTACAAACTGGCGCGTGTTCCCCGACAACGGTTTCAAAACGTTGCTATCCTGTTTAGACCCTGGAAGCGATCAAGCTTGGCAAGGCGAATGTCAACACAATCAGTCGTGCGATTGCCTACTTCTTCACAACATTGCGGCTTTATAGTGGCCCACTGTGTTCAGCGTCGCACACCGCTTCCATCGATCTAGACCAAGCGTTTTTTCTTCTTAGCGAGCCCGAGTTTTCGGCGGCACATGTGCGATTCTACGTTTACGTTTGGCCAACGCGGCTGCCACTTCTTCCAATGTCCGTCGAGACGAGAATAGTATGCTTTCATACACAAAACAGGCTGATAAGTGATACTGATGATGGTGCAGTGCACGTCTTCCTAAAAAGCTGGCAAGACTTCTCAGCTCCTCACAATTGAAAAAGATTTATCATGTGACCCTTGGTTTCGAGGACAGCTTCCTCTTGACCTGGCGAGATACTGGTGGAAGAGACCGTGTTGAGAGCTCTGGACTCCCGCACGAGCTAGTCGACTTCCTGCACGCTGAAAACCGCAACATTCCTAATATACGATGTACGCTGGGACCATATAATTCGTCTTTCTTCATCCACGACAAAGCTTCGTACCTCTGGAAGAATCTGCCAGGAACCCTGCTTGTCGCCTTACAGAACAACATACAGGATGGAAGTTGGATCGATCGGCCGCGTCTCGTAGCACTGGGTGCCGGAGATAATTTCTTGCTGATAACCGAGAAGAACGCCTCAGTATGGGACTTGCGGCATTACAAATCTGCCGTTGCATTTCTTGAGAAGAGTGCCATGTCAGATGTTCACAGTTTGATCCTGCATGCTTATCGGTACCAAAGCTTCGTCATGCAGACCAAGAGCGGTAAACTCCTCTTCGAAAACGTGCCGCCACATCAGATCGCAAGCATACAAACCATGATAGCACCAGTTTTACAAGACACGAAAGATTTGCAACGAAGACCTCTCGTACACAGAGAAAGTGACAAGAGGGAGAATGTGCAGAGAAGGCCCAGCGCTCTCCAACAACGCGCGCAGATCCGGAGGGAATGGAGTGAACATACCCAGGAATTCACGGCGCAGGCTAAAGGTGTTAAGCTGAGCTTTAGCCTCAATGTCAGTCTGGGTGGCTTGGCGAGAATGCTGGGGTGAGGACGATACTGGAATAACCAAGATCACTTTGCTCATGAGCCGAGGAAAGCAATCCCATCGCACGCATGTTCGATAAGCACAGCTTGGATCCCGCAAATTTGGCAACAGCGGTATTTTTGGATGGCTGAGCAAAGTTAAGACATCGAAATCACGATAGTCGCTGGCAAACCTGCCTGGAAGGATTCCCTGATTCGTTCTCTCAGGTTACGAGTTCAAGGGCCAGGACATTGCGGTACTCTGAACGGAAGGATTGTTGATGGTATGTGGTTCTTCATTACAGAACGAATTTGGTATCGGAGAGATGGAGTTGCACTCAATCGAAAGTGCAGAAAGTAGGAGGCGGACAAGAAGAAAGCCGTACAGCATTGTGAGTGTTCTTGGCACAACCCAAATCATCGAAAAGGCTTCGTGACAGTCTATGTCCGTGTCTGATCGTGCTTCTCCACATTGTACAGACCAATGGAAGGAACTTGAATTGTGGTTCTGATGATAATCGGAAATTGCTTCGGCAAATCGCAAGCGCATCTAATATCCCTTTGTACAAATAGCGCCGCTCGGACCAGAGACTAATGACAGCGGTAGAAATATCTGGAGTCTAGTCGTGGCAAGAATCGGATGCCATGTGATTTTGCGAGACCATGTACGGATAAAGGGAACGTGATTAGGAGGACGAACCGAGCCGGACCGGCGACAAGAGAAGTCAAGTCAGCCTCAATACTGGATGTTTTACTACTAGAGTTGCGCTAGTGCAAGGAACGACGGTTCAACTTAGCTTCTCAGTGCTTTGACGAGCTCTGAATGTGATGAGACAACAGCCGTGATGTGGTTCCACGTCCTTGAACACCGTTTACTATTACGCCAATATATTGCACAGGATCGTGGACGTAGAAGTCGCGACCTTTGAAACCACACTCGCTGCAGTTTCGAATCGGATGTCGGGACTATGGTACCTTTGTCAGATGTGCTAGAGGTCCGTTGACAAAGCGGTACTGGGGAATACGGATAATGCCCTCGGGTATGTACCAGTGTAACTAAGCCGCGCTTTTTTGTGCCATGTATTTCCAAGCTGTTAAAACCTGGAGACGGCACTGTGAGGATATAGGTAATTTCCAATGTCAAAGCTGTGACATGCAAAAATCGGTACCATGGTTTTCGGACCGGAGCTGACAGCGATGACATCACGCTAAGACTTTTTGGACAGCCATTTTTGCGGGGAACCTCCGCATGGGCTCGACCTCTCCACATTTTACCAATAACACCACTCCTCCGATACGCCATGTGCTGATGCCGAACTATTACTTGGGTACTTCGGGAAAGCTTGCCAAGTATGACGATACGCATTTTGGGTGGTTTAGCAAGCCACGTACGTGGACGGACCGGTCAGCGTACCCGTACTGCGCGGTGCAATGGCAGGTTTCTTTGTACACTAGGGTCGCACGGCTGAGAGCTTAAGTAGGCGGACTGGACATGTTCGGTCCTGTGTCAATTCCTTCTCTTCTTCCGCTGGAGCCGGGTCTAAATCATGGCTTCAATGCGCTCGCTGATTCCTGCTCTCATTGCAAGCGTGCCTTTGGCAAATGCTCTGTTCATCAATGGCAGCGTGATTGCACCTTGCGACTCACCCATCTACTGTTATGGCGACCTGCTTCGCGAAATCGAACTCGCAAGACCGTTTGAGGATTCGAAGACGTTCGTCGATTTGTAAGTAACTTGAAGGACCCGTATTAGATCATAGCTAATCAATGGCAGACCAACAACACGCCCGCTAGAAGAAGTGCTTGCAGCATTCGCCAACCTCTCGAGACCGATCGAGAACAATACAGCGCTAAATGATTTTCTATCCGAATACTTTGGCGAAGCTGGTTCAGAACTAGAAGAAGTACCTACTGATGAGCTAGAAACGCAGCCGGATTTTCTTGACAACGTCAACAGCTCTGTTGTTCGAGATTTCACACGCCAAGTCATCGATATATGGCCTGACTTAACGCGCCGATATGTCGGAGCTGGAAACTGCTCTGGCTGCGTTAACTCCTTCCTTCCGGTCAACCGTACCTTCGTGGTAGCTGGCGGTCGTTTCAGGGAGCCATATTACTGGGACTCCTTCTGGATCATCGAAGGCCTCCTTCGTACTCAGGGGTCCTTTACTCAGATTGCCGAAAACATCATCGAGAATTTCATGGATCTTGTCGAAGATATTGGCTTCGTGCCCAACGGCGCTCGTCGCTATTACGAAAATCGATCGCAGCCGCCACTGCTTACGCAGATGGTTCGTGTTTACGTCGAGTATACACAAAATTATACTCTGCTCGAACGGGCGATACCCATCCTTGAAAAGGAGTATGAGTTTTGGGTGAACAACCGTACCGTGACGCTTGAGCGGGCTGGCATGAACTACTCTCTCAACCACTATGCCGTGTCAAACACGCAGCCACGACCTGAATCCTACTACGAGGATTATGTGACTGCCAACAATGCGACCTACTTCAACGAAGAAGGCGAGGAGTTCAACGCCACACAGCCACTCAACGAGACTCAAAAGGCGACGTTGTATTCCAACCTTGCATCGGGTGCAGAGAGTGGATGGGACTATTCAGCACGCTGGATTGCCAACCCATCCGACGCTGTTACAGAAACATTCTTCCCTCTTCGTTCGCTCAATACCATTGAGATCATCCCAGTAGAGCTCAACTCGATCCTGTACTACAATGAGATTACGATCGCCGAATTCCACCGCCACCAAGGCAATTATACCGCCGCACGCGAGTGGGCCGGTCGCGCTGCAAATCGGAGTGAGGCAATGACAACAGTCCTTTGGTCGCCTGAGCACTACAGCTACTTCGACTATAACTTGACCTCTAGTAGCCAGAATATTTACACCTTGGCCGATAACACAAGTACACCACTTGCGCTCCAAGGAGCGCCGCCTGGAAAACAAATATGGTTCCAGATTTCCCAGTTCTATCCTTTCTGGACAGGTGCGGCTCCTGAAAGCATCAAGAATGACCCCAAGGCAATAAGGCGCGTTTACGCACGAGTCGAAGAGCTTCTTGAATCCAGAGACGGTGCGATTGCTGCAACGAACCTCCAGACCGGCCAGCAATGGGATGAGCCAAACGTCTGGCCACCACTTCAATACATCCTTATGCAAGGTCTGCTTAACACCCCCCTCGAGGTTAGCGAAGACGATGACGAGCAGTCAACCGAGGATTACATTTGGACACAAGATCTTTCCCTCCGCATTGCACAACGCTATCTTGACTCTTTGTATTGCACATGGCGTGTCACTGGTGGCGCGACTGATGAAGTGCCGCAACTTCCCGACTCTCAAGGTAACGGGACGATCTTCGAAAAGTACTCTGATGAGAGTACCAACGCTGCTGGAGGGGGCGGAGAGTATACAGTGGTGGAAGGATTTGGTTGGTCGAACGGTGTTCTCATTTGGGCTGCTGATCAATTCGGACAAAGGTTGACAACACCTGAGTGTGGAAACATTACCGCAGCTAACATTGGGGGTGGAGATGCGAAGAGGAAGAGAAGTGCGATGGAATTAAGCAAACGGGATGCCCAGTGGATCAAGAAAACCAAAGGGACGAGGAAGCTTAGATATTGATCATGATGTGTACTCGTAGTAGCTGGCCAGACAGTTCGCAGGCTAGGTTTCTCTCCTACGATGCAACATAGTACTTGGTTAGTTCCGTCGTATTTCTTCGAAATCTACCTCGATTTCGTTGTTCTTTGGTGTATGTCTCAGCTCAAGGTTCTCCTAATATGAATGTCCGAGCGTTTTAAATCCCGCTACTTACGAAAAGACGATAGCATCGCTTAAAACCGTCATGCCTAGAGCTGTTCTCCTAAGTGGACAAATTGTATATGGCATAGAATGTCCATTCATCCAGGTTCAATTACCTACGAGCAAAGAAGCCAGTAGTCACGATGTACAAATCCCGCTCGTAAATGGTCGCATGTCCCATCAGGCTCCGGAATGCGCTATAGCGTGTACAGTCAGTATCCTGCTGGGTTGGCCTGGAAGCGCCATCATCATCGATCTACGCGTTTGTCCCATCACGACTAAACACATGCTTACAGGTCGACACAAACGGACTACTTTGCTAGAGCTGTTGACGTGGTCTGCAACACTCCTTCAATCG